TTGCCGGCCACCACGTCTTTATTGCCGGCGACGCCTGCCACACGCACAGCCCCAAGGCGGGCCAGGGCATGAACACGGCCATCATCGACTCGCAGGCGCTGGCCTGGAGGATCAACCTGGTGGAAAAGGGCCTGGCCAAGCGCGACGTCCTCCTGTCGACGTACCACGACGAGAGGCACGCGACGGGCAAGCAGCTCATCGACTTTGACTCCGAGTACTCGGCCCTGTTTAGCGGAGAGGTGCCCAAGAACACGCCCGAGGTGGCCAACATGACCGAGGCCCAGAAGCGCGAGCACTTTATCGACATCCAGCGCAGGAACGCCGCCTTCACCACGGGCGCCGGCGTCTTTTACGCCGACAACGTGCTCAACTACCGCGACCCTTCGAAGCTCGGCGTGTCCAAGGTGACGGACCGGCTGCAGCCGGGCGCGCGCCTGCTGCCGGCGTGGGTGACGCGGTGGTGCAACAGCCAGCCGGTCCGCCTGATCCACGAGATCCAGTTCACCGCGCCCGGCGGCTTCCGCATCTACGTCTGCGCCGGCGACCTGGCCAAGAACCGCAGCAAGCTGCAGGACCTCTCCAGGCACCTCTCCTCGTCGTCGTCGTTCCTCCACCGCTTCCGCCCCAACGCCAAGGCGCACCACCTCGCCCACGGCGCCTACCACCAGCGCCCCGAGGCGCTCAACACGGGCCTGGGCAAGGGCTTTGCCGAGGAGGCCAACCCCTTCTTCCACCTGCTCCTCATTGTCAAGCAGAACCGCTTCCGCATCGAGCTCGAAGAGATTGCCGACCTTGGACCGCTGCGCGCGATGCTCTATACCGACGACGTCGAGCAGGGCGGCCAGAGGATCGGCGACGAAGACGGTGACGAGAGCATCGGCGGCCTCCACACCAAGTGGGGGCTCGACGACGGCGGCATCGTTGTCTGCCGCCCCGACGGCTACGTCGGCGCCGTCTTCCCGCTCGACCAGGGCGCCAAGGGGTGGAAGGCCATCGAGAAGTACTTTGACGGCTTCCTTGAGGAGCAGAACGCCGTCATCGCCGCCGCCGCCGTCCCGAGGCTCTGAGCAGCGGCGAGGTTGCGAGTCCCACTGGCGACGATGATGATCTAGAGCTAGATAACGAGAACAAGGGCCCGTCGATCCGCACATGTACAATACCAGCAGCAGCTTTGCAAGCAACGTCATCAACATCAGGTTGTGCCGTCGTCGTCGAGTCTGCACGGGCAAGGGCTGAGTGAAGGGCAGGTCGGGTCGAGTAAGATTGCATCAGGGTTGCGTCCGTGGCGCGAGACGGGGAGCAGAGATGGATCGACGGGGAGAGATGGGGAAGCAGGCGGGGGGATTGTCGCAGAACACAATTGTGCGATCGTCTACGGAAACGAAAGACGATGCACACTCATAGTCGGCAGTGTTGGTCGAGGAACCCTCTACTTTCGCCGTGGGCATCCGACGTGACAAGCCGGACCGCACGGCCACACCCCCCCGGCGCGCCCCCTCTGTTCCGAAGAGCCAGAGGGAAACGACGAAGGGTGGACCGAGGGTGGCAGGCTCCGATAGGTCGGGTGGGCGCAAAGGGACTGGAAGGTCAATGGGTGTGTGTGTGTGTCCATCCGTCGCCTTTGGGTTCGTGGTTGATGGAAGAGAAGAGGGAAGGCGAGCAGACGGACGGGCCTCCCTCCTGGCCTCGCCCGGCCTTGCTTGGTTTTTTCGCTCTTCGCTGGCCTCCCTGTTTTTCGGGACCATAATTCTGGCAGGTGCCCAAAATCCGGCTTCCGGACGCTGCCTGACCTGGACCTGGCCTGCTTGCAGCTGTGTTGGCCCAACGCACAGGCCCGGCTGCTCTGGCTGGCCACGCCGGACATGGCCTGGCGGGCAAAGTGACAGCAGCAGCGGCGGAGACCTCGGAGATCAACACCGCCGCCGCCGCTCGCCGGCCCACTTCGTCAAGTCAAAGAGGACCCTGCTCCTGACACCACCCCCAACGGCCCCCGTCACGGTCCTTTTTTCTCGCCGCCGCCGCCGCCGCCATAGTCGTCGTCGTCGTCGTCAACTCTCTCCGACTCATCATCATCTACTGCGCTCTTTTTGACGACAGGCTCATACTGCGCGCCCCTGCACACCGTCCTCGTCTGCTACCGTCCCACGAGCATCCTCGAGGCTGCCTGACACAGCCTCACCTGCTCATACCGCGTCCGATTCCGCTCCACAGCACGACGCCAGCATCAACCTACCATCGCACCTAGAGGGAGCCCGCACCGACCCACCCATCGGCTGAAGCTCGATGCCGAGAACTGGGCCCACGCTCCCTTTCATCGGCTTCACCCACGTGCCGGCCTGAGCCGCTCGGCCACCGAGGCGGTACAGCATCGCTCCATCGCCGCGGCTTCGATTCCTTCCCGCTCGCAACATATCCAACACCCACCTCGAGGCGGCCTCGCAGCAGTCTTCTGCTGCAGAAGCCTTTCCCGCTTCCAGGGCCATGGAAGTGCAGGACGGGTCCGGCGACGTGGCGGCTGCGCTCCAGGCGCCTCCAACGTCCGAAGATCAGGCCATGGTGACGCCGCTGTCGCCTCAGATCCTCGACCTGGAGGCCTCCCTCGTCTCGGACCCAATACTCGACCTGTGCCCGTCGCTCGACCTGCTCAAGTCTCTGGCAAGATCCTCGGCCATCTCGGCCGATGTCAAGCAGCAGAAGCTCAGGCGAGCACTGCTCCGCGCTGCCAGCAACGGAGATACCGACATGCTCTCCTGGCTCCTCGACCCGCGCAACGAAGCGCGTGTTCTGATCGCCGGTCCAGATGCCGGCATCGACGCCAACGGGCGACCCCGGATCGCGTTTGACGAGATCCGGGACGAGGACGGCACCGGGCCCGTCGTGCTGGCCTCGTGCGCCGGACACGTCGACTGCGTCACCATGCTGGTCATGAGCGGCGCCGACGTCGACGAGCGCGACGCCTGCGGCTGGACGCCGCTCATGTGGGCCACCAACAGCTCCAACCTCACCCTGGCTGCCTACCTTCTCCAGCACGGTGCCGACGTCGAGGCCCGCAGCAGCAAGGGCACCAGCTGCGAAGACTTCATCCTCTCGGCAGCTCCCGACGCTGCCGGCGTCAAGCAGCTCGGGGGAGCTGGCGGGCAAGTCGAACGAGACCAGCTGGCAGACCTCATCTATGAACATCAGGTGTCTGCCAGCATGCAGGCATCGACCACGCAGAAGCTGCGGGATCTCAGCTTGTCGTCCCCAGGAGGGTCCGGCAGCACGGGCCGCAGCTCGGCAGGTCTGCTGCCCTCGATGGAGGTGGGCGGGGCGTGGCCCAACAGCGGTCAGCCACTGCATTCGAGAGCATCCTCGCTCAGCACGTTCAAGCCGGGCCACAGCCGGACGAGCAGTCAAATCACCGCGTCCAGGCGCCTCGTCGGCCGCGTCGAGCGCGCCCACATCGCCGACCAGGAGCTCCGCGCACGAGAGGTCGCCGAGGGGCGCAAGCGCGCGCTGCTCGACATCGCCGTCATGCTCGAGCTCGACTATGCGGCATTGATCGGGGAGCCAGTCGGTGGCGCAGCCGACGAGTCGGCCAGCGGCGCTAGCGGCGCTTCGAGGTCGACTCGTCGGAAGGGCGTGCCAAAGGTGCCGCCATCGGGCCTCGCCTCGGGCTGCGGCGCCGCAGAGGTCGGCAGCGACCTCCTTTCCGTCGAGTTCGACTGGTCCAAGGTTCGCAGCGATCAGATGCTCGTGTTCGGCCTCAACGACCTGACACCGCTGCTCGACCGGATGGTCACCAAAATCAGACCGCTGCGAGCGCCCTGGACCTCCCGAGCTGCGCCCGCCAACGTGCTGTTTCTGTGCGCGAGATACGCATGCTCGCTCGGCGACGAGGAGCTGCTCGAGGAGCTGTTCCTGGGAGCCATCGACCGGATCGAGGGATCCATCTACGCCCACCCGACCGACATGACCTATCTCGCCTTCTGGCTCTACAATTCCTGCCTTCTCCACTACTATACCCAGAAGGACGCCACGCTGCGCGCGTCCGAGGCGGTGGGCGAGTACCGGTCGCTGCTGGCGGACCTGCTCAACGAAATCTACGTCTTCGTCATCCGCGATGCCGAGCGGCGGATCGACAAGGCGCTCGACCAGGCGATACTCGACCACGAGGCCATCGAGGGCTTCGACGAGGTCCGCTTCGAGGGCGAGTGGAAGTTCATGCGGACGCTGGCCGGCAGCGTCAAGGGCATCGGCCAGCAGACGTCGCTATCGGCGGCGGCCAGCTCAGCCGGCAGCAGTGGCGGCCACAGCGGTGGAGCCGCGCGACGGCCCATCAGTCAGATCTTTGGGCGCAGAGAGCAGAATGGATCGGATTCGAGCCAGCCGGGCTCATCTACGTCGCCGTCGCTGGGCGTCGGCAGCCCATCCGCCAAGGCCGGTTCGCTGGGTCGACCCGAAGGGCAGTACCGCTTCCCCACCGAGGCGTCGTCGCCATCACGTCGCCCCTTGGGCGACGTGCTGTCTCCGATGCGCGAGATGTCGTGCAACCTGACGGCCGCCGATCTGCTCACGAAGCCTTCGCCGCGGACCATCACCTCGCTGCTCACTTCGACGCTGCACGTGCTGCAGCTGTACGAGATCAACCCCGCCATCATCATCCAGGGGCTGTCGCAGATCTTCTTCTGGGTCGGCTGCGAGCTCTTCAACCGGGTCCTGTCGCGGAAGCGCTACCTGTGCCGGTCGCGCGCCATGCAGATCCGGCTCAATGTGAGCGCGCTCGAGGACTGGGCGAGGAGCAATGCGTTGCCGCTCAGCATCGTCCACGCACACCTCTCGCCGCTGTCGCAGCTCGTCTCCTGGCTGCAGTGCCAGAGCTCGCTCAACGAGTTCGACGGCCTCATCGCCACCATGCAGGGCCTCAAGGCGCTCAACCCGCTGCAGATGCGCAAGGCGGTCAAAGACTACCGCTACGAGGTCGGCGAGACGAGGATGAGCGAGGAGTGCGTCCAGTACCTCGACCAGCTCATCATCGACTGGAAGCGGCGGCAGGAGGACCAAGCTCGCCAGCAGGCCATTGAGGAGCGCGCCATCCAGCGGCGGCGGAAGCAGGCGACCCAGCAGCAGCAGAGCGGCCTCGATCCAAAGCCCATCTCGCATCATCACCGGTCGGGCACCGCGACGCAAGACGGATATACGCCAGACAGCCGGTCGCCGAGCCCGAGCAGCCTCGGCGACGGAGACGACAGCGGCTTCAGAGGCGCAGCCTACTCTGACGACCCCCAGGACCTCGCCATGGACGTCGATGGGGATGCTGCGCAAGCAAGCGGCGATCGGAGTCGCGGCAGCGTCTACGATGCGGGCGACGCCAGCGTCTCGACGATCGCGACGGCCGGCCCCTCGGAGCCTCTGACGGTGGCCGAGGCGACGGCCCAGTCGGCGCAGCAGGCCATCGACGGCCTCTTCGCGCCGGGCAAGAGCATGGCCGACTACGTGCCGCCCTGGACCGCCGCCGGCGCGCCTCTTGGCATCAATGGGCGGTCGCTGTCGACCTCGGTGCCCGAGACTGTGACCGAGATGCTCAACAGTCGCGACATGCTGCCATTTGCGTTGCCCTCGAGGCCCGACGCCATGGTCGTCACCCCGGGCGATGCGTTCGGCTTCGGACGCGGTCACTTTACGGGGACGGGCACGCCCAGCCTGCGCAGCGCGGCCGGGTCCGAGAGCGGCTCGGTGCGCTCGTCGCAGTCTTCTGCAGCATCGTCGCGGCGCGGCTCGAGGCCTACGTCACCGGATGCGGTGTCATCGATCGACGCCGACGTCACTGCGGATGCAGAGAGCGTGGTGAGCGGCGCGTCCAACTCGACTGCGATGAGCAACGCCAGTCGGAGCAGCCTCTTCCCGCAGGGCAAGGGCTTTGCGGCGGGTGGAAGCTGGAGCCCGGTGCCGCTGCTGGCCGATCCGTTGCTCGACGAGATCTACGAGATCATGCGGCGCGTGGCCATGCTGGGGGAGTGGTCGTCGAGTTCGGCCGATCCCGAAGTCTCGGTGACGATGGCCCCGGATCCCACGCCCTCCGCCTCTGCTGCCGCCCTATCCAGTCCGAGCAAGCCGGCGGGCGCGGTGTCGATCGAGCAGGAGACGGTGCAGCCATTCCGGATACCGCCGCGCAGGAGCTCGTCGATGCTGCGAGACGAGTACGAGGCCTCAGCTCCGGCTGCGGCTGCGGTCCAGTATCCGAGCTCGAGCGTCACGGGTCGCGGCTCGCCTCTGAAGAGGTCGGAGCCCTTCAGCCCTAGCCTGATGGAGGAGCAGGAAGACGACGTCGAAGGCGGGGCGGCGGCGGGATACGACGAAGGGTCGCTCAAGCGGCGCGAAAGCGGCCTGAGCTTCAAGCCCAACCGGCTCGTGATACCGGAGCGGGGACGCGTCGAGATCCAGTTTGGCGACGAGTTCGACGAGAGGGACGAGGACGGCGACGCCTCGTCGATGGCCGCCAAGACGCCCACGGCGGCACCTCGCAGCGCGGATCTGCTGCGCTGATGCGTCGTTCCCGTCTTGCGCCTTGGAACCTCATGTATACCGTAGGACCTGTCTGTGACATGTTGCGCAGGCGTCGAGGGGGATACCTGCCCACAGCAAGTACACTCGTTCTTGACCCATCGCGGTGTGTGTGAGTCTGAGTCTGTCTGCTGGCAGGCTGTCGGTGGCGGACGGTAGCTTGCCGTTCCCCCGTCCTAGCCGCGCCGGAGAAGCGGAGGCAAGCGATGGAAGGCGTGGCTGAGCGGCAAGGAGACTTGGCAGCAGGAATACCGCCTCGCGGCGGGAAGCGCCTGTTCGGAGGATCAAGGGCCGGTCGCGAAGTTTTGAGTTTTAGCAACTTTCAGGAACTTCGACGTCTTGACGTTTTCAAAGAAAGGGCTGCTGACCTCGCCGACAATTTTGGAATCCAGCGGTTTTTTAAATCAGCGGCGGTGAACCCGCGATCCGTTGTTGATCCCTGCGAGGCATCAGCGACCAACTGCCCAAAAGAAAAAGAAAAAGAGTCTAAAAATTGGCGATCCCCCGGATTTCTTCAGGTGTTCGAGTCTCGAGGACGCCTGGCAAATTTCTCAAAAGTTGCAAGATTCCAGCTGGGACACCTCGCTTTTAGGATCTGAAAGTCGACATTTTCTAAAACTTGGCAAAAGCATGAGGGCGGCAGGCTTGGCTGGGGTCTCGCCGGCTGACGACCGCGCTGGTCCGACCGGGGCTGCCTGCCGTGTGTGCTTGCTTCTCTGCTGGAAAAGAGCGGATCAAACAACACCAAAAACCCTGTCGACCTGCCTCATGCTCTCCTCGTTACCGCGGACCTTAGCTTGTGGTGCGCCGTCCCTAGGTTCTCCGGTCGCGGCTTTCCGGAGGTCGAGGCAGAGCTTGCTGCTGGAGCGGCTGGAGGCCATCCGGTCGGGGGCTGCTTGAGCTGGCCGTACGTCGTGCTGGTCTCGCCCATGCCCTGCGCATGGCCGCCTGGTTGTTGCTGCTTGGGCTCCTCCACCCCCGCCCCACGCGCGTTTCCCCACAAAGCCTCACGTCTCTGGTGGTAGACGCAGCCCCACCACCTCCATCTCTTGCCTTGTTCACGACTGGCGGGCGCTCGGATCTTGTGCAGCGGGGGCCGCTCGACTCACCGACCAACAAAGGGGGGAATGGAACAGCTCACCGAGCTCCAAGCGCACCTACACCGCCTACCCGTCCAGCTCGCCAGCTCTGCCCGCCTCGACGATGCGCTGCAGCACCGCCTCCACGCCGTCTCGCTCGCGCTGCGCGCCCTCTCGGACCTCGAATCCGATCGCCTCGGCCTGGAACGTGCTCACCAGAGGATCGCCACGCTCAGCCAGGCCGTCACGGGCGAATGGGCCAGCGAGATAGCCCGGCAGACTGCTCCGCCTGCCTCTGCAGCGCCAAAGAGCAGCGGCGATGGCAGCGGCAGCGGCGGCGGCGGATCATCATCGCTCACGCGGTCTTTCAGCTCTTCCGCAGCGCTTGCTGGCTCGAACAGCCCCTCGTATCCGCTAGCGACCCCCAGCAAACTCTTGGCATCGCCGTCCTCGTTGCTATCGGGATCGCCGACGGGCCAGCGCGACGCCGCTCTGCGCCAGGCTCTCGGGAAGGAGGCTGCCGGGTTCGCCGAAGCCTACGGCCGTGCTCTCGGCCGCTTTGACGCCAACTGGTCCAGCGCTTCCCGCCACGCCCTCAAAGGCCACCAGGCGGACGAGGGTTGGCTCGGGACGGCTCCGAGACCGCGACATCGCCAAGGGAAAGGGGCCAACGCTGCGGCCATCGGAGACGGACCGACCCCACTCTCCGGCTGGATCGGCCCAAACACGCCATTGGGCGACTCGGACGGTGCTGGCGCTACGGCTCTGCCAACCAAGGACGCCAGTCTGTTGCTCAAGGTGCTCCGATTCGGCATCGGCAATCTCCGGGCGCTAGCCTCGTCCATCATACGGGCATCGGTCAGCGACAGGTCAGGCGGAGAGGCGTCGCACTCGCAGAGGCTCTCGCCAGAGGATGTCGCGGCCGCCTTTGGCGTCGTCATCGCGGCAAGGGGAACCTCGGCCGCGCTCGAGCTCGCCGAGCACATCTTTGTGCGGGGCATCAAGCAGAGCGATCAGCTCGATGGCAGGGAAGCCGACCTCCTCTTCATGACCGTGCTCGACATCCTGCACGCGGCCGATCTGCGGGAGCAGGGCGATGATGTAGCCGCCTGTGAGCGGGACCTGCAACGGGACCCGCTTGCGCCTTCGCCTGCCCTCGAGATTGAACTTCTCGCCTTCCTCGAAGAGTGTCGCCGAAGGGAGACGACCGCCTCGCCGAGGCAGCTCGAAGGTTTTGGCAGAAGACCATCGCACCCGCTCTCTGCAGAGCTATCGGCCAGCATATGGCCGCGCTCCGCGACAGCGCCGCTGTCTGCGCTCGGCAGCAGCGCGGCTGATGCGTGGAACGCGAGCCTTCACTCGGGCATGACAACGATCAGCGGCCTACTGACGGCCGGGGGCAACATTGGCAGCAAGCTCATCGGCCGTGCAGGCACAGACGCCAGCCATGCCGTGGTTGCCGGGTCAGAAAAGCAGAGCGAAGCAACACAGCGCGGAAATGAGCAAGATCCTGCGGCCACACCTCAGGAGCGCCTTAGCGAAGATCGCAAGGACGATGGCATCAAGGTGCCCCCCACCCTGTCTGTGTCGCGCTTCGTCAAGCCGACCACGGGTGCTGCTGCGACGACTGCAGGAGTGCATGCCGAGCGACCGGAGCTTTCAGCGCCTGGTGGGCCGTCCGGCGACTCAGACGCCAAGCACATCGCGCTCGGGAGCAGCTCTGCCTTCAAGCTGCTCGGTGCGTCCGCCATGGGTGGTCCCGCAGCACAGGTATCTTCGGCTTCGATGGCAGCAGTCGGTACGGCAAAAAGCCCAGCCAAAGACGCCCATTCGGCGCTTGAAGCGATAGCCGCCGCGAGCGGCTCACCATCGCCGGAGGCTTCACCCTTCAGGCCGAGGCCGAGGCGGATCGCGAGTAGCGGCCAAACGGTCAATCTCGCCGCCAAAGAGGCTGAGCCCGCCGATCCCGTCACGGCTTTCGCGCCGCGGGTGCTGCAAATCCTCATCGGCGGCTCAGCGTCTGGAGATGAAAAGACGGCCGGCGTTGGTGCGAGGTCCTCGCTGCCTCTAGCCTGCCGACTGTCGAACCGCCTGTTGCGCAAGCATTTCCCAGCCTCGGAATTCCCCGAGGAGAGCCGTAAGATCCGTCTCGTCATCGTCGTGAGATGGTTCGCCTTCACGGTCCTACGCGACCTCATCACGCACCCCGAGAACCTGGGCAGGTCACTGCGCGGTGGCAAGCTCCTTTGGGCCGCCCACAGCACACGGCTGCCGGTCGACGATGCGCTTTCATATGAAGACCTGCGTGACGCGACCGCGGACAAGGGCATCCGAGGATTCGAGGATGTGTGGACGTCTGACGAAGTCTCGTGCCGAGCGCTCAACGGGCTGCATCGCGCCCTGTATAGCGGGATCGTCAAGTGCGCCCGCGTGTCCTCGGTGTCGCCGGTCCAGTTCGAGCAGCCCGAGCAGCCCGAAGGCCTCGCCGCTGGGTGTCGACGCTTGCTTGATCTTTTTGGCGCCGATTACGAGGTGCACAATAGATCAAGCGACGCAGGTTTTGACGCTGCGCAGCCGGCTCCTGCCACCGAGGCCAAGGCCTTCTCGCTGTCCCGCAACGAAGCTCTGGCCTTCACCCAGGCTTCGGTCCTTGGTTTTCTCGATGCCGCCTGCTGCAACACTAGAGTCGCGCCCGCAACGGGCGAATCAGGCGCGCCGCATCCGAGCCGTCGTCATGTTGAGAGGAAGGACGTCGAATCGCTGCTGGAAGCGATCAGGGAATCTACGCGGCCAGGCAAGTCGGCCGACTCGACGGATGCCTACGATTTGCCTCTCCTCTATGCCGCTTTCGACTCGCGGCGGATGAAGGCATGCGTCTCGACGTCCCTTTCCGAGGTCGATTGCTTCGTCGAGGAGGCACAGCAGGCTCTTGCACAGCGTCCACGGGGCGACTTCAGCCTCAGCTTAGACCGCACCACCTTCCGTCGGCCTACGCAAGCCAGTACGGATCCGGATCCCGACGCTACCACGAAGGCACAATCAAGCTTCCTCGCCGCCGACATTGCTGGTCCGAGCTCGGGTTTCTCCGTTGCCTCGTCATCAGCCCAGTCCGAGGAGCAGGCAGACGCCTGCTGCGACTGGGAGAGCCCGCCGTGCTCGCCATTCGCCGAGAAAACGCTCGATTCTCTCTTCCAACTCGACGCAAACGTGGTCGATAACACTCGTCGGGATGGCGCGGCGACGCCGAAGCCGCGGTGTGCTGATCCAGCGGTAGGGTCGATTGCGCAGACCTTCGCTAGCGTTGCCTCCACCTCACGGGCCTCGCCCGTCACGAATGCGCCGACTCATGTCCTGCTGCAGCAGGGGCACGATGCCGGTTCAAGCACTGGTCCCTCGGGTTTGAGCCATCTGCCGGTTGAAGAAGTCCGCCGCGGCATGCTGGCTCTCATTCGGAGAGGGTACAGCACGCGCAGCGCCCCTTCGCTGCCGGAGACCTTCGAGGTGGCGACACGACGAGCCGAGGAGCACGAGAACTTTGTCGATGCGGTGCTCTTCCGGCAGACGGCCGCGGTACTGCGGTACTGCTCCAGGGCCGCTCCGTCCTTGATCAGCGCGCCTGGGCGCTCGAGTGGCACCGACTTCGCCCCGCTCGCCGAGCGGATCCTTCTACCGTTCCGGGACGAGGTCAGGAAGTGCGAGTCTCATCAAGTCAAGACGCAGGCGCGCCTATCGCGGCTCGAAGGCGAATGGACCGAGTTGAGCACCAAGGCTCGCATCCTGCTCAGCAGCCTCCAGGAGCTCCGGACCCGCTGCTGGTACGCGTGCGAAATCCGCACCAGTCCCGAGGTGGCCAGCAGCATCATGGCCGCCACACTCGGTCTTCATGGACACCACGACCACGGCAGTGACGAGCGCGCGAGTGGAGAACCGAATTGGTTTGAGAGCCTGGGCATCCACGACCTTTCCCTGCCAGCGGACAAGGCGAGCTTCGTCCAGGGGCTCGATCCGGCATTCCAGAAGATCGTGCGCGACGCCGGCAGCTTCTTTTCGTCACCGCTCTGGAGCAGGGAGGCGCTGCTCGCCAAGCCGTTCCTCTCGTCGCGGAAGCGCAGGGGAAACGCGGCTGCCAGTGTCGATGCAGAGGACCTGGCGATCTTCACATTTGGCGTCGCGACCAAGGCGCTTCTACAGGCTGGCGAGCTCCCAGCCGAGCCTGTGGTAGGCCTCGAGACGTTTCTGCAGCGGGTCCAGCTCGCCGCTACGGGACTGCTGCTCTCCGAGGCCATGGCGATGGCCACGCAGACCGAGGCTGTGATGGCAACGACGAACGGAAGAGATTCTTCTGCTGCCGCTGGGAGGAATGACCCAGACAAGTGGGTCAGGGCATTCCTGGGCCGGGTAGAAGGCTCGCTGCAACATCGCGATCCAGAGCTCGCGTCGAAGCTGTCATCGAGCGGCGTCGATCGTCTGCTGCAGCGCTTTGACCATCATCCCAGCCCGCACCACAAGATGCGCGCCCTGTTCAACATCACGAGGCTGGTCGTGACGCAGCTTAGCCTCGTCTCGGTCCCAGAGGCACCCGCGGCGGCTGCACAGTCCGCAGCAGCAGCGGGAGGACCATCCACGGCTCCACTGCCGCCGCCGCTGCTGCGGGACGGACTCGGACACTTGCCACGGCGCTCGAACGCATCGCACCATCTGAGCGTCGTCGAGGGCGGAAAGCGGGCGTCCATCTGGCACAGCAGAAGGTCGACGACCGCCTCATCCGTACACGATCCGGCCGGCGCCGCTGCGGTACAGCTCGGGAGTAGCCCAACGGCGGGGGGAACCTGCAGCCCGGCGCGCATCTCGCTCGCCTCGCGGCCCTCGAGCATCGGCGGGCTTTCAAACGGGCCCAGACGAGCGCGGCGGGCACTGTCGATGTACGTCGACGACGACCTCGACGAGGAGGATGCCGAGTCGCGCGGTGCTGGCACCGCCGACGACGACGACGACGAGACGGGGCCGAGGGGAGGGATGCCTAACATCCATGACCTGCTTTCACTCATGGACTTTGATGGGACCCAACGAGATGTCCCCTCGACGGGCACCGACCACTTTGCCGCCCCGCCTCTACCAACCCGTCCAGCCGCAGCGTTACCCCTCCAGCAACCAGAACCGCCCTCGACGGATACGCTGCTCAACGTCCTCGAGAGCGTCCTGATCCACACTCTTTCGTTGCCTGCGTCAGCGTCGGCGTCGGCGTCACAAGGCCGGCTGAAGAACGTCTACCTGCACCTCCAGCTCATCTGCGCCTTTTCACCCACCGCCATCCTCGACTGGAAGGAAGAGGGCAAGGCGCTGTGGGACGCCGTGCTCGCCGCCTCGAGCGTCCGGTCAGAGGTGGCGAGCAGAAACCTCGACCTGGTCCGGTCCGGCCGCATCAAGGATGAGAGGCAAAGGCAGGAAGTGGTCGAGATCGGTAAGTGCCCTGTTGCTGTGACGGGGCGTGGGACGGCGCACGCTGACGTCGACCTCGTGTCCTATCTCACCTCAAACGCACGACTCGTGCCCTTGGCAGCACGGGGCGAGGGCATCGATACACCCGAGGCACAGCTTCCTGACCCGGTCTCCGGTTCTGACAGCCCGCTGCCACGTGTTTAGTCGCCCCATGCTGTGGCCCACCGTACCATACCCTGCGATCCGAGCGTCTGACGGGCACACACTCGACGCTGGCACAGGCATCTCACACACGAAGACGCGCTGCTGCGCTGTGCTATGCTGTGAAGGCTGACTTTTGCTTTATCATCTTCGTCGTCATCATCAAGGGGTTGGAAAATACAAGAAGGGCGATTCGTGACTCGGGCGTGGAATGGCGAGGGGGGTAAGGGTAGGGAGAGAAAAGAAGCAAGCGTCGAGGGTATCGTGACAAGAGAGATCCAGCAGGTGGGAAGATGATCGGTCCACAAGGGGGAGATCGACCCCTTTTTAGAAGATGGCCTTGAAGATCTTGATGTGGAGGGGGCGGGCGGCGGCCTCCTCGCGCTCGCGGCGGAGGACCTCGACGGGGACGGGGTCGCGCCTGCCGGTGGTGATGTCGATCTCGTCGATGGCGACAATCTTGGACCTGTGGACGATCTTCCAGAAGGCCCAGAAGAGGATGACGATGGGGACCGAGATGAAGGACATGAAGAAGGCGGTGACGCGGTCGCTGCTGGTCATCTCGCCCTCGCCGATGGGGAAGACGGCGGTGTAGAAGGTGAAGCAGATGACGAGGAAGTTGAAGAAGGCGCCGAAGTAGGAGCCGTAGATGCCAAAGGGCGACTTCCAGGGCAGCTCCTCGAGCGTGTGGCCGTTCCTCTGCCACGCGATGCGGAAGCGGACGTGGGCGATGCAGATGCACATCCAGGTGATGATGGTCGACAGACCCGAGATGGCGAGCAGCCAGTTGAAGACGGTGCTGCGCGCGTCGTCGGCGGCGTAGACGAGGAAGGCGAGCAGGCCAAAGATGAGCGAGAGCAGGACGGCGGGGACGGGGCGTCCGTTGCGGTCGACGAAGGAGAAGATCTTGGGGGCCTGTCCGATGTTGGCCATGGCGCCGAGGGTACGGCTCGCGGCGTAGACGGCCGAGTTGCCGACCGAGAGGACCGAGATGAGGATGACGGCGTTCATGATCGATGGCAGGACGTCAATCTTGGCGTAGTCGATGGCAATGACGAAGGGCGAGGCGCGAGCGTCGTACGAGCCGGAGCCAAGGCGGGGCTCGGTGTAGGGGACGATGGTGCTGACGATGAAGAGCGAGACGACGTAGAAGATGATGATACGGGCAAAGATCTGCTTGGCAGCCTTGGGGATCTCCTTGCGCGGGTTCGAGGTCTCGGCGGCGGCGAGGCCAATGAGCTCAGTGCCGGCGTACGAGAAGGCGGCCGTGACGAAGACCGAGGCGAAGCCCTTGAAGCCGTTGTTGAAGGCACCGGGGTTGCGCCACGTCTCGACGCCGTAGTAGCGTCCGTTCGGGCCACCGCCGCAGTTGATGATGATGCCGACCAGGATGAAGCCGATGACAGCGAGGACCTTGACGAGCGAGCCGAAGAACTCAAACTCTCCGTATCCGCGGACACCGAAGAAGTTGATGATGGCAATGATGACGAGGAAGAGCGCGACCCAGACGCCGCGCGGCACCACCTCGTTAGGGTCCCAGTAGGTGATGACGATCGAGGCGGCGACGAGCTCGAGGGGGAGGACGATGAGCCACTGGAGCCAGTAGTTGTAGGCCATAGCGAAACCGACGGCGGGGTCGATGAAGCGGGTCGAGTAGGCAGCGAAAGATCCGGCGACGGGGAAGATGGACGCGAGTTCACCAAGGGCCATGACGACCGCGAGGAGCATGAAACCGATCAGGATGAAGTCGATCATGAGGAAACCGGGGCCACCAGTGGCGAGGGCACCTCCGGAGCCGATGAAGAGACCTGTGGAGATGCAGGGGGCGCGACGGACAAGAGGCAGGTAAGAAACTGGGCGCGAGAATGACGCTTCAGCGCGAGGCAGTCGGCGCGCAGCGCCACTCACCGGTACCGATGGAGCCACCGAGGGCAATGAACTGGACGTGTCGTCCGTGGAGACCACGCTTGAGACCGCCGTTGTTCTCAGCGGCGACCGGGACGCCTTGAGTCTCGACGGCATGAGGGTCGTAGTCGGCCTTTTCGCCCTTGTCGTCGTAGTTGGGCGGGGCGGCGCTGGAGAGGGACGTTGAGTCTCCCTCCTCGGCCCTGAAGCCGTCCTTGAAGTTTTGCCAGGCACCCATGGTGGCTGTCTATGCACCGCTCAGCTGATGCTCGGAATGGGAAAGTGTGGGGGCGATGAGGGTGGCGGCGGTGGGAAAGAAGTGCTGCGCCGGAGGAAGAGGTTCAGAGCCTGCTGAAAGGTGCGAGGTCTGGTGGACAAAGGCCAAGGGGCGAGGGAGAAGACCGGGAACTGTGGACGAGGTTGGAGGGACGGACGAACGACGGGATGGGAGGAGCGAAGAGGCTGGTACTTATCGGCCCGTGGATGGTGCGGCCACGGTGCGATTTGTAGGCAGACGAGGGCGGCGCCATTGGATGGATAGCGAGCTCAACCGGGCGAGGGTGGGCGCAGTGCAGCGCAGCGCAGCACAAGGTTGGCAGCGGCGCGCGCGGCCCTGGCGAGAGCGCCCAGTGCAGTGCCTGGCCAGGCCTTGCCATTCGATTGCAGCCGCCGCCAATCTGGTGTGCGGGGAAAGGGCAACAGGCCAGGCGCAGTACCACACGGGACCACGGGCGGCATACGCACAGTTGCCGTTTCGCCACCGCCGATGGCAGGCCAGCAGGCCCGTGGCCAGTTGGGCGGTTGTCGCGCCATCCTGGCCTGCTCTGCTTCCTTCTTGGGAGCCCGCCGCGAAACCCCATCGCATGGCCTTGGGGTTGGCGCCGGAAAGGGCCGTCGACCAGGTGACCCATGCGAGCAGGGGGGCGCATGGCAAATCAGGCAGGTTGGCTGGCTAACTGGCTGGCTGGCTGGGCTCAGGACGCGACAAGCTGGCCCGCTGGCGAAATGCCTTGAGCGGGCAGGTCGAGACGAGCGCCGAGGTTGGGCACACGACCACACGTACAGTAGTACGCCTAGGCTAGGGAAGGCCTTTCCCGCAGTCCAGACCCAGCTGCATAGGGTCTGCGGCTTCAATCAATCTATTCATGCGGTCGCCGAGGGCACGCCGCCCGGAGGCGGGGAAGATTGGCCCAGCCCCGACGGCCATCTCGTGGGGGCAGCCAATCAAGAGGCTTCGGTGACCGCAAACACGCCTCATTGGGCTGATTAGCCATAAGGCCAAGTGCTTTGAAACGGCCAAGACCCCACGCGCCGACGACTCAAACCACCCGGCAGCTTTCAATTTCTCAATTCGAGAAACATGTATGGATTTCAAAATGCCTGGCTGGCCACTCTGGCCTTACGCCACGGCCGACGCCGCATACAGGTTAACGCGTGGCGACCCAGGGAGGGCACAGCTCGTGGCTGCTCGCTTGACGCATCCCGCCTGCCCTTTTGCGGGGTAGCCTTGCAGGCGACCATCGTCCAATCACCTCGCAACCGCACGGCGACCCGGCCCGTATCGCCGCTGGCAGTCATCCTCGGCGCATGCTGGTACATACGGCACATGCCGTGTCTTGGCCGCCAGCTGCTCCCTTGGCCCAGTCAGGAACACAGTTGTACCGGCTGAGTGGTCACGGCGGGGATCGGGACAGGTTTCCACGTGTATGAACCGTTGTAGGTGGCCGGCATCGTCGCTCGCCGTTGCGTTTCTTGATCCCGTCGTGTTGCTGCTGTAGGTCGAGTCGGAAGCGGTATCGCTAGCCTCGTCAGGCCCTTCGACGAAGCACGATAGGCGGTGGTGTACCGGTACTCAAGCCAGGTACCTAGTCGGTGGGGCGACGGACAAGCAAGCACCGCTTTTCATGGCACATAAGCGATGGCCAGGACAAAGGCTTGGCGTCTGAGGTTGTCGCCAGGAAAGGGGAGGGGCTCGGGGCGAAGACTTTGACCCAACCCCCCGAATCACGCTTTCCGCTGCTGCGCCAAGACCTTCTACGCCGTACGTGAGCCTTGCCTGCCAACTAACCGTCCCCGACCGAACGGCCTACCCTGCCGCACCTGCCCCTGCTCACATCATCCCGCGTGTGTCTCGAGCGTGGATGTCCAGATATAGAGTAGCGCGCGTTGCTTGCTTGAAGGCTGAGTAACGTAGCCGACTGTAGGAAGGCGTGCCGTCGGCGAGGGGTACCTCGTAGAAGCGAGCAAGATCTGGTCTGAAAGCGGGCCACCACCACGTCTCTTTCAGCGCCGGGACGGGGCTTGCTCAAGCATGGCGACGGTACACCTTCGGCCCGCTCCCGAGTCCGAGAGAGAGGAATCACGTCTTATGCTTGCCGGATGACACCCGCTAGGTAGAAGACAGTAGTTACCCGTGCCATTGCAATCAGGAAGAAACTGCGATGGAGGCCTTGTCCCATCGACTTGGCCCGCACGCAGGGTGACCCCGATTCGTATCGCGACGTCCGCTCTAAGTGAACACGGCCATCGCGATCTTCTCGACGACGCTCTCCATGATCGCAGAGTCTGAGCTCGACCGTCACCTGACACAGCCTTCGTCAAGGGCTGGGAAGATCAAGCCCCTTGCCGGTGGTTGGCCGACCGGAAGCGCTCCGTAACCGGGAAGGATGTTCGTGGCGGAGGACACGGACCGGACAAATTGCCAGTCCAATCAAGTGCCGTTCTTCGATTTGAATCTGGAGCTCAGGCCTAGAAGAGCGGCGGTTCGGCCTCTTCGCCGTGGCGGGAGCTGAAAACCCCCTCACGGCCACGGGGCGGTTCGGATGTTTTCGTTCGTTTCATTGGACGTTCACAACGGGCTTTTTCCGTCGCTCGCAGCCCCGCCGACTCTGTCCTCCGCGATCTTGTGCCCCCGGGCATTCCGAGCCTCGTCCAGGCTGGCGACTTCGCGCGTCCATCAAGACGATCCTAATCCACGCTCTCGACGGAAAGCGGAGTCCCTCCATTGGCATCATCTCTTGTAGAAGCACAGACCGTGATGGTGGTCAGTCCGTCGTCCCTGCGGACACGATATGTACCGTTGCGAGGGGCGGGCAGGATGGACCGGGGGGTTGGACTTGCTCGTCGACTCGGCGCTGGCCGAAGTTGGAGGACGGCCCACGGCACAACCAGGTTGGGCGGAGCTCGAAAGCGTCGCGGAAAGTTTCAAATTGACGCGTTCCTGCAGGATTTTCTTCCAGCGCCCGTTTTCGTCGGTTGCCCACCGTAGCTCTGGCTGCCCGCACAAAGACGGCGAAATTGCCGCTGGCCTGGACCGGAGGGAGGTGTTCCGACGCTCGCCCGCAGGCCGCGGACCGTTCGATTGTCGACCAATCGCACCGCACCGCGTGCGGCGGCGGCAGCCCAGCTGGTGGTCGATCACCGTCCCGCGGATATACCCGTCGTGCCGCCGCCGAGACAGCCTCGGCACCGATCGTGTGGTTGTTCGGGCCGACCGTCAAATGCGATCGGGTTCGGCCCGTCCAAGCCTGGTCGGCCGTCGGGCACGGTGCCGAACCAACCACCACCGCCCGCCCTCGGCCGCGATATCGTCCGGCCTGCTCGCCGACCATGTCCTCCCCACGCCGCCGTCGCCGGTTCTCGACCTTGTGTCTTCCCCGCAGTTTCAAGGCGTTCTCAATGACCCACATGTCATCGTCCTGGTTCGCTGCTTGCTTGCCTGCTTGCTTGCTTCTCTTTTGTTGCCAAACTCAAACCCTGCCTGCCTTCTAGCACATGCGTCGAACACACGAGTGCGGGGTACATCTGGGTCATCGTCGAGGACTGATATGTACATGTAGGTCCCTGGCGATAAGCCGCCGCCTGATAAGGGCCTGCCGAACGAGATAAGCGGCTTGCCTCCCTCCGTCCCCGGCCGCATCCTTATCTGCCCTTTCGTATCGAAGTGGGCCGATCGACGTCTCGATACGGCGGCAAGTCCACTATCGCGCATCAACGTCCATCTCGTATCTCTGGGCGAATCGAGTGGCCTCCCCACGCCATCGACCGCGGCGCGGCGACACGTTGCTCCAAATGACTGGAACCGCACGGTATCGCGAGTGTGAGGATAGGCGATGCCGCAGTCATGCTGACATCCTCGACCCCACCACAGAGCGACGCGATTGCGAGTGATAGGAACAGCCGGCTGCGTCTCTTACGGGAAAGGATGGGATCCTGCTACGAGTATTGTACAATCTGTCTTCTGTGAAATCCTGCTACGTCCGCTTCTCCAGCCTCGTCGATCTGGTCAACAATAGACCGCGGCGAGGCGCTTTCGTTGTCCTCTCCTCATGCTCGGTCGATTGGAGCCAAGGCCGCACGTTTCTCTGCCATCGGAGCCGTCCGAGGAGCTGGCATCAGAGCCAAGGTCGATGTCGCGCTCGAGGCGTGCCGCACTGTCGGGCCAAGCGCGAAGCATGCTTGCTGTAGCCGGCCGGCTCAAAATCGCTGTCGGATCCCGAATCGTCGTCGTCGACCTGGTACTTGTCGAGCGCAGCCTTAGCCTTGGTCTTGGCGGAGGCCGTGTTGGCGGCGGCACGACTTCCCTTGGACTTGATAGCAGCTGAAGGAAGTTCAGGGACATCCGGTTCGCCCTTGGACGCCGGCTCAAGGGACAGCGCGAGTAGCTCCTCATCGCGGTCACTTTCCGCCTTCTTGGCGGGGGGCAGTAGCGGCTGCCGTCGAATGCCTGCTGGTGCGCTCAAGCGCGGAGCTTCCCATGTTCATCACTTCTTGCCGATCGAAAAGGTGAAGCCGCCGGGCGACGGGGCAGCCGAGCCCGACTGGTTGCCGTTCGAGGACGCACCAAAGGTGAAGACACCCGGTCCGTTCGCGGCGGGCGCCGTAGCGCTGGACGATCCGAAGGTGAAGGTCGAGCTAGCTGCAGGCTTGCTGCCGCCACTGGTTGCGGGCGCACCGAACGTGAAAGCCGGAGTGGAGGTGGCCGCCGAGCCAGCAGGCTTGGGTGCGGCATCGCTTGCTCCGGCACCGAAGGCGGGGCTCGACGAGCTGGGCGTGTTGGCAGTACCCTCAGTCTTGGGCTCGCCAAAGGAGAAGCTGGGAGCCGTTGCAGGGGCGGGCGTGGTCGTAGCGGTTGCGGTGGTCGCGCCACCAATCGGGGGTGTCGGCGGGGCGGCTGAGACGGCGGGGGCGGCGCCAAAGCTGAACGAGGGCTTCGAATCCACGCCTGCCGGCGTCGACTCTGCCGGCTTTGCTGTGTCGGCACCCGAGGCCGTGGTTGCGGTAGTTGCCGGGAAGATGGAGCTCGCAGAGGCCGAGATGGGCGTTGCGGTGGCAGAGCCGCTGCTTGCACCGGTCGAATTTTGAGCGATGGGCGAGGGGGCCGCGATGGCGGGCGCCCTCAGCCTGGCAGCTGCCTCCTTGGCCTCCTTCTCTTCGCGGAGCCTCCTCATCAAAGCTTCTTCTCGCCTCCGCTTGCTCTCCGCATCCAAGGCGGTGCGGCTAGAAGGTGAGTTGCTGAGGCTGGGTCCGGCGCTCTTGGAGACCGACAGAGAGATCCTCTTGTTCGCCATGATCATGGAGGTCGGCGTGCCTTGACGCGAAGGCGTCGAGCCTTGGCGAGGAGGCGTGCCGGCAGATCGCTTGAGATCGACGCCCGACCGAGCAGCCCCGGGCGGGACGACGTCGCTAAAGAGAAGGTCCGGGTTGCGCAGCTTCTTGGGCGTGAAGACTTCTCGGCTCACAGCCGCGCGTTCGGCGGCCCTGGCGGCGGCCTCCTCGGCCGCCTTGCGCTTGGCTTCGGCCTCGAGCTGCCGCTCGGCCTCCTGGAATCCAAGGCGCTTCTGGGCCTTTGCCTCGTCGAACTCCTGCTCCGAGAGGAACCGCTCCACGTACACCTGGATCTTTTGCTGGGCGTCGGGGTGCTGCGAGTCCTTGGGCATGTTGTACTTCGGGCGCATCTCGACGACGACGGTCGCGCGCCTCCTGACGCCGTCCTCGCCAATCCTCCATTGGAGACCATTGAGGTCGGTCCACTCGTCGCCGGGTTCGTGGTCATCCGACATGTCCACCTCGCGCTTGCCCTGGCCCTTGCTCTTGCTCTTGCTCATGCCCTTGCCCTTGGTCTTGCTCTTGTTCTTGCTCTTGACCTGGCCCGTCCGAGGTCGGCTACCCGCGTCGACCAGCGACTCGCGGTCAGTCTCGATCCGATGGGCGCCAAAGTCGGACAGCGATGCCATTTCCTCGTCCTCGAGCTGGTACTCGAGATCAGAGAGTTTCGGCCTGTTCGACGCCGGCGAGTTGCGCGCCTTGCCGCGCTTCTTGCTGTATACCGCTCGAGTCGACACTCCGGCCGCGCTCTCCTCGCTGTCTACCTCGCCGACGTCCCTCTTCTTGCCGCGGAGTCCTGCCGCCACGCGCGGCGGGGAAGATTCGTCCATGTCAAGGTCGCTATCACTGCCGTCATCGAGCTGCTGCGGCTGCGCCTGGCCCTTCCGCTTGCCGGCGGCGGCGAGGTTGTCATTGTGCCCATCGCGCTGCTTCTTGGATACGGGAGCAGCGCCGGTACGGCGTCCGCGTTTGTCCTCAGCAATCTGCTTGCTCTTCTTCTTCGACTGCCGAGCATTGGGGCTGCCCGAACGGGGGTCCGTGTCACTGCGCTTGTGCTTGAGGTTGTGGGGCGACAAAGCCGTGCTGGCCTTCTTTGTCGGCGAAGACGAGGACTTCTCCTTTGCTGGGGCGTCGTCTTCGACAAAGGCCCCGGGCCATCTTGGCTCGTCTCTAGCAATGCGGGGGCTGCGTGGCTTGTTGCTTTTGCGGTGCTGAAGGTAACCCGGCACGGCGAGAGGGGATTCAGACGGGTGCTTCTTGAGAGGGGAGGATCGACCCGCGCGACGAGGCGATGCTGTGGGTTTCCTGGTACCGCCGGGCGAGCCCGGCTTGAGCGGGCTGGCTCGAGGCTGGGCGGCCGGAGCGGCCGGTTGTTCCTGGATCTTCTTGAGTGCGTCGGCACGAGCGATACCAAAGGGCCTGGTGTCGCTGTCGGGGATCCCTGCGCTCCGTCGCTGCCACAGAGCAAACTGTCGCGCCCGCTGTGCGTGCACGCGCTTGATGTAGGCGTCGTAGGAGAGGTAGAGCGCCGCCGAGAGGACGAGCAGGACGGCAACGAAGGCGACCATGGTGCTCGACACGCCGGGGCCGGGAGGTCGGTCTAGAAACGTCTCGCTGGGTCAAAATGGTGAGATGTAGAGGTGGCGGTGTGAGGCGATCGACGGATGGATGTGGTGGTGAGGAGGAAAGCTAAGGGGGAGTCTGCAGGAAGAAGAGGGCAGGGTGGGCAGGGCGGACAGAGCAGGGCAAGGCGGGCAGGGAGTAGGGCGGGCGGGTCGAGCGAGGGGTCCACAGGCTCATCCTCAGAGAGAAGGTTCGCGCTGCTCTGCCTCGCCGTCTGTGCGACGGCGCCGTTGCCGCCTCCCGAGAAAAGGAAAAATCCAAACGCGACGCCGTGGCAGCAGCCGGACCTCCACTCGGGCACGGGCTGCGAGCGCGCCGCCAGATCCGTGCTCTTCTCGGCCGAGAGCCACGGTTGGCCTGGGCTCATCGTCCCTCCATAAAGCCTTCCCCCTCACCCATCGACAGCCCTGCATTGCACAGGCAGATGGATAGCTAGGCAGCAGTTGACAGGAAATGCCACGATGGGACGTAGAGCATCGATTGACAGCATACAACGGGCAGTCAGGGCGCGAACAGGTCAAGGGTCTTCCCCCGCTCGATCCGCGCCACATCCTCGACCGGCGGCCTCCCTCGGTCGAAGCTCGCTAGCCCGGCAGGCGTCCCAGCGATTGGTCTTGTAGGTAGTCGCCCTATGCACGTCAGACCGTCGAATCGAACAAGTCGAGGCTGTCAGCTGGGCAAGCCCTAATCGGTTCGCAGCGTACGCAGCGCGCAAGGGACGCAAGACTCACAATGGCGACGAGATCGTTGCCCTTGGCCTTGCGGAGGTAGTAGGCCAGCGTGTCGCTGTCGGCATCCGGCAACACGTCGGCGAGTTTGCTGAGCGCCTCCTGGAAGCCCGGATCGTTGGCTGCGCTAGGATCAGGGCTGCTGGGCGCCATGCCCCGCATCTTCTCCCGCACCGTGCCGTATGAGAATGAGCTTCGGACGGCGGACATGGCGCTGTCCCTGCTGCCGAGTAGCGAGGCCGATGAGCCAGAGCGCCCGTTCTTGGGACGCTGGGTCGGCTCGTTCCATCCGCGCTGCTCGAACTCGGGCGAGGAAACCATCGGCGAGGAACCGCCTATGCTGCTGCCATCGTGCGAGGGGCGAGCAGACGGGTTGGCAGAGGCACGGCCGGCATCGTTCGAGTTGCTCCTTCCGATACTGCTGAAGAATCCCTGACCGGAGACGGAACCAGGAGCGCGAGGTCCCATTGGCGAGGGTCGGGAGCCGGTCGGCGATGCAAGGGTACCGGCAGAAAGCTGTTGTTCGCTGACGGTCGCGAGCCTGCTTGCGCTGGCGCTCTCGCCGAGCCCTGACGCTCGTCCATACGAACCCAGGTCGGGACTGCTCAGTTCGGCTGTGTCCATGCTCCTGCGCTCTCCAGTTGCCTGTATCGGGGCCGAGATCGTCTTGCCTTTGGTCTTGTGGCCCCGCGGACCCCCCACCGCCCCAGCGATCGAGGCTAGACCGCCCTGGGCCAGGCTCGATACCGAGCCGCCGGGAGCGCGTCGGCTGCCCTTGCGGCCCAGGCTGCTAAAGAAGCTGCCGCCGGCGACCGAGCGAGAGTTGCCGCCGCTGCTCGTCGACGATGTCATCCCACCAGCCTTGCCCGTGCCCTGGGTCGCGGCGACTTCGTGATGAAGCGAAATGGGCTGACTGATCGAGGAGGTGGAAAAGTTGCCGCTAGACGTCGAGTTTGATCGTTGATCCACCAAAGAGGGGTAAGGGAGATTGGCCGGCACCCGGCTCGGCGGAGACTCTGGCATCGTCGGCAGCAAAGAAACGATCTCCTTGGCCTTGCCGCCATCGCCTCGCATCGGGAATGTCAGGTCCGAGCGCACCGAAGCCGCATAGGACCCTTCGTTGCGCGGGTGGCCGCGTCGGGCGTCGTGCTCATCTGCAACGGCGGAGGTGTCTTGCGACTGTCGGCCCAGCTCTGCCAGAGGGATGGTGAGGGATATGCAAAGAGTCTGATCAATCTTCCGGCCATTTCGACGCCCACACCCCGATCGACGTGAATCGACTCACGCTGCCGCATTGCCGGACGTTGGACCGCATCCATCCATCGCTCGAGCCCAGTCTGCAGCGTCAGAAGGTCATTGGTGAATTGGGCGTACAGCTTGGCGCGCTCCCAGGCTGCGGCCTTCCTCCTGCCTGTGACCGTGGTGCTGGCAAACGACTTGGGAAACGGTACCGTCTTACCGTATATCTCGATCCTGGTGATGGGCCACGGGTCTGGGGCCCGAGCCTCTTCTCGAACGGCGCTCTGCAAGCTGCGAGAAGCAGCCGCATCCGGAAGTTGCTTCTCTCCGTACGGTGAGGCCAGTTCCAAGTCAGAGTCGCCGACCGTTGCCCGGCCTGTCGCAGTGCCGAACCCGGCGCCGCTGACGGTGCGCAGACGGCCATCGTCGAAGCGCGAAGATACAGGCGGTCTTGGCGTCTGCAGATCCTGGTCGGTCCGCGCTGCGTCCAAGGCGGCGGCACGGTCGAGCTCGCCTTGGCCAGCAGCGCCGTAGATCGTGTTGGATGAGTCGTCGGCACTCCCGAAGCTCAGGTCCTGCATGGCCGAGGAGACGGCAGCGGTGAGCTCTTCCATGCCGCCCGAGCCCTGCGAAGCGGCGGATGCGAAATCGTCGCCGCCCAGAAGGGGTTCGCCGCTGACGGCGTCTTCGTAAGACGTCCGGCTTCCCGCGTTGGCTGCGTCTTGGAATTGGCCGTCCAGATCCGGCTCAGAGCCGTGCGAGTAGTCCGATGGCGCCGAAAAGTCGGATCTCGTCGAAGTCCGCGACAGTGGCACTGCTTCCTTGGCCGACAGCCTCCTTGGGTCCCGCGACGGGCGGTCGACCGAGTCCGTGCTTTTCCGGGGTAGCGCTTCCTCTTGCCGCGTTCCCGTCCGCTTTGAAGACGGCCTTGCTTCGGTCGGTGCCGACTCTCTCAGCGGCGACGAGGTCGAGGGTCCTGCTGCGGCCTCGCTCTGCTGCCGACGTAGCCTAGCCCTCTCTCGTGCTTCTTTGAGCGTCCTGGGCCTTGATCCGTCGCCAGAGTCTCCGGCGAGGAGCTCGCGCTCAAGTCTGGCCTGCTCTTCGGCATTCATGTCCGAGTCTCTGCTGTCTGGTCGCGTGGCCGCGTCGCGGCGAGCCGGAGTGGGAGATCCATCCCGTTTCACGATGCGCGGCGACTTCGACGGGTCCTCGGTGACAACCTGCAGAGCTTCACCCCGGATCGGCGGCTTCGCGCTGGAGTCCTGGGAAGGGTGGAGTTGGAGCTCCTCACCGGCGCGTAAAGAGCCACGAGCTGAAGCGCTGTCGTGCGAGTTTGCGCCACCGGTACCGCGCTTCTCCGGCGAGCTCTGAAGGCTGGAGGTGATACCAAGGCCGTCGCGAAGCTCGGTGTTCTCGGTGCTGGCCCTACCATGTCGGCGGTGGTCGGAAGAGCGTCGTATCTCGGAGCTGCTCCGTCTCAGGGGGATCTGCGAGCTGTGCAGGGCCAGCGACGGTCGCCGGGATGCCGCCCTCGAAGCGGCACGGTCTGCATCGTCGAGCAAGGGCGACGCCCAGCTATTGGTAGGTAGCCCTGCCTGCGGACTTGTGGTTGTGTTGGTGCCCGCTGTGGCGGTGCCGAGGCTGGGCGTGACGAGCTCCTCATCCCGGTTGAAGCTGCTCGTCCGCTGCGGAACTGGTGGTGAGGCGAGGCCGCTGTCCCTGCTGGCATCGAGCGAGCTGCCCATGCTCGTGTCGCGGCGAGAGCCGCCAAGGTGCAAGAAGCTGCTTTCGCTGGGGCGGCGCGAATCGCCTGCCGTCGATGCGTCTGGCTCTGTGAGGGATAGCGTTGGGCGAGCATAGTCCGAGTCGCCCGACCGTGTTGGCCCGAGGTCGGCGCGCGGCCGCCGACTGTCCTCGCCGACGGCATCGTCGTCGTCGTAGTGCGACCCTTCGCTATCGCTGTCGCCCTCATCGTACCGCACGTCCCGGTCATGAGACAGGGCGCCGCCGGAGTACGCCCGCCAAGCAGATGCATCGCCCCCTTGGGCAGCGTTGTAGGCAGGCCGGACGTTTTTCAGCATCTCTGCATCGAACCCCGCGACCGAGGCTCGCTTGCTGCCGACGACCGGCTCCGCATCTCGCGTCGGAGCTGCCGCCGTCCAATCCGATGGCGACGGAGGTGCGAATGCCGCTCGGGGCGCACTGGCGCCGACATCAAAGCCGGTGGAGCGGGTGGCCTGTTCCGCTGGTCTGGCAGGCAGTGGCGGGGGTTTGCCCGGATTCGCCGACGTGGAAGACGCGCCGAGGCCCTGCTCTCTCGTCGAGTTGACTGCAGACACAACGCCTGGACTGACGCCATACGACGTGCTGGCCCCTGCCGAGTTTGCAGTCGAGCTGGGGGAGCGCGAGTAGAGATCGAGCAGGCTGCCGTTGGAGAGCACAGAGCTGCCCGCGGCCGAGGCGAACGAAGTGCCGAGGCGTGAGCTGGTCGGATCTGCTGGAGGTAGTGCGAGGTAGGGTGCCACAGATAGAGTTCGGCAGCGTCGAGGGGCGAGGTGGCGAGGCGGCAAAAAGTGGGGAGTCAGCGGTTGCTTGGGCGTGTCGTCGCCAGCCAGGACCGCCGCGGCACCTCTCACCGTTACCGCTGTCTCTGTAAGTGGCTTCATCGCCGAGACGCTTGATTGGCCGCGACATGCTGGCCTATCAGTGAGTCTCTGACGAGCTCGAGCCGTTCGTGTTTAGAGAGCCAAAGCTGGGGATGACAAGCTGGAGGTGCGATGCAAACGGTTGGTTGCGGACGGAGCTGTTGCCGTTGGGGATCGATCAATGGGTCGGCGGCTCTGTGCCCTCGGGCTCTCCGCGCTGCGCCCCTGTTGCTGCTTGGACTGGCGAATCCAGAGGTGGGTGTAGTAGGGTGAGCCGACCTTTGTCTTGCCACTGGTCCGAGACAGTCGATGTGTGGGCGTCTTTGGGTTGGTCTTGGCTGTGATGAGCTGGAGATGGTCAGGTCTGAGGGGCTGGCCGGCGCCGCCGAGACCCGGATAACTAGCGGGGGAGACGTGCGCTGGGGCCGAAGACTTGGCCTGAGCGCCCGGCTGCGTGCCGACGCGCTGCAGGGCCTAGCCTGCCTGGCAGGCCGACATATCGATGGGCCGCCCGCCGCCCCACCCACTTTGGCCGCCGGTTGTAGCTCCCTCACCACCGCCACCACCGCCAGCTAACACGCTTCGCCCGCAAATCAGCGCCGTCACCGCCCTCAGCAGGGTGTCGTGCACGCAGCGCCATCATCAGCGCCATCATCAGAAGGCCTCGCTTCCCAACCTCCCGTCGTAGATCGCCCGTGTACGTAAGACGGCTGAAGGTCTCCTTAGGCATCCCTGGCACTAGCGTCGTCGCACCGCGCAAGTACGACTCGCCGAGAGGCATTGGCAAGACTTGCGCACGTCGCTCGCCCTTCAGCCGTCGAATCACCACGCTTCCACCATGCCACCTGGTCAGAGCAAAGCGGCCGACTTCTTCGACATTGAGTCGCTCGGCCTGGGACTCTCGCACGCCGGTCGCAAGTCGGCAGAGTACCTTTCTCGAACCGCTTCGAGCTCTGGCAATCCCCACGATGGCGGCCCTACTTCCGCATCCGATATCGCCGCCTCGCTCCTCGAGACCTTCCGGGCCATTCTGGATGAGGTCGATAGCTATGTCGGTCTATACGAGGGCAGGCTGAAGCTCGAGGAAGACTACATGCGGAACCTCAAGCAGCTCGTGGACAGGCAGAGGGAGCTCGATGTCCGCGTGGATGCCAAGATGGTCAGCGCCACCGGCCTGCTGCCGGACACCATGCCCGGCCTGCGGCAAAGCTGGAGGGAGCTGCGAGACAACGACCTGCGCGAGCTCGATGCTCGGGCCCACGCCATCGAGACCATCAAGCAGGCCGTCCTGACGCCGCTGCTGGCCTTTCGCGACTCGCAGGAGCGCATCCGCAAACGGGTCAAGGAGGACTTGCGCACCAGCCTCGCGCACTACGACGATATGCGCAACATCCACCTGCCGAGGGTCCGGAGGGCGTACGAAAAGAAGGCCGAAGAGGTTGAGCAGCTCCAGACGCAGCAAAAGGCCGTCGAGGAGCAGAGGGCGCTGCTCGCGACCAGAACAAAGGACCGCGAAGCCGGCGGCAGCTCTCCAGGTGCGCGCGTGTCGTCGCCCGAGCCCGAGGCAGAGGGAAGCACCGCACACCGGCGTTCCCGAAGCATGCGTAGACGGCATTCTCGCGCTGCATCCTCGAGCTCGACTCAGTCCCAGGGGCCCGCCCACAAAGATGCGCCGAGTGCCGATGAGCTCTCCTCGCCTGTCTCATCGCCCAGGCCCAGGCCCACGGCCGCGCCGCTCTCTACCTCGCTGCCACCGCCCGGGAATACGAGCGAGTCCCTGCCCAGCCCCAACCTCGAGCGCAACCGGCCGAACTTCTTCGAAGCTCTCAAGAGCCGCGAAGGCTGGGAGGCCGCGCGCAAAGAGGCACCAAAGAAGATTGGAGCTCTACTGAGTAGGATGCGCGAAGGCCGCGAGCCAGGTGCAGCGGCATCCGGCGCAAGTCAGAACGTCGGCCAGGGCGACGGAGGTGGACCGGGAGGCGGGCCTGGCAGCAACGCCATTGCAGGCCTGGGCGCCACTGTCGGCGATACGCTTCGCAACGGCCTGGGCGGCGGCACTGGGTCCATGCGAGCCAACCAAAGCATCGCCCTGAAGCTCGTCAAGGCGAAGCGAGAGGTCGACGAGCTCGACAAGGGCTATCGAAAGGCTATCTTCGACATCGAGACGTCAAGGCTGCGCAGGTCCAAGACGATCAAGGCCGCCGTCACCTCGGTCATCGAGTGCCGCAACGAGCTAGCGCACACGGCGCAAGCAGTCTGGATGCAGTCGGAGCGGAGCATGGTGGCCCTCTACTCGCAGGGCGTCGGCCTGCACGAGCACGGCGTTGAATCCGTGCAGCTCTGCCTCAAAGACCTCGACCGGGAGCTGGCAGAGCTGGAGCGGAATCTGCCGAATGCGCAGGACCTCAACGATCAGAGGGTGACCTACGTCAACTAGTGAGTTGCAGTGCCCGCCTGTCGACTGCGTTTGTGCCCAAGACCACCCGCTAACGCCGCTTCTCTCCCCACCCGCCTTTCCTGCTGCGAACAGCTGGCATGGGGAGCTCAAGAATCTTCTCTTTGGCACGCCCCTGACCGACTACCCTCTCACCGTGCCCTATCGCCTCAGCGACACCGTCGCACCGCCGCTGATCGTCACCAAGTGCATCGCGTTCATCGAGACCCACGCGCTCGAACAGGAAGGCATCTACCGGACGTCGGCGAAGCAGTCGAGCGTGAAGGCGCTCAAGCTCGCCATCGAAAAGGATGAGCTCGGTTTCCAGTTTGATCCAGAGCGAGACGAGGCATCGGCCGTCGCCGGCACGTTCAAGGACTACCTGCGCCAGCTACCGGAGCCCGTCATGGCTATACCCTGGCCGGACCGCATCAAGTACACACACGATAGGGACGAGCACATCCGAACAGGGTTCGCGATGCTGAAGGGGCGGCTGCGAAGGCTGTGAGTGTGCAGCGTTGGAGTTTGCGCCAGACCTTGCTCGATGCTGGCCGCAAAGTCTCGTTCCGTCCGCTGAAAACAGAACTCGTCTCCCTTGCGCCGCCCCCGCAGTCCGCCGATCCACCAAGTCACGCTCAAGGTGATCGTCTTCCACCTGGCCAAAGTCGCCGAGCACTCCGCATCCAACAAGATGACGTCTGCCAACCTCTCGGTCGTCTTTTCCCCGTGCCTCCTGTCCGAGGCGGACCACGAGACGACTAGTGTGGCTGCAGCCATGGTGAGCGAGCTGCCGGGGCTGTTGTTGTCTTTTGCAACGAGGTCCTGATCACTGATGCCGTCAGCTCTGCTTCTCTTTTCCCTCGCCTCGTCTCAGGAGGAGGACAAGCTGCTCGAGGACATGATTCTGTACTGCAAGGAGATTTTCGATCTCAAGACCGCCGGCGCTCCGATCCTACCGCCAGTCCCTTCCTCGGGCGGCAACGAGCTGTCGCGAGCGAGCCTGGGTGCGGCGGATGCGGCCTTTGCTGCAAGCTCCTCGACGTCGCTCGCTGCGCCGGCCGCCACGGCTGTCGCGGGGCCACAGGATCCACCCGCGCTGCCTGGGGCTGCAGACCTCAAGCGCAGCAATGCCATCGTGCCGCCCGGTATCGGTGCAAGCGTCGTCGAGCAGGACGAGACCATGCTCCAGCCCAAGCAGGCCGCACCTCGCACGCCAGAGAGATCCAAGTCGAACTCCTCGCTAAAGAGCCTCAGCCCGCGACAGAACTCGGTCGCGGCCTCGATCAAGGCTTTCGAGGCAAAGACTCCGCCGCCTACATTGCCCCGCCTCAACACCTCGTCGGTCCGTAGAAAAGGCGGCGTCGGTGGCGATATAGCAACCGCCAAGATCAGCAGCGCCGGTCCTTGCTCGACTCGGAACCTCGACACCGCCGATACGGTCCCTCGAGCCGGCACCGACCCGGCGCAGCCGACTCCGGCAGGAGCAGCCGAGGCGGTGACTGCCTCGCCCGCCGCGCTCTCTGGCGAAGCCGGACAGACCTACCTCGCAGCCAGCTCGGCGCTCTCGGCCTCGCCCGTCGCGGCTCACCTCGTCAGCGAGGGCGGAGGGTCGGAGTCCAACCACCTGCTGACGCCGGGCAAGCTGACGCCGTCGAGCCTGAGGTCGCCGCTCGAGTACGTCATCGACTCTGCCCAGGCCTCGCAGGGACACGAATCAGTCGCGAGCTCGGCGGATCACGCGGCAAACGGTGCAGCTCCATCTCCTGTCGCAGCACCAGCGCCGGCTTCGACCGCCGAAGGCGAGGAGACCATCGATGCAGCGACGACGACGAACGCTCCCCATCCGGCCCCCGTCCATCTCTGAGTGCCGTGGCCGTGACCAGGACAATTTCCCTCGAACATTTGTTGGGACCAGGCACCGTCGCACGGTCTGTCTCGTATCTATCTGCCTCTGTTTTCTTGACATGCATTTTGGACGTGCCCGTTTCGCCTTTTCTCGATGGTGGTCTGAGCTACGGCGCGGCGATCGCTGGACGGGAGGAGGATGATGGGGCGTGCATAGCGGCTTTCATCGCGGGTGGAAGCGATTGGCCGAGCTGCGGGCCTGCATTTCAGAGCCCGTTGCGCGTCCTGTTGCTAGAAGCGGAACGGGACCAGCTCGATGCGTTCTGGACAGCCCGATGCAACCAGGCCGATGGTGCGGGCCTTGCGACATCATCGCCCCCTGTTGCTGCAACATCGGCACCGGTATGCGCCTCATGACAAAAAGAAGAGCAGCAACAGCCACAACAGCGGTGGAGAGGGACTGTATCTGTTCGTCGTCAGCATAAGCTTAACATTTCGGCGGCGTTGATGAAGGGGAATAGCGGGGAGCAAGGTTGCAGAGTACAGGGAGGGGCTGGGCCAGAACGACAGCGGGGGTATCCGGCGGAGCTGGATCGGTTCATAGCGAGGAACACAGCGTTCCAAAGGGGGAGAGTAGAGATCCGGCCACATCGACGATGTCGGAGGTGCGATGGTGGAGGGTGGTCGAAGCTGCTCTTGAAGCGCTACTCGGTGAAGACGAGGCTGCCGCGCTTGGCGAATCTGTACGAGAGTCGAAGAGGGGCGAGACAAGAGAGGTCAGCCGACGAGGAAGACGAGAACCACAAGGGCGGCGTCTCAGTGGTCCACGCACTTGTCTAGGAGCACGCCGACGTCGCGCAGGACGAAGGCGAGGATGACTTTGGCGAAAAAGTCGCTCGACCGGCGCAGCCGCGCCTCGATGCCGGCCCGGAGCTCGGTCGGCAGAGCCGAGTAGACGTTACTGTTGTGCGAAGGCGTCGGGAGCGCGTCGGCCATCTCGGCGGCACTGACGGTACCCTGGGCGCGCAGCAGGCAGATAAGGTGGGTGTCTGCGTCACGCATTTTCATTCGAGCAGAAAGGATACTGCAGGTCAACACGCGGATCCGTCCCGACAAACATGGCCACGGACAACACTCACCGAGGACCTGGGCACGAGCGAAAAGACGAGCCAGACCTTCGACGTAGATGACCGGCGAGTCGAGGCTGTGTTAGGAAAGAAGCGCGCGGGGTTAGAGCCGGGAGTTTAACGTCCCGGGCGAGACTGGTGGGCCGACCTCCTATCGCATGCATGCCGCCATACTCACCTCTTGCCGTTGGTCATGCGATCCAGCGAGCGGGTCAACTTGGACCCGAACACGCCAGAGAATGTCTGCGGGCGAAGGAGGTGCAGTCGAACGGCCGTCAGTGCCCCTGCCGAGTCGACAGCTACGACGGCGACCAGAACCGCGAAAAAGACTCACTGATGCCTTTTTGCCCGTCACGGTCTCGAGGAAGCCGAGCTTCTTTGCAAGGCTGTTTTGGGCTTCAATCATGAGCGCGTCGAGCTCGTCGAGGTGCTTGGCAAACTTGGACCCGTTGGAGGTCTCGAGACCAAGTCCGCTGCCCGGCGGCCTCAGCAGCTGCTCCCCACCCTTTGCGACCGCCTCGAGGCCGGTGGAGACGAGCTCCATCGCTCGCACCTTGCTCTCAATCGAGACGAGCCGTGCGCCCTGCTGCAGCCAGAGGCCCTTTGGCACGTAGAGCCGCTGCGTGACGTAGCCGCCTTCGCCGATGCTTCGTAGCAGCATGCGCATTACGTGGAAAGGCCGCAAAACGGGTTGCAACGGCACCGAGGGCGTCGACGACGGGTCTGGCAGCTTGCTGGCGAGCCCAAGCCAGGGGAACAGGCTGACGCCGCTGCTCCCCGTCGCATAAGAAGGCGTGCCAGACGCGAGCGAGGGAAGACCTGACGGGAAAACGTCGCGGAGGGCGGCACACGCCTGGCCGTGACCATCGCTGCCTTGGACCTGGTTAGTCGGCGCGATGACCGCCGCCTGCTGCAGAGCGGCTGCTGTGTCTGAAGCCTTCCGCAGCGTCGGCGGAGGGGCGGCCGCGGTCGTGCTTGGTGCAGAGGCGGGACCTACGAGCTCATTCTCTTGCCCGTTGGAGACACCTTCGACCAGTCCGGCCGAGAGATTGCGAGTCAGCTTGGGCACCGGCGGAGCGAGGTCCGCACTGGCGTTGGCAGCCAGGAATGCGGCGGGAATCGACGGCCGCCGTGAACCTGGTTGGGAGATCGCCCGCTGGCGGCTGTATGGCAGCTGCGAGGAGGCAACGGGACCATCGAGGCCGGAGGCGACACCACTCGGTATCGCATCGGCTCGCTCCGCCGAGTAGGTGCGGGCCATCGCGTCGGAACGCAACGGCACAGGCAGGGCGGGCACCTGCGGAACGGCCTGCTTTCGTCTCTGGCTGATTGTGCCAGTCGACGTCGTCGAGCTGACCAGCGCTTCGGTGTCCGCTGCTGTTGGTGGCAGGCGCTTTGAAACAAGTGTAGTCGCCCGCGGGCGATTGATGAGCTTCGGATGCGGAGTTGACGTCGACGCGTCGCCCAGCGTTGGGATTGTTGCATTCGGTGGCGAATCTGCGGAGCTGGGTCGTCCCTGCAGCGCGGGCCGAGTTGTGTCGGCCCTGCTCGCCGTATCACGGATGGCGCGCAAGGAGGGCATCGACCCCTTGGCCCTCAAGGCCGGCTGGCTGCGAGAAGGGTTGAGGGACGTCGTCCGGTCTCCGAGATGCGTCTGGAAGGTGCGGAGCCGCTCCTCTGTGCCCGAGGAGCCGATGCCGGACAATGATGGGGGCTTGGTATCGCGTCCGCCAGAGGCCGCATCCTCACTCTCGTCGATGCTGGTCCGTGCGTCTGCAGCGTCGAAGAAGGGCGTTGCTGGGGTCGGGGGCCGGCGAGACTCCTCGTCCAGACCCAGTGACCGTGGGCTGTCTTTTGGCCTCGACCGGAAGCTCGATCCAACGTTGCCCTTGGTCCGCGTGCTGTGGTACGAGCTGTCAGAGTCGGACCTTGCATGGCCCGTCATCTGGTCAACGTCTCGCGACGTCGCTGGCGCGGTAGTGTACGGATCTAGGAGGATCTCTTGAGAATCTTGGGTGTCCGAGCCGGGCTCCTGCCGCACCGTCGTCTGGATAGATATTTGCGGCGTGGAGCCGGATGGTGCCTGCGCCGCATCAAACTCGCCCTGTTCATCAGCCACTGAAATGGCGCCTCTGCTACTCTGGCCTGACCTGCTGGTTCCGTCGGCACCCGTAGCCGAAATCTCGCCGGACGGGCCGCTCAGGAACCTGTCCATCGTCGAGGTATCGTGGCGCTCTGCGATTGGCGTCATGGACAGGAAGCTCTGGTCGCCGTCTCGTTCCAGGTCCGACCGTTGCCCCGGTCGCAGCCGTCCCTCGTCCCATTCCGTCTCGTCGCGGACGGGGATCGCCTCGTCTCTGGATTGGTCGTAGCTGTTGTCTTCCTCGGTGAACTCGCCAGCTTCCTCGGGCGCGCAGATCAACGAGAGGAGCCTGATGCGATCCGCGTAGGTGTCGTGCTGAGGCAGCGATGTCGGCGGTAAAGAGGGGGCAGGGCAATCGGGTCAGAATGCTGTGGCGGCGGGCGACAACGCCAGCCGTGTGTCCGGGATCCAAACTCACGATGACGCGGAGCCGCCGCCGCTCTTCTTCGCGGCTTGGCCGGCTCTTCCTCCCGTGCTTTGGCGCTATCCGTGCCATCACCTCGTCAAGCAGGCGCACCGCCTGCCGATAGGCTGCAATCGCCTCGGCTACCTGATTTGCGCTGTCCAGTTGCACCGCGCTCTGGGCTTTCTGCAGCGCGATCGTGAGCACGTTCTTGCTGCTGAGCGGCGCGCCGTTGGCATTGTAGAGGGCTTCCGGGCTGCTGCCGGGGACGGCGCCCATGGCAACGATGGCAGCGTCAGAGAGGCTGCCCACTGGCGGACTCGCCGGCCGTGGCTTCGACGTGGCTGCAGCTGAGCCCGTATCGCTATGGATACCGTTGGAGATGCCGGTCCGCTGGCTTGCTGTCCACAGCGCCTCTGATCCTGACGAGGACGAAGTCTGCTGATGTCGATGCCGTTGGTACAGCGAGGCGGACGGCTTAGCCTGTGTTGCCTGCTGCGACAGCGTCGGGGATGTGTACGCCTCCGATGGTGGAGACATGTCCCCAGCATCCCGCCCAGGCGCACTCGAGCGAGTCGAGTAACGCGAGCCGTCCGAAGCCGTCTGCTTGCTAAAGCGGTTGTGAAACTTGTCCTGCCCCGAGGTTCTCGAGACCGCCCGACCTGAATCGACGGCTTGTGCATTGCTACTGCTGCGAGCGTGACCAGCTTCGTGCTCGCCGCCGCCTGCGTATGTGCCGATCCCCTGGTATCCGGAGGAACTGTGTTGCGAGGAGTGGCCTGACCGGCCAGGGCCGGCGTCACCGTTCGTCGGAGCCATGTCATATCTGAAAGGTTCGCTCTGGGTCGCGCTTCCCTGGTCAGCTGCGGTCGCCGCATTCGAGGCCGGGGGCATTCCTGCATCGTCTGCGAAGCCAGATTCGATGCCAAGACCCGCGAGCGAAGAGGCGCCCGCTCGGTTCTGCGCCATTTCTCTGTACGACGAGGAGGGCAGCCGAGGACGGCCTGATCCGTTGTTGTCCGGCTCGGCGCGGCTCGCCCACGCCTCTTGCCTGTCTGCGTGGGATGTCAAGCCCTGGTTGCTTGCCGCAAAGTCCTGCAGCGGGGCACCGACGCCTTCTCGCGCTGATCCCAACGAGTCGCGCCCGACACTGCTGATGGAGAGACCTTCGCTCTTCTTGTACTGCAGGCGGCCAAGCCGCCCTCCTCGTGAAACAGGTGCTCCGTTGGCGGCCCGGCTGGCGGACGGTGCCATGTCTAGAGCGTTGGCCAGCGAAGAGGGGCGGGACGATGTCCCCGACTGCGACGTGTTTCCGTGGCCGGAATCGTGTTCCGGAATCGTCGGGCTTTCCTCGGAGCCTTCGGGGTGCACGCCGTGGTTGGCGCCCGACGGAGGTTCAGCAGGCTCGACGGTCCTCCGGTTCTCGCTGCGGAAGCCAAATGCACTGCCGAGGCCGTGGCCCTCCCGTCGATCTGTAGTGGTGTCACCAAATTCGTCAAGCTTCTGCCGAGAGCTTTTAGGGCGGAGGAACCTGCTCGCCAGACTTTGCCGGATCGGCGGTTCATTCGAGGGCTGACCCTGGGTAGCACCCTGCGCGGCCGAGATTGACTTGGGTGCGGGTCCGCCTCCGGCAGTGTCGTCTGCGTAGCCCGCCTTTGTCCCCTCCGCCCCCCGAGATTCGGGCCTGTCAGACGACCTGCCGCTCATGAAGTTGCCGATCCGCGAAAAGGAGGAGTTGGTGGAACCAGACGCGTGCGACGCTGCCGCGCTGCTGGGTGGGAAGGGTTCCCCGGTGTTGGTCTTGTCCGGAGATGACAAGACGTTTCGGGTGCCCTCAAGGATGGTTCGACGGGTCGACCTCGTCGCTGGGGATGGCAGCTTGGGAGATTGCCTGATCCTTCGCCTGGTCGATGCTGTCTCGCCGCCGCTGTCATCACCGCCGTCATCGCCGTCATCGTAGCCAATGTGGGGCGAAGGACGGGAGCCGGCCGTACGCGGGCTGACGGAGCGTTCGAGGGAGTTGGGCGGGTTGCTCAACATCTCTGGTGGTGGGGCAAGGGGTGAGGCGGGCCCGTCGTCGAGGGAGAGGAAAGAGCGACCTGCGGGCCCCGCGGGCGCTCCATGCACGTTGCTGGGCTGCGACATGGCCGTAGCCCGCGTGGGCGAAAGGTGCGATCCTCTACGACGCGGCCGGCGGCTGCTGTTTGCGGCGCGTCCTTCTGATGGTTCTGCCTCGATGCCGTAGCAGGACGTCTGCCGAGCCAGATGGCTGATATGTTAGCTACTCTGTTGGGAAGACGCTGCTTCAACCATCCAGGGTGGTTCGCTGGTATCGTGGGTGTGTGTGACGGTGCGAGTCTGGAGAGGCAAGGCTACAGTCGGTGCCGGGGTAGCACCGAGGCTTCGAGGTTGGTGACGAGAAGGCAGCGACGACTAGGCGGCGGCGATTAGCGAGGCGAGCTGTAGGTAGGGTGGCGATCCGTGTCGGACGCCGTGGGCGAATAACTACTGGCAATCGTCGTGGTGGAATCGAGCGGGCATTGGGCGATCGACCCAGGTCTGCGGCCTCGGGCTGGACCGTGTAGGCCGGTGCGAGTTTCGTTGATGGTAGCTGTACGCCTGTCGTGACTCGTTGAGGGATGATGTCGTCCTGTTCGTGTGTGTGTGCGGCTGTGAGGCTGGAGATGGCCTGCTTGTGGCTGGACTGGCCTGGCAAAGGTTGAGCGACGGCCGACGAGTCGAAAGGGCGATATAGATTCGTTGCGGGGTCGTTGCAATATGTCCAGACGAGGTCGGAAGACTCTCGAGAGGGACTGGATGGACGGCTGGGAAGGGACGATGGAGGTAAGGCACCGAGGGCAGGTAGGATGGAGGACGAGGCCGTCAGAAGCCGTCCAAAGCAAGGCCAAAGGCCAAAAGGCAACTCTGAGGCCGGCCACGCCGAAAAGGTGCACCGAGCGCACGCCCGGCCTGAGAGCGTTCGAGGCAGGCCGCAGGCCAGAGGCGGCGCGGGGCCGGCCGCTCCCCCCCAGCCAGGCCACAGGGTTGGACAGAGAAGCGCGTGCTCGGCCTGGCCTGGCCTGGCCTGGCTGCCTCTCTCTCTCTCTCTGTCTCCCGCCTGCCTGCCAGGCTGCGTTGCGTGGCCCGCTCGCGCTGCCAGCTGCCAGCTGCCGCCTTTCCCCCGCCGTCCGCCGCCCCGCCGCCCCGCCGCCGGCTGGCCCGGGCAGAAGTGGAGAAGCAAGAATTCCGGTCGCCTTTCGGGCAAGCACGCTTTTCCTCCCGACCAACACTCAACACCGCGCTTTGCCTCCGCCGCCACCCCATCCCTCGTCTGCCCATCACACTCACCGTTCGTAGCCATCTGCTGCTCGGACAACGCAGCCACACCCTCAGCTATCGCCATCGCCATCGCCATCGCCATCGCCATCGCCTCTCGACCTCAACTTCATCTTCCGGCGCTGTGGCGACTCGCCAACCTCGGCTCACATCATGTCGGCCTCTCTCGTGCCCGCAACGGGCTATTCTGAACCCGCAAAGGACCTGCTCGCCACAAAACTTCAGCAGATCAGCGTTCAGAGCAAGCACCATTCTCCATCGCCGCACTCTGCATCTACCCAAGCCAAAGACGCCACCTCTGCACCCGCACCGCCCTCTTCGTCCTCCTCGCCGACCCCCTCGACATCCCATCCCAGCTCCACGCACGGTATCGCCACCGTCTCGCTGCACGACGCATCCTTCGTCGTACCCACGAAACGCATCGTCTCCCAGGCGTCGCTCGAGCGCTTCAAGAACTCGTCCACCTTTGCAGAGATCCTCAGCTTCATCGAGTCGTGCAACTCGTCCGTCGTCGGCAAGACACTCGAGGACCAGCTGCACACGTCGCAAGCCACCTCGGCCGTCCTCGAGATCCTCGCACAGGTCCGCCGCCTGTTGCAGCAGACGCCGGCCGACCACTCCAGCTCGTCTTCCCGCTTCGGCAACCCGGCCTTCAGAACCTTTTACGCCAAGATCAAGAGTGAAAACGACCGCCTCCACCGCCTCATCCCCGAGCTTAGTGACGACGCGGCACGCGCGGCCCGCGATGAGCTGGGCTTCTACTTCCAGGAGAGTTGGGGCAACGAGAAGCGCATCGACTACGGAAGCGGCATGGAGCTCAACTTCGCCTGCTGGCTGTGAGTCGGGCTCTTCTGACGCCGTTCTGTTGCCGACGGGGTTGCTCACGTCGATCCTTCTCCTGATGTGTCCATACAGGTTGTGCCTCTGCAAGCTGCAGGTCTTTGACTTGACCTCGGACGGCCCGGCCATCGTCCTTAAGGTCTTCTGGACGTACATCCAGGTGATGCGCGAGGTTCAGTCGACCTACTGGCTCGAGCCCGCGGGCAGCCACGGCGTTTGGGGCCTCGACGACTACCACTTCCTGCCCTTTTTGTGGGGAGCGGGCCAGCTGAGCAGTGAGTAGCAGACGGACCCACCGTCCTTGTGGTCTGCAGCGTTTGAGCTCGACAAGCTGGCTGATGCTGAACTCGACCCGCCCTCGCCGCGTCGGCCGGACCCCTGCAGACCACAAATACCTTCGACCCAAGTCGATTCACGATGCTGAGGTGACGGACGAGTTCGCGAGCAAGTTTATGTATCTGGCGTGCATCCAATTCATCAACTCGGTGAGTGGCCTTCTGGAAGTGAGAGGCCTCGACTAGCTCGGGACCGTAAGCTGAGGGTGGCTGTCCCCGCTTGTCGCCGCATCATGCGGCCGCGTGACAGGTCAAGACCGAGTCGCTACGGTGGCACTCGCCCATGCTCGACGACATCTCGAGCGTCAAGACGTGGTCCAAGGTCAACGAAGGCATGATCAAGATGTATCGCGCAGAAGTGCTGCTGAAGCTGCCTATCGCGCAGCACATCTTTTTCGGGTCGCTGCTGAGCTATCCCAGGGCCGGCCAGGGTGAAGAGGACGACGAAGCGGCCGAGGAGGACGAGCACGGACACATCCACGCCGTCGGGCAACCAAAGGGCCATGCGCACGGAGCGGGCGAGGGGCAGGCGGCCGGCTGGGGAGATTGCTGCGGCATCCCCATCCCAAGTGTGTTTGCAGCGGCCGAGGAGGACAAGAAGAAGCGGCAGGCCGGCAGCGCAGTGGTCCAAGGCCAGAAGCCATTTGGCTCAAATGTACGCAGGATCCCGTTTGACTGAATCCTGGAGCCGTTGCAGCCGCAGAACGACGGCGTCCCGGAGCGAATGGCGAGCTGTGTGTAGGCTGTGATGGCCTTGGTCAAAGCGGGGTGCTGTTCTAGGGGCTGGAGTGGAACTGCATGCCATCACCTGGCCGAGGTTCTGTCTGGCGCGGACGACGCCCAAGAGAGAGAGACGCGGGCGCAGGCGCGGGCGCAGGCGGCTGGATCTGTTGTGGTGAGGACCCTGATTCCGGCTGGCTGGCCGGCCTTTTGCCGTCACGATCCATTCTTGATTCTCTGCACGGTTGAGCCCTACACAACAGCCTTCTTCTTCGTCGTCACCGCCACCACCCTCCTCACCGCAAACCTATCATCCCCATCGACCATTGACCACCCTCTCTGTATCGGGAGACCCGTCAACGTGCGCCGCGCAGCTGCTAGGAAACGCGTCGCTGTTTCGGGAGACTGCCCGACGCCCGCGCCGCTCGGCTCACCTGTCCTTCGGACGTGCCGAAGTACTCTGAAGAGCTGGCGTAGCGGTCGGCTCTCCCGCACTTGGATCCCGCATCTCGCCAAGACCAGAGGTCCTGCGGATCGCTCCCCCGTCCTGGCTTCCTCACTGGCCCGGCCGTAGAGGCCAGTGGCGTCCGCCAAAATGTCGTCCTTCTCCCATCACCGTCCCAGCGGCTCTTCGCAGCCCTACACCCAACCGGACCCCATCATCATCGACGACGACGACGACGACATCGTCTTCACCGGCATTTCCCACTCTCCCCCCACAGCCCACTCTGCAGCTGCTCCCTTGCCCACGAGCGGGCCGTCCGTGACCCTACCACATTCTTCCCGAGACCGCCGCGACATCCAGGCGTCGGGCGCCCTGGCCGATGCCACGGCCAACGTCCACCTCGAACCACAGGCAATACGTGGCAACGGCACAGTCGCACCCTCGCAGTCTATATCCCCTGCCATGATAGGCGGAGCGGCGAGCAAAGGATCGACCGCCCCTACCGCCACGTACGGCACCGAGAGCAGCTCAAGCTCCTCCGACAGCTCGCGCTCGCTTTCACCCCGCGAGAGGTACCCCACGGGTCTGGTCTACGATGTACTGATGATGCTCCACGCCAACCCGGTCGAGATCGACCATCCCGAGGACCCGATCCGCATTCACAAGATCTTCAGCCTGCTGCAACAGCACGGATGCGTCGCCAGGATGAAGCGCATCCCCACAAGGGAAGTGCTCAAGGACGAGGTCATGCTCATCCACGAGGCCGGCATCTGGGACGGCCTCGAGCGAAGCGCAGGTGAGCACGGGAGACTCTTCTGAAACCTCAGCGGGTCGTGTTTGGGCTCGATGCGCCGACCGGGGGATGAAGCTGATCCCGCTCCTGCCCCGCTCCACTGCCCGCCACCGTCAGAATTCGGACGGGACGAGCTCGCAGAACAGACGAACCTGCTGGAGCGCCTCGACTCGTTGTACGTCAACGAGCATTCCGCGCTCGCCGCCAGGATTTCTTGCGGAGGCGCGATCGAGCTGTGCGACGCCATCGCATCCGGTCGCATCCACAACGGCTTTGCCATCATCCGACCGCCGGGCCATCACGCCGAGCCGACAAAGAGCATGGGCTTCTGCTTCTACAATAACGTCGCCGTGGCCACGAGGTTCCTGCAGCAGAAGTATCGCGAGGGCGAGAAGAGGGTCAAGAAGGTTCTCATCCTCGACTGGGACGTGCACCACGGCAACGGCACGCAAAAGGCGTTCGAGGACGACGCCGACGTGCTCTACATCTCCCTGCACCGGTACGAGGACGGTGTCTTCTACCCGGGAGGAACCTACGGCGGTGCCGAGAGTGTGGGGTCTGGGGCGGGAACGGGAAGGAGCGTCAACATTCCGTGGCCCTGCGCCGGCATGGGCGACGGCGACTACCTGCACGCGTTTGACCAGGTCGTCATGCCCATCGCACGAGAGTTTGGACCGGACTTTGTCATCATCTCGGCGGGCTTCGACGCTGCAGAGGGCGACAGCATCGGCCTCAACCTCGTCACGCCCGTGGGATATGCCCTGATGACGCATGCGCTGGCCAGCCTGGCGGAAGGACGCTTGGCCGTGATTCTGGAGGTGAGTCTGAGAGCGAGCCGGCATCGCTGCAGCGGCTGCCGCTGCTCATCGACGCGCTCATGTCGGTCTGACAGGACGGTCCCTCTGCATCCTCTGCTGCCGGCATCAGGGCGGATATAATCCGGACGCCATCGCCCAATCTGCGCTCGAGGTGACCAAGATCATCCTGCGCGAGCCGCCGCCCCGACCCAAGCAGCAAAGGTCGGTGACTCAGGTGCAGCAGAAGGCGGCCGAGGCGGTGCGTGGCGTGGTGACGATCCAGTCGAGATTCTGGAGCAGCCTCAAGCCGGCGCCAATGTACGTCGACGATGCGGCGGGGATGCCGAGGCTGCCGCTCTCGGACCTGCTGCGCGCCCACCGAGCCTACGAGCTGCACAAGCGCTACCAGTTCTACGAGATCCCGATCGAGGAAAAGATCCACAACAACGAGAGGGGCCAGGCGCTGGCGTCCGAGGACGTCATGAAAAAGGAGACAGTCGTTTTGTTCGCGCACGACATGGGCAACATTCGCGCCGATCCGCCCGCGCTCAACACGACGTGCCAGCGCGAGCTGGCGTACATTGTCGACTCGAGCACCAAGGTGCTCGACTGGGCCTACAGCAAGGGGTACGGCATCATCGACGTCAATGTGCTCCAGCAGCTGCCGGACGAGTCGGTGCCGGCGTACCGGTACAATCCGAAGGCGGCCAAGAACAGCCCGGACCACGTCCTCTACGGCGACGTTTCCAGGCTCATCACCTACCTCTACGACAACCTGATCCAGCTGAGCGAGGCCAAGAACCTCATCCTCATCGGCCACGGCCTGGCGACGATGGGCATCAAGGACCTCATCATTGATCGGCCCCAGGTCCGACGCCAGACGGCGGCCGTGATCATGGTCCTCGGCCTCCAGACGATCCCGCAGATGAGCCCGGGCGACACGCTCCTGAGGAAGTGGTACTGGCAGCGCAGCAAGGTCATCACGCCGGGCCTCCACGCCATCTGGCTGGACCCGGACGGTCCGGCAAAGAGGATGGGGAGGGTCGAAGCATCTCGTGAGTCCTCGTTCTCGTTGCTGCGCAGCATCCTTGCCCCTCTCTTCGCTGTAAACATCGTCGGCTGATCGAGCACATTGCTGGTCGTTCCTCTGGGTTCCGCTTCATCACAGCCGAAAACAAGGCGGTCAAGGTCCTCTCGGCCAGCTTCGACGACATTGCCACCTTTGTCGAGGCGCGGCTGCGCAAACACGTCAAGTCGCGCAACGACGACCTCGACGTCTAGGAGGCGTGACAAGAGACCCCGCCCCTGGCCCCTCTTTCGTCTCGTCTTCCGAACCAGCACTACCATCTCACACGCCAAAGTGCGTGCACGCAGCGTCCGAGCACGACGGACTCTGCGCAGCCACGCCACTTAGCCACGCTCTCCTCTGCCATACCGAGATGGCATGTGCCCATCTGCCGGCACAAAACAAGAGCAGACACGGCCATAAGCGCAGCCAGGCCACCAGACCCGAAGACCAGCAAAGGTGCCTGACCATTTCAGCCAGAATGACGGCGCACACGAAAGGGAAGAGACAGAGAGGGAGCGAAAGAGAAATCGACGATTGCACCAATTACTCGATCGATCGACCGAACGGGCTGGGAGGTGAGGCTGACGCGGAAATGACTGTGCTTGGTCCGGCTGAGGGACCGATATGCTAGAGAGAGAGACGAGGGCCATGGTAACGAGCGTGTGCGGTTGGGAGGACGAGGAGGGGGGCGTGTGACTGGGAGCAAATGCGAAAGGGGATGTCTTGAAGAAATTGGGGGCGGCCCTCTGCGACCACAGAGGCCGCTTCTGGCGAATGCGAATGGCGGCTAGAGGAGCGTAGAATGAGCGTGGGGTCGCGACGACGGCGGCGGCGGCGGCGGCGGTGGCGACGACGAACAGATAGATGGATGTATCGACAGGTATGCGGCAAGAGCAAAACGACTATGCAGATGGTGTGTACCGTCCAGGCGAGGACGGGAGTGGACAATGAGTGGCGAGGGCGGGGATCAGTCGATGTCGGCCAGCGAACCGCTCTGCGGTGCCGCCGCCCTCGAAGCCGCCTTAGACCGCCTTCGACGATGTCGCATCGGCAGATTGCGCGGAGCGTCGAGAGAAAGCTCGACGGGCGAAGACACATTTTGCAGAGCCGACACCTCGTCGTCGCCGCGGTCGCCATCCTCGCCAGAGTAGGTGACTCGCTTGGCCAGACCGGTCGGCATCGCCATCCTCCTGTCGAGGGCGCCAGACACGGTGCTGGATGGCGTCGTGCCGTCGCCAAAGTTGCCGTGGTACAGGCTGCCGGGTTGGCCCGAGTCCTTGTTCCCGCTGGGGCTCACCATCTCGCGCCAGACAATGATGCCGACGATCGTGCCGACCAAGATCGTCAGCGAGATAACGGTGAGGACGATGAGCTTCCTCTTGCCAACCGCCATGGTCTCGTGCCAGGCCTTTGAGCCCTCCTCCATCTTCTGCGTGTGGGCCGTCTTTTGAGCGACCGAAAATCGGCGCCAGAACTTGGCTCCCTGGCCCTGCGCGTCCCACTCGAAGCCTGCGCCTCCGGCACCCAGGAACTGCGACTTGCGACTGTGGTCGGGCTTTTCAGTGTCGTCTTCGAAGCCTTTGACGCGAGGGACGGGATCCGCAGGAGGAGGTGGCTGGGCTCGCGGCGGTCCGCCGTTGCCGCCGAGGAAGGCCATGCTTCGTCGGAACAGGCTCTGGCGCTTGCCGGCGGGCGCGCCGCCCGGCGGTCCATGCTGGCCAGCTGGACCCTGAGAGCCCGGACCAGGCGCTCCGTTGAAGAAGGCCATGCTCCTTCTGAAGATCGACTGACGTTTTTGAGGGCCAGGAGAGTCCGAGAAGCCCGGGCCCATGTTCCTCTGCTGAGGAGGCTGCGGCCCGCCAGCAAAGCCGTTGGGACCCATCGGGCCGGCCGGGCCTGTCGGTTGAGGCCCTCGCATCGGACCAGGCCCAGGCGGCGGTCCTCGCATAGGTCCCGGTCCGGGCGAAGGGCCACGCATCGGCATGGGCCCATGACCAGGCGAGGGCGGGCCCTGGCCATTGGCGTAGCGCACCGGCCCACCGGAAGGCGAGAGCATCTGCTGTTGCGGGTGAGGACCGGGCTGCGGCCCACGCTGGAGCACGTTTGGAGGCACATTGGGTGGAGCCATAGGTTGCGGTGAAGGGCCACGGGGCATCGAACCGGGCGGACCGTACGGGCTCGGCGGGGCCATGCCTGGCGAGGGCATCCGTCCATTGGGCGGCATGCCCCCTTGTGCTCCACGCGGAAATGGCCCTGCGGGACCTGGCGCAAATCCTGGCGATCGAGGCGGTGCCATCGGAGAAGGTGCTCGCCCGCCGTGCTGCGGAGGCGGAGGGTTGTGAGGATTGTCGAACGGGTTCGTTGGGCCTGCAGAGCGAGGCGGAGACGGCCCGCTGAAGTTCCCAGGCGCAGGCGCAACGCCTTGGCCGTGGGTCGCTCCCTGAAAGTAGTCGCCCTGCTGTGGATGGCCCGGCGGCGGTGCATTCGGGGTCACTAGGCCGAGCTGTCGAGTGAGCTCCGTCTTGGGGCTGATCGGGCGGCGATTCTGCGAGTCAGAGGTGTTGGCATTGGCGGGCTGCTGAAGTCGCTGCTGTCCCGGCGCCCCACTTGAGTCGAGCGAGTCGTGGCCAGCCCCAAAGTTGATCGTGCTTCCATGGCGAGAGGTGTTGTCGCCGTAGTCGCTAGTGCTGGGGATCCTGCGCTGTCTCTCTGAGTCGGTACCATAGCTGGAATCGAGCGTCTGCTGTGGGGGGGCTGGAGGGATGCTGCCGCCGTTCTTGGCGCTCTTGAGGCCCATCAACTTCAAACTCGGAGGGTTCTGCGAAGCGTTGTCCGGGGGCCTCTGTCCGACGGCCGCAGCTCGCTCCGACCAGCTACCTCGCTCAGCCGAAGCAGATCGGGAACTCTGCTGGTCGGCGAAGCGATTGTCTGTTTGCTGAACGGGGGCGGAACGCGGAGGAGGGCGGTGGCCGTCTTCGCTGTCGGAGTCGGAGCCGGAGGCGTTGTCGTCGAGCATGCCCATGCCAAGACCCCATGCGCCCGAGTCTCGGTCGGGTGCCGGGCCGTCCTGCGGCCGGTCGCGCGTCTTTGTGCCTTGGGCGAAGGCGATGCTCTTGCGCTGGGGCGGGTTCTGGCCGTTGGCCTCGTGCACGTTGGCGGCCTTTCCCTGGAGACGCATCCTGCTGGCCTTTCTGGCGAGTTCGCGTCGACGGGGATCTGAGCTCTCGAGGTCCTTTGGATCGTAGAGATACTTGTCGTAGATGCTGACGACTCGCGAGTCTCGACCGCGAAACTGCTGGGAGGGCGTGTTTTGGGTGTGCGTGGGGCCAGCTGGGGGTTGCATCCTCAGCGAGAGCCTGGCAGGGTCGGGCCGAAAGGAAAAGTGCGACGGTGACGGGGCTGAGGCAATGGTATGTGAAGGGGGGCAAGCAGTGGGTTTGCGGTGCCAACGAGCAAGAGATTGCGCCGGGTGAGAGCAAGTCGGGTGGGGCGCGATCGGGCAACGACGATGGCTGGCCTATTGTCGATGGCAGGCTGGATGGTTGGACGCTGAGACCGCGGATCTTTTTGACAAGGCAACCAGTGCTCGTTGATGGACAGTCTGAAAGGACCGTGGCCGGAGGTTGACGGTGCGGCAGCACAGGTGAGTAGCAATGGCAACGGGACCCGCTCGTGATGATGGTGGGGGCGCGCTTGCAGATGGGCAGTTGGGCCGGGAACTGGCTCGGTACGGGCTAGGCTGAGGTTGCTGACGGATGTGCGCAGGTCAGAGATCGCAAGAGAGGGTGAGCCGAGAGCAAGAGTTTGGGTTCCGAGCAAGGAGAGCAGGAGGGTTTGGGGGAATAGACACGGAGAAGAGAACGTTGGAGGGGGCGAGGTATTGGCGTGGCGAGGGGAGGAGGGAAGGATAGGGTAAGGGACGGAAGGGGCCGATGCGGGAAGGGATGGTGAAAGGAGCGGGGGTCAACGGCGACGACGAGTTGCACAGGGAGCGGTGAGAGATGGAGAGAGCGAGAGAGGAGGTTGGGTATCGCGCTTGGACAGGACAGGGGGTTGGCTGCTTGGGCTCTCTGGTGCTAGGCCGAAGCCGGCAGGTGCGCGCCAGGTCGAAAGGCGAGAGAGCGCGGTTGAGGTGGACAGCACAGAGGCCAAAGGGGCAGCAAGCCCCGCGGCCAGGCCAGGCAAGGTCGCCGCTAGGCGTGCGCATGCACGCCGCGTGCAGATCCTCGCTCGGTTTCAGAAACCGACACCGAGCGCAGCGACGCACGCATGCCGCCTGGCGTGCCGTCTGTGTGTGGGCCTTCGGAGCGGACCGTTCCCATACATCGCACCTCGGCCACGCCGAGCCATCACGTACGTTGAGAGACCTCCCTCGGCTTGCCTCTTCTGCTGCTGCTGGCCCCGGCAGCTGCCGCTGCCCTATCGGCGGGGGCCGAGAATAGATCAATGTCGAGCTGGCTCTCGACGGCATCGACGCTGCTGGCTTACACGACGATGCGCATATGTATGTAGACGGATGCCCCGAACCACCCCCGGCTGCGTGCCGGCCATCGCAGCGTTCGTCGAGGCCGCGCCAGCACGGACCGTGCCGCGAGCTGGCCGTATGTGCGGTGCGCTGCTTGACGCCACTGCGGGACGTACACGCACGCCGCTTTCTGTTGCGCTGCCCACACGCCGGCCCATGGCATGCACCTCGTAGGTCGTAGAGCACCTGCCTGCTGCTTGCTTGCTTGTCTGTTGCAAAATCTGCGACAAGAGAAGAAGCTCAACCGCCTCGACGCCAAGAGACGCTCCCCGTCGATCTCCAAGCACAGCAAGCAACCGGCAGGCGTCAGGGACGACGGACACAAACGTCCGAGGTACGCGCGCATGGCCCGGCAGGCAAGGCATGCCGGTCGACAATCCGTTTCCAAGCCCCGCCAGGCAGGCAGGCCGGCCATGCCCAGCCTGGTCCTGGACTGGTATCAAAGTCGACCGTCGTGCGTGTCCTGCCCTGCCGGTTGGTCGCCATTGGCGCCCCCTTTGGTGAGCTAGATACATATCTTCGCCGCCCTCGCCCTTTCTCGCGATGAGAAGAATGAAGCCCTCCTCGGTCGACGGGACTGAACGACGACGACGACGATCAGTGTAGTTGTGGCCCCCGTTGATCCTAGTCGAACGGTCTATCAGCTATCCGCTGCTTGGCTTGAGAACCGATCTTTTCGCCCTTACCTTGGCTGTCGCGCAACGGTATGGTGGTAAACCCTCTTCGATCTACTGTCCAAAGGCCGAAGCCCGCAGTCCCTCTCCCTTGTTCCCTCATCGGGCACCTCTGCGCAGACCCTCTGGCGAGGGCGCACAGACGCTAACGCTCCGTTTAGCACGTACTCCTGCACATGTTCTAAACTAGAGCGACCTGGCGTCCATCGACTGGGGAAGCTGTGAGCGGAGGAATTCGCCGTGACAAGCTCGTCACCGTCGCCATTCCAGCCAGAGTGGTCGGGAATCCGACAAAAGGGAAGGAGGCACAGATAGAGACAGAGGGCCTTGCGTGCTGTCCTGCTCGTGTGTGGGGGCCACCGTCGGCATAAAGATCGAGAGAAGGACTGGAGACCATCCTGACAGCGCGCAAGGGCCACCGTCGCCGGCCCACGAGCCCCTGGAAGGCCGCCGATCTTCGATCTTCAGTTGGAGCAACTTCGAGCTAGCCCCTTGAAGGAGATCCGCTGCGTATCGAAGTTGCTGGTCATGCTGACTTACCGGCGGGAGGCCGGGCTGAGACCGGGCGGACCTTGCATGGCTGCGGCTCGTGCACGGCAACCAGACTGCATCGCCCAATAGACGTCCTACCACACTGTGGTATCGTAGCGGTCGGTGCCGTGCTGCTGTTGCAACAGAGAGATGTGGGGAGCAGCGAGTGACAGGGATACAAGTACAGCAAGGATGGAGTCGGTCTCGGAAAGCGGCGCGGGGTCATGTTCGAGCGCCCAGGTCTGCCAAGAGGCCATCCATGGTGTCGCGGAGCTGCTTCTCCATCGATGGCGATGCCTCGAGAGCGTTGATGGCCTGGCAGAAGCCGAAAACCGGCGTCGGGCATGGATAGGAGGGGGTCAGCCGAGAGTCCGCTTGGTCTGCGGAGCGACAGGTGATCATCAGTCGGTCCACTCACAGCGTCCAGTGCGTCGAGCGCTTCCTTTGCCAGGAATCGTTTCTCCTCGGCCCGCGCGGACAGGGACTTGAGGTCGGCGTGTATCGTCGCGTTCGTCTCGAGCACCTGGACGGAGGCGTAGAAGCACACCGAGCATCGATGATCAGCAACGGTCGCGGGGATGATGGTGATGAAGATATCGTGGACTCGGGCCCGAACGCGAGGCTCACCTCGTCCAGTTCCTTTCTCAAGGCTGCCACCCTCTCCTCCTGATCCGGTATGGCGCGGGCGCTGATGGCCGTCTCAATGTCGAGATCCGCCCTGAGAACAGCAAAAACAGGACCGGCGGTGTCAGCCTCGCGCTGTCTGGCTGAGGATAGAGGACTGGGACCCTGGCGCACTCACCTCCAGACGTCCTTGGCCTCCTCTTCGCCGCCCTTGAGGCCCTTTGCGTACCTCTCGTCGGCCTCCTTTACGAGCCTGTGAAGACTTGCCAGCTTGTGTTCGAGGTCGTTCTCCTGGATCAGGTTCTCGTTCTCCTCCTTGATGACCTCCTTGAGTTGCCCCAGGAACTGTTGGCGGATGGCATCGAGCACCTCGCGGTCCATGCGCGGGAGCGACTTGCACATCTTGTCGGTCGTCACGCGGTACTCGATCAGCTCGAGGAAGCGATCGAGCGCCAGCCGAAGTCGGTCGATGCGAACGTTGGCATCGTCCGCCTGTGCCGGTGGCTGCTGCAGCGACGCCGTCGTCTCGGTGGGAGCCTGCTGCTTGGTCCGCTTGTTGGATGCGGTCTCCTGCCCTTGGTCGTCGTGCTGCTCCGCCGTCGCGCCGCGGCTCTTGCGACTGCGTTTGGCGCCGCTCTTCGGGTCATCCGAAGCAGGCGGTGCAGTCTGTGAGGCCGCCGTGTCGGCCGTTGAAGACGAGGAGACAGCGGCGGCGGCCCGATCCCGCTCCCGCTCCCGCTCTTCATCGAGTCGCTCCTGTGCCGAGGCGAGCTGGTCGTCGGTCTGGTCCGGATCCTGCACATCCGCTTGCGCCTCGATGGCTTGTGGCGGCGTGGAAGATGACATGGCGTAGGCTGAGGCTGGTGCTGAGGCTGGTCGCTGCGGAAAGACAGTGGCGGTCAACAGTGGTCGATGAGGTCGAGGAAAGATACGAGTGCGATGCGGCAAAGTGACACAAGAGAGAAGCACCGGCCTCTTGGCGGCAGAGGCGAAAAATGTGGAGCTGGGAAGCCCACGACGCGACGCGCCGCAAGGACCGCCCAGCTCGTAGATGAGAGGACTGCTGCAAGAGCTGCCTGATGCCATGATGTGATGCTGCCAGCATTCTCCCTTGAAGCACAGTGGTAGGGCAAACAAAGTGCTGACTGATTGAGACACTGCAAAGAGCTGACAAGAGGTGTCCATCCATGCCACAAGCTGATCATTCTTCACTGCAGGCAGCTGCACACTTGCAAGACCTGCAATGGCAGCCCTGAGCTCCTGCTTTTGTGCATGTCCAACAAACGCAGCATGGTCCACCTTGCTGAGGTCTCACCCTGGCAGTGAGCCAAGAAGTGGGGCTGGATGTTGTTGGCATAGGAGGTAGCAGGGCGCACGCTGGCAGACGGCACCGGTACGGGGCAGACATCCGGGCTCTGCTTCGGCGGAAAGACAGCCACAATCGAACATCATCTCCAGCAGATGCAGCCAAGCAGGAGGATCAACAAGGCATGGAATGTTTTCGGAGCGCCGAGCAGGTTAGACTGCACCTGGATGGGCGGCAAGAAGGCACAGGCCGAGACAATCATCCGAGCACGGCCGGTCAAGGCCGCGCACCTAGTGCCTCACCACGATCGGGCGTGGACGGGGCACTCGCGACCGCGCTTGAACCACGAATCGATGCTGTTGGGACGCGATGCACAGGGGAAGATGACGGTGGAGGGTCAGTTTGGTCGGCCCGAAAAGACAGTGCGAGATGGTGGAAGGGGGGCACGCCCTCGGGCCACCCGGAACTCACCAGGCGCGGTGGAAGTAGCAGAGGCAGGGCAGCCTGGCGATCTTGTTGTTGGCGGCAAAGTCCTCCATGCAGATCAGGCACTCCTTGCCGACGATGGGCGAGTTCTCGGGCAGATTGTAGACCAGGTAGCGTCCGCCCTGCAGGCTGCCTCCTCCGCCGTTCTCCAGACAGGCCTGTCAGCAGTCGAGGGTGAGAGATGAATCGTCTCGCAAGCATGGTCAGTCTCACCGGTACTCGCGCTCGTCGTCGTCGCACAGCGTCGCGCCAAGCAGAACTCACCCTGACGTGCGCCTCTTGGGCCTCCTGGCCGCCCAGGGTAGCCAGCGTCTTGTTGCAGACGGGGCATTCGTTGAGCTCGCTGGCGCGGCTCGAGACATCGCTGGGCGGAGCAAGGCTGCGTCCAAACTCATCCTCGCCCGCGGCGCTCGTGTTGCCCGGTCGCTGCGGCATCAGTGCGTCGGCGCCTCGCAGGTTCTGCAGCGAAGGTGGGAGCTGGCGTTCGGCGTGGCAGCTGTTGCAGATCCTAGCGGCACCGGCGGACTCGCTCAGGGCCATGCCGGGGAGGGAGGGGTCGACGACGAGCTCCTGGACGCTGAGCGCAGCCCGGTGCGACGAGCACGAATCGCAAAAGATCTTTCCGCACCGGCGGCAATGGTGCTTGCGCAGGAAAAACGTGAATCGCCTTCCGCACCCGCGGCAGTCGGAGGCCTGCTCGTCCCGCTCCCACTGGGGCTGCAGGTTCTGCTCACGCCAAATGGGCTCGCGCCCGTAGAGGACCTTGTTGGGCGCCTCGTTGGTCGGCACGCGGAAGTCGCGACTGGCGGCCAGATCGGCGCTGCGGGCCGCACCGAGCGCGGTGCCCGCCTCGGACGGAGCGACGCCGCCCCGCAAGAACGACCCGGCGCTGCTGTGACGCTGCGGGATGCTGGGGCGGCTGGTGGCCGTCGTCGAAGGGCCGGGCGTAGCCGGATCGGTGATGGCCGCCGGCAAGCGCGTGAAGACGGAGGCGCCGTCGTCCTTGTACGAGTTCGGATAGATGAAGTCGTCCTCGTCGATGTCGGACAAGTCGTCCTCGTCGTCGTCGAGCCCTGCAGCCTCGCGGAGCTGTCCAAGCTGAACGGTGAACTCACGTCGGAGCTCCTCTGCTCGACTCTGCCGCTCGCCGTCGGCGTCGTCGAACGCCTGCCTCAGCTCCGTGATGGCCATGACGAGGCGGGCGATCCTTCGGGCCAATTCATCCTTGTCCTGACCCAGAGAGTCGGCCGGCGTGCTGCCCGAGGCGGCGCCAGATCCTGCCAGAGCCTTGGCGCGGCTGAGGTAGTCGGCATCGGGGCCCAGCTGGGCACACTCGGTCCTAGCAGCCTCCTGCGCCGCGATGATGGCAGCCGTCGACAGGCTGCTGGCCGACTCGATCCCGAGAGCGGCGTTGACGTCGGCAGCAGCATCGGCCGGGCCATCCTGGCCAAAGGCAAACTCCGACGCCTCGAGCTCGTCGCCGAACTCGATGTCCAGGCGCCGCCGCATGACGCGGATCCATCGCCTCCTTCGCACCCAGCCTGTCTGCGCTGCCTCCTGGTCACCTTGCGCCGTTGCCAGGCTGGCACCACCGGTAATGGCCCGAGTGACGGACGCACTGAGACCGCCACCGTCGAGCAGGCGCGACAGCGGGGGCGGCACCTCGGCAGACCACCGATCATCGAGTGCGTCAAACGACTGCGCGTACTGCCAGCCCTCCTCGACGCTGACCAGAGGGTGGGTCAGGTCTCGCTGCCACTCGCACAGCCAGAAGTGGGAGCTCTCGACGTGCTCGGCATCCGAGCTCCTGCGTGTTCCCAGCACCGAGTCCGGGGTAGGCGTGCTCGCCAAATCGTCTTCGACAGCGACGGCTGCAGCAGCTTGTGCTCCGCGACGATGCGGTGGTACGCCCCGACCGCGGCGGCCCGGACCGCCGGCAGGGGTCCGTGAGCGGAAGCGGAGCTTGTACGGCATCGACCGAGATGGCAGATCGACGTCGTCCTTGCGCATGGGCGTGTGCCTCGTCCGACTCGGCGCCAGGGGGCCAGGAGGCATGGAGCTCGGAGCCCTGCGATCCGGCTTATGAGGTCGGGCAGCGCTCGAGGAGCTCCAGCGCGGCTTGCCGCCGTTGACCGCAAGGGTCTTCAAGCGGGTGTCGAGCCTCTGGTTCTCGTGGACCAGGATGGGCACAGTGGTGTGCAGCGCGAAGGGGTTGTATGGGCCGCGCCCGGGCACGATCCGGCCGGTGCTGTTGGCGGTCGAGGATTGGTTGCCGCCCGCCGTCGCCGAGAACTTGGAAGCGTTCCAGCGCTCTGCCTCGTACCGCTCGAGCACCTCGCAGATGTAGATCTCAAACGTGGCTGCGGCCACGTCGTAGGCCGTTTCTCCAGAGGCGTTGCGCACAAAAGGGTCGGCGTGCTGCTTAGCCGTCAGGTGGCGGACGATCGGCAGGTGACCCTTGGAGGCGGCGTTCATCAGCGGCGTCCAGCCGCCGCGGCCACCCTGGACCTCGATGTCGGCACCCGCAGTCTCGATGAGGACGCGGACGATGTCCAGGTACCCTCGCGAGCATGCATTGTGCAGAGCGGTCCATCCGTCGGCGTCCTTGGCGTTGGCATCGGCACCGGCGGAAAGGAGGAACGTCAGGACCGGCAGCTTGCCGCTCATCGCAGCCTTGTGCAGAGGTGTCTCGCCCTCCCGATCCTCCATCTCGACAATGGCCCCAGCCTCCTGCACGAGCCACTTCGCGACGTCGGTCTTGCCCTCCTTTGCAGCAAAGTGAAGTGGGACGAGCCCATTGGCGGGATTGGGCTCGTTGGCCAGAGCAAAGGCCGAGGCTCCAGATCCGCGGGGAGGCTCGGCGCAAGTTTCCTCGAAGAACTTTTGCAGCTCCGGCAAGTTGCCCCGGGAGCAGAGGGATGCGAGGCGGTCGTAGTCGATGGGTGGAGGCGTGGCAGTCCGTCTTGGCGCAGGGGTGCTCTCGGCGCTCTGGGCTGTTGTGCCGCCCTCGACGCCCTGGCCAGCCGGGGCAGGAGGTTCGGCGGCTGACTCGACCTTGGTGGCGGCCGGAGTAGGAGGTCCGTCGTCGACCGGAAGGGGTTCGACCGACTCGACCGACGAGGCCTTGTCCGCCTGCTGCTCCTCGGCCCGCTCGTCCGGAGCGCCAGGATAGACAAATTCTTCCTCGTCATCGTCGTCGTCGTCTCCGGCGGCGTCCTCGGCGTGGCCCGCACGGCGCACCGCTTCGTCCGGGCCGGTGCCCTGCAAGCCCGTTTGCTCGCCCTGCTGCTGATGCTGCGAAAGCGGGTCGCCAGCCGTTTTCCCTTGGACATTCGGAGCATTGCCCGAGTCGCGGATGGTGAACGATGATCCAGCCGCGCTGTGAGGATCGCTGGCGATCCCCTTGTCTTCACCAGTGATCCTGAGGTCCTCAAGCGCCTTGGAGGGGGCCGGCGCCGGGCTTGGAGAGCCCCAGGCCAGTTCGGCGCTTTCGTTTTCGAGCCCGGGCGATGTTTTAGCAGCGGCGGTGGAGCCGTTGGCGGTCGCGGCCGGCTTCTTGGCGCCGAAGCTCGATCCAGAACGAGGAAGCCTTTCCGAAAGGAAGCTTTGGTACTGGGCCTGGGCCTGGGGCGGTGCATGCATGCTGGCGCGGGCGCCGCCGTTGGCCGTGGCGGCATTGACGTAGGACGAACGAGACTCCAACTCCTGCGCGGGCGAAGGGGGTGCAGACGACTTGGACGAGTCGGCGGCAGACGGGCTGAAGCCGGACCACGGGTCCTCGGCGGCAGCGGCGCTGCATTCAAAGTGGCAACGTCTGGTCGTCAGTCAGTGACCCTGGATCTCGACGACGGACCGGATCGTGCAGGAGATGGCAGCGCTCACCCGTAGCCGCTGGATCCTGCTCCGAGAGGATCAGAGCCCGACATGGTGATGGACGCTGCGTCTCGGTCCTCTTTTAGGGCGTCTTTGTTGTTCGGACCGTGGGATCGATGTCGGGGGTATGGGGTATGGCGAGGGCCGGATCCGATCGAGATGGCTGGAAGGAGATGGTCTGCGTCGGATCGGTGTCTCGTCGGCTTCTAACACAGGGAAGGTGTTGCGGGGCGCGATCTCGGTCGTGGTGGCATGCACGGTCGTTGGTTGGCGGGCCGAAAGGAGCAGCACAGGAGGCGGCAAGACACCAACACTTTTCTGGCTGGCTGGCCGTGGCTGGCTGGGCTGGCTGGCTGGCCCACGCCCCCTTCCTTTCACCTTCCCCCGCTGAGAGAACTAGCTGGCCAGAGCGCCCAGCTGGCTGCTGCTCTGTCTCTCGCCTGCCTGCCTGCCTGCCTGCCTGCCTGCCTGGGCCCGATTTTTCTTCGGGCGGTGACGCCTTTTTGGCCTTGGGTGCACCGTGCGCCTGCCCGGCGCGGCCGGCTGGCTGCACCTGCAAGCTTCTTCTCGACCTTCTTCTGCGTCGAGCTTGGCATGCCATCAGCGACGCCTCCCATCTCTTCCTCCATGCCCGCACACCATGCGAACCGGGACTGCTCTCGTATGGCTTCTCCTGATTTCCACATTTGATTTCATGTTTCGGTATCCTGGCTGGCCGGCCGGCTGCGAAAGACCGTCTCAAACGTGGCGTCCCTTCGGCCTGTCAGACTCCTCCTGCGGCCCGGTCTGCTGCTGCTGATCGTCAAGATCGCCGAGCCGCTGGCCCACCTTGACCTTCTGGCCCGCCTCGAGGTCAAACTTGAACTCGTTGGGCGCCTCAAACACGAGCACAATGGTGCTGCCGAGCAGGAAGCCGCCCATCTCGTCGCCGGCGCCGAGCGGCTGCCCTCCGAGCAGCATGCTCGCCGCGCCATACGACGCCTCCGAGTACGTGCCCGCCAGCGAGCGCTGCTTGCGGACGTTGGTGCGCAGCGCCTTGTCAAAGTTGATGCGGATCGAGCCCACGTTGGTGGCACCCACCGGCACCATGCCAAAGAAGCCGTGGCGCCATCGCCCGAGCAGGGCCACGCGCTCGTTGAGCACAAACAGGTTCGAAAGCCGGTTGGCCATGTAGGGCGAGACCGAGTAGAGCTCGCCGCGGAAGTGGCGGCGTCGCTCGGCCACCCAGTTGGTCGGGCTGTGGAAGCGATGGTAGTCGCCCGGCGCCAGGTAGATGACGCAGAAGAAGAGCTTGTGGCCCTCGCGGACGCCCTCGCGGCCGGGCGAGTGCGGCTGCAGCAGCGGCGGCAGCGCGCTCGAGCCCATCTCGTAGGCGACGTTGGCGTACCGCCCGAGCACCTCGGGCGTATCCGGCGTCGGCATGCCCGCCTCGTCGACCTGCTTCTTTTCCTCCCTCTGCGATGCGGGGTCGGTGCGCTCCTCGGGCGCCTCCTCGCCCTCCTCCCTGGCGACAGGCGCCGGCACGCCGGTGACGTTGGAGGTCTGCTTCGACTTGTCCACGGACTTTCTCCAGTAGGACGGCGTGATGAACCGGAAGATGCTCTTCTTGCGCGGCTTCTCGGGCTCGGCCGGCTTGTCCTTTTCGTCGCCGAGCAGCTTGTCGAGGCTGTACTGGATGCCGTTGACGTTGGCAAACTCGCGCTCGTCGATCTTCTCGTGCTTGGCGGCGCGAACCACCTCCTCCGTCGTCTGAGGCTCCGACGTCGAGCCGAGCAGGGCGTCGAGCGAGTAGGTGATGCCCTTGACCTGCTCGACCCGCCGGCCGCTGATCTCGCCAAAGTGAAGCACGGTTCCGTCTGCGGGCGAGACCTGTGGGGCGGACAGCGCGACGAGAGGTGTCAGTACCGCTGCACAGATATCGCCGTGGCGAGAAAGACCGGGCCCCTTGAAGAAGAGCTGGACAAGGGGCGAGAGTAAAGGGCACTCACCAGGATCGAATCGTCAATCTTGCGGGCGCCTTCCTTGAGCTCTCGGTAGAAGAACTCGCCAAGGCTCGCGTAGTGGGTGAGGTCCGGGTCTTTCATCTCGTCGAGGTTGCAGCCAAAGATGCGAGCGTAGAGCCGGAAGCCAAATGGCCGGAACCACACGGGCAGGGTGAGGTTGTTGGCCCAGCCCCAGGCTCGGCTGATGGCGTTGAGGGGCAGCGCGCCGATCACGTAGACGGTCCAGGGACCGGACATGCGCACCACCTGGCCGTTCTCGTCGACAATCTTGTGGCCGACGCCGCGACCCTCCTGCTCCGCCACGTAGTCCTTGCGAGCCTGGACGCCGATGAGCACGACGGCTCCGAGGAGCACCGGGATCGGGTACCACTTGGTTGGCGTCGACTTCCACGCAGTCGAGAGGCGACTCCCGAGGGGTCGACGTCTCCCGTCGCCGCCAGCGCCAGCGCCAGCGCCGCCGCTGCCGCTGCCGTTGCTATCGGAACCCTGTTCCTTCTGAGCCCGCTCGGCAGTCTCTCTGGCCAGCCTTTCGCGGGCGGCCCGGTTGCCCCTCACCGTGTTGGCCTCATGCTCGGCCTGGAGAGGGTCGCGGGAGTAGGTGCGGCGTTGAGATCGGGGCGAATGCCCGGTTGGCACGGTAGCTGTCGGCCTTGCGCTCGGATCCAAGGCGCGCGATGCGATGCTGCGCGTCTGCGCGAAGTATGCTCCTGGACGAGTTGAGAGGAGCACAAGAGTACCCTCGAGCGCCACGACACCCCGGAGGGCGCTCCTGGCCTGCAGTGAGCGGGACAGGGCCCCCGTCGCTCGACCGTTGAACGACATGGCGGACGGAGACGAGTGGGACGCCTCGCCGTTGTCACCGTGGGACCGCTAGCGTTTCGTCGGTGGGAGGCCGACGCTTTAAGCCTTTGTCTAGGTCAACAGAACGATGCGGATTCCCCGCCTTTCAATGCAGCGAACGGCGGTGTGTGAGTGAGGGTTTTGCTTGAAGGAGTGTTTGCCGCCTTTGCGGAAGGCGTGCGAGAGAGAGCGAATGGAGTGAGTGGCGGGGGGTCAATCGATGACGAGAGCAGGAAGAAAGGTGCCCCCATCGGCAGCAGAGGGCCAGGCCCCCGGGCCTGCGCTTAAGCCATCCTCGACCCGAGGGAAAAATCCAGCCTGAAAGTGCAGGCGCAGGCGCAGGCGCAGGCGCAGGCGCATGCGCGGGGTCCCATCCTCTGGCTATCGGCCGGCTGGAGCCGCGTCTCAAAGACATCTCTCGATGGATGGCTGAGCTCCCAAACAGGCTTCGAATGACCCGTGGATGCAAGGTATAACAGTCACTACTATTCGCATTCTGAGTTCACCGAGGAAGGGCGGGCTGAGACAGAGGCCGAGACTAGGGCACGGGACGGAGCGGAGCGGAGCGCAACGACGAGCTGAGAAAGTCACGCTGCACAAGGACGCTGGTGGGTAACGGGTGGCGTCGCTCGTCGCGATGGGCAGCAACGGGCAATCGTCCGGCGTGCGACCTGGCAGCGTGCTGCCGAGGCTTTGCGAAAGAATCCTTCGGCGGGATTGCATCAGCCTAGTAGTTGTTTGTGGCGCCGTACTGCGGGGGAGGAGGGCCGCCGTGGGGGTAGTAAGGGCCCTGCTGAACGTGGTCAGTGGGCACCCACTCGCCGTTGCCCGTGTACTTGATGCCACCCTGTCCGTAGCGCTCTTCGGCCCGCATCTTCTTGAAGATGAGCCAGACTGTGGCGGGAGAGGGAAGGGAAGAAATGCGAGGGTAGCAGAAGGATGTTCAGCGCGGGTCTCGGTGCCAAAGTCGAAGCGGTCGCAACGGCACGCCGTTCGCAGCGGAGGCACAGACTCACAGGCATGGATCGTTCCCGGCAGCACACTATGTAGGTGGAATGGCGGCGAAGGGTCAAGAATCGCCAGATGTATGAGCGTCAGTAGTGTCCTCCGCGTGCAGCAGGGAATCATGGGATGCCAAGGCAGTCTCCGTAGCAGGGCCTGGACTCACCCCAGGATGGTGAGGAGGATATTGATGATCAAGTCGCACGAGCAACCGGTCAGAAAGGCGACGGCCGCCGGCGGGAAGAAGATCGCCACTGTTCGATGCGATGCAGATGCGGCCGACAGAGGAAACAAGGCGTCAGTCCGCAGCGGATGGATGGCAGCATTCGCCGCTCGGGAAGGCCGGCATCGGCGCGCTACGCACAGAGGATCAGGATGATGTCGGATGCCTCGACCATGATGGCTAGACTCTGATATTACTGGTGGGTGGTACGGGTGAGCTAGGCGATGGTGGGCTTGAGGTTGTGAGCAAGTAGAGGGCAGGCAGCGAAGTGGATGAGGGCAGATGGAAACTTGGAGCCAAAGAGCAGAGCGGCTGCGCGCAGACGTCAAAGCTCCTGTCTGTGTGTGTGGAGGGGGGCTGTGCCTTGTCGGAGCCGCGCATGCTGACCCTGCCTCGGCCATTTGAGCGGCGCCCTGGCCGGCACAGAGACCATTCGAGTGCGGGGAAAAGCTGTTGCTTGGGCGTTTTGGCCTCAGCTCTTGACCGACCGACCGCTGCTCTTGCTCGACTTCCACCATCGCTCTCCGCCTTGGCCCTTCAGTCGCCTTCTATCGAACCAAGCAACGGCTCAGCTCAAGATGTTGGCGCTGTCGCACTCTCAGTCGCGGGCCTCCCTGCTGATCAAGACGCTCGTGCAGCCTCGAGGACCCGGACATGGAGCGCGGGCCCTGGGCTCGACGCGATCGTACACCGCCGGCAGCCTCAAGATCAACGCAGCGAGGATGATGGACAGCCTGCACGAGACTTGCAAGTGGGGAGCCGCGCATCCTTACGGATCGGGCCCCACGGAGACGGGAATGAGCAGGCTCACGCTCGATGACAACGACTTCAAAGCCAGGCGGTGGCTGGCCAAGGAGGCAGAGAGCCTCGGATGCACCACAAAGGTCGACAAGATGGGCAACATGTTCATGTTCCGCCCTGGCAAGCATCAGGGCCACGCGACGGCCGTCGGATCCCACCTCGATACCCAGCCGACGGGCGGGCGATACGACGGCATCCTCGGCATCCACGCGGCGCTCGAGGCCTTTCGTACGATCCACGAAAACAAGCTCCAGACCGAGTACCCGCTCTGCCTTGTGAACTGGACCAAGTGAGCTCGTTTGCGCCAGCGGACCGCGAGCATTCGTGACGGATGCTGACCTTGCCCGTGCTGCTCGGCTCGACGTCCCCGCAATGCCACCTTCCCGCAGCGAGGAGGGCGCGCGCTTCCCTAAATCCATCACGGGCTCGTCGGTGTGGAACGGCGACCTTGCCCTCGACAAGGCGTGGGCGTTGCAGGATGTCAAGGACGCGTCGATAACGATGCGGGACGAGCTGGAGCGGGGTGGCTTTCTGGGAGACGTCGAGGCGAGCTACGAGTCCAATCCGCTCGCCGCCCACTTTGAGCTGCACATCGAACAAGGTCCGATCCTCGAGTCGACCGGCAAGAAGGTCGGCATCGTCCAGGGCGGCCAGGCGTATCGGTGGATCGACGTCAACGTCCACGGACGAGACTGCCACACGGGATCGACGCCCTTTGAGACGCGCTCGGATGCGATGCTCTGTGCGTCGCGCATCATTGTCGAGAGCAACCGGATCGCCAAGGAGCACGGCGGTCTTGCAAGCACGGTGAGTGCACAGCAGCGACGTTCCGCACCTCATCTAGGTGCTGAGAGGCCGCGCAGACGCCGCGGTTGCTGAAGTCTCCCTGCTCGTCGCCACTGTCCAGGGCATCCTGCGGCTCTCACCCGGCAGCGTCAATACATGTCCCGGCCACGTCTTCTTCACGCTCGACATCCGCCACCCTTCGACTGAAAGGCTCGCTGCACTGACGTCAGCCATCGAGGCCCGTTCGCGTGCGGTGGCCGGGACGGGGAGCGAGCGAGGCTGCCGCCTCGAGTGGCTCGAGACCTTCCACAGCCCTGCGGTCGAGTTTCATCCGGACTGCATCAGCAGCGTCCGAGAGGCGGTCGAGGCCAACTACGGCGCCGAGTCGGGCATCGACGTCTTCAGCGGTGCTGGTCACGACACGTGAGTCGTGCAGCAGCTACCTAGTAGTGTGCCTGTGTGGTGCGAGCCGTTCGGCGAAGCGCGGTCCGCTCACACGGAACGCCCTTGCCTCCCATCATGCATCGGAACGCCCCCTCCGCTCAGGTGCGCCACGAGCAAGAGATGTCCATCCTCGATGGTCTTCATCACCAGCCGCGATGGTGTCTCTCACAACCCGCTCGAGTACTCTTCGCCCGAAGACTGGTGAGTGGTTGCGTCTTGTTGCCCAGGCTGTCGCGCGTCCGAGGGTGTTGGAACCCCTTCTGACGAGGTCGTTGCGGTACCGATCTGCTGCCTGCCTGCCTGCCTGCCTGCCTGCCTGCCTGCCTGCCTGCCGACGTCTCGGGCCTTCCCACGCGCTCTGCAGTGCCATCGGAGCCCAGGTCCTCATGGACGCAGCGCTGGTGTACGATGCGCGCAGGACCGCGTAGTGCGCTTGACCTGCTTGCGCTCACAGGCAGCCAGCGAGCAAGTTGGTGATGTGTACATGCCGTATATACGATCGATGAAGGCATGGTGTTGGCGCAAGCAAGGGACCGAGCGCAGGCTTATGCGCTGGTGAGGCTCTACTGTATCCTTCGGCCGGCGCATTACGCGAGGCGCCTCGGCTCTGACTTGGTCTGGGAAGCCAGCCAGCAGGTATCTAGAGCTCGTCCGGCCTCTGCCTGCCTGCTTTCAGGCTGGCGTGACATGTCGCAGCTAGGCACCGGAACTTACCACCTGAAAGCAGCTGCGAGTATGCTCCATCGAAGAGCGAATGCTTCCCTTCTTCCCCGTCGAAACCTACAGATTGGTAGATGGTGTAGAAGTAGGAGGGATCCGATCGAGCCTGAGGTGCCGGCACGCACACGCACGCGACTCGGCGTCTTGCTTGTGGGTGCGTGCGTGGGTGCGTGCGTGCGTGGGTGCGTGCGTGCTGGTCTGCTTCGGCTGTTGGCCCCGCGCAGATGGACGCGGGACGCAGGCGGGTCAGCGGGGAGCTCGCCCGCGCGCACGGATCCCCCGCACCGCCCTCTCTTCTGGCTGGTGGCGAACTAGCTTGCTTCTTCCCAGTGGCCGGAGCTTGAGCTTGAGTTGGGTCGAGAGCTGAGCAGGCAGGCCGGCAGTCAGAGGCTAGGCTAGGCTAGGGCCCAGCAGGGGACCGCGCCCTACCTTCATTTGCCATGCTTCCGCCGGCGGGCCGGGCCTTTATAGAGCCACCTTCGCCGTCGCTCTCTGCTTGTTTCTGCCCATCTGCGCACTCCGAGACGTCTCCGCTCCCGACCTAGCCCACACCATCTTGACCACAGCCTGGCCAGCTCCCGCTCCCGCTCCCGCTCCTTCTTGCAAACTCGCATTGACCTCCGGACGCCCAGCTGAAACGCGATGACCACTACTGCTGCCCCCGAGACCACACCTTTCACCGACACGGGCGTCACCGTCGACGACTTCACCGAATTCGACTATGTCATCGTCGGCGGCGGCACCGCCGGCCTCACGGTCGCGGCGAGGCTCAGCGAGGATCCCTCGGTCACGGTCGGCGTCATCGAGGCCGGCCTGTGGCGCCCCGAGGACCCCAAGATCAACCTGCCCATCATGATCGGCCAGACGCTCATGAACCCGGACTACGACTGGTGCCTCCAGACCGAGCCCCAGGAGCACTCCAACGGCCGTAGCTACATCTGGCCCCGAGGCAAGGTGCTGGGCGGCAGCAGCGCGCTCAACTTTCTCGTCTGGCAGCGCGGCTACTCGGGCGAGTACGACGACATCGGCCGCCTGGGCAACCCGGGATGGGGCTGGGACGACTTTGCCGGCTTCTGCCGCAAGAGCGACACCTTCCAGCCCCCCTCGTCGGAGCTGCAGAAGGCCAACCTGGCCACCTGCGACGAAAAGGTCCACGGCACCGACGGGCCCATCCAGACGTCGTTCAGCGCGTGGTACACCGAGGCGCAGCGCCCGTGGTTCGACGCCCTCAAGAGCCTCGGCCTCAACAACGCCGTCGACGGCCTAAGCGGCAAGAACACGGGCCTCTGGGCGTCGCCCGCCACCGTCGACGCCAAGAAGCACGTCCGCTCCTACGCCGCCAACGCCTACTTTGCGCCCAACAAGGACCGCAAGAATCTCAAGGTCATTACCGGCGCCAACGCCTCCAGGCTCGAGTTCGAGAAGCCCAAGGACGGCGCTTCCGGCGACCTGGTGGCTACCGGCGTCCACTTCACCGTCGACGGCAAGAGCCACTTTGTCAAGGCCAGGCGCGAGGTGGTGCTGAGCGCCGGCACCGTCAAGAGCCCGCAGCTTCTCGAGCTCTCGGGCGTCGGCCGCGCCGAGGTGCTCAAGGCGGCGGGCGTCGAGCAGCTCCTCGAGCTCGACGTCGGCGAAAACGTCCAGGAGCACCTCTACTGCACGGCGTCGTTCAAGCTGGCCCCGGGCCACATCACTTGGGACAAGATGAGGAACGACGACTTTGCCAAGGCCGCCATGGAGACGTACCACGGCGACGGCGAGGACCGCGGCATCATCGCTAGCGCCTTTTCGGGCTTCGCCTACGTGCCGCTCAAGCAGTTTATGAGCGCTGAAGAGATCCAGGCGATCAAGGACGGCGTCAACCGCGTCGACTGGTCCAAGTACTCGAAGGGCGTCCAGGAGGGCATCAAGATGCAGCTGGCGCGCCTCGACGACGAAGAGTGCCCGTTCATGGAGTACATCTTCGCCCCGGGCTTCTTTGCCACCGCCTCGCCGCCCCAGGACGGCCAGGAGTACTACAGCATCCTCTCGGCGCTCCAGCAGCCCTTCTCGCGCGGCAACATCCACATCACGTCGAGCGACCCCACGGCGGCGCCGCGCATCGACCCGAGGTACTTTTCCGTCGACGCCGACCTCGAGATCCTGTCCAAGGCGGTGCGCTACAGCAGCACCATGGCCGAGGCCCCCTCGCTCAAGGACATCACCGTCGGGCGCCAAGACCCGGACCCGGAGAAGTACAAGACCGAGGACGACTTCCGCGAGTTCACAAAGGACCAGGCGGTGACCGAGTACCACCACATCGGAAGCTGCAGCATGATGCCGCGCGCAAAGGGCGGCGTCGTCGACGAGCGCCTCCGCGTCCACGGTACCGCCAATGTGCGCGTCGCCGACGCCAGCATCATCCCGCTCCACGTGTCGTCGCACATCGTCTCGGCCGTCTACGCTGTGGGCGAAAAGGCGGCGCACATGATCAAGGAGGACGCCGCCGCCGCCGCCGCCACGGGCGCCACGTCGGGCGGTCTCCTCTCTCGCATAGCGAATGACATTGCCTCGAAGCTCTCGCTCTAGCCTGACTCGACCTCGTCGCCCCGCCGATGCAGGCCAGCAAGTGCTCCATGTCGCCCCGCTTCCACGCTCTGCCTGCTCACGCTCCTGCCGCTGCCTCTGCTACTGCCGCTGCCCTCTGCGCAGCCCCTGCATCGACTCGCTTCCCCGTCTTCTCTCTGTCATCTTGTACATTCAACGCCACACATGCCATACCACGCCGCGCGAATCCGGCCGGGGTCGAGCTCAGCTCGCCTTCAGCATCTCATCCTCAGCAAGCAGAGTCTGACCTGGATCTGGCTTGTTGTCGGTACCGGGCGGGATGCCAGGTTTGTTTGAGGAAGTGTATCGTGGCCAGGCCCATACTGCACAGCGGAGCCATGTGCGGGACCGTGCTGCGCGGGGTAGAGTAGAAGGCCGTCCGCGGGGGCATGCGACTGGCCCCGAGCGCGAGCGCGATGACGTCCGGGATGTACGGCCCGCTGCGCCGCTCAGCTTTTCTCAGAACAATGCAAGTGAGGTGGCCACTAAGCAGCGTTCAACCCACACGCAGCCAACTATACAGAGTACAAGAGATGTAGAGGGATGAAACTCTGAGGCAGAGGCCAGCCTATGGAGTTCCTGTTCCTTTCTGGTGGTCGGCACATTATTAGCGGCAAGGCACTGTGTAAGTGGGTATGTAGATGGCAACATCGAGTCTGCAGCCGGTCGTCGACGAGCGAGGAAATTACTTCAGGCGACGTTGAATGTTGCACGGGCTGCTTGCTTCCTTGTCCGCACTCGCCGGCTCAGCCCACAACCGAAGGATTCCGCAGTCGCCGTCGTCGGCCCCCGCCGCGCCCTGGACGGTCGAGCCCCGCCGTCGTCGTAGTTCTAGCTGCCACAATGTGATTCTGCCGCCTTGCTTGTTGTCTGCGCTCGGGCGATTAGCGCAAAAGGTCCGATACAAAGGGCATTGAATCGCTGCCAAGCATGCGGACGGGATCACCGTGCCTTCGACGCCCGCCCTATGATGCCCCCGCTCGGCGATGCGGCGGTCATGGGCATGGCCTCGGCGTCACCGGCCCCGCCGCGAAACCATGTACGGCGTTCGGAGAGAGAGCTCTACTCCTCTGTTTTGAGCTGCGCAACGAGATTCCGCAGTCGGCCATGTCTCCGATCCCGTGCTTGCATGGCTGTCGCCGTTCCTGTCTGCCAGCCTCTCGAAGCGGGGGCAGACGTCACAAATGCTCGAACGAGGGCGTCCCCTTCGTTAACGACGCACGAGGCCCTTCGCTCGTCTCGCGAGGCTCGTGGACCCGATGATGGAAGGGACGCCACATTGACGCGTCGGCGGAGACGCCCCTCCGGCTCTCGTCGAGCCATTCAAGCAAGCCATGGATCGCAATCCTACACCTTGCTGCGCGGCTGCCTTATTGTCCTGAGTGGCCGTTGGCCTCGTCAAGCGCTACAGTAGCGACAGGAATAGGCGCTGGCACAGAAATCTCGACGATGTAGCGTCGTGAGTGCTCCTCGACGACGTCAGCCCGTCGAGGGCGATCTGGCTTGGCGGCAGATAGGAGGTCCATCCCGTTTGCAGGGCCTATGCAGCTATAGATTACAGAGAAGTGAGTTCATAGCCCCGCAAAGTCAGTTGGCGAGATGGGTCTGCCCCCGGCCTCCAGCAGGCGTGCTCGGGAAGAGATACCGCTAGATGGTGATCTAGATGCCGTTGTTCATAGCCAGGCAGGCAGCTCGCCGTTGCGGTCATGGCGAAGATCAGAATCTAATTGGCACCTCGGAACGAAGGAGGGAGCTGACTGAAGGGCATACCCCCTCGACGACAAGTTAAGAGGCGTGCGACGATGATGGAGGAGGTGCAGGGTCGATGACGATGAGCGACGCAGACTGTCGTGGCGCGTCAAGCTAGGAACGTCACAGGCGTAGCGTGCGCCTTTCTCGCACCCGCTTCCTGTCCGCAGTCTTGCACGAAAGCACAAGCAAGCAGTACCGTACAACGATGTTGGTCCGGCGTCGTTGCAGCGGCACTCTTGCCTGTATCCATCTCGTCGCGGGCATGGTGTCGTTGCGGGCGTCAGCTATCAATCGTATGTAGCGAGCGGCACCGGTGATGGCGAGCAAAGGCTGTTACCGTAGCCCGAGGTCGGCGGCCCTTCTGGCTGACGCAAAAAGACGCGGAGCCCGCTTCAAAGGTCGAGAGGGCCAAGGCCCTGGCGGTTCCTCGTGCTGTGCCGCTGCTGCTGCGATGGCCGGCCGACGTCGGCGTGGCCCTCGTCGTCGTCATCGTTTTCGCCCTCCCTCTCGCCCTCCCTCTCGCCCTCGCCCTCGCCCTCGCCCTCGACCCCCCCGGCCCCTAGCCTCTCGACCCTCCAACAGCAGCCTACGCTCGCCAGCCCGCCTGCCCGCCTGCCTGCCTGCCTGCCTTGCCCGACTGCCTGCTTGCCTGCCTCACCCCAGCCTGGCCTCTGTTGGGAAGGGACCCTGCATCCTAGGTCGGGCCCGTTCTGGGGCCTGGGAGGGCCCATCCTGGCGTGAGCTGGCCTGCTTGTGTGCGCGCGCCGTTTTGGGGCTAGGAGGCAGGCGGGCCTCATCTGCCAGGCTCCCCGGCGTCATATGGCAGCGCAGCTGACAATTTCGACTTCCGACCTTCGCAGCGCCGCCCCCCAACCCGCCCCTCTGGCAAACCCGCTTCAGCTCTACCACCGATCCCTACTTGATCCCTGCCTCCTTCGCTTCCTTCCCTCCGACCAACGTCTCCATCGGCCGCCCGTTCCTTTCATCCGCCTCTCCATCTCTCATCTGCAACGCTCCCGGCCATCGTCAGCCACCACCGTTTCGCACTTGGCCGCCTTCTGACCTTCGCTCGACACACAGGCAGCGCTGTGGCCAAACTCGCTCGTCTCGACTATCGACCAGACGCCTCCGGCCGACCGTCAAGCCCAGCTCGATATCTCCCGCCCAATTGCAGACAGGCAGCATCGTCACGTCGTTCAGCAGAGAAGTCACGTCCGACGACCACATCAACGACACATCTCCTCGCCGCTTGCAGCACTCAGCTTCTGGCCAGCCAGCCATACGATCTCGCCGTCACAGACAGGCCTCGACTTCCAACGCCAGCTGTTACTCGGTGGCAACCACCCAATCGCGACCCAGCCGAGGCTTCCGACGTAAACAGGAGAGAGATGCCAGTTCTGGAGCAGTTCAAGAACTTCATCAGGCACGGAAAGGCCGCTCGCGAGGACGGGCTACCGGTAAGTGGCAGTCTGCCAGCCAAAGCTTGGGAGGGTGGAACCAGATGCCTTTGAGGCCTCGCTCCTTCGGCAAAGCAGCGGCGTACTGCGAGACCTTGTGGCGACAGCGCCACCTTAAGGGCCATCTCGGACAACGAGGGTCTGGCAACGCGCCGCGGTGATTCCCGCACTCCACCCGGATCCCAGGCCGCTCGAACCGGCCTCCGCACCTGCATTTGCAGCAAAGGCCAAACCGCTGACTTCAGCCTCCCCCACACCCATCATGACTTCCGCTCGCCACGCATAGGTCGACAACTCTGCCCCCGGTCCATCCGCCCAGATTCATCCAGCCGAAACCTCGTCCTCTCGGGATCCACAGGCCCCCATCGGCAGCGCAACCTCGACCGCCAATCAAGCGAGCAGACAGGCAGGCTTTGCGCCGTCGGAAAAGAGCGCGCCCGCCCCCACAAAGGCATCGCAGGCTCACGCCTCAGCCACCGCAACGCAGAGCAGGTCCGCCGGGCAAACGTACACCAGCGCGCCAGCAGCACCACTACCGGCGAGCGTTTCGCAGTCAACAGCGTCCGGCATGCAACAGGGTCAGACAAACAACAACGGTCAGCGCTCCCACGCTGCGCCAGCGGCTGGCACCGCGGCGGCGACGGCCAAGGGTGCGGCTGCCAACGAACAGTACCAGAAAGAGGCCGAAAGGATTGTCGCCGAAGAACGCGAGGCGTCCGAAAAGATGCCCCGCTACGAGGGCCTCGACGACCGCTTCACCCTGATCTGCAAGATGGGCGACGGCGCCTTCTCCAACGTGTACAAGGCACGCGACAAGCAAACCGGTCAGAAGGTCGCCATCAAGGTTGTACGCAAGTACGAGCTCAACAGCAGTCAGGTGAGTGCTCGCCACTGTGGCAAAGCAACGCGATGCCTCTGTCGCTGTCTGGTCTCGTCTTGCCGTTCCCGCTGCGTCAAAGTGTCGCCGCCGTCTCCGTGTCGATGTGCTTTCGGTGCGGGAGCCTCTGGCCAAGGCGTCCCTCTACCGTTCGTACAAGACATCCGTGCGAGCATATCTCGAGTCTAGCGTGTTGGATCGGCCGCGGTCTTCCCCGCAGGCCGGTCTGCAGCCTCGCCTGCTCGGGCCTCGGGCGGACAGGAGCGTCCTGCGGCATGTGTCGAGCTCGCGTTCGGCTCTCCTGGTCGCGCGCCTTCCGTCTTCGTGCTACCGTGGCTCCGTCTGCTCTATGCGTCCGTCCGTCGTCGTCGCCGTCGCCGTCGTCTTCTTCTCCCTTTCTCTCCTCTTCACATTGGTCTGCACTCTTTGTGCTGTCGCCTGCCGGCATGCCCGGCCACGAGTGATCAAACTAACCATCATCTCCGTCCAATCCCTCGAACCTTGCATCCTCCTCTCTCCTCTGCTTGACCACTCTGGCCCCTGTGACGCGGCCCGATGTTTCTCCTGGCTTCCCTGTCCCCGTTTCCTGTGTCTGTTGTACATCTTTAGGCGGACGGACGGCTTGACCCCAACTTCCGGAAGAAGAACCGGGTGACAGAGGTCCGTTTCCACACACCCCCTCCCTCCCCCTCCCTGGCCTTTCCCTCCTTCCCCCGGCCTCGATTCCACTGCCTTTACCACTTCTCGCTCGCGCTGCCCTCCATCCCATCGTGCAGCTTCGTATTGACCACTCTCTCCGCCTCCCCTTGCGTCTCTCCTCTTTCCCTCTCCTCTCTCTCTCGCCCCTTTCCACTGCATCCCTCGCCGCGTTCTACTCGCGCCCCATCCTTCCATCGACCGCGTCACATGCCACTCGGCTCTTCCCCTCTGCTTCCCCCGACCAACAGAGAGCCAACATCCTCAAGGAGGTCCAGATCATGCGCAACCTCAAGCACCCTGGGATCGTCGAGCTGCTTTCTTTCTCAGAGTCGCGCGAGTACTACTTCCTCGTGCTCGAGCTTCTCGAGGGCGGAGAGCTCTTCCACCAGATCGTCAAGCTCACGTATTTTAGCGAGGCGCTTGCGAGGCACGTCATCTTGCAAGTCGCCCACGGCATCCGCTACCTGCACGAGGAGCGCGGTGTCGTCCATCGGTGAGTCATGCCCCGGGCGCCTTTTGCCGCGACGCCGTTCCTGTGCTGACCCCTCTCCGCACCTCGCCAACCGCGCCCGCTCTCCCACTCCCGCAGCGATATCAAGCCCGAGAACCTTCTCTTCGAGTCGATCAAGGTGATCCCGTCCAAGAATCCGGTCCAGCGCCCTTACGACGAGGACAAGGAAGACGAGGGCGAGTTCATGCCCGGGATTGGAGGAGGTGGCATCGGCCGGGTCAAGATCGCCGACTTTGGCCTCAGCAAGGTCGTGTGGGAAGAGAGCACGATGACGCCGTGCGGCACCGTCGGCTACACGGCGCCCGAAATCGTCAAGGACGAGCGGTACTCGAAGAGCGTCGACATGTGGGCGCTTGGCTGCGTCCTGTACACGCTCCTGTGCGGCTTCCCGCCGTTCTACGACGAGTCGATTTCCGTACTTACGGAAAAGGTGGCCAAGGGCTACTACACCTTCCTCAGCCCGTGGTGGGACGACATCAGCGAGGAGTCCAAGGACCTCATCACGCACCTCCTCTGCGTCGACCCTCGGCAGCGCTACACGATCGACGAGTTCCTGGCCCACCCGTGGTGCAACGTCAAGGACCCGGTGCCCAACCTCGACTCGGCCGACATCCTGCTGGCCAAGACGTCCGAGATGCCGCTCGACTCGCCGCTGCTGGCGGCCATGAAGACGGGCAACCCGGCGCGCAACGCCATGATGTCGCCCGGCATCAACCGGCTCAAGGAGGCCTTCGACGTCACCTACGCCGTCCACCGGATGGAGGAGGAGGGCGCGCGGAGGCGGCAGGGGGCGCAGGCGCCGCTGGGCGAGCTCAACGAAGAGGACGAGAGCGACGAGGTCGACGAGACGCGCCGCAAGCACGGCGAGCAGGCCGGACGCGCCGTCGAGCAACATCGCGTACCTCGACATGTCGAACAGCCGCAGCAACCCCAGCAGCAGCAGCAGCAGCCAGCGCAACAGCAGCAGCAGCAGTACCAGGGGCGCGGTGGCGCTGACCGCAAGCTTGCCGAGGCTGCGCTGTACGAAGGCCGAGCTGGGCCGCGCGATCGTGGCAACCACGGCAGCTCGGGTCGCAAGCGCGGCTTTGAGCTCAACATGAGCGGCGCCACGCTGCTGGGACGGAGGAACAAGGCGGGCGGCGGCATGAACGGCTTCCGTCTCGACGCCAACGGCAACCCGGTCATCGACGGCGCGCACGCCGCGGGCATCGTGCCGGGGAGTCCGATGCGGGTCGACTAGGTGATCCTACCTTGCAAGCTGCGCCAGTTCGCACTGGCCCCCCTTTGCCTACCTTGCACGTCTACCGGTTCGCATCACATACCGCATCGCATCCATCCCTCGTTGCTCACCTTAGCTCCCTAGTCGTTGCCCCGTCCTCTTACCCCGCCCTACACCCTCGACTGTACTTTGTTGCCCTCGCCCTTTCGCCCGTCCTCACACCCTCCTCGCTGCCCCTCTTCCGGTCCAAGAGTTGCCATCGCTGCCGTGTTCCACGTTCTCGTTCTGTACTATTCTCAGAGTAATGCCACACTCCGCTTGCCGATTGCCCGTTGTGCTGCTCGCTGGTTCGTGTTGCGTGTCCCGTCGCCAGGCGGCGAGCGGCCAGCCAGGCAGCGGCGGCTGGCAGGTGGCGGGTGGCCGGCCCACTGGCACGAAAATGAGGGTGGTTGTGGAGGCATGCCTGGCGCCGTTGGCCTGCCTGGTCGAGCACGCCGGCTAGCCTCGTCTTGTTTCTTCCTTTTGCGCCCTCACCCTTCTCCGCCCGCATCCTCCTCAGCCCCCATCATCCCACGTCCTCCGGCATCGGTCTAACTCAGCACTCACACACTGCGACGCACCACGCTCATTCCTCTCACTCTTCCTCGCCATCTCGCCGCCCGCAGCACATCCTCCCGTCCGCCTACCTGGTCAGAAGGCCCTAAGCCTCCCCCGCTCCCCTCTCCGCAGGCCAAGATGCCCAAGATCCGCACGACGCGCTCCAAGCCGCCGCCGGAGGGGTACGAGGAGATTGCCTCGATCCTCGACGACTACGACCGCGCGATGCGCGACGCGGAAAACGAGAGCAACGAGGGAAAGCGCAAGGCCGAGTCGCTCTGGCCCATTATGCGCATCAGCCACACGCGCTCGCGGTACATCTACGACCTCTTCTACAAGCGCGACGCCATCTCGCGCGAACTCTACGACTGGCTCATCAAGGAGGGCTTTGCCGATCCAAAGTGAGTCGCAGAGGCCTCGTCGTCATTCCCAGCTTCGTACCATGCCGTCGAGCCGCCTAGTCCGAGAGAGAAGGACGAGAAGGCTGATGGTCTACCCCTCTCTCCCCTTCTCTCCCGCCATACTTGGTCATCCACCAACAGTCTCATCGCAAAGTGGAAGAGAAACGGCTACGAAAAGCTCTGCTGCGTGCGGTGTATCCAGTCTCGGGTACGTCTGCCAAGTCGTTCCCGCCCGTCATCCTTCTTGCCCGCCGCAGCGACTGAGCCAGCCCCTCCTTTGACCCTGCTCTCTCGCTCCTCGCTCCTCGCCCCTCGCCCCTCGCTCCTCGCTCATCGCTCCTTGTCCACTCGCTCATTCTGCAGGACATGAACTACCAAGGCTCGACATGCATCTGCCGCGTCCCCAAGTCGCAGTTGAGAGCGGGCACCGTCGTCGAATGCGTACATTGCGGTACGTCCTGGTCCCAGCATCGCGCAGGACGCTCGGGCAACTAGCCGATCCTGAGGCGTTACGGACCGAGCGAGCGACGAGCTGACCTCGTTCGCTTCCCTGTTCTCCCCTCTCTTGCACGCTTTGGTCCACGTCAGGCTGTCGAGGCTGCGCATCAGCCGACTGAAGCTGCATCGTGCAACCCTACTTCTGCGCCTGGCACCCAATCCGCAAGAGATCTCACCAACGACATCCCCGTCTGCTCCGGGCAGGCCAGTTGCCCCTTTCATCAACCAGTACCCGCCTGCCCTCGACCGGCAACCTCGCCCAACGCCGTCCGGCTCAGCATTCCAGCACCTCGCATCCCGTTACACTCCAGCACAGCGCAGCACGACGGCGCAGACAGGACTCGAGAGACAGGGAGACGGGCCCGCTTGGGATTACACGTGTTGAGAGAGGGGCGAGGGGGCGGCTTTGTGCCAGACATTAGCGGTGAGGGAGTATCCCTGGGTAACGGGACTGAAGGGGGGAGGTGATCTTCTACCAGAACAACAAAGGAGGTTGAGGGGACAAGACGACGACGGAGAGAGGAGGAGGAGGGAGAGAACGGCGGCGACGACGACTTTACGAGACGGGACAATTGACGGACGTTGGGGCGCGCGGCGAGGGGACAAGGACGCAGGCGCCGAGCGCGAGGCCGAGGCTGGGGATGATGGCGGAGGAGTGGGGGGCTGGCTCGAATCGGCCAGGACTGATGCAAAGATCGGGACGATGCGATGGGCCGGCTACACTGGTGTGGCGCTGTCGAGCTGCTGATGCTGAGTGATTAGAGGAACCTTTTGATAACGAGACGGGTTGTAAGGGCGAGGGGCGAAGGCTTGCGCGGCCATCAGGATCCCTAGATGGAGCGAGATACGGGACCGGCGCACGAGTATCGGGCCTGCGGCGGCCAGAACGGGTGTTTCTCCATCGCGGCACCCGGGAGGGGTCGGGGAAAACCCGAGGGCAGTGCGCCGTCATCGGGCGATGCCGGCCTCCATCTTGGGCGACGCGACGCTGGCAGGGGCGCTGGGCGCTGTCGAGGTAGCTGCGGTGGTGGCCGAGACCTTGCGGGACGACGCATCACCCGACTGCCTGGACCCGCCGTCGTGGCTGCTGCTGGCTTTGCTGCCGCCGTGAAGGTCCGAGGATCGGAGCTGCATCGCCTCGACGACCTCGCGACCGATGGCCGGTCCGGCGTTTTCGTGCGGGTCGATGCGGCCGGCCTCGAGCGCCTCAGTGTACTCCTCGACGCTCTTGACGAGCTGCACAAACCTCGGGTCCTTGATGAACCGCGGCACCGAGTCGGTGGCCATGAGCTGGAAGATGTGGTCCTGGATGCGGTCGTAGAGGCGCACCATCGTCTGCAGCTGGCTGGCGTGGAGCGGGATGCGGATCCGCTGCGACGCCACCGAGGCCTTCTTCTCCTCGAGGCTGGTCTCGGAGCGGTTGGCGGCAGAAGAGGCGAAGACGCTGCCGCCGGCCTCGCTCGGAGGCGTCGACGTCTGTGCAGCCGAACCCGCACCGGGCGTGAGGGCGCCGGTGAGGGCACCGGCCGCCTTGGCCTCGGCGAGGATCTTGTTCATGTACACCACGAGCTCAGCGCGGAGGTTGTGCTCGATGTTGAGCTCGCTCGGCGAGGCGGGTGCCAGGTAGGTGTTGAAGATGACAAAGGCCATGCTGACCAGGTCCTGCTGGTGGCGCTCCATCGCCGTGTATCCAGGCATGGGCGCGTCCTTGTCCTTCTCGCCTGCGGCCCCGCTCAGTGCGCCGGTCAGGGTGCGGCCGAGCTTGCGGCCCATGCCAGTCTTGTGCGAGGCGGCGCCGTTCTCGGCCGGCCCGGCCGGACCGCGGACGGCCATGGCGCTGCTGGTGGTGTGGAACCTGCGCTTGAAGTCCTGAACATCGAGCCAGAAGCTCAGATTCTCCTCGCAAAAGTTTTGTCTCAGGAACTCGCGGAAGAGGAGGCGGAGCGCGGGCTCCTCGAGGATGTTTTTGAGACGGTTCGTGTTGCTGTCCCTCGAGCTGTAGGCCGAGGTGTCGGCGATGCCCTGGCCAATGGCCGCCGCTGGGACCGTAGCGACGTGGTGACCGTTGGCTTCGCCCCGAGAGCGGTCGACTGTAGATGCTTTGCGGGAGAGCGTCCTGTCCTTTGGGTTCGACGGGTTCGGGCTGGAGGGGATGTCCGCAAGCTTGGACTTGGCCTCTGCCGCCTTGGCCGGGTGGACGCCCGCATCTCCGTCGCCACGCTCGGCCAGCCCGGACTCGAACGTGTCCGAGGACCGCCTTCGATGCGAGCCATTGGCCCTGAACGAGCCGTTGGCGTCGGTGCCTGCCGGCTGATCCCACCTGGCGACCAGTCGGCCGCGTTCGGTGACGCCGTAGATGGTCTTGTGATGGCAGCGGAAGTGACCCTCGGTGACGTTGCCACGACCGTCGTCGACTCGGACGATGACGTCGCGGTCGTCGTAGGGCTCCTGCTCCCTTCGCGACTTGTCGACGATCTGGGTGAGCAGGCCGACGCGGACAAAGTGCGCCGCGATCTCGGCAGCCTCGTCCTTGCCGCAGACAGTTGTGAAGTCGCACAGCCAGTCGATCGCCGCCAGCGCGTGGAAGGTGTGCCGGAAGGTCTTGAGCCCTTGTCCCTTGACCTTTTCCTGGATGTCGGCCACCTCGATGCCCATGGCGCGATCAAAGTTGCTGGATGTCTCCGGCGAAGGCCGCGCAAGAGCGGCGTCTTGGTTGTAGTTGGGGCTACGACCCGCGACTCTTCGGAAGATGACCTCGAGGACGGGGCCGTTGATGAGCAGCTCGTCGTCGCTGAGGCGCCTCTCGAGGTGGAGCAGCTTCATACAGATGGGCTGGGAGGAAAAGACCTTGAGCAGGTGCTCGCCATTGATGCCGTTCTTGGTGATGAAGCGTTCTAGGATGTGAAGGCCTTTGGGCGTCAGCACGTAGACGCCCTTGTCCTTGAAGACGCTGCTCGTCGTGTCTCCGGCGTTCTCGATCAGGCGGGCGTCCATGAAATGCTGGCAGATGCCCTTTGCCATCTCGCGGTTCATGCTGAACGTGGTGGTCGTGGTGGTCGTAACGATGCGGCTCGGCTCGTTCGGATCAGGCACCCGGTTCGACTGAGAGAATTTGAGCGCGGACAGATTCTCGGCGGCCTCGTCGGTGGTGAACGAGTTGTGGTAGGTCTTGAAGTACTGGCGGTGCGTCGTCAGGTTGAGCGAGACAATCAGCGTAGCAAAGAGGTCGTGGGTGTCCTGGTCGATGCACATGGCGGAAACAAGGTCGAGCAGCGGTGCGTCAGCATCAGGACGACGGGCGAAGGATGTCGAACCTCATTGCAGCGGCAGAGGCGGCGCTCGGAGGCAGGCACGACTGCAACTTCACGCCTGGCAGTCGGTCGTGGGCACTCACTTTCGCAAAGGGCCGGCCCCTTTTCGTCGTCTTCATCATCCTGCTGCTCGTGTGCTGCCGCGTGCGGGTGGCCAGGTCCCCCTGCAGGCTGCTCGAGCTCCCGTTTGCTGACATGGTGGGGTATTGCGCTGCAGCCGATTGAGATCTGCGCGAAGGCAAGATCACATGAGATGCACCGGGGAGTAGGATGACGGTCGGCGTCCGTCAGCCTCGGCGTGCTAGAGTGGTAGCAGATGCGGGGGAAAGGGGGGCGATGTGCGAAGATTGGGAGCTCGACTTACGTGCGGTCTTATATAGGAAGCAAGGCGGTAGTAGGCGATGCGCGAGCAACACCAGGCTGGCGGCCGAGATCAGATGCCCCTGAACCGACAGGGGTTGTGGCTGTACGATCCTCGTCTCTACAGCTACAGAGTCGATAAGCGCGACCGGCGAGCTTTCGCAGGGAGCGCGAGCGGATCAAAAGATGGACGAGTCCCGAGGTCGGCGAGCGACGACTTCTATGCTCTCGGCCCTAAGGCTTGCGATGGGCTTATTGGGCGAGAGGCAGAGCTGATAGCGTGGTGATCAAGCCGATTTCGTCGAAAGTGAGGGATCCTCGTACAGTGCTGGTAGAGTCGGGCTGCCCGGCAAGGCCGAACGCAGCGGGGCCAGCAGAAGGGTGCGTTGCGATGTCGGATCGGATCGGGTCGGGCCGTGGGGCGATGGTGATGTGGTGTCTCGGGGAGGAGCCGAAGCTTCGTAAGATGCGAACAGAGCGGGAGAGGAGCCGATGCAGGAGCGGAGGGAAGGGTATGAAGGATGATAAAGCACCGACGGAGGATGGGGATGAGGGAGATGGTGAGGTGGTGCTCGATGGCAACAGCGAGCGGAACGGGGGGGGATGAGGGGATCAAGCAAAGCTAGCTACCGGAACCTGGCAGGCTTTGAAACGAGGCAGGCGAGCAGGGACGGACAGCGAGCAGCCAGGCAGGGCCAGGCCGAGCGGCGGCTGTTGCACAAGCTCGCACGCGCTTTCGGTCGGGCTGCGGGCCACGCCCGCCTAGCGGCGAAAGCAGATCCAGGCCAGCCTACGACCCCGGTCTAGAGGCTGGCTTAGAGCCTAGCCTGGCCAGGCCAGGCCAGGCCAGGCCAGCCTGGGCCGCAGGGGTGGCGCGCGGGCAAACGCAGCGCAGCGCAGTGCAGCCAGCCTCTCTGGATTTGATTTTTTTCCTCCCGGCTACGGTTGCACGCCGTCTGCCTGCTGCTCCCGCCCGCCCAGACCACAGGCTGGCCTGCGTTTCCGCTCCCTGCTTGCTCCTCGTGTTGTCGGCCCCCCTGCCGCCTGAAAAGTTCGGTTGGGCCGCGCCAAACCCGCCGCCTCTCCAACCACATCTCCACGCAACCTCGGAGGGCTTTCAGAGCCACCGTCGGTGTCTTCCGGCAGCTGAGCATCCCAACCTGACGGCACCGTCCCACGCCAAAAATCCTGCCTGACCTCAATCCGAGAGGGTGGCGGCGAGCCAGGGGCGCGAGAGCCGGCTTTCCCGACACCGGATCCACCTCGCCGCCCTCGGAGCGGTCGTCGCCAAGAAGGTCCCATGGCAGAGTTCTTCTCACACACACACACACACACATCACCACAATCGCCGCTCTTGTTGCCTCGAGATGCGCTGCAACCATGGCATGAGCAGCCAGGCAGCAGCGCATCGCATGTATGTAGGTGTGGACACGCAGAGGCAGGGGGCGGTCAAGGCCCGCTGCAGCGATGCATCTCCATAGAGACAAGAGCCACCACCGTACCAGGCACCACCAGCAGCTCAGCCGGCTTGGCCCCGCCGCCAACGGCCTTTGCCGTTTTGTGGCTGAACCTTGCTCGCAGTCTGATCCGTGCAACTCGGCCTCATGCTGGTCACACGCGCTACCCATCCATACCTTACGCTGCGAGGGCAGTACCTAGTACATGTCGAGTGCGTGCTCGTCGTCGTTGGTGAGGGCAGAACTAGACTGCTAACTAACTTAAGTCGAAAGAGGTCACGGATCCAGCGTATTGCCGGCGCTCGCCGACGACGACGGCGTCTCGGATGCGAAGAAGGGGGCCGGGCAGCCACAACCGAGGTCAATCAATCTACGTACCCTGACCTGCGGGCCTGGCCTTGCCTGGTGGTGCCCACCCGCCGCCTTGGGTCAGAGCGACAGGCAGGCGGCAGACAGGCAGGCAGCCAGCCAGGCTAGGACAGCTAAGACGTTGCCTGCCCCCCCCCCCCCCGCTCGCCGGAGACCGAAGCACCATCAGGTAACCCAACCTTGAATGCGTGGCACCCCAACCCAAACTCCGCACCTTTGCCGCCGCCAGGACAGGCGCCAGGCCAGCTGTATCCATCCACGCACCCGGCACCGCCTGTTCCGCCGGGAAGCACAGAAACCTAGCTTATGTACCGAATCCGAAGAGACCTTCGAGAGAGGGACAGAGGCAAGGGTAACGTTGGAAGTGACACCGCATCTAGCTCGAGAGATGGTACGGTTTCGCTGGTGGGGCGGCCGGAGGTGCGCGATCGGCCCACCGCACGTGGCAGCAGAGCGGCCGTCTCTACCTGATGGCTCCTTCCGACGAACGTCGATGCGCACCCGCCACCTCACCCCAGCTCGGCAGCCTTTTGTCCGTGTATAGGCGACCACTCTTTGGCGCGATCTGTGTGCGCGATTCGCCGGCGGTCCGAGCGGGAGCAGCCGCGAGCAGTACGACGCCGCCGTCGTCGGTCGGAAAACGAGCGCTGCGACTGGGAGATCTCCAGCCGCGCCACATCAGACTGGAGAATGGCAGCTGCTGTTGCGCGTGTACCTGTATTGTATGCAGAGACGAGGCAACAAAGGAGAGGTATGGTGGTTTCTGCAGGGTCCCATGCTTGCTGTGATGTAGAGGAATAAGGAGCGACAAAGGGGAACCGGTCGAGAGAGAGAGAGAGAGAGAAAAGGGAGAGACAGAGGGGAAGAGAGAGAAAGGACAGGAAACTGCCGCGAGGAAAGGGTGCGGGCGTCGGCTTTGTCGCGACGTCTACTTTTTCAGGTGTCGCCACAGGGAGCTTTGCTGGAACTGCCAGCCTTCTTCAGGCACGCTGAAGACATGGTCCAGCAGTCGTGCAGCCGTCGGACGCTTGGCCGGGTCAATCTCGAAGCAGTTCTTGAGGAAGTGTGCGGCCTTCTTGGACAGGGTGACGTCGGCGGGAATCGGCGGGGCGCGACGCTCGGCACCGATCTGCAGCGTCAAGAGGCATCAAAGGGAAGAGAGGGGCAAGGAGATGACGCCAAAGGGGGGAGGAGCAAAGAGGGAGTCAGCCTGCGCTCGCCGTCGTTTCCGGCCGCTCCGATCTGATGGGGAGGACTTGGCTGCACGCACCTTGAACATGGCCTGGACAGCTTCGTCGTCCGACCACGGCCTCCGACCGGCAAACATTTCGAGCACCACGCAGCCCAGACTCCAGATGTCAACCTTGGCCGAGTAGCCCTTCTTGGAGAGGCTGACGACCTCGGGCGCCATCCAAAAGATGCTGCCCTGCAGCGACATGTCCTCGACGTTGCCATAGATGTCGTCGCTGCGGCGGACGGTGCCAAAGTCGGAAATCTTGCAGATGCCCTCAAAGTCGACCAGGATGTTGTCGGCCTTGAGGTCGCGGTGGAGGATGCCCTTGCTGTGCAGGTAGGCCAGGCCCTCGAGGATCTGGTGGAGGAACGACTTGATCGTCGCCTCCTCGAACTTGCCGTGCTTGCGGAGGCAGCTGCCGACCGAGCCACCCGGCACGTACTCGAGGAAGATGCTCAGGAACGACGCAGTCTCCTCGAATCCGAGATAGGCGACAATGTGCGGGTGGTCGAGGTCTTTGAGCGTCTCGATCTCAGACTTGAGGGCCGCGACGACCCCCTTCTGACGGCTATCTTCGCGGTCACTCGCCGTCCTCGGGAGCTCCACCTGCTTGACGGCGATCATCTCGCCGGTCGTCGCGTTGAGCGCCAGGTAGACGCGGCCGTAGGTGCCCTTGCCGATCAAGTCACCCTTGACCCACTTGAACACGGGACGTCGACCACTCTCGCCAGAGGGCGACTCGGCCGGGGTGGCCGACGCCGGGGTGCCGACTTCCTGACCGGGTGTCATCTCGATCACCTTGGTGCCCCAGAGGCGGGTGCTGCGACGCCTCGCCAGGGCCGCGTTGCCGGCGCCTGGAGACAACGACACGCGCTTCTCGGCGCGGTCGAGGAACCGCTTGCGGTCCTGCGCCACGATCCTGATTGATTTTTTGTGCCGACTCAGCGATCCTGCGAGTTGGCCTCCCGCTGCGGCACCGGAAGGCGGCTGCAGCTGGGCCGGATTCGGGCTCACGTCCGGATTGGGGCTGCCGGCACCGACCGGACTCTCGGGCACGCCCGTCGTCTCGAGCAGCGGCTTGTCCAGGTCGTGCTTGGGAAAGAAGTCGTCGAGGTTCTCGTAGAGCTGTTCGGGCGGAGGTCGGAAAGCCCAGTCGTTGTCGCGCTTGGCAAACGAGTAGCTACGTTGGACGCCTCCACCGCTGTTGCCCTTGCTGTTCGAGGAAAGCTTGCTGGACGTCGGCCGCGGGGAAACATGCGGCGACGCTCGGCGCGATGAGCTCGCGAGATGCGGGCTGCCTGCGGTGGGCGCCTCGATCTGGAGACGGAGCTCCGGTCTGCGAGGGCTAGAAGCAGCAGGCGATGCCGCGGCGACTTCGGCTGGCGTCGAGCTTCCGGCTGCGGAGAGGAGTCCTCGCCCGGGCTGCAGAGTCTGCTCGCCAACTTCTTCGCCGCTTGACTGTGCGCCGCCGAAGTGCAGAGGCAGGCGCGGAGCGCTCGGGTCAGAGTCCAGCGGCTGCGCCCACGTCCCCGCCTCGCTCTCGTCGTCGTCGAACGACGCAAAGGAGGCAAAGGTGCCGGCATCGCCGGGGTCCATTGCCGCTTCGATGCTCGGGATGCTGCCATCAGCCTTGGTATTTGCTTGCGCGGCCTGGGCATCGTCTGCCGTGACCGTGGCGCTCGAACCGGCCGATGGAGCCTCGCCGATATCCGCATGGCGTGACTGGTCGGCCCGCAATGTGCCGCTATCGCTGTTGCTGGCCAGCGTGTCCGAGGGCTCGCCCAGTGCGCGGGCGCCGAGAGAGCTCCACAGGTTCGCTACATTGCTCGCCTTGAGCGTGCCCTCGCCATCGACAGGCTTGGGCGTCCCCTCACCATCCCGCTGGCCTTCTGCACCGCTGGCAGCGTCCTCGGCGGGACCACGGCCGTTCCCCGATCCTGTCGACTTAGCCACCTGCCCCGCTTGCGAAGGCTGCGGGGGCCTTGGTAGGGGTCGGACGTGCATCAGGTCCTCGTCTTCGAGGTCCCCTTCTTGGGCACCGCGGCTGTCATCCTCGACAGCACCGTCTTTGTGCAGGTCGATATTGGTCGTGCTGCTCTGCGAGTTCCGCGCCGATGTCGGGGCGCTGAAGGAATCCTCAATCGAGCGACGCCCGGGCCGGTCATCTTCGCCGAAAGCCATCCTGTGCGAGTTGCTTGAGGCGAAAGACGAGCCAGACGACCGCTCAGACGCATTCGCACGAATCACGTTGCCCTCGCGAGGGACCGCACTTGGGTAGCCACCGTTCTCGGGGTGCTGGACAGCGCGGGTTGGAAGCCTGTGCTGCGAGACGTGGCTCGACGGGCCATTAGATGGCTGAATCGACCCTTGCTGCTGCTGATGGTGATGTTTCTGCTGCTGCTGCTGCTGTTGCGGCTGAGGGTGCTGGTGCTGGTGCTGGTGCTGATGCTGGTGTTGGTGTTGGTGCTGGTGCTGGAGCTGATGCTGGTGCTGGTGCTGATGCTGGAGATGGTGCTGATGCTGTTGGTACGCAGGCGGGTTCGGCCTCCAGTCGACCGCCGGTGGAAGCACGGCCTGCTGCTCACGTCGGGGAGACATCGTGGCGGCGGGCGGACGCCTGAGCTGCGAATGGGCAGGCATGTCGGCAGCCGTGGCTGGCCTGCGCATTTCGCGCGGGCCGTGAGAAGGCTGTGGCGCGGTATGGCCGGCATGGTGGGGACGATGCTGCATGGTTTCCTGGACAGTCATGCCGGGCTCGAGGCGTCCAGCCGTCATTTGGAACTCGGAGACCTGCCTGGAGCTCGAAGCCGGAAAGTAGAGGCTTGTGAAGGGATCCTCGCGGCTGCGGTAAGGTGGCGAGGTCGCCATGACGGGGCGTTGATGCGGCGAGAACGAGGCGTCGTGGAAGGTGTGCGGACGAGGCGAATAGGATCCCTGTCCCATGCCAAGCATGCGCGGATCCTGATGACCGTACGGCTGGAACGGACGGCGCGCGCCGAATTCGCCGGGATGCGGCGGATGCATCTGTTGCCCGCGATGCGGCTCGTACGCAAGCTGGGGGCCGCCCGCGAAGTGCTGTTGCATCGGCTGCTGCGCGGGGTAGCCGAACCCTGGGGCGGGCGCACTCGTGTTGAGCTGGGCAGGACCCATCCGACTGAACTGGGCCGGGTAGTTGGGCGGCTGCTGGGGTACGCGATGGCCGCCGAAGCGCGCGTCATCCAGGACTACGGGTCGATTGCCGTGCCTTGAGTCCTGCGCCATCGGCACACCGTCGCGACCGGACATGGCCGGTGATCGCATCGGCGCCGGGGCCGAGGGGATCCTCATGGCGGCCCCAGACACGCTGCTCGCGGCATTGGGCTGACTTGCAGATATAGCAAGCGCAGCCTGGGCACTGCGATTGCGTTGCAAGGCTCGAGGGTCCGGCGCCATGCCCGGCGAGTTCAGTCTCAAGCCGAGGTGCGCATCGGAGCTCAGCTGCCGCTGCACCTGCGTCGGCTCCTTCTGCGATGGTGTCGCCGTCGACGGCCGCACGATGGCTGGGTTCGGATAGCGGCCGTCGCGCTCAAACGAGCCGATCATAGCCATGTCCACCCTCGGCGGCATCGGTGGAGGTGGTGGCGCCGGGCGCTTCCGTAGGTCATCCATGCTCTTGGCGCTGTGGATGGTCAGCTGGGAGGCGGCCTTGGCCGTCGCCTGCCCCTCTTCTCCCTCGGAACGGAGGCGAGCATGGCCGTTTTGACCATGCTCAGAAGGCATCTGACCATGCGAGCTCGGAGCCGGTCGTGCAGCAGCTTGCAGGGAACGAGGCAGGGGCGCTCCTCCCCTATCGCCGGCTCGGTATGCCGCCTCGGCAGCGTGCGAAGGCGAACGTTGCTGCGTCTGGGGCGAGCTCTGGTACTGCGGTTGGATGTGAGCGGCAAATCCCGCTTCCGGTGGCCTAAAGTTGGAAGCCGCAGAGGGCCAATCGCGGTCGCCGTCACGGAGAGCCGACCCAAACGGCGTCGAAGTCTGCTGCGGTGCGTTCCGAGCATGTGGCGAAGGCAGGGGTGGGCTGAACGATCGCTGCGCAGCGTCGACTTCGGATGCCTCTGCCCGCCTCGAGTGAGGCGGCTCGCCTCCTCGGTTGCGCTCGGAGCCGTCGGTCGAGGAGGCTGTCGAACGACGATCATAGCCCCCTAGCGATCCCCTAGCACCCTGCACCGGGGAGCGCAACTCGTCTCCAGTGGCGGGTGCGTCGGGAAGGGCCCGCCGAGACTGCGCCTTGGACCTTTGCAGACCGCTGCCCGTACGCCGATGTGCAGGCTCGGTGGCACCGTCGCCGCCGCCGCCGTCGTCGTGTGTCATGATCTCGGAGTACACGAGAGCGTCGCTGATCGACGATTTTGACGACTGGCTCTCAGCCCGGCGATGATCAGCCGCAGAATCTGGTAATGGCCCCACGAGGTCCTTGAGCGCCCTCCGAGGCGAGGATGTCGTCAGAGGCGGCAGCGCCCGACTAGCAGGCTTGGTGGGCGGGCCGGCCTGGTGGACGAGAAACTTGAGCGTGCCACGATCGTCGCCCATTTGCAGGCAAAGGGCGAGGAGAGCATCGTCGTTGACCACGGGCCCTGTCGCACTCGCCTGACCGATCTCGGTACGGAAGAGCTGGAAGTTTGAAAAGTCCTCATCGAAGAGATCTGCTCAAGCAATCGATCGATATCGGGCCGCGCGGGTCGGCCGGTGTCGTCAGCGCAGTGCATGACAGCTGGCGCATCGCCGGCAGAAACAAAATAGTGGCGACGATGGACTCACGAAGCTTGGCAAACATCCGTTCCTTGATCGCATCGGCTGAATCGACGCCAGAGACGTCGACCACCGAGAAGCGCTCGTTGTCCTCGGTGACCTGGATGAGGACGCTGCAGAGAGACGAGGGAAACCAGAGAGTGGAGCGCATGGCGCGAACAAGGGAGCTGTCAGCTAACTTTACTTTGTTCAGTCGGTGCACGGCATGGCAAGGTTGAACACTGAGGACGGCTTACCGGTCGAGGAGGCTATGACGCCGGATATGAGACGGACCGGGCAGAAGGCCATCGTCGAACGAATTCGAACCGGCCGACAGCTGCCGCATGATGCCACCGCGGGAAGCCGGACTGTCGGTGCCGACGTGGTCGACGTACTCTGTCGGCTCGCGGGAAGGCGAAGCCGGGCTGGAATGGGCGCTGCGGGCAGCCGTGTTCGCCGTCTGCACCCCCAAGCTTCCCCCTGGTGCGTCCACGCCATGGCTGGCTGCTGCGTTCAAAGCAGCGACGCTAGGCGCTGGCGATCGGGATTCGATATCGCGGCGCGCGAACGTTGCGGAGGTTGGCGAGGTCGCCGAAGCTATGCCTGCTCCCACCAGAGACTCCTCCAACCAGGCAGGTAGGCGCTGCTCTGCGCTCGACGAGGCCGAACCGCGCCGGTCGATCTCGACCGGCGAGGGACCTTGGAAGGGCGAGGTTTGCGATCCCGAAAGGCTCGATCCCGTGGAAGGGGGCCGCTCCTCGCTAGCCTCGGCGGCGGCGCTGGAGGCGCCAAGCGATCCGTTGCCCCGCTTATGCGACCCTGGCCCGGATTCGGAGGTCGAGTTGCGGACGTGATGCACCTTGCGTCCGAACCGCTCCCAGACGATGCCGACCTGCTCAAAGACGCTGCTTGGGCGCCTCGCCCTGGGCTCCACCTCGAGGCCGCTGCTGGTGCCAAGGGACGATCGCTCCCGCTCCCGGTCGGCCTTGTCGCGCTTCCGCTCGGAAGCGCCGTCCTCGCGCAGCTGTGAGCCGACCTTGGGCGAAGACGGCCGGAGCGAGGCGAAGAACCCGATCTGCGAAGATGGCCCTCTTGACCGGATCGAGCCTCCGGGAGAGACGGGAGCCTGCGAATGGCCCATAAAGCTTCCATCCCCGGGGGAGTGGGCCAAGAGCGGAGGCGAGGGCAGCGCTGTGACTGCGGGTGCGCCGTGGCCTGCGTGGCCGACCACCGACTGCGCGGACATCAGACTCTGGAGGTCCTGCTGTGAACCGCCGGGCCGCATCGGGCTCGTGGGCGCGACGATGGTGCTCTCGGCAGGAGCGCCCGTGAACGTAATGGTCGGCTGTCGGCCCGATGCTGGGGACGACGACGACGCAGAGGAGAACGAGGCGGCGACGCTGGCAAAGTAGGACGGCGAAGGCGGCTGGTCCGGAGCCGCAGACGATCCAGACAAAGGACGCGCAAACGTAGTGGCGATGCCAAGAGGGCTGCGGGTGGGCGAGAGTGCCGCCTGGCCGGTGGTGCGGGCGCCACCTATGGACGGCGACGAGGGGCTGGCTGGCTGCTGGTTCGAAGCCAGCGCAGCAGGCGGCGATGCTGGATGAAAGGCGCTCCCCATGTTGATCGGGTCGAAGTAGGATGCGAGCCCGGCATCACCAGAGGCAGCACCATTGGTATAGATGTCGGTGCTGGAATGGGGCTGCCGGCGGCGCTCCTCTGCGAGCATCGAGGAGGTGTCCGGCGGACCGGTGGCGGCGACCAGCTCGAACGGCATCCTAGAGGCAGTTCAGAGCAGGGGCCGAGGCAGGCAGAAGGGCGGACGAAAAGGCCTTTCGTCGAGGGCGGCCGCCGCCGCGAGGCTGGTCGTAGGGTTGCCCCTCTGCCCTGCGGTGCGGAGTGAGGTTGATTGAGGACGAAGACGGACGAGAGTTGCCAACTGAGGCAGCAATCTCATGCGAACACGCAGATGAGCATCAGGGGAACGATGGAGCAGGACGGACACGGCCTTGAGTGGCTTGGTTGCAACGGGTCGAGCTGCCCAGCCTGTGGTGCCGCAGATTAAGACGGGGCCCCTATGCGTGGTGCTCCCGGGACGGTGGCAGCCGATGGGCGAAGGTCGAGGCTACGCAGTGCCCAAGTCGAGCAGCTATCGGTCTTGTGCGAGCACCTTCTGCTCAGCCGGAGAGGGCCGGGCTTGCGCGGTGGGCCTGGGCGATGTAGGCCAAGTGGCGACTGGCTCGCAACAGTCGAGCGAGGAGACGTCGCGTATGCGAAGGAGCGAAGAAACGAGTGGTGGTAGCGATCCGTTGCGGAGGCGCCGGCAAGCTTGCGAGCAGGCGGAGAGATGTGGCGTGCGGTGCTGCAAAGGGCGGCGAGTGCGATGCTCAGATGCCCGCAGACGATGCAGGATGCGGCTTGAGGGAAGATGGCGGCCGAATGTGGACCGTGGCGGGGGCGGCGGCGGCGGCGGCGACCAATGTGCGACGGCTGTGGGGAGGTGGGCAAGCAAACGTTCCAGGACGATGGCCGGTCGACTGACGGTCCTTTGGGTAGCGGGGCGGCTCAGACCTCGACAGAAGGCTGCCTGTTGGTTGAAGGACGAGGCTGAGCTCGAGAGGCGGCGGAGAGGTGCGGGGCTCAGAGAGAGATGGTGGTTGAGGGGAGCAGCGAGGTGCGTGGTGGGTGGGGTGAGCCGGAGCAGGCAAAGTGCAGTCGTGAGAGTGTAGTTGGGTGTCACACACGCACGCAGCCATGGCCTGGCCAGCCGGGTGCAGCTGTGCTTGGCCAACAGAGACCTCAGGGCGAGCGACGCGCTTGCCTGCCCACCCAGCGCAGCCCGCCCCTCTTTTTCGACGCTCGACGGCCGCCCGCCCGTCGCAGAAAGTGCAGGCTGCAGAAGCAAGCAAGGTAGGCTGGCCTCCGTTACAGGTTCTGTATCTAGAAGAGAGAGAACGGAGAGCGGCGACAAGCCCGGCGCCCGCACCCGCAGAGGCTTCTCGCAAGGCCAGGCCGGCACGCATCTCGAGAGCGTGGCGACGACCCCGCACCTTGGAAAACTATCTGCTGCGCTCGCCCTCCCGCACAGCAGTTCTGCCTGCCCCTTGTCGCTCTCGCTCTTCCGACTTGGGGGCTCGTGGCTCTTGCTCGAAGACTGGTCCCAGAGCGGCCAGGGAGACCTTGGAGCTGATGAGGCATACGCCATCCCGCACCCTCGACGGGCGCCGACCTCGCCGCCTCTTTGACGACCAAAGTTGCGAGCGGCTGGGAGCGGGAGCGACGGCCTGACCAGCACGCTACGCTCCGTCCCGCTCGACGTATCGAGGTACAGTACAGTTTGCCAGCCTGCCTTGCCGATCCTTGCGCTCGGAGCGAAGCAAATCCACGTACGGGACGCGTCCGAGGGAGAGAATCCTTTTTTCTTCTCTCTCCTTGCCTCTCGCTCGCGCTCTCTCTCTCTGTCTGTCTCTCTTCCCCTCTGTCTCTCTCTCTCTCTGTGTGTGTGTCTGTCTCCGAGCTCGTGGCAAGCCACGGCAGGCGGACGGAGACGTGCGTGGATCGGCCTGCCCGCCCGCCATGGTCGGAGCAGCCGCGAGCAGTCGAGGAGAGGGTCACGATCAGAATCGGGCATCTGCCCGAAGCGCCGGCCAGGTCTGGCCAAGGCCTGCCTGCCTCACCCCTCGTCGAGCCGGCGTGGCCGTGGCTGGGAAAAGGATCTCGGCAGCCGGCCGACGAGCTAGGTGGGCGCATGGCCGGCTTGGCAGGCGTGGCCGCCGATCGTCGAGCGCGCAAGGGCCACACGCTTCCTGCCTTTGCCTCCACTTTGGCCTGGCTGGCTGGCCCTTTGGCAGAGGTCGGTTTCTCGTTTCTTCGCAAGAGCGACCGGGGCTGACTCCGTCTCATCTCTCTCCATCTCTGTCTCTCCATATCCATCTCTCCGTCTCTCTCGCTTCTTTCTCGCCTTCTTACATCAATCGATCCCGTCGTCGCCAGCCAAGCAACGCATCAACATCCCGGTCACTGCCCTCAGCTCAGCCTAGCCAAGTCTCCGCTTGCACCAGTGATCCGCCGCCCCACTGCGATCCTCTCCCAACCTCTACTGGCCTGCCTTCGTCTCGCTGTCGCATGCCGTCGCCCTTGGCCCGCCTATCCACCGTTTCGCATCACCTCCGATCCACCGCTGCTCTCCGCAACATGTCGTCTGCAGCCGCGTACCACCTCGAGCGCCAGGTGGCCATCTCGGCCGTCACCCGGGCTTGCTCCCTCACCGACAAGGTCTTCCGCAACCTCGTCACCGCCGACACCGTCACCAAAAAGGACAAGTCGCCCGTCACCGTCGGCGACTACTCCGCCCAGGCCGTCGTCAACACCGTCATCGCATCGCACTTTTCCGCGGATGCCATCGTCGGCGAGGAGGACTCCAAGGACCTCCGTAACCCCGAGGCCAAGAACCTGCGCGACCAGATTGTCAAGCTCGCCAACGAGGCCCTCGCAAGCCCTGCCCAGGAGTGCCCCGCCGTCGCCGACGCAGCCTCCAAGTCCTCCGAGGCCGCCTCGCAGGCATGGGGCACTCAGGACCTCTCGGAAGAGGCACTCCTGGCCGCCATTGACCGTGGCAACGCCGAGGGAGGAAGGTCCGGTCGCTGCTGGGCACTCGACCCCATCGACGGCACAAAGGGCTTCCTCCGCGGCGGTCAGTACGCCGTCTGCCTCGCCTTCATGGTCGACGGCGAGGTTCAGGTCGGCGTCATTGGCTGCCCCAATCTGCCCCACGACGCTTCTTCGGCCAAGCCCAAGGAGGGCGAGTTTGGCGCCGGGGCAAAGCGCAACGACCTCGGCACCCTCTTTGTGGCCGTCAAGGGCCAGGGCGCTTTCCAGGTGGGTTTTGGCCGCCCGCTTCCTCGGATATCCTCCAGCGACTTGTCGCCTTCTGTGGCCCTCTTGCTGACCTCGTCGCCAAGCGCACGACATCCGCCTCGACCCTCCCTCCTCCCTTCGCCGGACGACAGCGCCCCATTCAGGCCGAGTCGGACAGCGAGACTGCGATCACGATGAACAAGATTTCGAGCCTCTCGTCTGCCTCGTTCTGCGAGTCGGTCGAGGCCGGTCACTCGTCGCATGGTACCAACGCACGCATCGCCGAGTTGCTCGGAATTACGGCCGAACCCGTCCGCATGGACAGTCAGGCCAAGTATGTCAGCATCGCAAGGGGCGACGGCGACGTCTACCTTCGCCTGCCCGTCGGCGATGGAAGCTACCAGGAGAAGATCTGGGTGAGTCGAGAGCCGGTGGCAAGGCGCGAGTGTCGGTCTCGCATGGGAAATGGCTGACCGCGGCGATCCTCCCTCTTACGGCTCCCGTAGGACCATGCGGCCGGCTCCCTCATCGTCGAAGAGGCCGGCGGCCGGGTCAGCGACATTCGCGGGCGCTCGCTCGACTTTGGCGTCGGACGCACGCTCAAGGACAACAAGGGCGTGGTGGCGGCCCACCGGGACGTGCACGACCAGGTCATCAGGGCGGTCGGGCAGGCGCTCGAGGAGGAGGGACGAGGTAACCTCTAGGCCCGCACCTCGCCGATCCGCGGTGCACTTCTGCTGTCTCTTTTGTCTCCGTCCATCGCCCGAGGGCGATTGTGTATCATAGTCTGCTCGTCGCTAGCCTTTGTCGGTGTTGCATCGGAAACATAGATGCCTGGTCGCGACCAGCCTTGTGCAGTTGCAGAGCGGGGCGGAAAGCCAGACCGCGCCGCTCTTGGTTCGACGTGCAACCCTTGCCGCCCACGTCAGCCCTGGGCCATCTCTCGTTGTTGTTGTTCGTCTGCCACGGCGCAGTGGACCAGCGCGAGCGGCCGGACCAGTCTGTGCACGACAATCCTGCAAACGTCCCGAGACCAGCGAGATCGGGGCAGTCTAGGGCGCGGTGCTCTGTGGGTGTGCAAGTGCCACCGTAGATCACCAAGCATCGCCCTTGCATAGCATGCGCACTTCTGTATGCTGTACGGATTGCATGTCGTCTGCCCGCTGGTGCATTAAGATTGTTGCTCGGTCTGGTCAGCTCGAGGGAGGCCGTCTGTACGGATGCAAGCGGGCAGGAAGCCTTCGACAGCCAGGGAGGCAGGTCGGACGAACGGCACATCCAGCATCTGCCGGGGCAAAACCTCCCATCAATTCGGTACGAAATGCAGCTTCCCTGACAGCTCCCTCGGGTCCGAACGTGCACGCCCGCCTCGTCGGGTCGTCTGGCTCTCTGGCTCGCAGAAAGTGGCCCGCCGCGCGTGGCACCCAACCCTGCGCCCCCTCGTCCTCGTCATCTGCCGTGCTGCGGGAGCATTTGGCACACCCGGTGGCGCGGGCTGTGCGCATGACGTGCAGGCGAACGCTGTTTGCTACATACGTATGTACGCACACCCTGGCACCGGGACCATGTTGGACCCGCGTGCGTGCATACCGCCCTTTTCCCCGCTGCGGCACCCGCCTCCACGTACTCCCATCCGAACGCACATGTATGTGTGTCGATGCCGTCGCCGTCGGCCTCGCGCTGGTCATCTTACACCCTCAGTCTACCCCATTCGCCCCTCTAGCCTTTGTGAAACTCTTCCTTCTCCACCCGGCCGAGCGGCTCAAGCTGAAGAGGCGATCCAGTCCAGACTGACCGCCGTACTGTCACAGTGATCGAAGTGCATCCGATAAGATCACAGCCAAGGTCACGCTGGGCCGAAAATGGGCCGTCGGATCGGCGCCGACCGGTTCTCCTGAACCACTTTGCGAGGAGAGCCAGGCAAGTCCAGTCCCGCGGGGCCGCGCGCTCCTGGCGCAGGCTCGGAACGCATTGAACCGCTCGCGCCGTCGGCGCAAGACTTCGCCTCGCCGAGCGGCCCGCTCCCTGGCGTTGGAGCCGCAGAGGAAAGAGAGCTCCTCCTCGGCCCTCCCCCTGTCTGGCAAAAACCATGCGAGTTCGGCCGTCTGGCGGCGTGGGCGATGATCCCCAGCTGGCTTGACGCCGAGCCCGCGTTACGTACCCGCCACGCCGAGCCCGAACTGTTCCCTTTTCGTACAGGATTGTACCGACACCGTACGGCACAAGTTAATCCGTAGCAAGAGAAAGGGCGGGCGGAGGCGACGCAGCACGCTGGTCAGCTACGACGGTATGAAGCAGGCCGGTCTGGTGAAGCGGCGTGGCGGACGGGTCCTCGCAGGACGACGCCTACCTGCATGCAGACACAAGCAAGCCAGACGAGTGACGAGGCGGGTCAAGGAGCATCCCGACATGCTGGGTCCCAACCTCCTGCAAGTCCGACGTACGGCATGCCCTAGCCTCTTCTGGCGGCCTGGCGCGTCGTTGTGGCCCGTGGCGAAGGTGGACCAGAGGTTCCATGCTTGTGCAGCCGCCCGTACATCCATCGCGCGTGTACACCCGGTCACGACTCGAACGACGTTCCTCGTCGACCCGCGCTCCTTCCGTTACCTACCTGCCCGGGCCATCCTCGTCCAGTCGTTGGAGCGCGTCTCCGAGGTGAAGTGAAGACTCTGAGGCCTTTTCGACACGATGGACATGTGCAGTCAAGACCAGAGTCTTGCCTGAGACTCACAGGCAGCGCTCGTGTCCTCCACTCTGTGCGGAAATGCCGGTCCTGGTGTCAGGACCTCGCGATGCTGTGTTAGCCTACGCCTAGCGCCACTCTCTCTGTGTGCATGTGGCTGTCAGTTGCACCCCAAGGCGGCGTCAAGGGGTGGGCCCCATTTCGATCCCACGTCGAGCGACGTGTCCTGTGGGAAGGACAGGCAGGTATGTAGGTACCTGGGACAAGGAGAGCGCCATCATCTCACGTCGCTGCGGTACTTTGCTCTCAATTGACCGACGCTTCCGCCGTTGGAAAGACCAGGTGCGATACCATCGTGTGTACGTACACCTGTGAGTTGCAGGCGTGCGGCAACGAAGAGGTCCGTCCTCTCCGGAGCGTCAGATGAGGACGAGCGCGCCGCGTTCTGCAATCGGCATGGCGAAAGCTGCTCAGGCTTCTTCCCCCCAGTCTAGCGGCTAGGCACCGTATCTCTCTTTTTGTGATGCTGGGGGGCGAGCTAGAGGACAGGTCTAGACCGGCGTCGACGGCGTATCTTCTGAGGTCCATTCGGCTGTGCCCGTCCGTGCTCGGCTCACCGCACACGAGCTCGGAGCCTCGGTGGTTGCGTGGTGCCATCCAGCTACTTTACCGGTACATGGTTAGCCCAGAAAGACGATCGAGATGGCCGGCTGTGGCGCTCCGCCGTCGCCATCGACCCTACGGTAGCCTGGTCCTCTCCTCCGCGTCGAGCAGTTCAAGAAAGGCGGCTACTTTTGCGCTCCTCATGGGGGCCCTTCCGCCCGCACCCCTGCGCCCTGCCCTGCCTGACGAACGCTTCGCGGGCAGAGACACGTACGTGCGTAGGCTTCGGCCGTCGACTCGGGCGAAAAGAGGTTTCAGAATGAATCGCGCGGTCCAATCATAGCTGGGCCCGTCCCTCTCTGCTTTCAAACCTCGAACTAGCTCCTGATCGATTCTTCGGCGGAATCACCCGATTCAGCCACGAGAGACGGGCCAGTCTGGGCGGTGCCAACGGCCCCCAGAGAGAGAATGAGAATGGGGTGGCCGTTGGCCGGCTGGTGTCAGGCCGCCGCCGATGTGTGTGTGTCACAGCCGACTGGATGGACCTTAGCCGCCCGCGCCTATGGAGCAGTTGCTCGAGGACCACCTGCGGTACTCTGGCGTACTTGTGAGAGCGCGGTGCGGCCACGATGCTGTTCAAAGCCGTCGTGGGCGTCCCCAGCTGGATGGCGCAGGCGAACAGCATGGCGGCCATGCCATGCCATCCATCTCCTCGGGCGGTCGCGGAGGGCACGCGGCAGATGCTGCACGGCGAGGCCCGGCTCTGGACAGGCCTAGGTAGGCAAAGCTGGCTGGCGACGAGGGCGTAGGGACATGTACGCAAGGCCCTCGGAACCCTCTGCCGGAGGCGACCAGGCGGTAGCCTCCGGCGAAAGGCGAGGCCCCCCCTCGCACGGCAATTCCGGCTCGGCCTCGCCGGTCATCCAACCACACAAACGCCGCCGCCCCTTTCGACATCGCGGAAGTTCGATTATTCGCTGCCTCAGCCTGCTCACCGTGAGGGTTTGCAAGAGAATCGAAGATTGAAGCGCCTCCTCACCTCCGGCGCCGCCGAAACGAAGCATACGGTAGACCATGACGGACCACCAGGGACACCACCAGGGGCCGGGAATGGCAGCCGGATAGAAGGCGGCGCAATGGGCGGGGCAGCAAGCAAGCACGGTCAAGCTGGCGAGCGAGCGTGCGTGCGTGCGTGCGTGCGTGCGTGCGTGCGTGCGTTTGACTGCGTGCGTGCGAGGTACCGTAGGGCACGGAGAGGCTCTGCCAAAGTGCCTCGGCCTGGCAATCTCGAGTCCTAGGAGATCTGCAGCCCTCTCTTGCTTGCTTCCTGCCCTTCTTCTGCATAGGCCCGCGACTGGCAAGGGAGTCAGCCTCGGCGTCGCGCCAGCAGGAGGGGGGGAAAGGAAAGGGACAGCGTCGGGGCGGAGGCGACCAGCCTAGGGAGGGAAAATTCGGAACTCGCTGGGAGGGGGGATGGGGGGGAGGCCGCGAAGGGGGCCGAGGGGCGAGCGAGCGGGCGGGCGAGCGAGGCAGGGGCGTGAGGCAAGTCGCGGCGGGCACACGGACGGCGAGCGAGCAAAAATTTGCCGCTTGCCGCCTCGCTCGGACAGGCAGGGTACGGTGCGCTCTGTGGGCAGGCCGAAGGCAGGGTACGGTAGGCCTCCTGCCCTGCCCCCGCCCAATCGCGCCCTGGCTTGGGGTGGGCCTCTTCGGTCCGCAGGGCCAGGCCGGCCGGGCGGGCGGGCGAGCAAGCGAGCGAGCGAGCGCTAGGCCCACGTCCCTCTGCTGGGCTCTTTTTCGTGATTCTCGATTTTTTAAGCAGTTGAGGGGGCTGCCCGCCGTGGTGCTGCGCTGTGCCGCCCTCCGCTGCCATTCCGCCTGCAGGCAGCCTGCCTGCTGCCTCTGTGCCGGTCCTTGCCCTCTCGCTTTCTCCATGGGCGAGCCACCTGCGTGCGCCAGTCTGCCAGTCTGCCTGCCTGCCTGCCCGCCTGCCTGCCCGCCTGCCTGCCCGCCTGCCTGCCCGCCTGCCTGCCCGCCCAGCCCTGTCCTGCCGTGCCTGCGCTGCCCTGCCTGCCTGTGAGGTGCTGCTCTTTTCTGCGTCCTCGCATCCTTCTGCCAACCTACAGATCACCGCCGCCTTTTGCTCCTCCTCCATTCAACGCCCCCCCCCCCTTCCTTCCCTTCCATCCCTCCATACTCGACGACCCTTGCCTGTCACCATCGCGCCTCTTGCTTCCTGCTTCAACCATCAGCACCGACCCCAGCCACCATCCTCGCGCTTTCCTTTTCCATCCTCCCATCCTCCTCGGTCCAAGACAGCGACTGACGGAGTTACTCTCGGCGGGCCCCCGCAAGAGTCACGCATCGACCTGCCGTCGTCGCGACCTATCTCGAGCCACTTCGGTCCTCGCCTCAAAACTGGGCGAGCGCTCATTTCGCGGGCGTCTCCTTCCTCTTCTCTCCCTCGTTTCTTTCGCCCTTCGTTTCCACGGCAACCGCCACCGATCACTCGGCCTAGTCCGAACCTCTGTTCGGTCTCCTCTCTTGGCCCTGTCCCTGCATCAAGGCGTCTCGAGGGATCAGCTCGGTACGGCGGCAACGAATCGACGCGAGCGTGCCAAGTGCGCCGGCTTCTCTTCTGGCGGTCACGTCCGCGTGTGTGGCTAGCGCTGCTGCCTCCTTCCCATCTCAGCCATTTGTGCTCCGCTCATCGCTCTGGAACCGTCTCGGATACGCAAGCATCTCGCCGTTGCTCTGCAGCGCACGAAAAGCATCAAAAACCCTCCCTTATCCCTTATCGACTGTCTAGGGCTCACGGATACACGCCGGGTCTCCTCCAGCTCCGGCTCTCTTGACTAGTCCTTTCCCCTCTCGCTTCCCAGTCTCGTCATGTCCACCGCTTCCCCCCTCCACCACGGCCACGGCAACGGTAGCTACGGCACCAACTCTCCTGTCCCCGGATCGTCGGGCAACCACATGGCCAGTAGGGAAGGCGCTGCTGTTGGCGCTGCCGCAGCCACCACTGTGGCCGACCAGGCCGCCCGCTCCGGATCGGTTCCCGCCTCGGGTTCTGGCAGCGCGCCGGGCTCCAACTCGGGATCCCTGTACGGCGACGGTCACGGACACCACGCTGCTGCCGCTCACCACCACCACAGCGGACACCACGCCCACTCGCACGCTTCCCTGACGAGCCCCGTCAACGGCAGCCACACCAACTCGTGGTCGCCGTATGGCTACCCCTCGGCTCCCGTCTACGGCGGAAGCCCGAGCCCGTACGGTCACAACTCTCACGTGGCCTACTCGCAGTACACGAACGGCTACGGCTACCCGAACGGCGGCACGGCGCACCATGTCCAGACCGCCCCTCCCACGCCTGCGGCGGGCGCGACTGCCTACCACTCGTCGATGAACGGCATGATGATGCACCACGGCGGCCAGCACGCTAGCTACAGCTACGGCGGCGGCAACCACCACCTTGGGCCGCACACGCCGACCCACTCTTCGCACACGGGTCACGCGTCTCCTTACTTCTCGATGAACGGCGATGGCACGCACAGCCACGTGAATGGTTCTTCGGTACGTGTTCTCTGACCCCTGGTCACGGCTCCCGCATTGGCGCAGCGCCACGAGCACAGTGTACTGACTCGATCCACCCTTGATGGCGCCCCGACTTGTCTCGTCACATCCTGCGCGTCCCGCAGCACGTGTCTTCGCCCTCGTACACCTCCGCGCCTCAGTACTCGACACAGCTACCGCTCGCTGGCCGGCACCGCGTCACCACCACGCTGTGGGAGGATGAGGGCACGCTCTGCTTCCAGGTCGACGCTCGCGGAGTTTGTGTTGCCAGACGGCACGACAACAACATGATCAACGGCACCAAGCTCCTCAACGTCGTGCAGATGTCGCGCGGCAAGCGAGACGGCATCTTGAAAAACGAAAAGGAGCGCGTCGTGGTCAAGGTCGGAGCGATGCACCTCAAAGGCGTGTGGATCTCGTTTGCGAGGGCCAAGCAGCTGGCCGAGCAGAACGGCATCGCGGACCTGCTCTACCCGCTCTTTGAGGCCAACATCCAGTCGTTCCTCTATCACCCGGACAACTACCCTCGAACCGCCGCCGTCATGGCGGCGGCGCAGGAGCGGCACGCCCAGCGACAGCGGGTGCCTGGTCTGCCCAGCCCTAGCGGCAACGCGGGCAGCCAGCCCCCGCCGCTGATGCGGGCCAACACGACGCCGGCTGCGGCCGACACATCGGCCATGAGCGCCAGCATGACGAGCAGCGCCAGCTGGAGCAACTCGCACGACCAGAGCCACACCTCGGCCCCTACCACTGCGCAGCCGTCGCCTGTCTCGCTGCAGCCCAGCGGAGCCGCGCAGCACCTGCACATGGGTCTGCAGAGTCACGGCACCTCTTCGCCAACCTTCCCTTCCTCACATCAAGGTCAGTATGCCGTGACGCAAGCGCAGCAGCTTGCCGCCCGCCCCATCGCCGGCGACCGGCGTCACACGACGCCCATGACGCTGGCAAACATCTCCAACCACCAGAGCTATGCTGACAACACCGCCTACGGTGCTACCAATGCTGCTGCTGCCGCCGCCGCCACCGCTACTGCCTACAACCTTGCAGGAGGTCCCGCCGCGGCAGGAGGCGCACGCAAGGTGTCGGGCCTCAAGCGCCAGTGGGACGACTCCGAGGACCAGCACGGCGGGCCTGGCAACCCATCGCCTTCGGAACGCGACATGCAGCGGACCGGCTCCGGCAACTCTGCCGGGTACAAGTTCGACGGCGAGGGCCTCCACAGCCCCAGCATGGGAGGGAGGATGACCAAGAAGAGCAAGTCGCAGGGCCACCCCATGCCCCAGCAGCAGCAGCGAATGCAGCAGCCCGTCCACGCCATGTCTGGCGGCGGCATGGGCGTGCCGATTGGCGTCAGCTCGACAGGCAATGGCGACGGCGGCCAGCACCTCGACTGAGGGCCCCCCCTCCCTCCCTCTGCTCTTATCGTCGTCGTCGAGGCGAACCCGCTATCGCCAATGTATGCCGCCCCGTCCCCGCAAAGTGGCCCTTGTGCAGCCTACGCGCCGATGGAGGTCAGCCGGGAGCGACACTGTGGGCGCAGCAGGGAAGCGAGGGCCGGGGCCCCCATATCCAAGAAGAGGAGGAAGAAGAAGAAACAAGAGTCACATTTTACGGGAAGAGCGCGGCCGCCGCCGTGCATCTGGGGGAAAAAAATTAAGATCCGGGGGACGTTGAAGGATAGGGGAAAGAGGGGGAGTCGGACCCCAGAAAGGAGGTACGCCTGCTCTCGCCGTTTCGATGCGGAAAGCGCCAGAGAAAGCGGCGCTGCGAGGCACAGACGAGGAGGTGTCGTGCGTGTCGGTGCTCGTTGTTTTAATGCTATCTATCTCGACCGAACCGGGTTGGCGTCCACCGTGTACGTGGCGGGTGTTTGTCGTCGTGGGTGGCAACGGCGGGCTCATATCTGTCGGCTTGGGGAGGCGGGGGGGCCATGCTGGAAGTGCTCTAGGGTCGAGTGCCGTCCTGTCCTGTGCTTGGCAAAAGCGACGGCGGGGCTTGCCTGGCTGGCTGGCTGGCTGGACTTTGTGCGGGTGCTCAGGTTGGTTGGCACGCACGCACGCACGCACGCAGGTCGAGTCGAGATGATCCACCTCGCATCGCATGCATGCATGCACGGGCGGTCAGTCGGAAGGAGAAAAAAACGAAAAGAAAGAGCCAGAGGGGGCAGGCAGAGGGCGGAGGGCGGAGGAGGGTGCGCGTCACGGCTTGACGAGTCGGTGGCCTGTGCCCACCCCCTTTCCCTTTGGGCACCTGCAAGGAGGTCCACCCGGCCTGGCCTGGCCTGGCCTGGCCCGGTCGGGGCTGCACCTTCTAAACTCGCCGTGAAAGCACAGACGCCGCCGTGGCAGATTATCACGGTCGAGGAGAGCGTGGGGATCCATACCGTGGTGCGCGGCGGGCAACAGGTAGCAAGGGGTGGCGAGGATAGAATACATAGAGAGTCTCTTTTGCAATGGACGAGCGAGCGAGCAGGTGTAGAGGATGGACAGGGGGCCTCTAGATCACTCGCTCCGACCTTCGAGTGCTTAGGGTAGCAGAGCAAGGGGTCGACGGCGCTGGCGCTGACATGGCACCGATTCAGGAACTGGACGAGGTGAAAGCGACGCCGGCGAGCGCCGACGTAACGGTGCTGCGGCCTGGTGGAGGCGGCGGGGGCGAGGCTGCTCGGGCCTTGTCACCCGCGGCCGAAGACGTGCCCGCCGCCGCCGACGACGCTGCGGCGGCCTTGGTCGTCTTCTTCCTCGCCTTGCTGCCGGCAGTCGCGGTGGTGGTTCCGCCCTTGGCCGCCTTGCCGCTCGTCCCGCCCGACGACGTGGGCGTCTGCATCCCGTTCTCTCCCCGCGCTCCTGCCGGGGCGGTCAGAGTACCGGTAGCCGTAGCAACGCCGTCCTTGTCGCCGCCCGGTGCGAGTGACGAGGCGTCGGCTCCACTTGCTGCAGGCGCAATGGCAGCGACGGGGTGGAAGGTCTGTTCGCCCTCGCCCTTTTCCTCCTTGTCGATGGCCCATTCGCGCACCGCCGCCCACACCTCGGCCCGACGACGCTTGATGGTGGCCAGTCGGCTGCGCACCTCCTCGAGCCTCTCGACGTACTCGCGCGAGTCGGCGGCCAGCTCGTGCAGGCACTCGAGCGCCGCCAGCACCACTGCTCGCTGCTCCATCGCGGGGAGCAGCGTCGTGGCCAGGCGCGGCTCGGGGGGTGGCCCGTCGGGACCGGCAGCACTCGAAGGGTCGGACGGGTCATCCTGCTCAAAGATGGGCTGCCCAACCTCGTCCAGCCTCGGCACGGCCAGACCTGCCCTGGTGACGAACAAGTCGTCGAGATGCTGAAGCGCCGGGTTCGAGGTGAGCGATGCGAGCACCTCGCGGCCATCGTCGTCGCTGCTGCCGTCGGCTTGCCCGTTGATCCCTGCTTCCTCGACGTCCATCTCATCTTCGGCGGCGTTGACCTGGGGCTCCGGGTCGACATTCCAGCCGCCCCTTTCCATCGAGGACCAGCACCGTCCGATGGCGCGGCCGAGCACGCCTTCGCTTTCGATGAGGTCGAGCGCCGTCTTGCCGAGCGCGCCGATGTGCGGGTTGCGGAAGGTGTGGCGCAGAGTATGGCTGGTAAGCAGCTGGCGGGCCGTGACCGCGGGCTTCAACAGCGTCGGCGCGAGCAGCGTCGAGGTGAGGCGTTCAGAGCCATCCGAAAAGGAGCCGTCGGCCAGCGTGGGCGCGGCTCCCGGTCCGAGGCCGAGTTGCGCATCGAGGCGCGCTGCCTCGGAGAGATCGGAAGGCAGAAGGCGGCCCCGAACATCCCGCACCACAGCCCCGTTCGACTGCGCCTCGGCGGGCAGGAGGCCATCGCGCAGGGCGGGGAATTGCTCCAGCATCTTCTTATCCTCGGCCGGCATCGCCGCCACGAGCGCTCGGATGCTGTCCTTCTGCATCGTCTCGATGCGGTGGCGGACGCGGTCGCCAATCTCCTTCTCCATCCGGGCTTCGGTCCATCCGCCAAGCTTGCCACGCCGATGCCAGCGCACCCCCTTGGCTCGGCTGAGCTTGTTGCCACGATTGCCCACACGGTTGCCATGTCGCCGTTTGCGCTCGGCCGCGATCCTCGACGCTTCCTCGTCGGAGTCGGAAGTTGGGAGCGACTCGTCGTCGTCGTCGTCGTCGTCATCGTAGTGGCCGAAGGTCGCGTCGCGGTTGAACAGGGGCCGATGCTCGGGCTCGCCGCGGATCGACGAGTCGATGACGGGGAAGTCGTCGATGCTGATCATGCCCCGCGTCTGTGCGTCTAGCGGTAGAGCCGGGATGGCAAGGTCGTAGTCTGGGCTGATGGCGGCGGCGAGGGCCCTGCGCTTGGCGTGCGCACGGCTAGGACCTGCGTCATGCGGCCCGCTGCCATACGCATCGCTGCGCGCACGGGCAGGACTCTTTCTCTTGCTGCCGGCGGCGAGGCGAGTGGAAGTGGAAGGAGGAGGGTAATGCTCTTGCATCGCGAGCGGCGGCGGCGGGTCCAGATCCTTGTCTTCTTCGTCCGTGCCGTAGATGCCGACGCCGCCATCGCCGTAGCACGAGTCCGAGTCGGTATCGGTATAGTACTGCGGATGATCGTTGCCAGGCAGTGAGCTGCAAGGGAGCGCGAGCAAGGGGGCAAGTGGTCAGAACCAGCATCAGCATCAGCGTCGAGGACACCTAGGTCGTTCGTGCACGGCATCCTCGTCAACTCACAGCCAGATCAACCTCGCCTCCTCGTTCTCCCGTGCAATCATCATCTCGCGATCCCTCTCCGATTCGCGAAGCCGTTCTCTCTCTCGCTCCCTCTCACGCTCGAGCCGCTCGCGTTCGGACTCTTGCTCTCTTCGTCGATCACGGTTCGAGTGCCGGTCCGAGCCGCTGTTGCGCTCCCTGTCCGGCATGTTCGGCCTCGACGTGTGCGATCGCGACTTTCGCTCGCGCTCTTGCGGGTCGACGCCATCCATGGGCAGGCGCGAAGCGCGGACATGCTCGTGGGGTACCTGCTGTGCTTGATGATGGTGATGGTGGTGGTTCGGCGGATGCTGCACGTGCTGGGCCGGCATTGACTGCTGCTGCTGGGGCTGCTGGGGCTGTTGCTGACGATGCGTCTGACCTTGAGGTGTTCGAGTCCTTTCTCGGGTAGGAGGCTGCACCGGTGGCGGGCCGGTAGTCGCCGACCCAGCTCGTCTGGTGCGTTCGGGCCCGTTCTCGCCTCTTTTGCTAGCGGCCGCCGGTGAGGGAACAGTCGCGGCGTCGCGCGTCGGCCTGGGATCCGGTGCGGGAGCCTCCGAAGGTGCAGGCGGGAGTGCTTGGGCGCCTTGCGCTGTCGATTTAGGGCCTGCTTCGGCAGGATGAGGAGGTGCGGATGTTCCTGCTTTGAGCTCCTCGATGGTCCGATCGGTCGTTGCCGCAGACTTTCCGCCTTTCGCAAGAGCCTCGTCCTCCGGTTTCGAGGTCGGGGGAGCCGCAAGATCCTTGTCTGACGTCTTAGCTGGGCCATGAGAACTCAACTGCGCCCGATCCTCGTCCTGTGCCTGGTCTGCCAGCATCTGGTCGGGCTGCACCTTAACATCTTTGGCAACTGACGGTTTGGGCTCTTCGTTGCGTTGGGCCTGCGGACCTTCGGACGCCTCTGAGGCGGGGGCCGGTGTGTGGACGCCATCGAGCCCGTCGGAATGGAGATCCTTGGCCTCGACCGACGCTTTGTCCGCTTCGAGGCCGGCTGCCGCGCGTTCGCCAGCCGCGCTTATATCCGCCATCTCTACGTCCTCGGTCGTCTGCTCGGCCGGCGCAGGCGCAGGCGCCTCTGGCGCTTGGTTCGCAGCAGCTGGCGGCGGCGGCGGCGGCGTTGCAGGCTTCGGCGCAGCTTCATCCGCCGTCGAGGCGGTTGGACCTTGAGCTGGGTCTTCATCCATCGCTTCAGCTGTAGACTTGTGATTCTCTTCAGGACGGGCAACGATCGCTGCCTCGTCACCAGCGGCATGTTCCGGGACAGGTTTGTTGGCGGCAACCTGGCCAGTTTCCGCTCCATTGACCGGTGCAGGTTCCGCGGCCGGGCCAGCGGCAGCCTCAGACTCTGTGTTCGCTGAGGCGGCTGTGGTCTCGGTCGGGCCTGTTGCCGGCTCGATGACTGCCTCGACAGCCTGGGCAGGCCCATCAGACGTCGGTCCGGCTGTCACCAAGCTTGCTGTCGACGGATCCGCTGCAGGCGGTGGGTGAAGCGGGTCAGGCTCGGCCGCGGCATCGGCGTTGGTGGTGCCGACAAATGCAGCCGGGGCAGGCTGGATAGAGGACGCGTCGACCTCGGCTTGTGCGGAAACAGTCGGATCACTCGAGACGGATGCTGCCGGTATCGGTGCTGCAGCCTCGACCTCGGTGGTGACCGTGTCGCTGGCAGCGGTAAGTGGCTGTGCGCTCGCAGCAGGGGTCGGAGCGTCGACCACCTGAGCCGGGAGGTTGCTCTCGCTTTCGCTGACCTTCTGAGATGTCTTTTGAATACTGTCAGCTTGTTGCTCTGCTTGTGTGAAGGTCTCGGTCCCCGCTGGTGCGGCAGACGGGGGAACCGACGCCTCGACGACGGGCACATCGACTTTTGCGGGGGAAGGCTCCGGGGTGACGGGCGAAGCGTGGGCCCGAGTAGATGCTCCAGCCGCTTCCGGCTGGGGATGTGCGCTTGCTGGGGGTCTTGGGGTGACAGGTTCTTCTACGATCTCACCCTCTTCTGTGATCTCTCCTTCCTCTGCCTCGTCATCGACGGCTGCCGGATCGACCTTGGATGATGGGGCGCTTCCGGTGCCAGTGGAGGCGGCTTTCGTTGCATCGCCAGGCGGTGCGGTGGTCGTGGATGCGGGCTTGGACTGTGAGTTGGTGGTGGCGGACATGGCAGGCAAGGTGCAGGCCTCTTTGCGGCAGTAGCTTATCGCCTGCCGTCGTAGGATAGCGGAGCAGAAGTCAGCTCGGCCTGGGAGCGCTGCTGTGACCTGAGGCCCTGGCGCTATTGGCGAAGAGAGCTGGGGGTGCGAGGGTAAGGTAGTGTGCCGCCTGATGGGCCCAGCTCGGCTGACGGTCCGGATCCAGTTCCGAGGACTGAAAGGTGCTGCTGGTGCTGCCGCTCTCAACCAAGCGGGAGAGGCGGAGGGATCGGATGTGTGGCAGCTGCCGTGGTGCTGAAAGGGATGAAGATGGACGGGCAAGACGCGGAGCAACGCGATAGTGTGGATGACAGAGCTGGTGGAAGGAGGGCATTGGCCGCTTCCCTTTGCTCGACAGGACCACCAGAGACGCAGACGCGGGGGGGATGGGCATCCCAGCCGCCGCCGCCGCGCAAAGCGCCCGAGCCTGGCCGGCCTGGCCTAGCCTGGACTGGCCTGGCTGGCTGGCCTGCGCTGCCTGCCCAGCAGACCGGACACGAGCGGCGGCCAAGTCGAGGCACGCAGGCCGGCCTCTCGTCAAGCCCGCGTTCCGCGATCCGCATCGGAGGCGGACCCTGACCGTGACCTCGGTCTCTGCTTACGTAAGGATTTGGTGCGGCCCCACCAAGAATTTTTGGCAGCCCAGCTACCCTGAGGCTTCTCGACCCCTAGCTTCAACGTTGGCCGCCCTCCATTGCATCTCCCTCTGACCAGCACCCAGCTCATCACCCTCAGCATACGATAGCGACCCAAACATGGCTGGAACCAAGAGCAAGAGGGGATCCAGGGAACAGGCCCAGCTGGCTGCCGTCTCAGAGGCGCTCGCAAAGGGCACCGCCACCTCGTCCAAGCGCAAATCGTTCGACGATGACGGCGAAGACGGCAGCGCGCTCCAAGCCGATACCTCGCCGGCCAAGGCGATCCCACAGCAAGGTAGAAGCGAGGCCGAAGACGACGACGACGACGAGGAAGCTCCCGTCGAAGAGGTCAGCAACAAGTCGACCAAACGCAAGCTCGCAAACGAGGCAACCCAGAAGAAGGCTGAACAGAAGGCGTGAGTCGCTGACGGCCCAGTGGCGTTGCCAAACCCATCTCAGCACTAACATCATTCCATCGTCCAAATCATTCCCGCGATTCTCATCGATAGCGCCGAGGAGAAGCGCAAGAAGCAGGAGCAGGAGCGTCTGCAAAAGCGACAGCAGGAGGCCGAAGCGGCTGCACTCGCCGCCGAGAGGAAGCAGGCAAAGAAGGGCAGGGGCAAAAAGACGGCCGCGGCCGAGTTGGCAGAAGAGCAGCCGTCGGCGGGCAGCTCTCAGGTCGCTGACGACGAGCAGGATGTGGACCGACCAGATGACGGCCTCGAGTCGGATGCATTCGACATCGAGGAGGACGATCTCGATGCCGACCTCGACGAGCCCACCGATCTCGAGGACGAGGGCGAAGCGGATGCTTCCTCGTCCGCCTCGACGGCAGCGGCGGGACCGTCTCGCCTCGACCCTTCGCTTTTCGCCAAGGTCTTTGCAAAGAAGACGCCGGCGGCCAAGTCGATCCTTAAGCGCAAGGCCGCTGACCCAATGACGGCCGAGATGGAAGCCGAGGAGCGTCTGCGCCGCAAGAAGCTGCGCGCCAAGCGCCAGGGCGGCATCGTCAAGGGCCGCGACGGCATGCCGATGCGCCGCCTCCCGGACGGCACCATTGTGCGGTCCCTCTCTTCCCACGCACCGCTCGGCAAGAAAAAGACCAACTTTGACGACGACGATGCCGCCGCCCAGGCCCAGGGCGAGGAGGAGGAGGAGGAGGAGGATACGACGCCGTTGGACCCAGCGGTACGGCCTACGCCGCTCGATCCGTCCGTCAGCCTGCCCAACGCAAAGATCCGGGGCTACAAGAAGCGGAAGCTGGGCCTGTCCTCGACCAGGGACGCGGCCAAGGCGACGGCCACGGCTCCGGCGACGAAGAAGAAGAGCAAGAAGGCGGCGGGCAGCAGCGACGCGGCGACGATACGCAGCGAGGACGACCCGCTGGGGCTCAACGACCCCGCCTTCCTGCCCGGTGGCGAATTCTACAGGCCAAAGAAGCTGACGGGCGCCAGGCCCAAAAAGGGGCCCAGTCACGAGGGCGCTGGCAAGCCGGGCGCGCTCGCCAGGCAGGGCTACCGCGGTAGAGGCGGGAGGACGGATGCGCTCAGTGCCATCTCGGCGGGTCAGAGGGGCGGGCCGGCGCTCGGGTTCGCACGCAGCCTCGCCTGAGAGCTGTCAGATGTCCCTGCAATAGACTCGCTCGCCACAGCATCTCGCCCCGTCTTGTACCACCATGTCCGCATGTGCGCATCCAACACCATCGCTTTTCGTTTCGCCATCACTGCTTCGCATTGGCTCGCGCCGCGCCGCGGTGCCTCATCTCCCCTCGAACACGCTCCAGATGGGCGGAAAGCCGAGATGTGGTCCCTTTTGGAGCACGAGCATGTTCTTGGAATGCAGGATGTAGCCCTTGACGAAGCCCTGAGTTGCGGTTGCGAGGTTCGGCGCGGACGTAAGCGAACTTGCGAGCTCAGACGGCAAGAAGAAAGGCGAGGGGAAGCCCTGCTCACCTGGTCGACGAGACTGGTCAGGATGGCCTCGACATCCTCCACCTCGAGCTCCGGCTCCTGCCACGCGAGCCGAGCAACTTGATGCAGCTGCGCCAACCCGAGCGTCGGCGGCGCCGCGGACGGCGGGGCGGCACTGCGAGAGATGACCAGGCTGTCGATCGGGCGATGAAGGGGGAGGCAAAAGGAGCGGTCCGTAACGTCAGAGCTCCGCACGTTCGTCATCGCCCCTCGTGGACTGCCAGGGGAAGCTCGTCGTGGACCGACCATCTTCTTGCCAGATTCCGCCATACGCTGATGGGCAGCTTTTCCTTGAGGATCAGATACAGGCCGTGGACACGGAACCAGTCCATGTGCCGGTCGAGCTCCTGGTTGACACCGGCGCCGTTCCCGAGGCGCAGGTTCCTGACGAGCGCGGAGAACTGCGGCGTAAGCGACGAGATCGAGAGCAGCGTCTCGTCGGGGTATCGTCCGAGGATCAGATAGGTGCTGATCAGGGGTATCAAGATGAGGCTGCGGGGCGCGCGAACAAGGCCAAAGTCGGATCTCGTTGGTCAGATCGTCGATCAGCATCGGCCTAGGCCCGAGAGCATCACCCTCTCACCGTTTGTTTTTGAGGTGCTGGTTGGGGCAGTTGTCGAACGCCCACCGCAGATGGGTGGCGGCCTGTGAGTGCAAATCACAGGAGGCAAGAGAGTCAGGCTCGCCAAACGATATCGTCGCCATTCGCAGTCCCGTCGCGAAGCACGCTGCATCGCACTCACGGCCTTGATGCTGTGCTGGAAGAGCCTGAGGCGACCGAGGTAGTATCGATACGTCACACGATCGGCTCGAGAGTAGCAGGCTTCGCCTGTATCGTCGCGCTGCCTTGTTGCGGATCCGGGAAAGCTGCGATTGAGCTTGAGCGCATTCTCGACGCTTCCCAGTACGGTCTCGCACAGCCTCGTGTTGTTGAGCTGAACGAAAGGGGAGGTGGTCCGCGGAGTCACGAGGTCAGCACCGTCGACGTCCGGACAAGCGCCGCCATCATCCGCCCAGTACGCACCTTGAAGTATGCCTTGAAGCTGAGGTTGGCGAGCATCAGTACGGCCGCGCGCTTTGTCTCGGAGCCGCGGGCCTGGGAGCGGTCGTTTCCCGCCATGCCCGCCGACTTTGACAGCCTGCCCGCGGCGTCGGTCGTCTTTGGCTTTTTGGCGAGACCCATGCGCTGGTCGACTGTCATGGCCAGAGAGACGAGGCTGGCGGCGAGGTACCTCAGCGTGGGGATGAACCACGTCGTATCCGGAAGCGAGAAGAAGGTCGAGGCGCGTCTGCGTAGGGCCGGGATGCGTCGGCGGGGCAGAGGAGGAGCAGCAGCGAAAGGTGGTCAGGACCTTGCGCTCGTAGACGGCATATTGATGGACAGAGACCTTGGGGCAGAACGCACGAGTACACGAGCGCCCATGCATCGTAGACATCTTCTAGGCGAGGGGATGCTTGGGACGAGGCCGGGGCAAAGGGCGAACTGAACGGAGAGATGACGTTCGATATATGCTGGTGGTCACGAATGAATGAGAGGTATTCTGCGACCAGCGTCTGGAACCTCTCCGAGTCAAATGGAGATGAGGCCAAGGGGATCTGGGAGAGGACCACGGCTGTGAGATCCTGCGAAGGCTGCGGAAGAGAGCAAGCGGGCAAGCGCACAGAGAGTGGGGGGCCGGAGGGAGTCGCTGAGCAGAGTCAGAACCTGGTTGAGCTTCAAAGACGCCTGCCTGTTGAGATGTGCAGGACAAGGGAGGCAGGTATGCGGGCGGAGCGGCGTCTCACGGTTGCCGTCAGATGGGCCTTGAGGGCGTGGAAGGTGGGCGGGTCGATGCGGAAACCAGCGAGGACGGCGTCGGGATCAGTGGCGACGTAGGCGCTGCGCAGCCGCTGCAGGTACTGCTGTAGCGCCGACATCTGGAGCAGGCAATGCGGAGTCGACTTCTTCTTCTTCTTCGTCGTCGTCGTCGTCGAGCGGTCAGGAGGATGGTGTTGGCGGTGGTCGAGGAGAGCAAGCAACGAGGGTTCGAAGGGCGAGGGTCGGGCCCGCTGGTCCCACCAGCCTCGAAGAACCTCCACACGGCTCTTTGAGCCCTTCTCTCGTGCGACTGGGCCAGGCTGGGCCAGGCTGGGCCAGGCTGGGCTGGGTTGGGCTTGATCACACGCGCGCGCTCGCCAGCCTGCCTCAGCCACCTCTCTCTGTTGCAGGCGGCGCGGCCAGGCATGCCCGACGCCCGCCCGCTCGGTCGACAATTTTTCTCTTTTTCCTGTCAGGCCAGCCAAGGCCAGGCCCGAGGCCAGGCAGCGGGTGACCAACCGAGAGGCCGCCAGGCAGGCAAGGCCGGGATGATGATGGGCTGTGGTGCGAGCCAGCCAGGCCAGGCAGGCCAACAAGCCACGCACCACGGTGGGGGCGAACACACACACACACACAGCCAGCCAGCCAGGGCCAAGGCCAGGGCCAGGGCTGGAGCCTTGGCTCATCATCTCGCTCCAACCTAGGCTGCCTCGTACCTACCTCTTTGCTTCGCCCCATCCGTCCCTCCGCCCGCTCGTCGTCCCGTCCGTCCCTCCTGGCTCCTCTACTTTGCCCCTTGGATTCAGAGTCTCGCCTCGCCGCTCATCCTGGCTCGCGGCTCCACATCCTCTTCCTCTCTCTCCCTCTCTCTCTCGTGCGTTCTCCCTCTTTCTCTCATCCGGAAGCTCAGCTCTTGCCACAACCCCCGCAGAACCACGCCCTAGACCCGTGCGATTTACCCACTCGTGCCCGTCGATGGTCCAGGAGCGCCCGAGCTAGGAGACCCCCCGCCATATTATCCCGGACGAGGACCACAATCACGGCGACGACGACGACAGCAGCAACAGCGGCGGCGACGACGACAGCACCATCGACGACGCCCCCTGGCTCCAACCATCCTTGCACACGGCCTGTAAGGCACGCCTTCCCGTCTGCGCTCACGTCGCTCCCCTTGCCGCATCACTTCCTCCCTGCACTCGACTGGCGACCCTTGGACCGACTGCTGCTCTCAACCACCACCTTGGTCCCTTCCCGCCTGCCTCGTGCCTGGTCGGACGGCCCTCCGCTCCAACGATAGTCCTGAACGCTGTACACGGCAGTCTACCTCGCATCGCCCAACCAGAGCGAGAGCGCAAAAGACCGATCCGTCAGGGCCATCACTGGGTCGTCATCACCACGCACCACGACGAAACTTGTGCAACAGACACGGTCCTGATGTGCACAGGTAGCCGGCCCGAACACCCCCTCACCGAAAAATGAACAACGACCCACCAGCCGATGGTTCAGCCCCCGCCGCTGTTCAGCACGACGGCAATGCGCCCGCTCCGGCGTCCATGACACACTCGCCGGAAGGCGAATCCCAGCCCGCCCTCGCAGCTACCGCAGAGCCGGGCGCAGCAGCAAACAGCAGCCCCGCAGAGACCCAGCCTCAGTCACAACCAAGCTCGACTGGCCAAGCAGAGCATTCGGCGGTTGCTGATGAGGTAACCTCTCCCGCCACCAAGGGCGAAGACGGCCTGAAGGGCGCGGGAGGGAGCGTCACGGCGGAAGCAGCAGCCACGGCGGACGCAGGCGATGGGAGAGGCCAACAGTTCTCGTCGCAGACCGATGGCGGCGCCCAGGCCGCGGCGGTGGCCAGCTCCAATTCCGAATCAGGGGCAGCCACTGCCAACGGGTCGGCCGACAAGGACGAAGGCGGACACGGCACCGGCACCGCCACAGCCACAGCGTCGTCCAGTCCGCCGCTGCCTTCGACGGGGGCGGCTCACCAGTCAGCCTCGGCGCATGGGCTGCATGCCAAGAAGTTCACCTCCCTCAACGTCAACAAGCGCTTTCTTGAAAAGGCGAGTCCCTCGCCGGGATCCGCGTCTCCTACCGCCACCAAGCTCGGTGGTCCTGCCTCGCCCATGTCGGCAGGTGCTTCGTGTGAGTGCACCATGACTTGGAAGCGCACTTTCGCCGCCCATACCTGCAGACGAAGTCACGATGGGCTTACCAGACTCGCCCTCTCGCTCGCTCGCTCCTGTGTCGGTCGTTTTCCCGACTGGCAGTGGTCCGGCTATCGTCCCCGTCGTCAGCGTCGCGCCTCACCTCGGCCAAGCTTTCGAGCGTACCAAAGCCGCAACCGGCAGGATGGGCCACCAAGACGCCCCCCACAGCGGCAAAGATGAGCCCTTCCCCGAGTGCCGGCTCCACCGCTTCGGCAACCGCCGCCGCGGGACCGCTCCCGTCCGAGGCATCCGCTCCGGCTACGGCCCCTCCTGCGGCTGCGGCACCTAGCCCGAAACCGGCGAGCTCCAATGCTGCGACGCCGATCGCAGCCGCTCCGCCCACGCTGCAGGCGCTGCCGCCGAGCGCCCCTTCGCCGCGGCTAGTCACAATGGCCCGTGACCATTCGCCCAGACCGATGTCGGCGGGTCTCGAGTCCGGGTCCGCTCAGGGGCGAGCGAGTCCTGGCCTGCGCAACGCCGCTCTGGGCTCTTCGGCGACGAGAGCGGCGAGCCCGGCGAGCGCCAGCAAGGCGCCCTGGGCCAATCTCAAGGCGACGACCGCCTCGAGCCTCACCGCGTCGAAGCGGCCCGGTTCGATGCTCTCCGACTTCCCGACGGCGGCCGAGGCGGCAAAGGCCAAGGAGGAGCAGGAGGCTAAGGCGGCTGCCGCTGCCGCACGCGAGGCGGCCAGACAGCAGGCCGCGCTGCAGAACCTGGACCGCTTCCGTGGCACTGCCCTCGGCTCGGGCAAGCACTGGGACGAGATGGAGGACGAGGACCTGGGCGAGGTGGTCGAGTTCGCCGACGGCACGCAGTACAAGATCCCGACGCATACCGACGGGAAGGACGACGGCCATGGCGGCGCGCCGGTGAGCAAGGAGGACCGCTTCCGGGACGTCAGCCACGACCGCAGCTGGCCGCCCAGGCCTACTGCGGCGTCTGCGGCGACCGGCGGCGACAAGCCTCGAAGCGCCCAGCCGCCTGCCTGGGGTCCCCAGCGAGCGTCGAGGGAAGCCCTCTCGCAGGCGGCGCCTTCCTCGGAGAACCCACAACCTTCTTACCGCTCCCACGGCAAGCCTGAAAAGGTCATCATCCCCTTGAGTGGAGCATCAGTCTCGCTCCGATCGCCCACCGAGGCGAGGGAGCCCTCCTATGGCGGTTACGGATCCCGCGAACAGCGGCGGCCGCCGATGTCGTACGGCCAGCCGCACCGCAACGAGGCGCCGAGCGGCGCACCTGCGGCCGTCGAGTCCGCCACACGGGCCGCGAGGGCCTGGGGACCCCTGGCTCAGCGTCAGGCATCGCTCAACCCGGGCGCAGCGCCGCCGCCCGCCGCAGCCTCTGCAGGCCCCACACCTGTCCGCCCTTCGGTGGTGGCGTCGTCTACGCCTGCAGCACCTGCCAAGGCTCCGAGCGCCAGCGTGCCTGCTGCCGCCGAGGGCGCACAGGCTACAGCACCGGCTTCTGTCGCTGTCCCATCCATCGATGCCAACGCCGCCGCCCAGACGGCAGCATCAGCACGCTCGCCGGCGGTCGCCACTGCGGCGGCGCGAGCTCCATCCCACGTCAACCGACCCCTTCCTCCCCATCTTGCACAGGCGGGTGGTGGCGCCGTTTCCGCTCGTGCGCCTGCGATGCAGCCCCAAGAGGTCCCTGTGCCTCGAGGTCGCACCTCCTTCTCGCCACCGGTCGAGACCCGCAGGGCGGCCCCGGCAGAACCGGCTCCTGCACCCGCACCCGCGCCCGCGGCGACAAGACCCGGATGGGGCCCTCGTGCCGCCCAGAGAGAGGCAGCGGACAGCGAAGGCGCCTCGGGCAGGCCTCCTGTCGCTGCCGCTGCCGCGCTGGACTCGAAAGAGGAGATGCAGAGAGCAATCGAAAGGGCTCGTAAGCGGCGGGAGGAAGAGGAGGCAGCTCGTCAGGCGGAGAAGGAGCGGGCGAGGCAGAAGGCACTGGCCATCGAAGAGAGGCTCAAGGCAGAGGCAGCCCAAAAGGCAGCGGCAGCAGAGGAAGAGCAGCGTCGCTCCGCCGAGAGCATCCAGAGCAAGCGTGCCCAGCCAGCCACTCGCCCGGGTGCGACCGAAGATCGCGGTATGGCGTCGACGAGGCAGGGCGCTTCGGCGACTTATGCCTCTTGGCGCAGCCCCAAAGAGGCGGCAGACTCTCAGCGCAGGTCAGATGTCCAGCGCTCGTCAGTGCCAGCGGCACCTGGCGCCGAGGCGCCGACGCAGGGAGACGTCTGGCGACCGCGAGCCTGGCGGCAAGCGCGACCCGAAGGCGATGCGCACTTCCCCGCCGAGCCACAGTCCGTCGGTCAACAGCACTCGCAACAGCTGCAGCAGCCGCAGGCGCAGCAGCAGCAGCAGCAGCGACGAGGACTGCCGCCGATGCAGGCCCAGAACGGCGCGACAGACCAAGCGTCGTTCACGCGCAAGCTGCCTCCCCACCTGGCTGGAGGCTCGCAGGTGCCACCACCAAGGGCTGAACCCCCTCATCTCCGACGACAGGTAGCTCCAAACGATCCCGACGGCCGCGCCGCATCGTCTTGGCGGACCAGCCGAGGCGTTGGCGAAGGGCAAGCTGTCGGCCTAGGCAGGAGGCCCGCTGTGCTCGATGAGCGGCCCGGACCCAGCGCTCCGGTCGAAGCACCGCAGCTCTCGCCGCAGGCGGGTCGAAGCATGCTCGCACCGCCTGGCCGCCAGCCGCCGCCGCCCCTGGGCGACGAGAGGCAGGCTGCTCTGAACCACTCTGCTCAGGGCCAGCTTGCCGAGGCCGCTCGCTTCCCGGGCAACGAGGGCGCCGCTTCCAACGTACCCAAGGTCATCCTTTCGCGCGACGCTGGCCGCGCGAACGCCGAACAACGGCAGAAGCAGCCCTCCTCCGCCAACAACAAGCAAGGAGAGGTCCAGACGGAGCCGCCGCAACCAGCAGGCCGGGGCTCTGGGCGTGAGAAGAAGGCTAGGCAGCAGCAGCAGCAGCAGCAAGAGGCGATCAATGGCGCGGCTGCCCAACAGCAGCCCAAGGCGCCAGCTGATGTTGCCTCATCCGCCAAGCCGCGAATCAGCGTGCCGCTGGTCCCAACCGAGAAGCCCACGACGCGCGACGAGGCACCGGCCGAACGGCCCCCCGTCTGGAACCGATACACGATCTCGATCCGTCCTTCGGAGGCGAAGGCCAAGCCCAACCGTGCCCAGCAAAAGGCGCAGGCTGCTCGAATCGCCAGCATGAGCCAGCCGGTCCGGCCCGTGTATCCGCTCACCTGGGAGCCGCCGATGACGCATCTCTCGATCAAGACGCTGTCCCGCGACGACCAGTTTTTCCCGAAAAAGTACCACCGGGGCACGGTGATCACCACCGTCAGCCTGCCATCGAGGACGCTTCCCCGCGGCCTGCCCGCCATCGTCTTCGCGACGCCTGCCAGCAGCGACAGGCTCACTGCCAACGGCGTTCGCAAGCAGGCACGTTTCGACGCCTCTCCGGTCCAGCAAGCTGGCCTGCCGAGCGTGCCACGCGGACCTGCATCGGCCTCTTCTCCCTCGAATCCGCTCGTCTCGGCCCTGGCGAATCCACAGCCGCCGTCATCGGCATCGCCTGCGCAGCCGAAGGCGGCCCTCAACGCGCCACCTATCCAGGTGCGGTTGCCCGGTCATAGCACCGTCAACCCTGGTGCAGTGGGCCAGCCCGCATCCTCAGCCGCTTCTGCCAATGCGAACCCGAAGCGCGTCGCCCCCGGCTCGCAACGCTCGCGCGAGGACATCGGCGCCGGGTCTGCACCCCAATTCGCCGACCTTCAAGCCAAGGCCGACATCCGCAGCCCGTTCCGCGCTGCGCTGAGCGCCGCCACATCTCAGGCTTCGCTCGGTCCCCTGGACCACCCGCGCAACGGCGTCGACGGGAGTGCTGGCTTTGGCAGCAGCGGGCTTGGCGCGCAGCCGGGTGCCGGCTTCCGCCAGTCGCAGCGGCGCAACTCGAACACGCCGGTCGCCTTCTACAACGATCGCCAGGTCAACACTCCGTCGCCCGTTTCGTTCATGGTCAACAGTGAGATCAAGTCCGACCTCAATACCGGCGTCGGCGGCGGCGCGGGCCTGTCCCCCTACGTCATCGGAGGCTCCGGCAGGAGCTCCAGCTCGCACACGCCCGGCACTCAGCAGAACTCGATGCTGCCGTCGCCCAGCCTATCGACGACGGCGACGTGGGGCCAGAGTTCGCTGACGTTCCCGGTCATTGAGCCGCGGTCGGCCAACAGCGCGGATCGCGACCACATCAAGAATGTATGGTCGCTGCCCACGGGCAACGACCGCAAGGAGACGCAGAACTCGCTTCGGGACATTGGCGACGATTTCCTCCCGTCCACGATGCCGCTCAGCGTGCACGACTTCCGCACTGACGAGGTTGCGACGCCCGATGCTGCGCGTGCGCAGGATCGGAGTCGGGCCGCCACTCGGACCGAGGCTGGCTTTGGCGGAGGCGCCGGAGGCTATCCGCGTTACGACCAGCAGGGGCCTGCGGATGGTGCAGCTCAAGGTGCAGACCTCTCGCCCGTGGCTGCTCGGACCAACGGCTTCGACCCGACCACGCGGAGCCCTTCGCTCGACATCGCCTCGCCGTCGGGCGCTCAGTCGCGTGCGCCGGGTGCCGGTGGCTCCCATTCGCAGGGCTCGACGCCGCAGCACCGCGCCACCTCTGCGTTCATGCCGATGCAGCCCGCCGGAGCCAACGCCATGTCTTCGCCGACCCTGCAGCACTATGGCGCCTCGACATCTCCGTCTGCGACGATGCATGCGCACGACCGGGGTCAGAACCCGTCCTCTTCGAGTGCGGCTGCTGCTGCGGCCGCCGCCGCCCGCAACGCTTTCGGCGCCTACGGCGGCTACGCGCCCAGCCACAATGGTCTGGCAGGTGCCGGCGGCAGCCCCAACATGCAAGCGTACGGCGGCGGCACTTCGATCGGCTCGATGCAGGGCCGGGCCACTCCATTCACATCCTACAATGCTCACGGCACCGTCAGCTCGGCGCCGGTGTCGCCGTACAACGGCATGGGTCGACTTGCCTCGCAATCGCAGGCCGTGTCCGGCCAGCACTCGCACAGCGCTGGAGGCTACTCCCTCTTTCCGAGCGCTGCGCCATCTGCCCGTGGCGATGCCAGCGGCAGCAGCGGAAACTCGTCGGTGGCAGGCCTTGGAATGCTGGAGGGTGCCAGCCTAGCCAGCGATCCCATCGGCTACGGTCGCACCCATGCTCAGGGCGGATCGCACCAAGGTCGCCTCCAGGGCCAGCAGCACTCCCAGCTGCATCACCACCAGCAGCACCAGCAGCAGCATCATCCGCACCACTCGCAACACCATCACCACCATCATCACCAGCCGCAGCACCACACGCAGCACGCCCAGCAGCAGCAGCAGCAGCAGCATGGCCAGCAGCAACAACAAGTGGGCGAGCTGAGCAACGCCGAGGACCCGTATGCCGGCTACCACGCCGGGCAGTGGTCTTCAAACGCCATGTCGGGAAGCGGCGCGGGCTACGCTCATCCGTCGCAGAGCGGCGCCCCTCGCACCTTCCACCAGCAGGTTCGCCAGCATGCTCCGGGCGTGTCGACGATGCATCCGTCGCAGGGCAGGCAGCCGAGCCAGCAGCAGCAGCAGCAGCAGCAGCAGCAGCAGCAGCAGGCGCAGCAGCAGCAGGTCTACGGCGGCGGTCAGCAATACGTCGCGTACAGCAGCGGCGCTTTCGACCCTACCTCGAACCTCTGGTAGGTCGGCTGTGCTGCTGGCCCTTGGGGCGGCGTTTGGAATGCGGTGCCGACTCGCCCCCTCGAGGAGAGCAGACCAGCAGATAGGGACGCGCCGCCCCGCCTCCCTGCGTCGAGACGACGTGGCTGCCCGGGCGGAGGAGCAGACTGCGCTCCTCTTGTAGGCGATGCGTCCACTCGCATCTCTTCGTCTCTCGAACGTCGCTCTCTGCCTCTGTCTGGCCCTGCCTCCCCGTCTCTGTGTCTTCCTCTCTCTCTCTCTCTCTCTGGCTCTATTCGGTGCTCTCCTTTGCCCGCCTCTATAACAATCAGAATGACATCGACCTCATTCCACGAGCGCTAGTGCTCCGTCGAGATTGTGTGCCCGGCCGGGATAGACAGACGAAGCAACCGGTCGTTGAGCGTTTGTCGATCGGATCTGTGAGGGTGCCCGTGTGGACGAGGAGGCGCACAGGGGGAGGCCTGGCCTGGCGCAGCAAGAAATTGGCCTGCGCCTGGAGCGCGGCGTCAGGAACTCTTGGAAACGCCTTTTTGTCCCGATTCGCTCGACGCAAGATCGACGCAGCCCGTTTGGAGCGCGAGGTCGGCCCCTTTTTCCGGACGCCCGCCTGCTGCCAGCCGTGTGTCTCTGTGACCGCCGCCGCCGCCGCCGCCGCCAGCGCCCCCAACCCCGCCTGGCGTGGCCTGGCGCTGCCCCACCGAGCCAGGCCAGCACCCTCCGCTCAAACCTCGCCTGCCTGCCTGCCAGCTTGCTTGGCTGCCTGCGTGCGGTTGGACGCCTGGCTCTTTGGGCCTGCTGGGGGTCCGTGGTCGTGCTGCGTGGGCTGGCCTGGCCTCAGGCGACTTTCAACGCGAGCCCGAGCGAGGCTTGGACACCTGCCAGGCCTCGCCCTGCCCTGACCTGACCTGCCCTGCCTGGCCCTGTCCCGCCTTACCAGCCTCTGCACGCACGCACGACCGTAGCCCCCCCTCGCTCGCGCCTGCACCACACAGCGACGCTCTGCCTGCCTGGTGGCCTGCTCCCGACCGCTTCCCTCTCTTCACACCTCCGACCCCCTGCATCCCTTGCAAGCTTCTTCTTCCGCCGACGATTCCAGCCTACATCGCAGCAGGAACCCTCCTCGACGCCACCTCGCTCGCATCCCAAGACCCCAAGACCTTTGATCCCGTCGCTCCAGCTCGTCACCCGTCGTCGATCTCGACAAGCCGCCATCGAGGATCTCTCGCGCACCACTGCATCCCTGCTCGTCCCTAGCCACGCTCGTTCGAGTCGATCCACCAACTGCCACAAGGCGGACACGTATCCTCGTCCTCCGACACTCGACCCTACGTCTCGCCCACTTACCCTTCACCCGCGCCTCCCCGCTCGCTCCCGGCGTCCGATAGAGTCATCGCCAAAATGGCCGCCGAGTCCAACTACGACTACCTCTTCAAGGTGGTGCTGATCGGAGACAGCGGCACGGGAAAGTCGAACCTCCTCTCGCGCTTCACCAGGAACGAGTTCAGCCTCGAGAGCAAGTCGACCATCGGCGTCGAGTTCGCCACCCGCAGCATCTCGGTCGACGGCAAGACGGTCAAGGCGCAGATCTGGGATACCGGTGAGTGGCGCCGTCCTCCGCACGCCGCTGGCAGGCCGCTGGGAAGTCGGCCATATACGACGACGGTAGAGGTCGGGGCCGAGCTGGAGGGCTCTCAACGCTGAAGGGCGCTCGCCTGGCCCGAGCCAGCCAGCCGTGGAGAGGAGCGCACGTCTTGAGCTGGCCGATGGTGTTCCAGCTCGGCACCGACGACCATCCCCTCGCTCGCCTTTCGAAGAGGCGGCCGGGCGATGCCGCTGCCCGTCTCCGATGTTGTTGCTCGCACACAGACGTGCAGGCACGGCACGACACGCACGCATCCCCTCTCTGCGGCACGGAAGACCTCCGACTGACCCCTGTCCCGTCCTTCTTTGCGGCCCCCGTCTCTACCACAGCCGGCCAGGAGCGATATCGCGCCATCACCTCCGCCTACTACCGTGGCGCTGTCGGAGCGCTCCTTGTCTACGACATCGCCAAGCACCCCACGTACGTTAACGTGTCGCGGTGGCTCAAGGAGCTGCGGGACCACGCCGACAGCAACATTGTCATCATGCTCGTGGGAAACAAGAGCGATCTGAGACACCTGCGAGCAGTGCCGACCGACGAGGCCAAGGCGTTTGCAGGTGAGTGGCCGGCTGATCCGTCTTGCTGGCAACGACCGTGAATCTGACGATCATACCCTCGTTTGCGCTGTCTTCGCACCGTTCCGCCCGCATTGGCAGCGGAGAACAACCTCTCGTTCATCGAGACTTCGGCGCTCGACGCCTCCAACGTCGAGCAGGCTTTCCAGAACATCCTGACGGGTGAGTGCAGCGAGCGCCGGACTGCCCTTTCCGATGCCTTTCCCGGAGACCCAGCGTGCTGACGCGTGGACCCGCCCTGGGCGACCTCCTCGTGCCGTCTCGTTGATGATTCTGCCCCCGAATCGCAGAGATTTACCGCATCGTCTCGAACAAGGCGCTGCAGTCGTCGGACGATGTCATCAAGCCGTCAGGTGGCGAGACAATCACTGTTCAGCCCAGCGCAGACGACGGCGGACAGCAGAAGAAGGGCGGATGCTGCTAGATGCGCAGCTTCCTGCGCCCACCCTGGACCGAGGCGCAGCGCTGGCAGCGTCGCTTCGTCCTCCTCGGAGCTGGGCCGAGGCGGGTGCGGTCCTCTGGGCAGCACAGCGCCAGCGCCTTCCGTCTCATGCGGCCTTCAACCATCACCGGAAGTGGCGAAAGCGGTCTCGCCTCTGAATCGGCCGCTGCTGTCACTCGACCATGACCCTCGCCAGGCCGCCGAGCCCTTCTCCGTCGGACCCGGCTGGGCCGTCTGACTGCCTGCCGGCCGACCTCGCCTTTGACAGTCGTTGCAGACTTGCTCTGGTCCCTCCCTGTACGGACATCACAAGACATGGCACGATGCTGCTCGACGACGCGCCTAGGGCCTGCAATCTCGCTCTGCTCCCATCCTCCTTCCGCCCCCGCGTACTCCGCCCCGTCTCGTTGACCCCGACACTGGCCCCGCGATGTCCCTGCCTCTCGCTGAACTGTACCTATACGAACGTCCGACGACGACTTCAATGCTGTCCGAAGAAAGCGGCTGCTTTGATTCGGAGCATGGACAGCGCCCGACCTGTCCGCCAGCGTCCAGAGTGGGGTTGGCGGGTGTGGCCTGACTGTGACCTGAACCTGGGCGTGTGACACGAGGCGAGCGCTGGCTTGGGCGTCGGGAGGCGGGAGAGGTGCGTAAGCGCGGCAAAAGAGGTGAGGTGGTCGTGTGGAGGCAGAGGGGCCGCGTGTGTGTGTGTGCGCTTTGGCCCGCCGAGCCGCGCAGCCCGCCAGGCCAGGTTGCCGGGCCGCGCAAGCCCTTTCTTCTCGACCCTGCCTCCCTCCGACCAACACTACCCGCGCTGCCTCGCACTCGCCCTTCCCGACGTATACATAAGAGCCGACCCAGCCTCTGCTTTTCAGAACCCACACACGACCATCGCGCTGCCAACGTCGGGCCGGTCCTTTCTTGCCGTACACCCGACCCCTGCTTCTCAGAGGAACAGTCTCGTCGTGACCCTGGCACCTTGAACCGAACATCTGCAAGGTCAAGGGTAACGCGCACCGTCCACAACAACAAACACTGCTACGCTCGGCGCCGCAACAGGTGTAACGCCACGTACGACCACCATGGACGACGATGTGCTCGAGATCGACAGCCCCATGGAGGTGAGCACCCGGTGACGAGCCTCATCGCAGCACGCAGAGCATCGCGCTGATAGTACGTGTTGCTTGGAACCTCTCTGCTCTGACCCTCTTCTCTCGCATTCGCCATGCCACCTCCGCCGCACTACAGATGGCCGTCGAGTACGAGGACTCCGAAGACGATGACGTCCCCACCCTCTCGCTCGACGGCGGGGCATCGTCACCCGCCAAGGCCGCGGCAGGCTCGTCCTTGAAGCAGCCCAAGAAGGCCAAGGTCGAAAATCGAAAGGCGCAGATGGACTACCCAGAGAGCCTGCCGTATCCGTGCGAGTCTCTCGACGAGTTCGACCGCAGGCTTGACGAAATCATCCGCAGGCTGGTCGACTGCGTCAGGACCAAGGAGTGAGTGCCGCGCAGCTCCGTAAGGCAGGTCGCTCGAGGTCTTTGCAGCTGACGCCTTGTCCATTCTACTCGACATGCTCCAGCTTCGACGTCGGCTTGCGACGGTGGACGTACCATCTCAAGTGCCTCATGTCCCTCAAGTAGTGAGTATAATGATCCGAGAGCAAGGGGTCTTTCGCAGATGGTCATGTCGAAAACACGAGCTGATACCTTCCAAGTTTTCGCACCCCTGCGCAGCCCCATGCTGCGGCAGACGAGAGCCCGTCTCGCCAGGCTATACTATGAGCTTGCAGTCCTACCTGGTCTGGAGACGCGGCTGGTCCAACTGGCCTCGGAGGTCTGCATGAGTCTCATCGAGTGAGTGCCGCCGTGAGCCTTTGAGCCACGGTCTCTGCCGCTCTGTCCATGACGGCTGACCCTTTCGATCGCTCGACATCCTTGCCGCCTGCTGTGTAGGAACAAGAGGAAGCTCGACATCAAGGACCTCGTTCTGCCTTGGAGGCCGTTGTACAACTTACTGGAGAAGGAGCTCTTCCCAAAGCAGCGGAGGACCGGCCTGACCAACGTGTCGGACTTCCTCCTCGATCTCGCAGAGACGGCGCAGCGCTTCTTTGCGCCCAGCGAGGCCGACGAGATGCTCCAGACGTTCCTGCCCAAGCTCGACGGCAGCAGCATCAACTCGGTCATCGCCTCGCAGGCGTTCCTCGTCCACTTTCTACCAATCAGCCACCCGCAACGGTGGCTTCCCGCCATGTTCCGGCTATGGGAGAGCTTCAACTCGTCGCTGTTCGACGATCAGATGCTGGACCTGCTCGCCCGGCTTGCGGAGATGCACGTAAGCGACCCCTCAATCAGCTCGGCTTCGCCTGGAAACGGTTCCAGCGAGCCTAGAGACGCGCTTGAAGGGCAGGGCGAGGCCGAGGCCGCCGCCGATAGTCGTCCCAGCAGCGCCGATGCGGGGAAAGGCCTCTTTAACGAGGTCGGCATCTTCACCGAGTCGCAATTCGCCCTGATCATGACAAAGTGCCTCAAGTCGGCAGGCCTGCCCGTCGGCGCAAGCAAGAGCGCGAACGCGACGCTCCTCGCCCAGTCGTCCAAGTTCCGCACGGGGCCCGACGCGGCGGCGTCGGGCGTCACCCTCAAAATGAAGAGGCAGACGGATCGCCTACACTCGTTCGCCATCATCATCGCCTACTCGATCTCCCGCGACGGCCCGGCCATCGGCGACGTGGTGACGCCGTCCGAGGCGACGACGCCAGCGGTCAGCACGCCCGTTCTTGGCGCCTCTCCCCGCGGGAGCGCGCCGGACAGCTCCTCCGTCCGCACGTATCCGGCTGGTTCAAAGGCGCTCGAACAGCTGGCCAAGCTGATCCAGGCCACCGAGAGCTTCTTCCACCCGTCCAACCACGGACCATGGCAGGGGCAGCTCGCGAACCTGGTGCAGCACATCACCTACGAGTTCCTCAAGCGCTGCAAGGAGGAGGAGCGGGCCGACTGCAAGGTGCCCAAGCACTACCGGCTCACGCCCCAGATCAAGAGGGAGCTCGTCTCCATCCTGCGCACCGTCTGCCTCCTGTCGATGTTCTCCCGTGACCCGTTCACAATGAGCTACGCGCACGCCAGCCTCAAGTGGCTGACGATCCTCGAGCCGGAACTCGTCGTCCCGGCGGTGCTGGAGCGATCGTTCGACTCGCTGCAGGCGCTCGAGACGACGCACCGCACCAACGCCATCATCACGGCGCTCTCGCAGCTCTCGCCCGTCCTGGTCTCGCGGGAGTTGTACCGCGCCGGTGGCAAGCACCTGACGCCGCTGCTGCAGCTCTGCATCCCCGGCATCGACCTCAACGACCCGGGAAAGACGATCGGCACGTGCCTGTTTGTCACGCTCTCTGTCCTGTCCATCCGCATCGACGATCTCACGCGGCCCGAGGCCTACGCAGACGACGAGGAGGTCCAGCCGATGGACGAGGTCGACGCCGAGTCCTCTGATGCCGCTGCTGCCGCCGCCGCTGCAGCGGCCCCATCGATGCAGATCGACGAGTATGGCGACGAGACGCCGAAGCCGTCGCCGCAGGAAGAAGACTATCAGCTGCGGATGAGCACGGCCGACTTCGAACCGTGGCTCACCGCGTTCTTCAAAAGCATCCTCACGCTCTTCGAGGCGCTGCCAGAAGAAGGCCGCGCAGGCCGCACCGGCGGCAAGCTCGAGGAGCGGGTGATCCAGTTCGTGCTGATGGCCACCGACGCCGTCTGCTCGGCCATGAGCCCTTACCTCTGCGAAAAGATGTTCAAGGTCGTCGCCGATTACTGCGCCACCACCGTCTCGGCGTCGGTCGTGCGCGTCATCGGCGCGCTCATCGGTTGCTTTGCGAGGGCGGATCCCAAGATGGTCCTGGATCGGCTCGTCCCAATGTGCTGCGATAGGATCGCAATCGAGCTTGCCAACGGCGCCAGCTCGACGCGAACGACGAGCACCAGCATTCCGGTCCAGAGCGATGCCGCTCTCCACTGGCACCTGAGCGTGCTGCTCGGTGCCACCAGTCACGCCGGCGACGCGCTGCTTCTGCACCGGGAGCGGCTAATCGAGGTGCTGCGGCTGGTCTGCACCTCCTGCAAGACGGAGCGCGGGTACAACTTTGCGGCGCGCCTCGTCCAGCGGGTCGTGGCGACGCTCATCACCATCTACCCGAAGGAGCAGCGCTTCGTCAATGCCGACCTCTGGGAGAGCGAAGAGTTTGCCCGGCGATCCCACCTGCACTGGGGAAAGCTCTACAAGGTCAGCGACGTCAAGATCGAGTGGTACCAGCCCTCGGATGCCTCCATCGACTTCTGCCTCGAGGTCATCGACAAGGTCATCCATCCAGCCCTCGACGTGGTCGAGGACCTGCTGCAAGAGGGTCGAACGCGCGACAAGGTCTGGTCCAACGACTTCTGCCGCAACCTGGTGGTCGCTCGCCTTGCCCTGGGCGGCATGCCGGCGCTCATCGAAGAGGACCACGTCGGTGGAGGCGACCCGGTCATGGACCTAGGCGATGACGTGGCCGAATTCATCGAGCCACCGCCTGCCTTCAAGAGCGGCTTCATCTTGACGGACAGGTCAGACCCTCGCTACATCAAGGTTGCGGCCTTCAAGAAGCGATTTGGCGAACTGATGGGCCGCGCCGCGCAGAACACGCACGACTCGGGCGCCGAGGATCAGATCGATTGCGTCAAGCTCCTGATCCGCTCGATGCGCACCTATCTCACCTGCTACGGCCACAGCTCCGACGACCACCGCGTGCACTCCAAGGCGCTCTCGTTCTACAGGAGCATCACCAAGCTCTATGCCAAGCAGAAGACGTTCCCACGATCGCTCTGCATCAAGCGGGCGATGCTCTACCACTCGTCGCGCGCCAGGCTCAATGGCGGCAACCGCAAGAGGTCGCCCGACACGGACAAGATGCTGCAGCAGATCCTCGAGTTCTGCCTGTCCAACTATGTGGCCATCCGGTCCACGGCACAGAACACGCTCGAGACCGTCTGCGCCTACTACGACGGCACCCGTGCGCTCTCGTTTCCCAAGCTGATCGCGGCGCTGCAGCCGGGCGTCGGCGACGACCAGATGAAGGGCGCGCTGTATCTGCTCGGCAGCAAGCGCTTCGCCCACCTGGCCGTGACGGACGACAGGTTCTGCGCACCCTACATCCTCAGCCTGCTTGCGGCCCAGCACCACTCGAAGCCGTCGATCCAGAAGCTGGTCCGCAACATCATTAGCTACTTTGTCGTGCGCTTCGCCGAACCGTCGACGCTCAAGTCGCAGATCGACACGCCGGCTCTGCGCGAGGCTGCCGATGCCCTCGAGGGTGCCCTCCCACAGGACCTCAAGGAACGCCCTGCCTCGGAGCAGCAGCTTCTCGAAGCGGTCGTCGCCAAGCGCGTCGAGAGGACGGCGAGGGTCGACGAGCTGCACCGCGAGCTCACCGACAAGGTGCTCGAGATCGCGCAGAACGAGTCAACGCACTGGGCCTTTTCCATCTTCGCCGCGAGGCTCCTCCGCGCCCTCATCCGCAAGGACAAGCCGCTGGCCGAGCAGCCGGCCAAGTACCTCGCCCAGCAGATTCTCTCGGAAAACCCAAGCATGCGACGGTATGCGTCGGCCGGCGTCACCAAGATTCTCTACTTTCTCAAGCTCAGGACGCTCTGCAGCACGGACGAGGATCTCTTGTTGGGCAAGAGCAAGAACCCGCTCAAGCACGTCGCCGCCCTGCCACGGCCCGTGCCTGCGAACTGGACCGATGCCTATATCGCCGAGTTTGCCGAGCCGATCAACGACAAGACCCGGCTGCGCGACAAGTCGTCGCAAGGCTGGCTGGTCTGGGGCCACGAGGAGACGTACTACTCGCCACCGCCCGAGACGGACAACATCTTCGACTGGGACCCTGCCTCGAAGCCGGCTGTCGAGGCGATCCGGGCGGTGCTGTCCGACAGCGCCTGGTGGGACGGCTTCTTCCGCCACCTGTCGCAAGAAAAGGACCGCAACTACCTCTCTGCTGAAACGTCGAGCCTCATCAAGTCGCTCTTCCAGGTCTACGGCGTCAGCCTGCTGCCCATGGTCAAGCCTACCGTGGTCAAGTTTATCGCGGAGAAGGACCGGCACAAGCATCGTGCCGCCGCCGAGATGATCAGCGGCGCATACCGCGGCTCCAAGCACTGGCCGGCGCGCGACCAGGCGCAGCTGTGGGCGTGGCTCGAGGAGCTGCTGCCGCAGATCTTCAAGGAGTGCACGCCGGACAGCCAGCCCGCGTGGCAGATGTGCGTCGAGTACATGCTCCAGAATCGCGACCCGCGCCGCGCCATTCCGCTGGTGCGCTACGTCGTCGAAGCCGCCAGAGACAACATCTCGACGGACTCGGCCAACCAGAGCCCCTGGGAGCAGACCAAGGCGCAGAACCTGCTGCGTGGCGCCCTCGTCACGCTCAACCTCAAGTTCGATGCGTGGGGTGCCGACGAGTTCATCCGAATCTACACGGACAGCTTCAGCAACGACTTCCAGGAGGTGCGCAGCATCATCAGCGAGAGCCTAGCGGACCTGGAGCTGCTCAAGGTGCACCCGTCGTTTGGCAGCGTCGACGAGTTCCTCGACGTCTGCTCGGCGCGGGAGGGTTCGCTGCTGGCGCGGCCCGAGCTCTACTCGGAGCGCTTCGCCACGCTGGCGCGCGACCTGGCGCGGTGGAAGGGCGAGCGCAAGCCGACGGCGCAGGGCACGTCGCAGTACGACCGCGCGGCCATGACGGCGCTGCTGTGGATCTCGACGACGCTGGGCGACCACCGCAACAGCGCCATGGCGGGCGAGGTGATCCGCTTCCTGCCCTACATCTTTGCCATGGTCGAGGTGCACGACAACCGCGAGCTCTCGGACACGGCGCGCGCCGTCTTGACCAAAATCTCGACCTACCCGCACACGGCCGACAACGTCGAGGCGCTCGTCCACGAGCTGCTCAGCGTCACGCGCTCGTCGACTGACTCGTGGCGCGCCCGCCTCGACTCGCTGCCCGTGCTGCAGGTCGTCTTTTTCCAGAAGTGAGTAGCAGTCAAGAACCGCGCCGTGGATGAACCGGCGGCGGCCCTCGTTTGCCGCAACAGAAGGGGCAGATTGCTGACGACCGAGATCCCCTGACCCTCGTGCCCTCGGTCCGCCGCTTCTGTCTCCGCCCCCCTGTGCCTGCCTGCGCTCGCAGCCTGTTCCACCTCAACGACGCGAGCATCAAGCAGATCATCGACCTGCTGCTGGAGCTGCTGCGCGACCGGCACCTCGAGGTGCGCGAGATGGCAGCGACGACGCTGAGCGGCATCGTGCGCTGCTCGCAGCGGCGGCTGGTCAAGACGCTCAAGCAGCGCTTTACGCGCCTCGTCGCGGCCACCAAGCTGCCCAAGCGCGGCGAGGCCGACTTTGATGACAAGCTCCTCACGCTCCACTCGGGCATCCTCGGCGCCACGGCGCTCCTCGCCGCCTTTCCCTACGAGGTGCCCGAGTGGATGCCCTCGCTCATCGTCGATACCGTCGCGCAGCATACCGACGACCCCGTACCCATCTCGACGACCGTCAGGAGGTGTGCCGCCGACTTTAAGAGGACGTGAGTCGCCTCGCCGTCGTCTCCTCGTGCTGCGTGCTCAGTCAAGAGAAGAGAACGACCCCGAACTGACCGTCCTTCCCTCCTTCCGTCCGTCCCTCCGTTCCAACCCCGCTCCCGCAGCCACCAAGACACGTGGTCCGAAGACCAGAAAAAGTTTGGCGACTACCTCTCCGAGGTCAACGACTTTACCCTGGGCCGCTCCGACTACTTTGCCTGAGGCGTCGTGGCCCCCTCCTGACGCCGCGCTCATCATGCCATGCCCTGCCGTTGCAACGCTGCTCTCGCCACCCCGCTCTCGCGGACCGGTGCCGTCTCTGCATGTCACGTCGAACGACCGACCACCATCGCATCCGAAATGCATCCCCGCTCGCTCTCAGCGTGCCGTCTGGTACGGCGACAGTTCGAAAGGTAGGTTCACGTCTGTGTCGCGTGGCGGGACTGACGATTGGACGCCGTCCTACCGCTGCGACGACTGGGGCGGCGCGTACCGGTAGAATCTAGCGACGACGAGGGCAGTGACGGCGTTGGAGAGGGTGAAGAGCCAGAAGACGGCGCCGCCCGTATGCCTGTGGTCGAAGCCGGCGAGGAAGTTTTTGAGCGGGAGAAAGGCGGCGCCGATGAGAAAGTTGCCGGACCAGTTGAGGCTCAGGCCCAGACTTGTCGTTGTCGATACGGCCTGCCAGGCGGAAAGGTGGTATCAGGTAGAAGAAGAAAAAGGGAAGCGACGGAATCCGTGATGAGCGTGAGTGGCGAGGGATCCCATCGACGTCAGGACAAGATGGGATGCCAGGGCCAGCAAGAGGGCGGCAGAGCAGGGTACTCACGCGACTCGGCACCAGTTCGGGCAGGATGACGAAGGGGATGGGACCGAGGCCGACCGAGAAGCCGGCCACCATGACGACGATGCAGACCGCGCTGAGGATGGCAATGTCGTAGACGATGGCCACGCCGAGCAAGAGCGACGAGACGCTCATGACGGCCGCCGAGAGGACCATGAGGTTGCGCCTGCCCAGGCGGTCCTCGGAAATGAGGAGGATGGGCGGGAACGTCATGAGCATGTTGATGACGGTGATCAGGATGCCGATGGAGCCGGCGAGCGACGGCAGGATCGTCGACAGGATGCCGGTGCTGTAGTAGAGAACGGCGTTCTGTGCGGGTGCGAGCGTGGGACGACAAAAGAGGAACGGGCGGGCGGTGAGCTCCCGTCAGCGACTCACTGAAGCCCCCGTCGTTCGACAGGGCTATCGCCGGTGGACTCACTACTCCGCTGAGCTGCTGCGCGAGCTGCGTAAAGACGACCATGAGCGTACCGGGCCGGATGGCTGGGTCGGTGAAGATCTCCCTGAGACTGACGCTACTGTGTGCGCTGTGCTGTCCCGAGCCTGACCCGTCGGCCAAGAGGCCCTGCCTTTCGTCGACGTCGGCATCAGCATCGGCCTCTGCCTCGGCACCAGACGGCGCGGTGCGCCTGCCGGTGTCCTCGCGGTGAGCATCGAGCTCCTTTGCGGACCAGAGGAGCCTCCTGACCTCGTCGGCCTGTTGGTCTGATCCGCTCTTGCGACCCTCGCCCTGGAGCCAGCCTGGACTCTCGACGGCGACGACGAACCCGGCGAGGAGCTGGGTGGCCGAGATAAGGGCCGATGTGGCTGGGATCCAGCGCCACGTGTTGCCATCGCTGCCGAGTGGGGAGGCGCCGAGTGCCTGTGCGGTAAAGATGCCGACGACGATTGAGAGCTGGTTGAGGACGCCGTTGGAGCCTTGGAGGGAAGCGGGCGAGATCTCGTTGATGTAGATTGGGACGACGACGACGCCGATGCCCGATCCGAGGCCCTGGAAGAGGCGACCGATGGCTAGCGGGGCGACGGAGCGGGCTGAGGTGAGGACGATGCTGCCGACGAGACCAAAGAAGGCCGAGAGGGTGATGGAGGTGCGGCGCCCCCAGCCGCGGCTGTTTGCGATGGCAGAGATGGAAAGGGACGAAGCGAGGCCGCCGAGGGTGAATAGGCTGGTGATGAGGCCGAATTGGGATTCGGTGAGCGGGATGCAGCCGGAAGGAGGATGGGCGAGGGATGGCAGTGTGGCTTGGCTCGAAGTGTGGTTCAGCTGGCAGGTGAGGATGGGTTGGAGTGGGTTGAGTTCCGAGATGCCGAAGCCGTAGGTGTAGGCGGAAGCGAGGATCCAGAGGAGGACGAGGGTGAAGCGTGGCGTTGTCCGGCTGGGGTGGGTGGCTGCGGTCTGCGATGGCATGGTGGCAGGAGGGTTGGTGTTGGCTTGGCTGTAGCGGCCTGGCCTGGCTTGGTATGGGGATGGGGGTGGTGGTGGTTGTGGTGGTGGGTGGGAACGGTGAGAGAGGGGTCGAGGCGCGGCCAGACCCAACCAACGGCCCCCACACAGAGAGAGAGAAGGGGTCTGAGAGTGTGGAGGCCTGGCCAGCCTGGCAAGCTCGCACGAGCCACGCACAGTTGCCTGCCGCCGTAGGGTTGGGTGCGGCGCAGCGTTGAAGCGCGCTGCTGCCCGGCTGCCCGGCTGCCTGCACCACCGCCCCCCGTCTGGGCGGCCACGAGGGCACAGCGCAGCCGGATTGGCCTCGTTTTTCCTTCCTTGTCCTGCCTGCTCCTTCTCTTCTCTCTCGACCTCGATCCTACCAGCCCTTGACTCCACCACCGCCACCTCCAGCGCAATGTCGATGAAAAAGTCAAACCGCAAGGACGTCGACGACCTCCTCGCCGACCTCGACAACCTCGGCGCTCCCTCGACCCCGCACAACCCCTCCCACAGGGCCGCCTCCCCCGGTGCAACCACCGCCAACCCAGCCTCGTCGTCGGCCGCAGAAGCATCCTCAAAGGCTCCCCAAGACGCCCAGAGCCTCCTCGACGACCTCGACAGCCTAGTGCAGAGCAGGCAGTCCTCCAGCAGCCGCGCCAGCAACCGGAACAAGCCATCCACCCCGGCACCAGCCGCGCCCACTCACCCCGCAGCCACTTCCAATCTTGCAAGCACCACCGCCTCCAGCCAAGCCGCCGTACCCGCCCCCGACCAAGCCAACTCCGAAGCGTCCACAGCTGCTGGACCCGCATCCGAACCCGCCCCTGCTGCTGCTGCTGCCACAGGCGGAGGCTGGGGGGGCTGGGGTTCCTCGCTCTTCTCTCAGGCCACCAAGCTGGCCGACCAGGCCCGCGCAGAGCTCGAAAAGAGGGCCCCCTCCCAGGCAGAACAGGCACGGGAGCTGGGAAACCGCGGCTGGGACCTTGCCAAGGGCGTTCGCGGCTTTGTCAAGGACGCTGGCCTCGAAAAGTGGGGCGAGGAGGTGTCCAAGGTCGGAAAGCGCGGCTGGACCGACATCATCAACGCAGTCGCTCCTCCCATCGCCGCCCACGAGGTCATTCAGGTCACCCTCAGCCATGGTGAGTCGTGGGCCATGAGCCAAGACGGGGCCGCATGAGAGACGCCTGCTAACCTGGTGCTTGCACGCCTCGCCTCGCCTCGTCCCGCCCCGCCCCTCATCCGCCGCTCCCCACCCCAGACATGGTCGGCTACGACGGCATCGAGGACGTCACCTACCGCGTGCTCGCCAAAGTCATGGAGCAGGTCGACTCCGACAACACCGAGCAGCAGCTCGTCGTCAACAAGGCGCCCGGGCAGTCGTCGGCCTCGCGCCCAAAGCAGGGCCAGGACCAGGAGCGCGACCTCAATGCCGTCGAGGGCTTCGAGGCCGCCTTCCGCCTCGCCACCGTCAACCTCGACGAAATCGTCAAGACGCACGAGGTCAAGCCACCCGCCGCAGATGCGTCGACGGGCGCCACGCTGCCCATCACGACGTGTCCCGTCTTTGTCCGCATCCAGGCGTGCCTGTCTGCCCTCCCAGGGCTCTCCCCGAGCAGCGGCAGCGGCGAAAAGGGCAAAGCGGCGGCGTCCAAGGTCGCAGAGGCCGACGACAAGCAGCTATTCTTCATCGTGCTACTCAAGGACCCGCTCCACGGCCTGAGCCACAAGACCATCAGCCAGGCCGTGCCCACCTCTTGGCGTGAGTCGATACGCGGCCGCGCAGCCCGGCTTTGACTCGACGCACGTACTGACCCGTCTTCGTCGTTCGTATGCGCGCAACCTGCCCGACAGTCGAGGTGCCGTTCGAGGAGAATGCTTGGGTCGAGGATTCGCTCGTGGACGTCATCTCGACGGCGCTCAGCGTGGCGGGACAGGACTACGTCCAGGGCCGCATGTCGGGCCGCACCGCCTCGACCAAGGACGGTCTGGCATCGTCGTCGCTCGACGCTCCGGCAGCGACGACCGCCTGAGCTGGCAGCCCAAGATGCCAGCCCAGTTCCTGGCTTGCCTTCCTGCCTCACTGCCTTTGTGCCAGAATCTGCCCGCGAGCTAGACCGCCTAGCAGGGCCTTCATCGGTGGTCCGCCCTACCCCCTTCGCGAATGGTGCCACGGTTGTAACGCTCGAGATATCGATACCGTCGAATGAGAAATTATCAGAACAGAGAGCCCTTTATGTCATTGCGTCGCGGAAAAAAGGCGCGGCACAGCGACGGCTTTCAGACGGTGACGGCGACGAGGTTACTGCTTGGTCTTGCCAATGATCTGGGTCGAGATGAAGGTCTCGCCGTTGATGTGGTACTTGATGTCGACCTGGCGTCGCGGTGACGGGGGGTGAGATAACAAGGGAGAGGAAAGGAAGGTCAGGCGCCGCCCTGGACGTAGAGGAGCAGGTTTGAGCAGGTGGGTGGGACGTAACGTACGTGTCCGCCAGTCTTGACCTCGATCTTGTCGATCTTTCCGGTCTTGACCTCGCCACCGAAAGGACGGTCTGCCCGAGGGAGCGAGGCGGTACAGCGGACGATGGACGAAAGAGAGCGGGACGAGGTGGGGGTCAGCATACAGAGGGACATCCTGCTGGCAACGCAGCTGCTTCCCCTCGAGCCCGTCTGGCGACTCTGACCGCCTAACTTACACTCGACAACATCTCCCTCGACGTAGAGAACCATTTTTGCAATGAGAGTTTGTAGGGGGTGTGAGGAGGGTGTTCAAGAAGAGAAGAGAAAGCGGCGATGAGGTTGCGTGCACGGCGAGATGGATGGTGGTGAGAAGATCAGGAACGGCGAGGTGGATCGGTTTGGGCCGCTGGCAAAGCGTCCGACCAACCTGCCGCCGCCAGTCGAGGACACCCCGGCAATCTGAGCAAGGCCCGGCGGCCCTGGGCGTGGCCTGGCGCCTCGATCGTGGGCCCCTGCCCGCCCGCCATGCCTGCCTGCCTGCCTGGCTCTGCTCTGGCATCGATAACCTGCTGGCGTCACCGTGCGCGCCTGGCTCTGGCTTGCCCCCCCAAACCAACCGCACCCTGTCTGTCCTTGGCCCGGGCCCTGCGAGGCACGGATCGACCGGACCGCTCACCTGCCCTGCCCTCCTCTCGCAGCCCGGGACGGGCCCGCGGGAAAACAAAAATCCAAGCCGGTGCGCGAATCTTGCAGGCCAGGCCTGCCAGCAGACACGGCCCATACTCGGTCCCGATCACTAGCTCGCCCGAAAGAAGAAAGACCAGAAATTCGGCCGAATGAAACCGGGCCTCCGTTTCCGTGACCTTGGCAGGCTGGGCTTGGCTTGGCTTGGCCTGGCCCGGCGTGGCTGAGCTTGAAAGGCGACCTGCCGCCCTGCATCGATTCTCCTCTCGCTGAGCTTCGAGCCCGGCCTGCTTGCTTGTTCGCCGACAGCTGGCAGCGAGAGGCGGGTAGATGTTGATCTCTGCGACCGCGCGCGGCCCTGGTCGGTCGGTCGGCGGCGATGTGCACGGGCGGGTGACTGCCTGCGTTGGGCCGGCTTGGCACGGGGCGGCGTTGGCGTTGGCGCTCGTCTAGGCCGCGTCCAGCATGCTCGCAGGAGAGACGGCCAGCGACGCCAGTTTTGGTCGCTGGAGCCTGTCAGCTGCCCCGCTGCCCTGCTCAAGAGATGGTCAACAGAGCCAGCCTCGCAGAGCAGCTCGTCGAGACCGAAGCCGTCGATGTTTGACCTCGGAGGCAAGGGTGAGGATCTGCATGTGGTTGCCACTTCGTGCCCAGTCCACTAGCCAGCCCCCCTGTCGCGTCGGGCCTTTTTTGACAGCTCCTCCTACCGGTACCTCTGTCGAGCGCCACTCCGCTACGACACAACCTCCAGCAGCGAAGTCCCAGCTCCGCTGGATAGAGTATGGCCGTCACGATCGTGCTCGCTGTTGCCATTTCGCCCTTGCAAGGAGCCCCCTGCTCGGTATACCGGCCACCTGGACCGCGGAGTGTGGAAGCTCGCTGCTCACGTCGGAGCTCAGCACCGCGTGTCTACACCTGCGCCTCCTCCCGGCACCGCCTCGTCCTTCTTCCGGCCCCGACGCAGGGTAGAGTTGATCCTGAACAGCACATACGTCGCCGCCGGTCCTTATCCCTCGCTCGCATCGTCTCGGAGACGCGGCCTCGCCATCGTCCCGCTCATGAGCACCGAACGCCTCGACGAAGGAGCCAGACAGACCCCTTATCCTCACGAGCCACGGGGAACCGCACCGTAGCGAAACGCAGAGGGAGCATATATACGATGCACGCACGGCTAGACCAAACCTTGCGGCCCACCAAGGCTTCCACCACGCTCAAGCTCGTCTCATCCCGTCCCGTCCGGCACTCTCCTTTGACCAAAGCACACGGCCACCAGCCCACCACGCTCGCTCTCTCTGTTCCACATTCATTTCGCACCATCGAAGAGATATCACCTCGGGTCCCCGTCATCCTCGGGCCAAAGCACCGTACGGGAAAGCGATCCCGACCCACACAGTTCCCCTAGCAACAGCCCGCCAGCACTGGACTGCGGGATCATTGCCTGCAAGCCGCCCACGAAGCTGCGAGGCTGACCCGAAGCTTACCTTCTTAGCCCACCTCGTCGGAAGTGCTGCTCCCCTAAGCTGCATTTCGGGCCTGCCGCCGTGACACTAACCCTCGCCAATCCCACCGCCCGCCATATTGGCAGTATAAAGCTGACCTGTGCCCCTGGCTCGCCAGCGAGATCCCCCATCCAGATCCGGTACCAGTATAAGATGCCCTCCAAGACATCGGGAACCTCCTGCTTCTCGGCCTTTGTCTCGTAGGTTTTGCCAGCCCAGTGCGCCCCCTCGACCGCTCTCCGTGACCGCTCCCTGAGCTCTCGTGCCTGACTGAACCACCCGACCGCTCTTTACGCTCGACCATGCTATCGAACATCAAACGATGGCTTCCTTTCCACGGCAGCCTGTTCGGAGGCGGGCCCAAGATCTCCACCCCCTCCAAGGACGCCTTCTACTGGGACCGGCCGGCCAACTTCGATACGCTCCATAACGGCGCCATCCTGCGCAGCCGACCGGTCGACCTCGTCTACTTTCCCGGTTTCCAGGACCCGCCGCTGCAGGCGTGGCAGGTGGCGTACAAGACCAAGGCGCAGGACGGCATGACGCCGCAGGTGACGGTGACAACCATCATCCGGCCCTCGACGGCGCGAAAGGACTCGGACGGCGCGTGGCACCTGCTGTCGTACCAGAGCAAGTGCGACAGCGCCTCGCCCAACTGCCGGACGAGCTACGCGCTGCGGGCGGGCAACGACTACAAGCTCGGCGCGCTGTCCGAGCAGGTCTTCATGGAGCCGTGCCTGGACCGGGGCTGGATCGTGCTCGTGCCCGACTACGAGTCCGAGACGGACGCGTTTGGCGCCGGCCCGCAGTCGGCCTACGCCACCCTCGACGGCATCCGCGCCGCGCTCGCCTTTGCCGACCTGGGCATCGCCGACGCCGACGGCAAGGTCAACGCCAAGGTGACGCTGTGGGGCTACTCGGGCGGCGCCCTGGCCACGGGATGGGCGGCGCAGAAGCAGCCCAGCTACGCCCCGGAGCTGCCCGTGGTCGGCGCCAGCATCGGCGGCGTGCCGGCCGACCTCAACGCCATCGCGGTGCGCGTCAACAAGACGATCGCCGCGGGGCTCTACATCGGCGTCATGGCCGGCCTCTCCAACGCCTACCCCGAGCTCGCCAGCTGGCTCGACAGCAACGCCACGCCGGCGGGCAAGAAGGCGTTTGCGGCGGCCAAGTCGACGAGCTTCGGCGTCGTGATGAAGGACAACATCAATCTCGACGTCGTCGGTACCTGCTTCAACGCGAGCCTCGTCGACCCGCTCGGCCAGAAGATCCCGGCGCAGATCATCGAGGAGAACAAGGTGGGCCTAGACGGCGCGGCGCCGACGATGCCGATGCAGGTCTACCACAGCATCCACGACGAGGTGGTGCCCGTAAAGACGGTCGACGACCTCGTCGACACCTGGGCCAAGTCGGGCAGCACCATCGAGTACGTCCGCGACACGCTGTCCGAGCACGTCGTCCTCTCGTTTACGGGATGCGCAGCTGCCATCGACTGGATCCAGACGAGGTTCGACGGCGAGCCTCCCCTCGCTCGGCCGGGCAAGCCGAGGATCACGACCGTCTTTACCTCGCTCGAGAGCGACGACGCCAAAATCACTTGTGAGTTGTCCCCCCCTCGACCCATGCTGTGGCTCCAGGCGAGCAGAAAGCAGACAGTGGCTTTTGACTGACCCGTACGACGTCTACATCGCCTCGCAGTGGGAGCCGGCCGACAGTCCGAGCTCAACGACCTCCTCGAGACCAAGTACAAGCAGCCCAACAGGAAGTGGTGGACCTAGCCGCCGCGCCTCCCTTGCTCCTGAATCCCCTCTCCTCAAGCCAAAGGCTTCTGAGACTTTGTCATGGACCTTTCCGCCTCTTCTCCCGATCTCCTTCTCTTCGATCCCACGGTCTTGACCCCTCCTCCTCTCTTGACGAGCCCATGTGTATACCTTTTTCTCTCGGGCCCGGTTAGGGGTCCCGGTCGCCTCGAATCGACGCCGGTTCCTAGATCATACTGCGACCAAGCCTGTTGCAGACAGACGCGACGAGACCGTGCGACATACGCACGCACGCACGCCCCATCTGCGGGGTTGGCACCCGCAGCATTAAAGGAAGCTTTCTCCCGCGGCCGCTTTGCTGCCGGGATCGCATTCGGGTCGGGGCTAGTTGGATGCACGACCACGAGGTCGCTCGCCACCTCGCCGCCTCGCTCGGCATGTCACACGTTGTCCGACCTTGCCGCCTTTGTTCCTGGCTCGACGGCAGTTACTGTGCGACCTCCTCGTCTGACAGACGACTTGTCCGTGTGCTGCAACAACGGCGTCTAAGAGGTGGCGGCACCCTTGCACCACTGGGCGACGAGGGGCGGGAAGGTGCCGGACGTGTCCCGAGAAGTCGGGGAGCGGGAGCCCCATCACCGGCCTGGCTGCTGTTCCGAGCCGAAGAGGGCTGGGGTCGTGGCGCCCTGCTGACCCCGCTCGCCTGACCCATGGCGTTGCCCCTCGGAGAGTTCCAAGTCGCCGAATACCGGAAGCATCGAGGCGGATCAGCTGAGTTCAGCATCGCGCTCAACGAGGGCAGGCGGTCCCAGCAGCACGGCAGAACATCCCTCCGCTGCCTTGACGATGGCGGGCGGTTGGTGCAGCCTACATAGACCTGTCCGTTCGCCCAGATCGGCTTGCGTACAGGGTATGTACCGGTGGGTGTGCTGTCCCACCGGTTGCTCGCCCAAAGCGAGCCAAGGTGAACGACCATGCTCTGGCGATCTCCAGGATCAGATCCCCCTATCCTGGCCCGTTGTGGAAGGGGTGCCCAGCGTTTCCCATCGCCGATCCATGGCAAATCCACGAAAGGAAGCTGTGCCCGACGGGGGTCGGCGAGATCAGCCGGTTCATCCGAAGATTTAAAACGCCGAAACAAGCGTCCTGACGAGGCGGGCCCGGCCCCGTTTCGTTTGGTGGTGGTGGCAAAGGCGGGTGAAAGAGCGCCTGGCCCATCCCTCGAGGGAAGAGGTGGGCGGGTAGGCGCTTCCGTTTCGCTATGCGACCGCAGCTGGTCTGCATGCTGCTGCATGGGAAGCAGCTCGCCTACATGCCACGCGCCGAGGCGAGCCAGCGTCTCGTCTCTTGGCAGATGCTGCGCGCAAGGAAAATGACCTCACCCCTTTCTCGCTCCGACCCTTATGCCATCCCTCTGCCATCCGCGATGGACGGCCGCTCCAGCTCGGCCATCGTCGTACGTCTTCTTCGTTCGGCATGGGTAGTCGGTGGTGAACCCGGAGCGGTCCGGCGATGGCACAAGCCGGATCGACGCTCGTCACTCGAACGATGGTCGCGAGCAAGGTGGCGGTGAGAACCACGAGGAGAGACCCTGCCTGCCCCCCGCCCGCCTGCTGTATGTAGCCCACGACACAACGGGCTCCCCCGCCGAGGGCGATGGTCGCTTAGTTATTGCGTGGGTAGGAACGAGCCTCGCCAAAGCCATGTGAGACGTACACGGCCCCCACCGAGGGTCGACTGGTGAGCCGTTACGCTTCGCTTTGCGGTCAACTAGACTGCCTGCCTGTCTACCTTGCGTGACGAACGCAGGCACTGGAGCGTTGCGGGCGTTGCGGGGCGGTCTGAGAGCAACTACCTTATCTAACAAAGCCAACGACGCGCAATGGCCCCTGGCTATTCTGTAAGGAAGACGGGCGGGGTGAACGAGGCGATCCATGCCCTGCTGCCTTGTTTTGGTTGGTCGGGCGAGACGCTCGATGAGCGCCTCTCGCCGCTATTTCTCTGTTCGCCGGTCCGAGGAGGGCTGCGTGGCGACGGCAGCAACAGGCAGACACATGCATTGGGTGGTGCCCCGCATCTCTCTGCAGCCTGGGCGATCTACCGCGTCGACGACCAACCGGCGCCAATCGAAGTACACCTCTCTTTGTGTACGTACACACGCCTCTTGCCTCTGATGGCCTGCTGCAACTCGGCCAGCCCCGCTAGAGCAGCCGCGTTCGTCCGGCAGCTGCCCGCTCCGCCGTGGATCGACGACAAGGTAGAGAGTTTGAAGAATGGCCGCCTGCACGCGCTGTTGACGTGCAAAAGCAGGTTAGGCTAGGTCCAGGGCGAACACCATATCTAGCAACGAAGGGCTATGGCGCTCGTGGACTGGTTTACTGTAGGAATGGCCTGGCCTGCCAGGCAGACCACATCGCGGAGGGGACCCGCCCGCCAAGCTAAGCCTAGAGAGGCTAGGGCTGCAGAGCGCGCCTACGCCTCATGGCGGACTAAAGCAGCTCGGTTGTCGACCACGCGCAACAAAATCTGGGGCACCTCGCCTGTCGCCGGGCCACGATGGCAGATCAGGTGCCTGGGCCGGGGTACCGTCGTGCAGAGGAAGGCAGCAGTCGCCAGCACGACGGGCGGGCCTCGCTGGCTTTGCCACAGCGCGCCGTCCTCAGGGCGCCTCATCCGCGGCCACGCCGTTTGTCAAGCAAGCCGGTTGCTCCGCTGTCCCCTGACAGGCTCCAAGACGACCCTAGTGCGCGAGCTGCCGTGGCCGACGGTGGCAGGACCGAGGAGCGGAGCAGACCGCGAGGGAAAGACTTGCCGACGACATGAACCGGTTTCGGTGCTGGCCGGTTCAGGCCCCGCCTCGTCTGTGGTCCTGCGCCGTATTCAACCTCCGACCCCTGTCGACCATATCCATGGCATCGATCCCTCGTCTTCCTCTTGTCTGGTGCCTCTACCTGTGCCCCCACCCCCGCGGGCTTCGAACCCGCTGTCGGCGACTAAGGGCCTGCCGCCTGCCTCTCTGAAGAGCTGCCTCAAACTTCCCTTTTCTCCGCAAAACTGCCCGATGATGGCGATGGGCGACGTGCGCGTTGCCTTGTCGCCGGCGATGGCAAGAACGCTGCGGTGCGGTGCGGTGCGAGGCGGGGCGGGGCGGCGCGGCACGGCACGGCGCGATGCGGTACGGTAGGCAGCGGGGGGCCCCCCCTACCCTTCCGATCCATCTGCCCCACGGCGCCCCCCGCTCTCTCCCGCCGCCGTCGGGCGCGCCGCCACGGCCGCCGTCGCCGCCCTGCCGCCGACCTAAGGTTGGCCGCCATCTTGCCTCGGTGCCCCTCCGCCCTCTCTCCCCCCCACCCGCAGGCGTGTCCTCTGAAAGCGCCCTCGGAGAGGGACTACGCCCGTGTGGCCAGACGAACAATTGCTTGCGTGGGAGTGTCTGCTGGCCGTGTATAAGTAGACCACGTTGCAGCCGCCTCCCTCCCCACGGATGGATCCCGTGTTCACACCCCCTCGTCCTCTCCCTCGCCGTACTTGGCTACTTTTCTCTTTCTCCCTGATTCACTGAAACGGGTGGCCATCCACCTTCACCGCCCTCGTCTCTCTTGCCCGACGAGCTCTTCACGCCTGCCACGACCTTCTCCTCACAAACCTAGGTCCATCCGCCCGCAGCCCATCATGGTGCTCAAAGGATTCGCCCCGGGCACGCCCGAGACGGACAATGTCCCCACATTCCTCGGCCTCAGAGGCATCCGCCTCAGCTGGGCCATTGGCTTCGCCGCCAGTACCGGTTTCCTGCTCTTCGGCTACGACCAGGGCGTACTCGGATCGCTCTACACGCTGCCGTCGTGGATCGAGCAGTTCCCCGAGATCGACACGACGACAAAGGTCGCCAATGCCAGCTCCAGCGAGTCGATCCTCCAGGGCCTCGTCACGGGTGTCTACGAGCTCGGATGCTTCCTCGGCGCCATCTCGCAGCTCTACCTCGGAAACAAGCTCGGCCGTAGGAAGAACATCTGGATCGGATCCGTCATCATGACCATCGGCTGCATCGGATGCACCGCCTCGTACAACCTCGCCATGCTCTTCGTCTTCCGCGTCATCCTCGGTATTGGCAACGGAATGCACACCGCCGCCATCCCCGTCTGGCAGTCAGAATGCTCGCCGCCGCACAAGCGTGGCATGCTCATCATGGTCGAGGGTGCGATGATCACCGGCGGCATCGCAATGTCGTACTGGGTAGGTACCGAAAGCCGCAGCGGACGTAGAGGGAGGTTGGAGCCGGGTGACCGCGTGCTGACCCGCTCTTCGCCTCTCCTATTTTCCTTCCCGCCTACCAGATCGACTTCGCCTTCTACTGGACCTCTCCGTCGGATGCTTCGTGGCGAGTGCCGCTGGCTTTCCAGCTGCTCCTCATCCTTCCCACATTTGTCACCATCTGGCTGCCCGAGTCGCCCCGTTGGCTCATGCTCAGGGACCGCGAGGAGGACGCCCGTGCCGCCATCGCCGCCCTCGACAACGTGCCCATGGACGATGCTGGCGTCGACGTCAAGCTCCACGAGATCCGATCCTCGCTCGCCGTCGTCAAGAGCTCCAAGTTCACGGACATCTTCACCAACGGTCCCGAGCGCAACTTCCACCGTACTGCCCTCGGCTTCACCTCGCAGATGTTCCAGCAGATTACGGGTATCAACCTGGTGAGTGGCGCGCCGATCCCCAGCTTACCTTCGGGGAAGCCCAAAGGTGATCCCCTGCTGTTCTGCGAGGTCCACTGCTGACACCTTTGCTCCTCCACCTTGACGCGACGCGCGCGCAGATCACCTACTACATCGGCAAGACCCTCGAGGAGCAGCTCGGCTTCGACCAGGTCACGTCCCGTATCGTCGCCGCCGCCAACGGCACCGAGTACTTCCTCGCCAGTTGGATCGCCGTCTTTGTCATTGAGAAGATGGGCAGGCGCAAACTCATGCTCTGGGGTGCCGCCGGCCAGACGATCTCGATGATCATCCTCTCCATCATGGGCGCGCCCGCCCTGACGTCCAAGGGAAGCGGTCCTGCCGTCGTCTCGACCGTCTTCTTCTTCCTCTTCAACAGCTTCTTCGCCTTTGGCTGGCTCGGCATGACCTGGCTCTACCCTGCCGAGATCACCCCGCTCTCGATCCGCGCCCAGGCCAACGGCATCAGCACGTCCGCCAACTGGTGAGTAGCCCGCACCGCTTCCTCGACCGTCTCTCCGTGCCCTGCTTGCCGTTCCAGCCGCTGATCCGAGTTTCCCGACCTCCACATACCCGACAGGCTCTTCAATTTCATGGTCGTGATGGTCACGCCCTACATGCAAGAGAACATTGGCCACCATACCTACACCGTCTTCGCCGCTCTCAACTTCGCCATCCTCATCTCGACTTTCTTCATCTTTCCAGAGACTTCCGGTCGTTCGCTCGAAGAGATCAGTAGCATCTTCTCGGTGTCGTCGAAGATCAACCCCTTCGATGTGGTGCTCAAGGAGCGAAAGACGCCGCGCCGCTACGACACGCACGGCAACCTCATCAACGAGGATTTTACCATCGCCGACATCAAGGAGGACATCGAGGGCGGTGCGCACAAGGAGAAGAACCACGACGAGGTCGTCGACACCCGCGATGCCTCGCCCTCGCCCCACTCCGAGAGCGCATCGTCGCGATGAGCGGCGAGACGCGTCATGCTCCGCGACCGCGGCAGCGTTCCAACAAACCAGCCTTATCAGTCCTGCGTTTTGACAAGCACTCGCCGTCGTCAGTACCATAGACAGCCCATTCGCTCGCCCATTTCATCGCCGCCCTTTGCGCCTCTCCCTCTCCCGCCTTGACGACCTTAACGCGCTACGTGCCGAACATGTTTCCCCCCGTGACGTGACCTTGATTCCCCCTGTCCTTCACGCCCTCAGGACGTGGCCTCGTCTCAGTAGATAGTTGTCTATTTCGACCTGGCCCGTCTACGAACGGTGTATCATACCTGGATCCGTAGTTCCCATCGAACGCATTGATACGACAGCTCGCGCGCTCCAATGGTTCGTCTGCCTGCACTTGCTCGCGCGCCCGCGCGTGCTATGGAATTGGGCTCGGGCCTGCGCTCTGCTGCAGTCCGAAGCCAGCTGGACCCGTGAAGCGCGGACCGAGCTTTGATAGGGCTGATGACTGATGACAGCACGACAACAGGAGAGGGCGTGTGCGGTTCGAGCAGCGAACTGAGAGTACTGATGCCAACCTTGCTTGTTGCAAGACGCGCCCGCCTTGCTGCTTGTTGCATCTCGCCGCTGCTGCAGCTCTTTTTTGCCTTTTCGTCAGGCGGGTGAAAATTGCTGCAGCTGCACTGCTTGACAGACTGGCCTGCAGACTGAAGCAGATGCTGTGGCACATTGCTGCAACAGAATGTGGTCACTCACCTTGGCACAGGGAATGACTGTGGCTTTGCCTACAAGGACTCATGATCATGTAGCCTCAGCTGCTTGTGGGTCTTGATCCAGGAATGGTGGCTGACCAAGGCCCAGAGGTCAGCCCTTGACCATTCTCCAGATGGCATGCCTCCTCAACATTGCAGATCACCTTGGCCTGCCAGCAGACACACTCTTCCCCCTGTCCTGTCTGCCTCAAGCAAGGCTCACATCAAGCTGGGACCTGTCAGGAGTCAGGAACACCTGGTCAAGTGCATCTGTGACAGGATGGTGACCGCTCTGACCACCAAGGTTGGGGTGATCATGCAACCCCCCTGCTGCCACAAGAGCTGCCACAACGGCCTCCGAAGCGAGATCAGCTCCACCGAAGCGGCTCAGGCTCTGGCTGCTCACATTGGGACCCACCAGAGCACAAACGGCCAGGGCTACCTGAGCTGCTCGTACCTGAGGGACGACGACACACGCTGCCCCTTTGTAGAGCCGACCAAGGTCGTCTTTTGCCATGCTGCATCGGACAAGCAGGTTGCCGACTACCTGGTGCACCAGCAGCAAGAGCATGGCATCATCCGTGCCAGCAGCACCAACATCCAGTGGTGCGAGGAGCACGAGGTATGGCTTGTGGGGCATGCAGCCATCGAGGCCCACTTCGAGGCACACCTGGTCAAGCTTCTCTCTGAAAGTGCCAAAGGCCAGCTCAGTTGCCCTTGATGCTTGGAGAACGTCACCCTTTGAGCTTCATGCAGGGCCAAGGCCTACAGCATCATGAAGGTGTTGGCTTGGCACATCACCTCTATGCATGTCCTTTGTGCTGAGGCCTGCAATCAGGTCTGCGCATGCTGTGACAAGCTGATTCCTGGTGGCAATCTCCCTGACCACATGATTGGCAAACATGGGTACTCAATGACTGATTGGGACACAATGTAGCACCACAGGAGCTGTTCCTCTGCTTTGGTGACTTTGACAAGCTGAAAGGCACAGCCAAGAAGCAGCTTCATGCATTCAAGGCCTTACTCAAGACCTCACCAGCCAAGATGTGCAACCTTGATGCCAGGACCAAGAACCCACAGGTCCACAGCCTCAGGGTTCATGGCAGTTTGAAGTCTGCCCTGCCAATTTCCAGATCAACCCCACAGGCAGTGCTGGTGGACACTAAACAGCCCCACAGCTACTTGGCCTGCACAGCAGACACCTGGGAGCAGTACCCCTGGCCAAAGACAACATCACAACTTGGTGGCAATGCCATCAGGCTTCAGGGGCAACACTGACCAGATTGACTGTTGCAGCTTGTACAGTCGTTGCTGGCGTCCACAGTATAGGGGCATCACTCTCTGCATCACTTCAGCCACTGCTCTCGTCTCTTTCTCTTTTAAGGAGAACATGTTTGCCTGATCATAGCACGACACTCTCAGAGCTAGGCTCTGGTGCCCCTCTGAAACTCTTGCTGAACGTGCACGGCGTACTCTGCAACTTGGATGTTGTCGAACACATGCTTAAGGAAGTTGAGCCCAGAGAGCATGAAAGCTACACAGTTGGGCCCTGGCCTCAGCACCCTTTATTCCTGCTTGGGTGGCCATTGAATCCTTGATTGCCTCAAATGGGGACTTTGGCAGCATGGCCATGAGTTGACCAGCCTTGATATCCTTGATGAAGCGTTTGTTGTGCTTGCCACCTTCCTTGGTGAGCTTCCTGGCAATGGCCAAGATCCTCAGCTTTGTTGACATCTTGATGACATCAAGTTTGGCCTGACCAGGGTCTAGGCCAAGGTCCCTAAACAACGTCTTGTAGATCTTGACCTGTGTGGCTGACAGACTGTTGTTGAAAGCCTGTGCAATGGCTGCGCTGGGTGCTAACGTGGCAAAGCGCAGGATCTGCCTCAGCACTTGCAGCTGGAAGTAGGTGTTGCACTTCTCGTGGGTCCAGTCACGAGGGGAGGAACGTGATAGCCTTGCCCAAATGCTTGGCAGCTCCGCTTGATGGCAAGCAGAAGAGTAGCATTCAAGAATTTCTCAGCGATTTGAGAGGCCTGGTGGCTGTCCGCCATGAAGGCATTGGATGCAGCCATTCTGGCCAACCGACCAAGGCATGCCTGCAAGTTCCTCGAGGAAGCCATCAGGACGAGCGGCTCTCTGCCTGCAATGTCAAGCCAGGCCCCAGCTTGTAACGGTCGACCTGGCGGTGCGCAGAAGATTGTCCGAGGGGCGGAGAAGTCTCTGCGCGTCGGAGGGCGATCGCTTCGGTGCTCCCGTCAGAGGCGCGAGCGAGGTTCGGGAACGGCGGGTTGGTACCGAGGGCGACTGTGAGCACCGTTGGCAGGCGTCCACGGTCAAGGATGACTACGGAAGTGAGCTGGCGAGGTGATCTGTCGATAGACGTCGTATTTGCTAGACAACAGTAGCCTCGGGCTCTCACGTCGATGGAAGACGAGCAAGCGATGAGGACTGGTATTGACTAGACTGGATGAGGGGCATCCAGTCTACCGACGCGGAGGAGGACTAGGCTATATACTGTCTACCTACGGCGCCGAGGCATCCCTGCCTCGACCAATCAGAAATGGCCCCTATTGTCCTGTTGTCCTCCATTGTCATCCCAGGGTGTTGCTCCGAGGTGGGACGCCACCGTCGTGCCCGAAGCCTAGCCCTTGGCCCTCGGTGCGGATCCGAAGCGTCCTCCTGCCAGCAGGAGCAACTGCGGAGCCGCACGGTGCGTGCCGACGTCGCCCGGCGCGCAGAGGATTGCTGGCGGCTTGGTGATTCCTCTCCGCGGCCGCGCGGAGAGAATTCACTTTGGCTCCGGAATCCTCTGCTCCGCTGGCCCGCGCCGCTCAGCCCCGATTGGGCCAGGGCTGTGACACAGCTTTCCTAGCTGTCTCTGCCACAACACAGCCAGCCGCCACGGCTTGGAGCAAGCGCAAGGCCATGCCTGCTGCTGTATGCTGCTACCACAAGCAATCCACATGTCTTGAAAGAGCTCCTCTTTGAGCTCATTGATCACATGGTCAGGGAGCTCTCCCAGTGAGGCCAGATCAACAAGGCTTACAATGCTCTCTATGACATGCTTGGTGGCAACACCTCAACCAGCAACCCCCTGCCCAGCCATACTGTTGAGGAGGTGATTGCCTTGCTCCAGAGCAATCTTTGGGCTCACACAACTGTGCAGGCTGCTTGATGCTTGGCTCACAACATTGCAGCAGCAGCTGCCACAATATCAGAGGCTTGATGTAAGACAGCCAGGAGGGCAAGTCTTGAGTTGTTACTACTGTTGAACAGCTGCAGTCTCCCTGAATACTGCTGTTGCTTGCATGCACATTTGTGCATCAGGGCGTTAACACCAGTCGCTGTGCACAGCGCATCAGGGAGTTCATTTTTACTACAACAAGGTTGGTGTGCCTCAACGTCGGAGCATGTCCCCTCACGCCCCTTTTCCTTGAGCAACCCCACAGGCCAGACGACCGCATCAGCTGCAGAGGCCCTTCATTCGTCACGCAAAGATCGCACGAGTCGGGGAGGTCGTAGCATCGTGATTGCGTCGAGTCCGAGCATGTGCTCGGACAACGTGAGAGCGTTCGGGACGGGGTCCCGACTCGTATACTGTACAATTCATGAGGGAATGGGCAGCATCGAGGGATGTGCAAGCGAGGGGGACGTGAGAGCGGAAGAGGGGGCACCAATGGGCCCCGAGCAGCTCAGCGCATGTGCGAGAAACTAAGGCGGGCGCGCATCTGAATGTCCAGCGCGCGAGGGGGCTGATGCTTGGTATACGAAAGAAACATCATCTCGCGCAGCAGATGGCGAACAGCGATGGCCGCGCCGCCGGGTGCTCGGTCACAGACCGAAAGCGGATGGGAAGCCGAGCGAAGGCGCTCAGGACGATCCCGTGTGCGTGCTTGCCCGCTCCGTGTCGTTGCCCTCGGGCGTGACGCCGCCGCTCCTCTCGTTCTTGTCCTTCTCCAGCGCGGCCTTCTCCTGCTCGCCCTCGGTGAGGCCGGTGACCTTCTGGTCTGGTCGGTTGGATCCGAAACGCAACGCAAGCTCGGCGTCCAGCTCCTCGGAGGTGAGGTACTTCTTGGTCAAGGAGAGATGGCACGCCGTCGTCATGAACTTCGATGCCTTCCAGAAGCCCTCTTCGTGGGCCTGGGCAAAGATCAGGTCCAGCTCCTCGAGGCCGCGCTGCTTGCTCTCAGGTGCAAAGCACTTTGTAGAGTGGATAGGAGCGATGCAGAAGGTGTTCAGTCCGCTGCGGCGGCATTGGCGCTATGACGATCGACCTCGACGCGACTCACGTAGATGGCGGGGATGAAGCTCATGTTGAGGACGGCGAAGATGATGTAGGTCTGGTAGCCGATGTTGGCGAACGATGGAGGCGTGATCATGACGATGAGGAAGTTGAAGAGCCTGCGATGCGAACGAGGACGGCGAGGAGAAGCGATCGCTGGTCAGCGGGCGGAACGTCGCGGACCGAGGCATCGCGGGCGAACTCACCAGTTGGACGAAGTGGCGATGGCCGAAGCAGGGGCGCGAATGCGGATCGGCGTGATCTCGGGCGGGTAGAGCCAGGTCATTCCGAGCCAGCCGAAAGCGAACATGGTGTTGAAGAAGTAGAGGAAGAAGGCGGCAACGTAGGCCTCGGCGGGAGTGCCTTCGTGGGGCTGGTTGACGACGTAGACGGTGCCGGCGAGGATGGCCATCGACACGGACATCATGAACGCGGTGCTCATCATGAGGAAGCGGCGGCCGAGGGTGTCGATCATGAAGAGGGCGAAGATGGAGGCGACAAAGTACTCGGTGCCGTTGCCCGCCGCGAGCAGACGGGCGGTGGTGTCGTCGTTCTGGATCGACTTGAAGACGGTGGTGGCGTAGTAGGTGATCAGGTTGATTCCCGAGAGCTGCTGGAAGGCCTGGGCGGTGAAGGCGATGATGGTGCGGTAGAGGTTCTGCTCGGGGCCGTTGGTGAGGAGCTCCTTGTACGAAAACTCGCCCATGAGCTCCTCGGATGCGACGATCGAGTCCTCGAGCTGCTTGACCACAATGGCGACCTGCGGGTCGTCGACGGTGGTGCTGTCGAGGTTGGCGAGGACCTGGGCCGCTTCGGCCTTGTGGCCCTTCTTGATCAGCCATCGCGGCGACTCGGGCAGCCAGAGGATGCCAAAGAAGAGGATGATGGCGAAGAAGGCCTGGAACGCGATCGGGAAGCGCCACTGGACGCTGTTGTCCTTGATCTGGTAGAAGCCGTAGTCTGTCGAGGGCGGAAGAAAAGGGGCGAGGCACAGATCAGCGGGTTTCTCGATGGGCGCGCCCTGAAGCCCATGCCACCCTCGCGTCGGACGTCGACCGAACACTCACCGACCCAGTAGCTGATCATGATACCGCCGGCGATCAGGGCGCCCTCGATGAGGACGAGCAGACCACGGTTGTGCGCCTTGGAGAGCTCCGACTGCCACATGGGAATGGTCGAGGTGTTCATGCCGTTGCCGATGCCCGTGATGATGCGGCCGGCGGTGAACTGTCCGAGACTGTACGAGCAAGTCATGATGACGGCGCCGACGGTCATGATGATGGAGCCGAGGAAGATGGAGAAGCGTCGGCCGAGAGCGTCGCCCTTCCACAGGACAAACAGGGAACCGAGCAGCGCGCCAATCTCGTAGATGGCCACGACGACGCCCTGGATGGCCGAATCCTCGTTGCCGATATCACCCGCCTGCGCGATCCGAGGAAACTGCCGAGCCATCTCGGGCTCCGTCAAGAGCCCGCTCATTACGCCTTGGTCGTATCCAAAGAGCAAGAAGCCGACGCCGCTGACGAAGGCGATGGCGGCGGTGAGGGTCCTGCCCTGGAGGCGGTTACCGCCAAACATGACGGGGAGTTGCCACACCATGATGGGTAGCGGTGTCGCTGAGGCGCAAGAGGGAGGGAAAGGGAAGACGGAGGGGGGGCCAAGGGGGAGAAGAGCGAGAAAGGGGGCTGGTTCGACACTCGAGCCGGCTTGTTGACGTTGCTGGCAAGGAAAAGAGGTGGTTGAGGTGCGGGGGACGGGGAAAGATTGTCGGCAGCCGGACAGCCTCGGGGCTCCCTTATATGGATCGACCGTTTCGGGAGGGCCGGGAGCCTCAGGTGAGGGAGGCCACACGGGATCAAGGCCGACGATGACCTGACTGCTGATCTGCCTTGCGGGCGCAGTCGGGCCTCGTTTGAGCTTGCCCTTTCGCCCGTACGTAGCCCTCTTCGCCCCGTGGACGGCGGCACGACGCACTCCGGGGAGCTGCGCCTCTCCCCCACCTGGGGTTAGTGCTCTCAGCGCGCGGAGACCAGCGCCTTTCAGCCCGCGCCATCCCGCAGCCAATCGCACTAAAGCTGGCACAAGACCACCCTAGTACCTGGTGGCAGAGGCACCCCAGGTCGCCTGCCTCCTCGCCGTCTTGTTGCTCGCAAGCAGAGCGGCAGGCACATGACCCGTCTCATTTGTCGGTCTGCCTGGATGCCGGTGGCGAGCTGCGATTGGCAGGGCAGGTCGCACAGAAGACAGCGCCGCGCGCACACCGGAGAGGCGTCTGCGTGGCACGCTGGCAGGTTGCTGTTGCTCGCTGCCCCTCCGAAACAGCGTGGTCGTCGCTATGGCTAGCGTGTGCATGGCCAGGTACAGTGCTGTTCCTACCCTACAATAGGCCCCCATCGCATCATGATGCCGTAAAAGTTTGTGATCTGCTCCTGCCTCTTTGGCTGGCAGAGGATGGTACCGGTACTGTATCGTAGGAGCTGTTGCGGCGCGAGCCGTCGAATCGGCCGGCGATGTTGATGCCTGCCGCCGCTGCTGCTGCTTGCGCTTTCGAGGGTCCAACCTGGCCCGCCGCGCAGTGTGGCACAGAAGCCGCCGCCGCCGCCGCCGCCGCTCAAGGAAGAAAAAATAAATTCTCCGCGGCCGGCCGGCCTGCACTGCAAATCGCCGGACCCTCCGTCGACTTCAGGCTCCGCCCCGATGCAGCCGGCCATGACAGCATGCCGCAGTCGGGGCGTCCCCCCTTCTAGCAAAGCGGCGTGGCGCGCAGGTGAACCGAAGAAGCAGTGCACCGTCGGGGGTGCACCGTCCAACCCCCGACGGTGAAGTAGGACGGCTGCTTGGGGCTGAAGTCATACGACGGGTTGGTGCGACGCAGTCAGCCCGAGCCCCACCCTACTTACTGTAAACAACCCCTGAGCGCCTTGTGCAGTAGGCCGCAGCCGGCTCGCCTTTGGCGGGCAAGGGCGGAAAAAGCACCAGCAACAACAGGTCGGCAGGGCGGTCGAGCGGGATCGAGATCGTTGGGAGAGGCCGCCTCGACGGCAGCAGCGCCAACAGAGAGCGACATTCCGCAGGGCAGGCAGGCAGGCAGAGACGGCGTACGGCGCTGCCGCCGACTGGCGAAGAAATTGCCCGCGGGCGGGCTTCGGCTCGGAAAAAGCAAGGAGAATTTCTGAACCTCGCTTTGGCACGGCATGCCATGGCCGGGCAAGGACCTCCTCTCGCGCCAGCCTGCCAGCTGTAGTTCGCCCTCTTAGCTTGAGCACCCACCAAGTCGCAGCACCGACAGGTACGGCCTTCCCTGCCTGCCATCGTTTGCCTCCCATCCTTGGCCCTGTGCTTTGTGCCTGCTGCCGTACTGCCTGCTCGACTCGCCATCCGCCTACCTTCTCCTCCTGGTCGCTTGGAGAGGGGTCGATGCCCGACATCCCCTCTTCTATCCGACGCGAGCTGGCCTTCCTGCCCTGGACTCGCCCGTCTCTGCTTGAACAGATCCTCGTCTGCATCGCGCTCGAAAAGACACCGAGCATGGCAGGCAGCCTTCTTCGTCGGCCGGCGGAGTACGTAGGCACTGGCTGGAATCGTCAGCTTGCACCCAAGAAGCCAAACAGCCTCCGGGCCACAAGAGTGCGGGGCACCACCTCGACCGGCTCGTGAAGAGGGCCAGACGACGCTCTGATCATCAACTTGCTTGCCGGATCTCACATTTGAGCTCACCTTGTCCTCCTTGCTCGACGGTGCTGCGGCCTGGTCCGAAGCCTCGAGGTACGGCGAATTTCGGGGCGGGGGGCAATGCACCTCTGGTTTCGGGGCTTTTCCGACGACGAAGGGGGGGGGGGGGGGTCGAAAAGCCCGGATAGGGGGCACGGCGATGTGCTGCGATGCCGGCGTCATCGTACCGTCCACGGCCTACCAGTTGCTGTCCAACCAGAAACAAGCATCTCGTCGGATTTCAAAGCACAGCGCGGCAGGTTTCAAGTTGACCCGAGGGTCTGCTCTCGTTCAAGCAAGGCAGCGTACAGTACCGGCCATCTCTTGTCGGCATCGACGGCGAGGATGCGGTGTGCTCGTACCAGTACGGAGCGGCCGGACTCTTTGCTTCCCGACGGTCGATCCGCGGACAAAGCCGACGACAGCGCGGCCGGTTCGCTCGCCGAGCTTGTCTTGGCATCGTGGACTCGCCGGTATCGAGGCCTGGCAGGCTCTTTCGTGCGTGACGCGGCTCCCTTCTCGTTCGAAAGCGTGAAGGTGTTGATGAAGGGGTCGGTGCGGCTATGGTCCGTGGGGATGGGCCGGGCTGGGTTGAGCCGGTGCAGGCAGATGTACAGTGTAGGAGACCGAGCTCTTGAGCCCGTTCGTTGTCTCGAACACCATCGTAGAGCAGGCCAGGCATGTCAAGGCTGCACACATCGAACCGCGCCTTTGATGGTCTGGTTAACCCCGCGACGAGTCGACGGCTCCTGGCCCAAGCATGGTCGAGGTTCCGATGCTCTCCATTGACCCCTCGCTCGCTTATGCTGTTCATATGACCGAAGGGAGTTCGGGCCCACACTACGAGCGATTAGCGCGCCCTGGTAGAAGAATGGCGTATAGAGAGGGTAACCCCGCGTGTCCGCGCCCTCGTCGGCCTTTGTGTTCCGAGCTCATGAAGCCAAAAAAGGCAGCCATACCCCGCCATGCTCAGGGCTGACCCCTCTCGTGGCCAGCCTTCACTCCGCACTAGGCTCAAATGCCATGCTGGCCGGCTGCTCGCGAGGGCGGGAGATGCGGGGTACCCCTGAGGGCGCCTGTAGACACCAAGCTTTGATCTCTGAGACTACGATACGAAAAAGGGATCCAGTGACGGCATTTTCGAGATCGTCTGCGTGGTCGAAGTCACGAAGGTAGCCGTGGGGTAGGTAGTACAAGTTACAGGAAAAGGACCGGTGATAGTGGTGGTGGTGGTGGTGGTGATGGTACAAATGCGTGCGTGACCGTGAGTGGAGATCTGGGGAAGGCCGTCGACAGTGCTGGCAAGCGCCGCTGACAGTAGTGTGTCTGCGAGGGTGGCCAGGCAAGCATGGGGAAGCGGGCCGCTGGGAGCGTCTTGAAAGAATCGACAGAGAGCAGGCCAGGCCGTGCTCAGTGAGGACGCCGTCGAGGCCGGCTTCCCGCACGGCGGGCTGAACGGGTCCGGACGCAGCCGCCGGCGTCACTTGCGGCTCTCGTTGCGGAGCTCACGCAGCTTGTCCTGCAACGACTTGAGCTCCTGAGCCACCTTGTCGTCCTGGTAGCCCTTTGTCTGCTCCTCGCGCTTCCTCCGGTCTCGTTCCGCTATCCGCTGCGCCTGGGCGTACGACTGCCGCGCACGTAGTCGCAGCGCTTCGTCAAACGACTTCGGCGCCGCACCCGGATCCGTTCCTCCGCTCTGACCGTTGGCGTGCTGGTGCTGCTGTTGCGGCGTGACAAAGGGATTTGGAAGGTCGTGCGGTTCTCCCACATCTTCCTCTGCTCCAAGTGCGAAATAGGGAGAGGGCAATGTTGTAGCGGTGAGAGGTGAGCGCATGCGCACGGAAGACCACCTTAGGCACGACGCTGTCGGCTGATACTCACGCCACTCCTTCTCCCGCATCCCTAATGGCGGTTGATATGTCGGTACCTGGCGTCCCTGAATCCGGTGCGGCATGTGGTCGATTTCGTGGATCATACGGTCCACTATGCGGAAGAAGAGCGGCGATGAGGCGAGCTGTGGCAGGCAGGCAGGCGAGCAGGCTAGGCCGGGGGGCGTCAGTGCAAGAACTTCGCTGGAGCGGCGCATCCTCGTCAGCCTCGGTGAGCTCACCTTTCTGGTCAGGGCCTGCGTGAGGATGGTGGCGGCTATGCGCACCAGGTAGGGTGGTAGCGGTGCCATGGCTTGTCCCTCTGCTGCAGGCCAGGCTCTGGGTTCAGTGGAAGAGAGGAGGTCGTCGTTGTCGCTGGTCAAGTGAGGGCGGGCTGCTGCCACGCTGGAAGGTGGAGGATCCCCCGCAGGCTTAGGCGAGGCGGCCCGAAAGCCGAACTCGAGGCGTTGCCCAGGAGGCGGTTTCAGGTTTTCGCCGAGTTTCCAAAAGGGTCGACTTCCCAAACTCCACATTTGAGTCTTGGACTGGAGATTTGCAGACCTGTGATTTTTGCAACGGACTTTCCAAAAGCAAAAAAATTGGATGTTCGGCAGCCGGGCGCTGAAGGACACGTCTGTTGGCAGAGATCAATGACGGACTGATCTTTGAAATAGCGACCTGCCAAAATTCTAGCACTAGAAAGTTTTCGAAAGAGCTAGCAAGTGGTCAAGCTTCGAAAAATGGAGGAGAGACTTTTTCGAAAACTGCGAAAACTTGAAACATCCTCGGAACCGAGCACTCCACTTGACCTGGGCCAGCCAAGGGGCGCGTGTTGCTCTCCACCGCGCCCCCACCTCCCTCTTCCCTGCGCTTCCGCCACTCCCACCTCCCGTCACACCCACGGCTTTTGCCACACTCTTCGCAGCGAAGATCACCACCATGGCGAGCTTGGCAGACGAGCTGCTCGCTGACCTCGGCTCAGACGGCTCCGGAGACGAGCAAGACTACCAGCAGAGCAGCGAGCAGCAGCAGCATCAACATCCAGCCGGCCACGACTCCGGCTTGACCCCGACAAACGGCAAGAAGCGGGCAGAACCATTGGCAGACGACGACGACGACGACGACGACAATACATCACATACAAACGGCAGACACGCAACCGGATCGTCTCCCAACAAGAGAGCGCATCTCGACGATGCGGACCTCGACGACCTCGACGATCTCGACAGCGGCGAAGACGACGACGCCGGTGCGGATCGCGAGTCGTTCGCCGAGGATGGCAGCACATCGACGATGCAACTCGGCAGGAACGCAGTCAAGCCGGCAGAGGAGCTCGACGAGGACGAGGTCGAGAACATTGACATGACAAAGCTCGACCACGTTCACAAGGTGGCGAGGCTGATGAGCAGCGGCAAGATCGACGGGATCCTCAAGGTGAGTTGCTGCACCGAATTGGCGTTGAATCCTCTCGGGCCTTGCAAAGAACAACTGACTGACCCTGCCGATCCTCCTCTCCTTTTGTTGCGCCGACGTCAGCAAATCGATCACTTCATGGCGCTGCCCGAGCCCGACATCGCTGGCGTGCTCGAGGAGAGTCCCGAGTACGAGCTCATCGTCAAGGCCAACAACCTCGCCGTCGACGTCGACAACGAGGTCATGCTGGTGCACAAGTTCATCCGCGATCACTACTCGCCCCGCTTCCCGGAGCTCGAGAGCCTGATCCTCAACCCGTGGGAGTTCGTCCAGGCGGTGCAGGCGCTCGGCAACGACGACGACCTGTCGCGCGCCAAGCTCGAGGGTGTGCTGCCACATGGCACCGTCGTCGTCATCAGCATGACGGCGTCGACCACCGACGGACGTCCCCTCGATGCCGCCACTTGGAAGCGCGTCCAGGAGGCGTGCGACCTGGTCTTTGAGCTCGAGACGGTGCGGCGAAGGATCCTCGGCTACGTCGAGTCGCGGATGACGTTTATCGCGCCCAACCTGTCGGCCGTCGTCGGCACGCGGACGGCCACCAAGCTCCTCGGCGTGGCGGGTGGTCTAGAAGGGCTGAGTAAGATCCCGGCGTGCAACGTGCATCTGCTCGGCGCCAACCGCAAGGCGGCGGTCGGCTTCTCGTCGCTGGCGCAGGGCGGCGGTGCGGCTCGGTCGAACGGCTTCATAGCCCAGAGCGAGCTGGTGCAGTCGACGCCAGACGACTACAAGCGGCAGGCGGTGCGCATGGTATCGGCCAAGGCGCTGCTCGCGGCGCGCGTCGACGCGGGCAAGAGCTCCGCGCGGGACGGCAGCTACGGCTACCGGCTGCACGCCGAGCTATCGCGCAAGCTCGAGAAGCTGCAGGAGCCGCCACCGCAGAAGCTGGCCAAGGTGCTGCCGATCCCAAAGGAAGGGAGCCACAAGAAGAAGCGGGGCGGTCGCCGCGCGCGGGCGGCAAAGGAGCGGTACGGCATGACGGAGCTGCGCAAGCTGGCCAACCGCGTCGAGTTTGGCAAGCAGGAGGACGAGGCGTTTGGCTACGACGAGAGCGTCGGGCTCGGCATGATTGGCAGCTCGACGGGCAAGGTCCGGGCGCAGGTGGGCGAGGACCGCAGCAAGGCGCGGATGAGCAAGGCCAACAAGAACCGCATCGCCGCGCTCAAGCAGCGTCCGACGGCGGGCTCGGCCGCCCTCGAGAGCGGCACGGCCAGCAGCCTCAGCTTCACGCCGGTGCAGGGTGAGTGTGCCCAGGCGCGCGTGCGGCTCCACCGCAGACGTGCTGCGCGACAGACGCAGACTGACGCTGACGACCCTCTCTTGGTACTTTCCCCGCCGCGCGTTTGTCTCCTGCCTCGATCCCGCTGTCCTTCTGGCTCTGGCTCTGACTCGGAAAGGCCTCGAGCTCATCGACCCGTCCAAGCAGCAAAAGGCGCAGCAGGCCAACGAAAAGTGGTTCAAGGAGGGCCAGTTTTCGCTGCTGCCCGGCGCCAAGTCGTCGACGATGCGCCAGTTTCCCGGGTCCATGGGTCCACCGCCCCCTCCGTCGTCGTCGTCGTCGTCGAGAAAGTGACGCAGCCAAGGGAGGGAGGACGCACACGGGCACACGGGCCCGGTCCACGCTCGGCATCTGGCGAGAGACGCGATGAGTTGTACGATACGACAATGCTGGGCGAGCCATACTCGCCTTCAAGGACGTGGGCGAATATCATCATCATCAAGGAGCAACGACTGGAGACTGAGCATTGATACGAGATACGAGATAGGCACAATGGGATCGGACGACACCGGAACGCGAAAGCAGGGGCGAGCTAGAGCTTGCTCTTGATGGCCTCGCCGCGCCCGGCCTCGTTGTCGGCACCGATGCGGATGACGACTTTGCCGCCGCTGCGTGCATCGGCCTGGGCAAGGAGCTGGAACCCCCTGTCTGCCTGGTCGAGGCCCTGGAGCACGGTGTCGACGACGGGGACGATGCGCTTGTCCTCGATGAAGCGCACCGCCTCGATGAATTCGCGCCGGCTGCCCATGGTGGAGCCGAGCACGTCGACATTCTTGAGCACCTCGCGCATCGTCACGCCCACCTTGGGGGCGGCCGTCATGCCAAACACGACGATGCGGCCGCCGTGCTTGATGCGCATCTTGGCCGCCGCCGCTGTGATCTCGCCGCCCGCCGAGTCGATCACAGCGTCGAGGTAGGGGCGCGACTGCGGAAGCTGCGATCCGACGGTCGCGGGCCATTTGGCGTCCTTGTAGATGGCGCCGCCCTTTGCACCCAGGCTCACCGCGCGGTCCAGCTTCTGCTGGCTACCGGCCGTGACAAAGACGTTGGCTCCCGCCGCCACGGCCATCTGCAGGGCAAGGAGGGCCACGCCGCCACCGATGCCTGTGATGAGCACGTTTTGGCCGCGCTGCACCCGCGCCTTGGTGAACAGCGCGCTGATGGACCATGGCAAGGCGTCCGATTGCGATCGCGCGGGACGATAAGAATGCAGGGTCAGCATGCCAGCGTCTAAACTGCGTCCTCGTCTTGTCGCCCAGGTGAACTGCTCGGAAACTCACCGGTATGCAGTGACGACGGCGCACGGCAGCGTGCTGGCCTGCTCGGCGGTAAGGTGCTTGGGGGCGGGCACGATGTGGTCCTTTTCAACGGCGACGTACTCGGCAAACGTGCCGACGCCGTTGGTGGCACCGGTACCTCCGAGGATGCCGAAGCCCTTGCCGCCGAGCCCGTTGGACCGCTGGACGTCGGAAGCGCCAGGCAGCTCGGCCTCGGGGCCGTCCGGGTCAGACTCCCAACCGCGGGTAGGCACGAGGAGGACGAGCTTCTGCGGGTGGTTGTTCTCCATCTGCCAGTCAGCGGGCGCGACAACGACACCGGCGGCGTCGCAGCCCATGGTCGAGTTCTTGTAGATGAGGCCCGGGTAGGCGCCCACCATCGACCACTCGTCGCGGCGATTGAAGCCGGCGGCGACGACCTTGACCAGCACCTGGTCCGGGTTGGGGCGGGGCGTGGGCACGTCGCGGACCAGGGCGAGGTTGCGCGCGCCCTTCTTGGGTTCGCCCGGGGGCTTTTCGAGCTGCAGGGCCTTCATGCTGTCCTTGACGCCGGCGGGGAGCTGGACCATGGTCGAGTTGGCGTCCGAGGCGGAGGCGGAAGAGGCAGTATCGGAGCTGCCGCCAGAGCTGTGCAGGGCTTGGAAGTACTCGTCGATGGCTTGCTTGACGACCTGGATGACGTCCTTGTCCTCAATCGTGGGAGGGTAGCTGCGGCGGAGGGGAGCGGTGGTGGTGGTTGCAAAGGTGGACGAGGCAGGCGTGGCCCGATGGCGAAGGTAGAGTGTGTGTGAGAGAGACGAGCATGGTCAGCGTCTGTGCACACACCTCCACGAAGCGAGCACGTCAGAGTGCCGCCGACGAAAAGCCACGGGAGAGAGGGCAAAATCCGGAGAAGGCGGAGCGAAGGTGCTTAACCCCGCATTCGGCCACTCACTCAATGGGCGCGTCTGCGCGGGGTCCGGCAACGAAACAAAAAGCCGGTGCCGGGCAACAGAGTGCAGGCAGCAGCAGCAAAATCAGAGGTAGTGTCAGCGGTGAGATCCTCTCCACGTCTACTCGGACCCGGCGCGACGACGACGACGACGACCGCCAGCACTCACCCTTCTTGCCCTCGGCGGCATTTTCGACCGCCTGGCGCAGGCTCCTGCGAAGCGTCTTGCCGCTCCGCGTCTTGGGCAGCTTCTGCGCCTCGACGAGGCCCGAGAGCTGGGCGATGGGGCCCATCTCCTTGCGGATGTGGTCGTTGATGCTCTTGAGCATGGCCTTGGCCGAGTCGTGGTGGATCGACGTCTGCGGCTTGCCACCCGTGGCAGCAGCGACGCGGCTGTGGGCCACGACGATCGCAAACGGCGACTGGCCCTTCATCTTGTCCGGAGCTCCCACCACGGCGCACTCGACCACGTCCGGGTGCGACGTCACCACCTGCTCGATCAGGCCCGTGCCGAGGCGGTGGGCGCTGACGTTGATCAGGTCGTCGGACCTGGACAGGATGCTCACGTAGCCTGCGCACCGAGACGCGGACGCGGACGACGGGGAGATGAGCCGAAGAGATGACCGGGTCAGGTTCCAAGTCCGCCACGGCGTGCGCTCCGGTCAGCGTCGCGATCGCGCACGACCACTCACCATCCGGGTCGATGACGCCCTGGTCACCCGTCTCGAACCAGTCACCCTTGCCCTCAAACCTCTCAAAGTAGCTCTTGCGGAAACGCTCCGGGTTCATCCACAGGCCGCCGAGGAAGCTGGGGGCGAGCGGGGTGCGAAGGACGAGGTTGCCCATCTTGCCGCGCGGCAGCTCGTTGCCGTCGTCGTCGACGATGACCACGTCCATGCCGGGCATCGGCATGCCTGCCGAGCCCGGGCGGGCGGGAAGGGGACCGAATGCGCCGGAAAGCAAGAGGCCCGTGATGGGCGAGCCAGACTCGCTCGACCAGAAGTTCTGCAGAGGACGGGACGGTAGAAGACGCCAGTTCAGTACGTGCGGTGAGGATGTCGAGCTGCCTTCACCCGCATCGGCCCACTCACATCGTTGGTCTGAGCGCCCGGCGCCGCGAGCTCCTTGAGCAGCCGCTCGAACCTGCTGACAATCTGCGGCTCGGACCTCTCTCCCGCAAGGAAGAGGGCGCGCAGGCTTCGCAGGTCGATGCCCTCGCCGCGCATCAGCTTGGCGTCGGGGTCGAGGCCGACAATGGCCCGGAGCGCCGTGGGGGCGCAGAAGAGCTGGGTGACGCGATACTGGGAGCAGATCCTCCACCAGATGCCGGCGTCGGGGATGATGGGCTTGCCCTCGTAGACGATCGACGTGGCGCCGAGCAGCAGCGGGCCGTAGTGGATGTACGAGTGTCCGACGACCCAGCCCAGGTCGGAAGCGCAGAACATGGTGTCGTTGGGCGTCATCCCCATCATGTTCTCGATTCTGTTTCGTCGTCGAGCGTTGTAGGAGGTCAGCACGGCGGGAGAGCCCTCGGCTGTACAATCTACCGCAACGACTCACGAGAAGCGCAGCGCCACGATATGGCCGCCCGACAGCCGGCAGACACCCTTGGGTGCGCCCGTCGTGCCGCTGGTATAGATGGCTGAAAAGTGAGGACGACGGTGGTCAGCAGCGATGCGAGGCGATTTTATCGCCCTGGACGCCCGCCAGCCAACTCACTGTAGATCGGATCCTCGCTGGCGACGGGAACACACTCCCAGCACAAGCTGCGGCCGTCCTTGCCGTTCTGGGTGAGCTCGCTCTCGAGCTCCCAGTCCCACTCGGGCAGGCCGGCGGGGCCCTTGCGGGCGCACTTGGGAGGGGTGTGGCCCTTGATGGTGTGCCTGCGGAGGAAGAGGAGGCCGGCCTCGGGCTTGTGCTGCGACACCTGGAGGGCCTCGTCGACGAGGGGCTTGTAGGCCACGGGGCCCTTTGGTTCGAGGCCGCAGCTGGCGGCGATGACAATCTTGCAGCGCGAGTCCTCGATGCGCTTTGCGAGCTCCCTGGGCGCGAATCCGCCAAAGACGACCGAGTGGACGGCGCCGATGCGGGCGCAGGCGAGCATGGCGACCGACGTCTCGGGGACCATGGGCATGTAGATGACGACGGCATCGCCCTTGCGCACGCCCTTGTGGCGGAGGATGCCGGCGACGGTCTGGACCTGCTCGAGAAGCTCGAGGTAGGTGACGGAGCGGGCCTGCTGGGTCTGGAACGAGAGGGGCGAGACGTGCTGGAGCGCGACGCGGTGAGCGCCGGGAGCGAGGGCGAGGTGCGGCGTGTGGGGCGAGACGGTGAGGGGCGGTGCCGCCGAGTGGTGGGGAGCGTAAACGTGTCGGTCGAGGGCGTTGTAGCACGTGTTGAGCTGGGCGCCGGGGAACCAGGTGTTGCCGTTGGGGTCGAGGTAGGGTGCGTCCTTGTTGGCCGACTTGCCAAAGGCGACGGTGGGGGGCTTGTGCCAGTGGATCTTGGAAGCGGCCCTGAGCCAGAAGTCGTCCTTGTGGTGGATCGACTGCTGGTGGATGAGCACCTGCGGGTGGTGGCGTGCAAAGTCGGACGCCGGCGAAGACATGGCGGGCGAGGGTTGCGGGGGAACGGAAGATAGACGGAGATGGAGCAGGATGAGGACGAAAAGGGGAAGACAGGCAGTCGGTGCACTGCTGGCTGGTTATAAGGGGGCCAGGTCAGGCCAGCTCGAGGCAGGTCGAGCGGCGGTAGCGGATGGAAGGGCAGCCCGCCAAGCTGGGTACCATATGCATGGCCTACCGAGACTGAGAGGGAGAAGAGACAGACGGGCAGGCGGCGTGGCGGGCAGGTCAGCAGCGGGCCATCATCGGACCTCGGCAACTGCAGAGAAGCCGGCAGCGGCAGCAGCCATCGACGGCGATGATGCATATGGTGGTAGGCGCCCTTCAACCGTCGACGCGCAGCTCCCAAAAGTGCAAAAGTGCGGGGTAAGTTGACCACGACGTACGGCATCCGAAGCCAGGCAGCTGCAAGCAGGCTGCACGGGCCCTGCCTGCCTGCCCTGCCTGCCTGTGTTTGCTTCGCTTCCTGGCAGCGTGGCCTTAAACCCGCCGCACGCCGACCGCAGCTCTCGCTCGCTGCTCGTCGTCATCCTTCCTCGCTCCGCACCGCCGCAGCTTTCCTTCCATCCTCGCCGCCCCTCGGCAGCCAGCCCAACGCCATGCCCGCAAAGATCCCCTTCCTGCCCGCCTCGTCGTCGCTCCAGGAAAAGCTCATCGAGGCCTCTTCCCCCCAGCGCATCCGCGCACAGCTCCTCGTCTTCCTCCTCATCCTCGGCGTCGGCCTCGTCCGCCACTACATCTACCCTCACACCGCCAGAGCCCGCTCCAACCGCACAGTACACCACGGCCATGCCCACCAGGAAGAGACCATCGCACAGGTGCACTCCATCCTCATCTACCCCATAAAGAGCTGCGCCGCCGTCCAGCTCGACGCCGCCCAGCTCGGCCAGAACGGCCTCGACCTCGACCGAAGATGGATGGTCGTCACTAGGCACAAGCGCAAGGCCGACGGCAGCTACGAGGAGCAGCACAAGTGGGCAAAGGTGGCACTGCGCGAGGACCCGCGCCTCACCCTCGTCGTACCCACCGTCGACGAAGCGAACAACCTCCTCCGCCTGCGCATCTCCGACCATGCGTCCGCCGCTTCTCAACTTGGCAACATCGAGACACCGCTCCGCCCCTCGCAACACCAGCTGTCCTCCTGGAAGCTGCTTGAAAAGGTAGACATGTGGGGTGACTACGCAGACGGTCGCATCGCCGAGTCGGCGTCACGCCCTTCGCCCCTGGACTCCTCTGCCAGTCCGACAATGACGCCCAGCGAGTGGCTGAGCACCTTCCTCGGATATCCCGTCCTGCTGCTCCACTTTGACCTGCACTCGGACGTACGCCGCGCCGCCTTCCCAATCTACCGGCCTCCTACCGACATCGACGCCTGGTCCACCAGCGAGAAGGAACAACTGCTACAGCCCCAAGGACTGGCATTCGCCGACGAGTACCCGCTGCTCGTATCGACCGTAGAGTCGCTCAAGGCGGTCCAGGAGCAGATCCAAGATGCTGCTCGGGCATCTTTACCGGGCGGGGCGGGCGGAGACGGCCGCGGCGGACGAGCGATTGGCGGCCTGAACGCAGAGCTGTGGGAGGCGAAGGGCAAGCTCGACATGATCCGCTTCCGACCCAACATCGTCCTCTGCTCCTTGTCCGACGACGCGGAAGCCTATCCTGCCTTTTCAGAGGACTCGTGGGACCGCATCACCATCCTCGCCTCGTCCGCCGACCACGACTCGACACCGACACAGACGGCGCTGGCCATTGTGGCACGGTGCCAGCGCTGTCTCCTCACCGCCGTCGATCCGACCACGGCCGAAAGGGACGCCAGCGTTCCGCTCAAGTTCCTCTCGCGAACTAGGATGCGGTACAAGAAGACGCCCAACCCGCTCGGAAGCCAGCTGGGCGCCGTGCTGCCGGGCAAGGAGAGAAAGGGCCCCTGCTTTGGCGTCTATGCCATCCCGATTCCTTCGCCTCGGGCCGGAGATGGCGCACCGGGGAAGGGCGAGCGGGGACAGTACGGAGAGATACGCCGAGGCGATGCGGTCAGGGTGCGATGGAGGCCAGCGACGTTGGACGACGAGGAGCGGTAGCGTTGGCCTCTGTTGGCGCCCCTGGCAAACGCGGTCGCCCGTCGTAGATAGATCCGCCCAACCAGAGAGAGAGTCCCTTATCCATCGACAATGATAGCCGTCCGTCTGATGGAGATCCGATTGGCGCTTGTTACATCGCCGCCGCGTTGCCGCGGTTCAGGACGGCTGCGCCGACAGATATCGACGCCGGTCTGCATCGTACCTCGCCATCCTTTCTCCATTATTGCACGGCATCTCAAAGGGCCCGCTCGGACCTGGCCACAGCCTCCATACTGTCCCCCCACCACCCAGGCACCACCCAGCTGGGCCAACCCATCTGCACGTCCAGGCATCCATCAACGCTCGGTCCCCCTTGCACCCCCACCATACATATGAATCTCCTCCCTCCCATCCAGCGTCGCCTCATACGACCCTATCTCGACACCCCATGATCGTATCCGCCCCAGACCTGGTCAGAAACGTTCCTACAGCGTCGCCGATGCCGTAGCTGCCCAAAAAAACGGCAAAACGGGTTTTTTTTGCACAAGGTGAGATTCGAACTCACGAACCCGAAGGACGAGGGAAGCAGCACTCCCGAAGGGCGTGCCACGATATTCAAATTCTTAAATCTCGCGCGTTTAACCCCTTCGCTACTTGTGCCCATTGTTCTCGGGTCCGAACTTTTTGCGTTTATGACACCTGTCGTCACGGCTGGATGCGGGGGGCGCCTTTCCTGCTGGGGCGATGGAGGGACGCTGCGACGTCGAATTTAGATGGAAGGTCTGGTAGAGTAGAGTCGACAGGTTGGAGGGTCGACGGCGGCACGAGTGTCGACGGGCAGGCCTGGATGCACAGCGAGGCGAGCCTCTAGGCAGGCAGAGGCTAGGGTGCGTTGCTCTCTCTGATGGCTGCAGGGTCGCCGGCCAAAGGCAACTGGCCGGCGAGAGGGAGAAATTCCGGCGTCGATGGCAATGGGCGAGCGAGGGGGTGCAGTCGTCGTCGTCGTCGATTTGCAGCAGAGGCCGGCCGGCCGCCTGGCTGGCTTGCTTGCTTGGCTCTCTGTGGCAGCAGTCGGCCCCTCCACTGGGCGAGCGAGTCTGAGTCCGGTGTGGCTGCCGACGACGGGCGGGCTGCTTTGGCCCCCCTTCCCCCTCGGCCCCCTCCTGACCCACACCACCCGCTGCTGCTCGGCCAGCCAGCTCTTCTCCGTCGTACCACCACCACCGCCTGCTCTTCAACAACCTGGCTCTGCCCTCGCCGCCTCTCTCCCTCTACCCTCACCCCGCTTGCTCACCCGCCACCCCGACGTCTACTGACCGCCGTCGCCCTACCGGACACCCGCATCTCGGCCTGCAAACGACGAGGGGCTTACCCGTGCAGCCCAACCACACCGTCCCTCGCCGCTGTGCAGTCCGACCACGCAAGCGCCCCCGTCGTCGGCCCTCGGCGTCGCCCACCATGTCCTCACCCCACCACTACTTTGGCTCCCAGTCTGGCGGCCGCGCCGTCTCGCCACCCCTCTCCGACGACGGCTACAACGACCCGAGGCGATCCACTGACCAAGAGGACCACCAGCTCCAGCAGGACATCGATGCCGCGCGCCAGATGAGCAAGGCCCGCGTTCGAGACTCGCCCCCACCGCAGTCGTCGGTCGCAGGCGCCACCGCCTCCAGCCGTCCCGGCCGTAGCCGCAAGCTGTCCAACGCCCCCCGCGCCGACGACCAGGACCCCGATGCAGAGCCCTACTACCACGAGGGCATGTCGCAGTCGCCCACCGCCATCCCCCGCCGCTCCGCCCCGTCCGCATCTGCCGCCGCCCGCTTCTACCAGCAGCAGCGCCACGGCTCCAACGCCAGCCTCGACAGCCAGCAGCACTACATCGACCACCGCAACCAGGCACACTCCCTCAGCGCCCACGCCTCCTCGCCCCTGGCACTGCGCGCAAAGTCGTCGCTCTCGCGCACGCCGATGCGCAGCCCCAACGTCTACTTTGGCGGCAACCCGCACGACGAGGAGCCCGACGAAGAGGCCGTCGCCGACGACGCTCACAGCGGCGACTTTGATCATGCCACCCTGGGCCAGCGCAGGCCCAGCAGGCACTCGAACTCGGCCCAGTCCGGCGGCCGGGAGCACGACGCCGACATGTACGGCGGCGCCCGGGCTTCTTCGCCGCGGACCATGTCGCGGAGGCCGTCGATGCTCGAGGACGACGTCTGCTTCCCCATGCACGAGCAGCACCTCACTGACGCCGACGTCGGCGGCCCCAACCTCGAGCACGACGGCTTCGAGGGGCACGAGGTGCATGGCCACGAGGACCGCCCTGTTCCCCCGGGCTACCCGTTCTGCTTCGACATCAAGGCTCTCGAGGACTTCGCCGCCGAGGAGCGCGAGAGGATCGGCATGTCGAGCTCGTGGACCAACGCCGGGCCTGCGTCTGGCCTCCGGATCCGCAACCAGGCCGCTGCCCAGAAGGGAGCGGGCACGGGACCGGCGTACGGCTTCTCGCCGGATAGCGATGACGCTACGTTCTACAGCAGGCGGCCGAGGAAGCTGAGCGCCTCGGCAGGTGCGCTGGGAAGCAGCAAGTATCAGAGGAAGCTCGCCCTCTTCGAGGGTGGTGGCAGTGCTCCGCCGCCCGTCGCGGGTGCGGGCGCGAGCACCAGCATCCTCGGCAGCGGCTCGGCGCTGGCCAACGAGCGGTCCAAGTCGACCGCCAAGACGCCGTTGCTGGACAAGGACACGCTGCCCAGCTACCACGGCACGCACGACGAGGGCCGCAACGGTCCGGCACGGATGCCGTCCAGCGGGGCCCTCAGCGCGCCAAACATGGGCCGCGCGCGCTCAGGAACGGGCGCCTACAGCGGCGCCGAGAAGCCCTACCGCTTCACCTTTTACTCAAACGCCCTGCCCAGCACGATCCATGCGCGCCACCTCGCCGAGCTTCCGGCCGAGGGGCAGACGTTCGAGGAGCTCTTCACGGGACGCCCGTCGACGACCGACTCGCCACCGCAGGAGAGCAACGCCGAGGGCGAGAGCCGGGGTGCCAGCCGCGGCACCAGCCGGGCGCCGACGATCAACAACCACACTGCCGGCGGCAATGGCGCTTCGAAGCCGTCTTCGCTGGGTCAGGTGCTTGCGGGCCTCAGCCGGATGGAGGGCACGACGGCGCCGCCGACGGGGGCCAACACCCCGCTGCAGGTGACAGAGGCTCAGATGAACGGCGCGCGGCCACTGGGCGGGCTGGCGTCCGGGGCCAAGAACGGCTTTGCCGCGCCGGCGCGCGCGCTGCCCGGCGGCGGGATCCGGATGGACCAGGACCCGGAGGCCAACACGTGGTGGCTCGACGTGCTCTCGCCCACCGACCAGGAGATGAAGCTGCTGAGCCGCGTGTTTGGCATCCACCCGCTGACGACCGAGGACATCCTGATGGAGGAGACGCGCGAAAAGATCGAGCTGTTCCGCAACTACTACCTGGTCTGCTTCCGGTCCTTTGACCAGGACCCGTACAGCCCGACCTACCTGGAGCCGCTCAACATGTACATCATCGTCTTCCGCGAGGGCACGCTCTCGTTCCACTTCCGCGGCACGCCGCACCCGCAAAACGTCCGCCGGCGCATCAAGCAGCTCAAGGACTACATCAACGTGACCTCGGACTGGATCTCGTACGCGCTCATCGACGACATCACCGACGCCTTTGGCCCGCTCATCCAGAGCATCGAGTACGAGGTCGACAGCATCGACGAGCTCGTCCTTATCCTCAAAGAGGCCGAGCAGAGCGACATGCTCCGGAGGTGAGTCCCGAGTGGGGGCCAAATTGTTGCTCTGACGTGGGTGACACACTCACGCATCTTCTGTCTTGCTCGCCCCGCCCCGTCTCGCCCCGGACAGGATCGGCACGTGCCGCAAAAAGGTCATGGGCCTGCTGCGGCTGATGGGCAACAAGGCCGACGTGGTCAAGGGCCTTGCGAAGCGGTGCAACGAGAACTGGTCGGTGGCGCCCAAGAGCGACATTGGCCTCTACCTCTCCGACATTCAGGACCACCTCATCACCATGACGCAGAACCTCAACCACTATGAAAAGATCCTGTCGCGCTCGCACTCCAACTACCTCGCCCAGATCTCGATTGAAATGACCGACGCCAACAACCAGATCAACGATGTCCTCTCCAAGCTCACGGCGCTCGGTACCGTCATTGGTGAGTTGCGGGATGGGCCGGGGATTTGCGGCGAAGGTCGACGGTGCGTTGCGTAGCGCGGACGACGAGGCTGACATGTTGACTGTCATCGGCCGCCTCTGCCTCTCCCTCTCACAGTCCCGATGAACGTCATCACCGGTCTGTGGGGCATGAACGTCCACGTGCCGGGCCAGGACGACGAGGAGACGCTGCGGTGGTTTGGCGGCATCTGCGCCGTCATGGTCGTCCTCGCCGTGTCGGGCTACATTGCCACGACGCGGTACCTCGAACGCAGCCGCTGAGGCGTCGTCGTCGTCGCCATCGATGCCTGCTTCGCCATCACTCTTCTGTCTTGTATCCTCTACATCCTCTCCCCCTCTGCCTATCGCACACCTTCTCACACACCCGCACTGCGCCGCCTGGATCCGCTAGACAGACTCATGAGCATTTGCAACAGGTCCATATGAAGACGTGGCTTCCACACTTTTGCTTTTTCCGTCTGCCTGCCGACGGGTCTCCGAAGATCGCGTCTACCCCCGCCCTTGTCGTCGTCGTATCCAGCCGCCGGCCCGCTGCAATGCATGCTGGGGTACATCGAGATGTCCATCCGAGCCTGTGCTCCTGCTGCAGACGAGTGTGCGGAGAGGGGCCGTCGTCGTACGCTCAACGATGCCCTTCGGTACCGAAGAGGTCGATCCGGGCCCAGTTGGGGGGTTTCGACGCTTGGCAGGTCGCTCCGATGCCCGTCCGCCATGTCGTCACCACCCACGGTTCCTTCGCTCTCGACGCGCAACCGGCGATTCGGCCGGACACCAGGCAGCAGGCGATCATGACAACGTGACGAATGTCCGCACCCAAGCAAACCTCTCGACACCCGCAAGCTGTACGTACATGCCGCTGTCATGGTGATGACGGGGGGGAAGGAGCCCTTGCTCGAGGCAATCTTTGCAATTAACGGATCTCGATCGCTCGAGGGTCCTGTAGCCTAACTACGCCGATCAGGACGAGACGAGAGGGTCACTCTCGAGGGCGAAGACGGTCCAAGCAAGGCCGGCAATGGGCTTCGTCTGCACGGCGAGTGCGAAAGAGGAAGGCGCGCCGTGTAGCGTCGCAGAGAGCGGCGTCGGTGCGTGCCGAAACGAAGCAGCCAGCGCGGTGCTCTTTCCCGACTCGACGTGATGATGGCCTCAAGGGCTCGCCATCGTCGACGAGGCAGGCTCGGGACCAGGCCGAGCAACGAGCTGCGAGGGAGCGCACCGCCGTTCATCGTCGAGAGCGAGGCAAGGAGCGAAAGAGCCAGAGGCGCTTCAGCACGATGACGGCACGGATGACGAAGGGCGCCAGCGGCCTTTGGGAGCTTTCCCTCGGGTTTCTGCCCTCGACCGCCAAGAGGGGCCAGCCAGGCCGGCAGGAGGTCGGCTCGGCAAGGCACCGTGAAAATCCTCCACCTCGCTTGCTTGCGCTCGTACTCGGGGGCCTGCATCCGCCTTTGCCGCCGCCTGCCAGCCGCTGTCTCGCCCCCGACCCTCGACGAGCTGCTGCTTGCTTTAGCGTGCTGGCTGAGCGGATGATCGCCTTTGCTTGCTGGCTCGCCCTAGCCCGCCATCATACCGCCAGGTGATCCACAGCGACCGGGGGTCAGATCGGAGTACTAGTGCGACCGAACAAGTCAAGCAGCCCGCTCGCCAGCAAAGTCAGAGTGCCGTGCGTTGTGGGCACGGCCAGGCAGAGCTTTACTGTAAAATTAGGGCCGTGAGACGCTGGCTGGCTGGCTTGCTAGCTGCCGCCGTTGTCGTCGTCGACGTCGTCGTCATCGATGCTGCCTGCCTGCCGCCAGCTTGCCTTTTCGCCCCACCCTCGCCGGTGCCCGCGGAGGCTGTGAAAGAGTCGATCAGAGAGGCGGTGCGGCGCGGTGCAGTGCAGACGTGCGTGCAGCCTTTTTGCAGCGGAAAGAGGTGCGTTGGGGGCCGGTAGCAGCGCCCTTTTCCCAGAGCCCGTCTTGGATGGCGCCCGCTCGACGCCTGGCTGTGCCCCGGGTCGGAGCGAAGGCACAGCCAAACGAGAAAAATCCGAACGGCCAAGGCAGGCTAGGGCGACCAAGACGACGGGGGTTTGCTTGACATCTCGCTCCGGTTCGGACGGCCTGGCCTGGCGGCGTAGCGCGAAATGCAGACGACTTTTCGAAAGGAAGCCTCGCGAAACAGGACGTGGACGTGCCACGCCAAACCGTCGGGGGGCCGGCCAGACAACTCGACCTCAGGTCGGCGGCGGGCGGGGTCGACCAACTCTCTACGCCCAGAGCCGTCTGGCTTCAAGCCCCGACCCCACCGACAGAGGCCCCCCGCGCAGCGTTTCGACGGAGGGCCCTTAGCCTAGCCTGCCGCTTTTTGCTCTGCGTCGGCGGATGCGTGCGTGCGTGCCGTTTGGCTTCTTGGCTGTGTTGGTTGTCAGGCCAGGGCCAGGGCGGGGCAGGCGGGCGATTCCGACGTCGATGTAATCGCGCACGCTGCCCCTTCCTTGCCTGACGCAGCAGCAGCTCCTGCCCGGCCTGCCCAGCCAGCCTGGCCGCCTGCCCGCCTGCCCGCCTGGCGCTAGGGGTCCGCTCGGTGCCCTGACGGGATGCATCAGCCTGCCCGCCTGCCTGCCTGCCCGCGATCCAGCACCAACCTCACAGCAGCGGCACAGCATCATCGGCATGACCGCCCATCGGTTGGGCGCCGCCGTAGAGCCTCCAAGCTCAAATACCCGCCCAGCCGCCAAGGCTGCCTCCGGCCTCGGCCGCATCCCTTCTTCCCCTGCTGCTCCGTCGTTCCATCCTACCGTCACCACCACCACCACCATCACCATAGCGGCCTCATCCCGGCAGCTTGCGCCCGCCCCTAGGCAGTCCATCCTTCCGCCCTTCCGCCAGACCTCTACCTGCCTTGCTCTCTGACGACGCCGCGCCAGACTCGCGCATCACCTCCGCTCACGACTCGCCGCCCCCCGTAACCTGCCCACCATGTTCAAGTTCTTCTGCGTCGGCATTGGTAGGTGTCACGCTTGTCTGCCTCTGCCTCTTCGGGCGCTGCCTCCCAAACGCCAGTTCGAGTAGCGCCGTTTCGGGCGACGTCGGTGTGGGCGATGGCGTGGGCGCACAGTGCGGTCTCGCACCGCTGCGAAGAGACGAAGTCGGCAGTTGACTGACCCCGATCCTCTTTCTGCCTCTGCATTCGCTCTCGTACAGGTCAACTCCTCACGTTCGCCGCCTTGGTGCTGGTGATTCTGGCCAACGTCGGCCAGCTGACCAACAACATCGTCGCGCGCAACATCCGCTTCGTCTCGCTCGACACCACCGGACTCCAGGACGCCATCTCGCGCTCTGGCGGCGCCGCACCCAACAACCTGTACGCCTCGGACCAGCGCTCGACCATCGCTGCCGGCAACGGCATCAAGCGCGACTACCAGTGGGGCCTCTACAACTACTGCGGCGGTGAGCCCAGCGGCAGCAACCGTGACTGCGTCGACAGCACGTTCAACTTCAAGTGGGACCCTGTCAACGCGCTGTGAGTATCCAAGGCGGCGTCCATGTCGAGCCGTTCCCTTATCCATCTGGCAGATGACACAGCGGGACGAGTAGACTGACCCACCCTCTCGCGCTCCGATACGTGACTGCTCATCTGTCTCTTTATCAGCCTGGCCGACACTCCTCAGGGCGCGCGGAACGAGGTGCAGAGCTTCCTGCCCCAGAACACGTTCACGGACTCGGACTACCTCCGCAAGTACTCGCAGGCCGCCTTCTGGCTCATTTTCATCGGCACCATCCTCACCGGCCTCGCCTGGCTGACGGGATTCACCGCCAACCGGTTCGGCTTCTTCGGTGCCGCCATCTTCGCCTTCCTGGCCGCCCTGGCCCTTGGCGTCGGCGCGGCCATCGAGACGGCAATCTACACAAAGGCCCGCGACGCCATCGGCAACCAGTACGGCCTCAACCTCGACTACGGAAACGCCCTCTGGTTCATCTGGGCCGCCTTTGTTGGCTGCGTCCTCTCGATCGTGCCCTATCTCATCTCATGCTGCACCGGTCGAGACTAAGTGCGCGGCGGCAGCAGCAGCAGCAGAAGCAGCAGCAGCCGCGGTGATCGGGTGCGCTTGGCCGTCACGCCCGCCTTGTGCCGCTGTCTGGGCCGACCGATTCCATATACCCAAGGCGGTCCAACAGCGGGCATCGAGCTGCGACGGTCAAGATCCGCTCTGGTTTCGCCCACGCTTACTCCTGAACTCGCGACGAGCATCACGCACGCGGCCACTTGCGCCTTGGCAAACGACTCGAACGGCGGATTGTATTTGTTCCGGGCCCTTCACGACTGCCCTTGCCCTTCCTTCCTCTCCACACTGCTCCCTGCCAATCGCTCGATGGCCTGCTCCTCGCTCGATTCCATCCTCTTGCTCCATCCTCTAATCCCCTCCTAACCCAATCTCCCAGCTCGCCCTTTACCCAGATTTCCAACCTCTCTTCGCTGTACATAACCAGTCCACGTTGACGATGCCATGTACGCTCTCCCACGGGCAACGATGTCGCTGATGCGCAGCCAGCCGCGCGTGTCGAGCGTGAAGGAACCGAAGGGCAGCAAGGCGAGTGAGGGGATATCGAGGGGATGGATTCGTCGACCTGGCCCATCATCAAAAGAGGATCGCCCAACGCGGTCCGGATCACGATATTGCTACAAAGCTCGACGGTTTCGATCTCGTGGCTGTTGACTCGTCTGTCCGACGAACTGATGTCGAACGCAAGCTAAACCTGCATCTGGACCTTTGCGATCCTGGCGTTGAGCTCGAGGATCTTGGCTTTGGCCTCGGTGAGGAGCCTAGTCTCGCTGCCGAGCATCATCTCGACCCTCCTCAGCTGCTCCCTCCCCATTCCGCCCACACCAGCACCACCGCCGCTCGCGACGTTGGCTTCCTGGCTAAAGGTGTCCTTGGCCACCTGCCTCTGCTGGGCGCGCGCGGCCTTCTGCTTTTCCTCGACCATCTGCTGCAGCGACGGACGTAGCAGGTTGAGGTGGTGCTGCAGCAGCTCCGACTTGGCCTTCAATCCTCCTCCACCCGACGTCGTCGTCGTCGTCGTCGTCGTCGTCGTGGCCTTGCCGTCCTTGTCCGCTTTGCCGTCCGCAACGACGCCGACCTCCTTGGCGATGCGGCCCAGCTCGTCGAACCACCGCTTCTCGTAGATGCTCAGGCTGGGCTGGTGGCGATCCATGAGCTTCTGCAGCGCCTTGTCCGTCCGTCTCGTCAGCTCATGCTGGCGCGCCCGGATGCGCCGCAGCCTCTCGTCGAGCCCGCCAGCGCCCGAGACGCGCTCGCACCGCTTGCGGATCGCGTCGAGCTTGTCGAGCATCCGCGTCATCTCGCGCACCTGCAGGTCCAGCCGCGCCTGCACCGCGTTGCCCGCCTGCACCACGTCGCGGATCTCGACGCGGTAGCCCTCCACCGTCTTGCCCAGCTGCCTCAGCGTGTCCGGAGTCACCTGAAGCTCCGACGACGACGAAGACCCGTCCCCAGAGCCCGCGGCCGCGCGGCGTGGCTGGGATGGCAGACCCTTGAGCGTACCGCTCTGGTTGAAGAGCGCGGGCGGCGTGAATGGCGTCCCGTCGCCGAGCAGCGAGACGTAGGCTCGCGGGCGGTCCGGGCGAGTCGCAGCGTCGGCTGCCGTGCCGCGGCGAGGTCCCTGCGCAGCGCCGCGGGAGACAAGGTCGTCGGTGTCGATCCTCAGGCTCAGCTCGAGTGCGACGAGCTGCAGGTCCTGAGTTACCGCCATGAAGGAGTACGATAGGTAGACGTCCGAGAGGATGCAGACCGCCACGATCGGATTCATCGATGGCGCGCTTGCCTCGCCCGCCGTAACCGTCTTGACGATCCAGACGACCTCAGTCGTCTCGCCGTGGTGCAGCAGCTTGGTCAGGGCCTTCTCCCGGCCCTGCTGACCGTCCTGCTGTTCGAGCTCCAGGTCCTCTTCAGAGGGCAGGTTGAGCACGTCGATGAGCTTGCCGGCCCACCTGGCGAAGCCAAGGCACTGGGCGCCGAGGGCGTGGTAGACGTAGAGCGTGTCGCGGTAGAGCGGGTCCGCGACAAAGCAGGGGCGATTGCGCGCAGACGCGTCGAGCAGGACGTCGGAGCTCTCGCTCTGGCCGTGCTTGCTCGACTCCATCACCGAGTCGAGCAATCCGAGATCGATAGTCTCGTACATCAGCAGCGTCGGCAGCGCCTCGTTGCTCGACAAGGTCAGGCTGTCAAAGTCGAGCGCGACGCTCTCGTCGCCCTCGTCCTCAGTGTCCGAGAGGCCATAGCGATTGGTGCGCACCGGCTTGGCGCTCTTGCGCGCAGCGCGCTGGCGCGACTCGCCCTTCCCCCACTTAGGCTCGACCGGCTCGAGCAGCACGCCGACGTCGACGCGGCCGTCGTGGCCGACGAGCGCGACGATGCCGAGGCCGGAGATGCTGCCCTGGCTCGTGCCGGGCTGACCCAGCCTATCGAGCCACGACCAGGCAATGTCGCAGGCGGCGCTCTCCCTTTCGTCGCACAGCTCCACGGGCGCCGGCCTGAGCAAGAACGGCCCTTGGGCCCGAGGTGCATTCTTGCCACCAGAGGAAGCGATCTCCTCGGCGAAGGCCCAAGAAGGAGGGTGCAGACGTATCGGAATGTCGTGGCTGACGTCGAGAGCATCGTCGGCGGCCGGGTCTGCGCCGTCGGGCAAGGCAGACAGCCGGTCGAGGTCCATGGCAGATGTCGACCTGTAGCGGCTAGCACGGTCCGGGCCCGGCGTGGCCGCCGAGCGAGCGCGGCTGGCGGATCGTTCGCGCTGTCCGCCCGATTTATCGCCGACTTGCTTCAGGAGGGCGTTGAGGAAGCGCAGTCGCATCTCGGACTCGAGCTCGGCATCGCCTCCCTCGGCCTGGCTCCCGTCGGTGGCGGAGAGCTTCAGCGTCGTGAGGCGGGATAGCAGGTGGATGTACGAGGGCGGCACCATGGCGTTGCGGGGCATAAAGGGGCAGATAGCCCAAACGTCTCCGTTCTTCATGAGGCCCAGCACGGTAAAGGCCGACCAGTCGTCGGCGCGGCGCGAGGACTTGGCCTTGGACGCCCAAGCCTCGTCTTCGATGTCGTCAAACATGGTGCGAGCGCTGGTCGACGTCTGCGTGATGCAGAGAGTGAAGCTGACGGCGATGCGGGAGTCGTCGTCATCGGCCGTGAGGCCAAAGGACGAGTGTATGCCGGGAGTGCCCGCTCGGCTCCTAGACGGCGAGGCTGCGGAAGCCTCTTGCCCCTTGCGGAAGGGCACGGGGGAGGAGTAGATGGATGCTGCCAGGGAAGCGGCGGTGGGCGTGGCCGAGCGAGAGCGGCTGTGGAGGTGACTGGCGCCGGAGGTGTGGGTGCGAGGCAGGAGCGACACGACCTGCTGCGGCTCTTCCGTGTCCCGTGAGACGTCGTACTCGCGGAGGAGGCCGTCGTCGGTGAGCACGAGGAGGCTGGTGCCTGCCTCGCCCCATGGGTGCCACTGCACCTTTGCGATGCGATTCAGGCCGTGGACGGAGTGGTAGTAGGGCGCGACGGGGACGGAGCGGGAGGCAATCTCGCCGCCGACTTGCTTGCTGTAGCCAGAGCGTGGCAGGACGAGGAGCGTGACGGTGTACTCGCCGACGACTGCGAGCAGCTTTCCAGTCGGATTGACGAGGAGGTGTCGGATCTCCCAGTCGATGTGGGCAGGGTCGGTGGGCTCGAGGACCTTGTAAGACAGGCCGGAGCTCGAGGTGGAGGGGGAGGGGGACATGGGCTGGTGCTTGACGGACGCCTTTGCATCGAGGAGAGAGGCGATGCGGACCTCGCCGTTTGCGGCGAGGATGAGGTCGGTGTTCCTGACGGCCATGAGGCGAGGGTTGGTGGAGTGCTGTGCGAGGTGAGGGTGGTTTGTGGTGTGAGCCGCAGCGGTGCCGCTGAAGATGGGGTGCGATTCGAGTCCCTCTAGCCATTTGGGGTCGGGGAGCGTCGGGTCAGGGGACTGTGGATACGGCGGTGCCGCTGCATCTGGATCATTGCGCGCCATCTGCTGCTGAGCTTGGTTGGCCGAGGCGGCCAACTGGGCGGAGAGGAAGCTCATCCTCGTCGGAACACGGGCGGGCGTGTTTGCGACCGGCGGAGGTATGGGCGGGAAGGGGCGTACAGAGGCAGTAGCGGGTTGCGGATAGGCCTCGAGCCTTGAGGATGCAGCAAGGGCGAGGCGTGCCAGGGACGAGGAGATGGGAGGATGAAGGCAATGCGATGGATGAGTTGGGCCAAGAAGGAGACAGAGAGAGAGGGCGGGCGCAACGCTTGACATGGCAGCCTGCCTGTTGGCCACTGCCTGGCCACCCTTTCCGCTTGGACCTGGCAGGGCGGCCTTTTGGCTGGCTGGCGAGCGACCCTGCGCATTCTTTCGGATCCGAGGTCAAAACGCCGCTGAGCCGTCACCGCGCCGCGCCCGACCTCTTGACCTGGACCTGGTGTGGAGCAAGAAGAGCTAGGCAGGAGGGGCGGGCATCAGGTCGAGCTTGGACCCTGTCGCTGGTTTGGGGGCGGAGGGCCATCCAGCAGCAGCCTAGGCTCAACGCAGGCTGGCCAGCCAGCAGGCTCAGTTCGGCCCTCTCTCCGACGGGGGCACCCTGCCTTCACTCAGCACCACCACTACTCTACTTCCTTCACCCGCCATCCGCCTGCTCCGTGCCGCCTTCTACCACCCTGCCCGACACGGCGGCATGACTCTTTGCCCGCCCATCCGCCATCGCCCACCTCAGCCTAAAGGCGCCCAGGCCCATCCGCACCATGTCGACCTCGTCACCCACCCCGCGTGCCGGACCTTCGCGCTCCTCGGCGCGCAAGCGTCCCTTGGCAGACGCTTACAGCCCCTCACCCGCTGCGTGGATCGATGACACCGAAGAGCGCATGCCTCTCTACGACGAGGCCGACGACGACTCGGCCGACGAGTACGTGCCCGAGTCCGCCACTGGAAAAAAGTCGGGCGCCCGCACCAAAACCACAACGCCAAAGCGCAGCGTCCAAAGGTCCGTCCGAACACCTCGGGCCGCTGCCGAAAGCGACTCGGACTCGGACTCGGAGTCAGGCTCCTCCTCGGGCTCTACATCCGAGTCCGGATCCTCCGAAGATGACAGCACCGACGACGACGATGACCACGACGACAACAGTTCCAGCGACCAGAACGGCCCGCCCCGACGCCGCCAACCGGCGGGCAGGGGCGGACGCGGTTCCATCGGCATCGATCCTGCGCTCCTCGATCCATTGGGCCTGACCCTTGATGGCAACACCGAGGCCACGGATCAAGACGTCGACTTCGAGAGCGAGAGCTTCGCTCGCCTCGTCAGCTCCCTCCAGGACACCTCGAGACAGACAGGCGCACTACGCAAGACCTGGGACACGTCCATCGAGCAGGAGACTGCCGAGTTCGAGGCCGAGCTCCGCGCCGCCGCTGGATTCAACAAGAAGAAGCGCGTGAAGCGCACGTTCAAAGAGGCGAACCTCTCGCTCGAGGTGAGGGACCTCATCGCGCAGGCCACCATGCTTTACGTCGACCACTTCCTCCTGGAGGCAATGGACAAGCTCGAGGAGATCGTTCGCATCGATCCCACCGCCCTTCAGGCCTGGCATATGCTCGGTATCATCCACGCAGAGCTCGGCGACGAGGAAAAGGCCATCCAGGCCAGAATCGTCGGCGCACATCTCCAACCGCGGGCCATGGCAGAATGGAGGGACCTCGCCTACCGCTCCTACCATATCGGCCTCGTCCGCCAGGCTGTCTTTTGCCTGTCGCAGGCCATCAGGCTCGATCGGACCGACGTCAACAGCATCTGGGACCGCGCCACCATGCTGCGCGACCTCGGCGACGCAAAGGCTGCCGCTAACGGCTTCTTCGACTTGCTCAAGCTGCTGCCGCACGACGCATCCGTCGTTCGCGAGCTGGTGCCGGTCCTCGTCGGCCTGAAGAGCTACGGCCGTGCCATTGCCGTGATGGAGGAATTCCTCGAGCACAGCAAGGCGACCTATCCCGATCCTACCGTGCTCGACGACGACCCGGACGCACCAGTCAACCAGTTCAACGTCGCGGAAATCGTCACGCTCGCCGACCTCCTCCTGATGGACCGGAAGCCTGTCGAGACGATTGCCGTGGTCCGCCAGACGGTCCGCTGGCTCCATGGCCGGGCGTCCGAAACCTTCTGGGACGCCGTCGATGACGACCGCGAGTTTGACGAGGACCGCAACGACGAGTTTTCCCAGAGTCGCCAGCAGGGCGGGTACGGAAGGATGGTCGAGATGGCGCCCCCTCACCCGATCGATCCCGAGATCCGCCTGCGACTCGGCAAGGCGCGCATGATGATCAACGACGTCGACGAGGCGATGCGTCACTTTGAGCTGCTGATCGAGGCGGGACCGGAAGACGCGCCCAACATCCTCAAGGATGTCGCCGACTGCCTCTTCGAGAACAAGCTTTGGGATGCGGCGCTTGATGTGTACCAGGAGCTCGTCTCGGCCGCCCTTACGGTCATCGACGACATCGAGATCCACGCCAAGCTGGCGGCCTGCTCGCATGCGTTGGGCAGGCTCGATTCCGCCGCCCAGTACTACGAGGCCCTGATCGAACATGCTTCGGACAACCTCGAGTGGCAGATGGCCCTGGCCGAGGTGTACGAGGAGATGGGCGAGCGGGACAAGTCGCTCGAGACGCTCCGCACCGTCGTGCGCGTGCTCCAGGCGCAGAAGCAGGCAGAGGCGGCCGAGCAGGGAAGGGACCAGGATGGCGATGCCGCAATGGCGGCCGAGGCAGCCGTCGGCGGCACGCAGATGTCGTTCTTTGACGAGCTCGCGCCGCAAATCAAGCCGAGGCCGGCCGAAGGGAGGGCGCGCATGAACTACGATCGCGAGCAGCGGCTCAAGATCGAGAGGAAGCGCGAAGAGGAGACGCTCCTCTGCTGGCGAAGGCTGGAGCTGCTCGAGGGCCATGTCTTCATCGATGGCTTCTGGAGAACGGACGTGCCGCTGACGCTGGCCGAGGAGGACGACGGCGCCGGCCTCTACGGCTCCGGCGAAAGCGCTGCGGAGCGCCACGCCCGCTACCGGTCCACGCGGCAGTGGCTCGAGGAGGCCAGCGCCCTGGTCGAGAGTTTCCGCAATACCAAGAAGCTGCACACGAGCAAGAAGGCGCGCAGCAAGCGGGGGACCCGTCCGAGGGGACGGCCGAGGATCCTGCGCGCGCCGACCGGCTCGGGGATCAGCAGGATCCGGTCGCAGGCGCAGAATCTCCTGTACCGGCTTCAAGACTCGATGTTCGAAGAGGAGATCGAGGCAGAACACACCGAGATCGGCGCCATGGAGACCTCGTTCCAGAAGCAGCTCGACCAGGCGCGCTTCCGCGGCATCCCCATCGAGGACTGGGTCGATCTCTTCGCAAGATACGCCATGGTCCTGACCAAGATTGGCGGCGAGCAGGCCATGGTCAACGAGGTGATGCAGGGCTTCCTCGACTGCAATGTCGTCAAGGGCTCGTACCGGCGCACAATGACGGTGCGCCTGGCCTGGCTCTCGTGCGCCCTATACGCCCGCGACTACGACACCATCTTCCGCTGCATCCGATGGCTCTGCCAAGAGCATCAATTTCACGACCAGCCGATCCGCCTGCTGGCCTCAATCACCAATGCCCTTGGCCAGCAGTCGCTGTCACGCTTCGTGCACAACCCGGACGTCAAGTTCTATCAGCGAAGGATGAGGCAGATCGAAGCCATCGTCCACGGCCTGACGTGCTACTTTAGCGACAAGACCCACCACTACATCATCCCGCACCACATCTTCCTCAGCTCGACGTACGACGATGCAGGCGACAAGACGGGCGCCGAGGCGGCCGGTGAGGGCGAGGGCGAGGGCGGGAGGAGCGGTGACGACGCGCACGACGACGACGAAGACGACGACGATGATGATATGGGCAGGGACGTCGACGAAAACGGCTCGCCCCACGGCGGCGCCCACCCGCGAAGAGGCGCGGCAGCCGCAGCCGCAGCCTCTGCGACCGACGCGACCGCCGCCATGCAGGTTCCCAAGGGCGCTGAGCCGAGCGAGGCGCTGCGCATCCGCCTAGCCAAGCCGAGCAAGCCGAGCCCGATCGCAGAGACGTCTTACGGCTACATGCTGCTCGCCTCTGGCGGTTACCAGGCACCGGGAGGTAAGTCCGATCGATGGGCGGCCATTGGCGCCAGTCGCGCTGTGAGGCATGCTGACCCGCCTTGTCGTGCCTTGCACCTTGTCCTGGCTCCGCGCTCGCGCAGCCTTCTTTGCAAGGGCCTTTGCGATCCAGCAGAACGATCCGCTCATCTGCCTCTGCGCCGCCGTGGCATTCGTGGGCCGCTCCACCAACCGACAGGCCGACAATCGCCACCATCTGTTCCTTCAGGTAGGTTTTCTTTCTTGGAGCCGTGCGCTGCTGCGAGACACTTCGCTGAGCCTGGCATTGCATCCTCCCGCGTCCCTCGCGATGGCGACGTCAGGCCCTGGCCTTTTTCCAGCTCTACAAGCGCAACCTCGGCCTGGCCGTCGACGACGATACGTGTCAGGAGGTCGAGTACAACCACGGCCGGCTGCTGCACCACCTTGGCCTGCTCCACCTCGCCGTGCCGCACTACGAGCGCGTCCTCGCCCTCGCCTCTGCTTCGCGCGACAGGCGCCGCATCAACGGCGGCGGCAGCGGCAGCGATGACGAGGCCCCGGCGGTGGGATTCGCGATGCACCGCGAGGCCGCCTTCAACCTCTCGCTCATCTATACCCTCAACGGCTCGCCGCATCTCGCCCAGGAGCTGCATCGGCAGTGGCTGACCATCGAGTGAGGCGATGTCGGCGTGTGGGCGAGCGGGCCGATCTCGTCGGGGCGCCCGCCTTTGCCTTGTACTTTTAATGAATGCCGCATGATTCGTTCCTCGCTAACGCTTTGCAGCCGTACCCTCTCGGCGGGTCGATCGACGTCCGATCCTCTTGTCCGAATCGAAAGGTTGGGCATAGGCGAGCGAAACGAGGGATCGAGCGAGGGTAGCCGACTGACGAGCGGGGCGGGGACGCATGTTGGAACGAACCAGGGCGCCACCGCGCGACGTGCCCGCCTCTAGGTGTGCGTGGTGCAACGCCGACGAGGCCTGCTCGTGCCGCGGTCGTTGCGGCGGTTGCGGGTCGACGACGCGACGGCGTTTCGGTTGCTGGCGGGACGACGAGGCGGGAGAAGATGGGGAACGCGAGACGAGTAGACTCTCGACGATCCCGCGGCCCGAAGTGAACCAGCGCGAAAGTCGGGACCGCACCTTCGTGCTCCCCGCTCCTCCTCCGGCTTCTGCTGGGCGCGGTGGAGGCGGGGTGGACGACGAGATCACCGCCGTCGTCGTCGAAGGAGTGACGCTGCTCAAAGAAGCGGCAGCGGCGATGGTGGTGGTGGTTGTGACGGCTCGAGTCGCGGTATCCACAGTCGGCCGCGCCACGGTTTGAGAGCGGCCGTCTGACGGCTCCTCCTCCTCCTCCTCTTTTGTAAGCGCATCGTCGACGTGCTGCCCCAGTGTCACCGATTGCTGGTCCGGTCCCTCGTCGAGATGCTGGGCAGGCAGCTCTCCATCCTCTTGCGCCTCGTCCTGCTTCGCCTCTTGCTTCCCCGCCTCCCCGACCTCCACCGCCTCCTCTCCGTCCGACACCTTCTTCTTCCGCACCCAAAACGAGGGCATGGGGAACTTGATATCCTCCTCGCCCCTTCTACTCCTTCTCCTCCCCGTCGTCGTCGGCGGCATCTGCATGCCCCGATCGCTTCGCATCTGCCAATCCTCCCCCTCCTCCTTCTTCCCTTCGCCCGTCGCCGTATCGCCGGAGCGGGGCTGTGGAGCAACAAAGGCCCAGCGTGGCCAGACGACACGTCCCTCGGCGCCCCGGCGGGCATGGAGGATGACGCGCCTGAGAAACTCGGCGTCCTCCTCGCTCTCCCCGCGCCGACCCGGGAGGAGGGCAGGGAGGAGCGCGACGACCTTGTCGGCATTCTCGACGTCGGCTGGCGAAGGTCGGCTGAGGCTGTGTCTCGAGGGCAGCGAAAAGGGGGGCAGCACGCGTGCAATGGTGCGTGCCTCCTTTGTCGTCAGCCTCTTTGCCGCTGGCGCTGGTGGTGGCTGCGACGATGGGGGGTTGGACTGTCGGGGTCCTGAGGTTGATTCTGCGGAAGAGGAGGACGAGGAGGAGGCGGAGGAGGAGGAGCTGGAAGACGAGAGACGTCGTCGTTTGGTCCCGCTCGCGCCCTCGCGTCGTGGAGGGGGATGGAAGTCCTTCCACTCAATCGACGGTGCGAGGATGTTGCTGCCTTGAGCGTGGTGCGACGACGAGAAGAGCGGTAGAGGGTGAAGGGTGGGTAGTTTGCTCTCCATCTTGTCTAAGGCACATAAGCGGTGGTGGTGGCGGTGGTGGTTGTGGTGGCGGTGGTGGTTGTGGTGATTGCGGTGTTGGTGGTGGTGGTGAGGTTATGAGAGAAGGTGGGTGAGGCGACAAGGGGTGGGTGGTGGTGCGGGGGAGAGGATGGGAAGCAGCGGAAAGCGGCAAGTGGAGGCTGCCCTACGCGTCGAGTCGAGTGAGAGCTGGCCAGGGCGGGACATCGCGTTCAAGCTTGGGCATCCCCCCGCTGGACCGCACGTCTTCGTCTGCCACATACAGCGCACCGCGCACTCACAGTCCACGCCGGATGCGATGCGATGGGAATGCGAGCTAAAAGTACAGCGAGTGAGAAGGCAGAGCGGGATGAACAGGACCCAAGTAGAGGGGCGAGAAGGGCGAAATGACAGCGGGCGACGCACTGGCCGCCCGTCATCGTGGCGCAGCAGCGGCCAGGTACTCCTTCATCATCCGAGCAGCCTGGTGGCCCCTTGACAGCACTGATGACGTGAACGAGACGTTGACAAAGCCAGCCGGTCAGCACGCCGTCCGCCGCCCCAAGTCGATCAAGGGACACCGCACGACGCTACTCACGATTCCGCTCCGCGTCGTCGAGACCGTTGAAGAACTCCGCCATCTCGGCGCTCATGCCCGATCCGGCGCTGCTGCCCAGTGCCGGACCGTCGTGGACCATGGCTGCGATGGCCGCAGCGGATGCCGTCAGCGGATCGTCGTCGTCGCCGCCGCCACCGCCAGGTTGACCCGATCGATTGGTCGACGAGCCTGTGTTGGCGCCTTGTTGCTTGTTTGACGAGCTGGAAGACGAGCCGGCTCCGCCGCCGCTGTTGCTGCTGCTCGACGAGAGGTGCTGGGTCTGCTCGTAGATCTGTGCGAGGCGACCGGTGTAGGCCTGAGGAGCGAAGCGAGAGGAGTCTCGTCGTCGAGGAACAAGGAACGAAGCGTCAAAGAAGGGGTTGATATATGGACAGCAAGAGGAACCGTAGGCACGCTCACCTTTGAGAGGACATCCATGAGTTCGTCGGAGTCCATCCTGGATGAGGGCGGGGAGGCGGCGTGTGAGTGGGTAGGTCGAAGTGTACGAAGGGCAATCTCGGCCGTGACACTCACAGATTGGCGAGCCTCATACCGAGGGCGTACCAGTTGTTGTTCTGCTGGCGCAGCTGCACGCTGGTCGGGTTGGCGTCGAGGGCGGCCTTCACCCTGGGACCATAGGCCTTTGGCATGGTGAGGGAGACGACATCGCTGCGTGGCCACCAGGGCGAGGGGCAAGGAGGAAGGCAGCGTCAGTGACGTGGGATACAGGGGCATTGCAAGAGGGATGCGGAGGACGCACTTGAGGGCGAGGAGCTCTGCGAGCCAAAAGGGAAGTTCGAGGCGGGCGTGCTGCTTGATGTCGTCCTCGTCGGTGGACTGGAGGTGGCCGAGGTTGTGCACGTCGATGTTGAATGTGCAGGGCAGCTTGGATGCGTCTGCGATGATTGAGTCGATGCTCCAGTAGGAGCGGTCCATGGTGCGCGGTGGTGCGTTGCGGTCGGGGTTGACGGCGGTCGATGAGGGGATGGTTGGTTGGCAGCTGCCTTTGCTCTGCCCTCGCAAGTCGAGCCTGCCAGGGCCGATGTGGAGCTCCTCGCGAGGTGTTGGTCCCAGGGAGCGCGCCGCGTCGTAAAGTGGGCCTCGCCCTCGTCTCGCGCGAGAGAGGCACCAGGCGTCGTCGACTGCGCCCAGCGGGATGCGCTGCGACCGAAGGGGCCGGGCCGCCTGTCTGTCCTGGCTTCCGAACCCACCGACGCCTTTCAAACACCGCCAGCGTACCGTGGCGTGTTCCAACGTTTTGGATGCGGCTGTCTTTTTTTAAAAATCAAAAAAGAGACCGAGGGGCTAGACTTTGAAAGCTAACTTTTTCCTTCGAACAAACGTGCAGCAAGAAACTCGAGGCTTCCAAAATGAGACCTGTGCGGCGCAGCAGCTTGCTAGTGGCCAACCCCTTTGGCGGGAGGGTCGGCCTGGCCCCGCTGAGCGCTGATTCAAAAATGCGCAACTTGGTAGTGAGGCGTTTTTAAAAAAACGCCAGCCCGTCAGCTTTCGCGAGCCAAGAGGATTTTCAAAACTTGGCAAAGCTCGAAACCCCTCGTGGGCCGTGGCACAGCCAGGCCAGGCAAGCAGTCAGGCCACGCGCACGCCGAGGCCGAGGCCGAGCACGCACGCCGCCTTGCTTGCTTCTTCAGAAGAACGTCTTTGAGGTCGTGCCTGCGCGCCGACGACGATCCTGCGCCCATCGCTCCCGTTCGCTTGTATGCCTGCCTGCCTGCCTGCCTGCCTGCCTGCCTGCCTGCCTGCTTGCCTGCCTGTCTGCCTGTCTGCTGCTCCCTAGACTTGCTCAGCCAACGACGACGCCACCGGGCCACCGACTCGTCCTCCTCCTTCCTCTTCTGCCTTGATCAAAAGACCCGCTCGTCCCAGGCAGGTGCTTGGCTCCCACGCTCATGGCCGGACCTCGCCGTCGAGGCTCCCTCTTGCTCAGCGGGCATCAGCGTCCAGATGATCGTCGCTTTGCTTGGGCTCCTCGCTATCCCCTGACCACGCTGCACCCACGCCGGCAACAGGTGCATGTACATATGCGTATCATCATGTGCAGCGGCAGCGGGACTTGAACAGCCGCTTGCCGATCCCGCAGGCTCAGCCTGCGACCTTTGCAGCTTCGTTGTCCGTTCCTCGTTCCTCGAACGCCGCCGTGATCTTGATCTTGACTTGCTTGACCTTGATCCTATTCGGCAGGCGACAGGGGCTGGTGGAAACTTGTATATCATGGCGGCATCCCCACGACGCCGCCGCCCGTGTCCTCGTCCCCCCAATCTCTTTCCCCCCTTCCACCGTCCTCGGCCCCCGCCCTGCTTAGACCAAAGATGACGCCCACGACGACGACAAGGTACCGCCTGCTCCTATCCGTCGTCCTCCTCGGCCTCGCGCTGCTGAGCCAGGTCGGCGCCCAGTCGTGCTCGGCGGCCAACAAGTGCGGAGCGGCGGCGCCGTGCTGCTCTGAGTTTGCCTACTGCGGCACCACGTCGGCCCACTGCCTGGGCGGGTGCAATCCGGACTCGTCGTTTTCGCCCTCGTCGTGCCGCCCCATGCCGCGGTGCGAGGCGCAGTACATCGACTTCACCGCGTCCAAGCGCCCCTTTGTCGCCCTCGGATCCTTCAACGGCGACCCCAACCAGGCCCAGATGACGCTCGATTCCGGTACCGCCGTCGCCGGCAAGACGGGCGTCTCCCTCCGCCTCACAAAGGACGGTCCCGCCGCTGGGGGTACCAGGCTCAGCACCACCAGGTACTGGTACTACGGAAAGGCAACCGTCGTGATGCGCCACCAGGCCGCCGCTGGCGTCGTGGCCACTTTCATCAGCATGTCCAACAGCAAGGACGAAGTCGACTGGGAGTTTACTACCTCGAGCGGCCAGGACGCAGAGACAAACTACGTGAGTGCCCGCGGTCGTGGCCGCGCCAAGAAGCGCAGCAGCAGCAGCAGCAGCAAGACGACTGACCCGTTTCTCTCCTCTCGCTCCCCTCTCTCTCTCTCTCTTACCATCACCGCCACAGTTCTGGCACGGTTTCGGCGACTACACGCACGGGCGCACCATTGCGCCGACGTCGCTGCCCAACGCGGCCACGTTTGACCGCTCCAACTTCCACTCGTACTCGCTCGACTGGTCGCCCAACCGGCTGCAGTGGTCCATCGACGGCGTCGTCGTGCGCACCGTCTACCGCAAGCACACCCTCGACGCCGCCACGGGCGTCTACCGCTTCCCCTCGACGCCCGCCCGCCTCCAGGTCTCGATCTGGGGCGCAGGCACCGACGCCTACCCGGCCGGCACCCGCGACTGGGCCGGAGGCTACATCGACTGGTCCCAGGCCAACGCAAACACAAAGGCCTTCAGCAACATCGTAAAGAGCATCGAAATCACCTGCAACGAACCCCAAGACGTCCTCGGCAAGCCGGCCTACATCTACTCGGCAAAGCAGATGGACGCCGCCACCGGACAGCGCAAGATCCTCGGCACCGTCAAGAGCACACTGTTGTAGAGAGTCAAGCGCGCAAGGATAGAAAAGGCGCGCCACCCCCCCCCCCCCCCTCTTCCTCTCCACTCGTAGATCGGCAACGGTTCGTGTCATGGGCTCCCGCGCTATCGACTTTGGCTTCTCCCGTAGATCTGTTCTCTCCTCGTCAACCTCTGGCAATACCTCGGAACCACTTGATACCAGCGCCGCACTCGCCTGCTCCTCGCTTGATACCAGCGCCGCACTGGGCTGGCCCTCGCTTGCTACGTCTGACCGTCGATCCGAGCATCCCCTTCCGCTGCTGCCGCGGATGTTCCGGTCGCCGCGCTGCTAAAGCTCTCCAGGTCTTTGAGGATCTCGGCCAGCCTCTGCGACTTGATCGCCTCGGCACCCGAGCCTCCGCCGCCATGGGCGCTGGTCGGCGTCGACGTGCCCGTGATGAGGTTGGGCAGGTGGGCGAACAGATCCCGGCCGCTCGCACTGCCGCCGCCTGCCCCGGCAGCCGCCCCGCTCGACGTCGCACCGCCGCTGCCCGGCCCAGTCGCGCTGCCGCTGTTTTCTCCCATGCGCAGGGGCGGCGTCGCCGAATCGAGATCGCGCACCTCGCGTGCATAGTCGGCCCGGCGCAGCAGGTAGGGCCGCAGCAGCCGCTCGTCGATCTTGGCCTGCAGACGCAAGGTGTCCATAGAGCAGAGGAGATTTCAACTTTCGCCCTTTGGCGCTCGCAGATTCGTACCGATGAGGCTCCGCGGTACTCACGAGGTGCGACTCCCGCATGTACGACTTGAGCACGCTTGCTTGGACAATGCTGTTCGGAGGGGACGTCGGGGCGGCAAGCGGGTCAGAACGCGCCTCGATCGCCGCACAGCCAACGCGGCCGCCCTCCAGGTTCAATTGACTCACAAGAGGTTGCCAAGCTGCCGCAGCATCTCGAAGCGATCCGCGAGCGCGGGGATGCCAAAAGTGCCGATGGCATCCTGGTACATGGCCAAGTCCCTGCAAAGCGTAAAAGGGCGTAGACACGTCAGTCGATGGCCGTCCGTGGATTCGCTCGTACGCTTTCAGCCCCACTCACTTGGTCAGCATCAGGCCGCCCGCCGGGCTGACGGTAAACTTTCTCAGGTGCTCGAGCAGCAGGCCGTGGAAGGCGACGCCGACCTCGGTCAGGAAGCTCTCGGCATTCCTGCTCAGGCTCGCCTTGCCCATCAACATGCTGCCCGCGGAGCCGTGAGCCAGCGAGTCGGAGCCCTCGTCGTCGTGGGCTGCAGACCGCGACGCCAGCGTGCCTGCGGATCCCGGTCGCCCCGCGACGCTCACGCTGGCCTGCATGTACGGCTCGGCGGCGGCGGAGCTGAGGCTGCTCCTGGCGATCTGCTGCACCTTCTCGAGCGCCTCGGAGCAAGCCATGCACGGCTCCGTGTTCATGCGCGAGAAGGCCAGCTCGTCATTCTTGGGCGTGAAGTCGTTCTTCTTCTGCGTCGCGAGGCGGTTGGCGAGGTAGTTGACGACGTCTAAAAGACGGAACGGACGGGAAAGTGGGGGAGAAGTACGCCTGGTCAGTCGAGACGCTCAGGCAGGAATCGCCGCGTTTAGCCACGGGTCTACCCACTGTCGGCCAGCTTCTGCATCAGCGCGTCGCACTTGCCCTCGACGCGTAGGAGGTTGTGGTTGTTGAAGATGACCATTTCGCGGCGGATTGTCACGCTGGTGCTGGCGAGCGGCACCAGCGCTGTGTTGACGTAGTGCTGCCACAGGGAGACGAGCAGCTCGACGTTGCGGATGACTCCGATCAGCGACAGGTCTGGCAGCTGCGGCCCCCTCGTGTCGTGCTGCGAGACGGTGGCGAGGGCCGAGTCGAGCGCCGTTTCGATGTACGTCTTGATGTAGGCCGACGCCAACACCTTGAGCAGCGCGAAGGTCGTCTTGGGCCTGCACATACCGACGGACAGAGATGAGCGTGGTCAGCCAGAGTTCGACTGGACAGCACAGCGGCGCTGCCGATGGCGGTCTGACTCACACTTCGGAAGAGCTGCTGAGGTCGACACAGCGCCCTATTGCCTCGGCATGCCACTTGAGCATACGCTCCGCCACATCCAGGCTTAGCTCGCCCTCTCGCTCCAGGTCGATCTCGTCTGTGGGCCCTGCATCGCCCGAGTCGGCAGTGCCTGCCTCGCCTGGGGCTGGAACCGCCGCGGGGACCGCCGCTGCAGCTGCTGCCGCCGCCG